GCAAACATTACTCAGATCAATGGTCAGCTGCAACCAGGTCAGATTGGCCAGCCTCAGCGACCTCTACCAGGAAATATTATACCAAATATTTCTAGCGCGGATCAGCTGATGCTTCTTCATCAGCATAATCAAAAGCTACAGCACGCACAAGCACAAGCACATTTGACTCTTCTTCAGCAACAGCAACAGCAGCAAGCACAGCAGCAAGCACAGCAGCAAGCACAGCAGCAAGCACAACAGAAACAGCATGATCAAGATCAACAGCAAATAAAGCAGGAGCAGCAACCGGAGCATCAAGAGCAGCAACAACAGCACGCTCAAACACAGGCTCAACAACAGGAGCAGCATAAAGTGCAGCAACCAGACATGCTTCAAGCACAACTACTACAGCAACAACAAAACATACAACAGCAGCGCAGCCCTCAGATACTGCAATCACCTCCGCAGCAGGCTGTGCAGCAAGCACAGCAGCCGCAGCTGAATGGTTCTCTGTCACAAATGAATCCAGGTAATACCATATCTAGCGCACCAATAACTATCTAGTTAGGATATCCTCCGTACTAATTCTCCTATACTTTATGCTCTTCAAACGATCTTTACTTAATCAGGTACTGTCAATCCCGGTGTTCCTGGTGCTGTCCCTAGCCGAGTTCCTCCCACGCACGCTTCAAGGGCTGCAGTCCAAGCCATGGTAGAAAGAATTCAGGCTAACAGAAGTATGTATAATACAACTTTAACCATGAGGCTTATTAGAACAAGGAGAAATTACGACCCCATGCTAACAATCGTTACATATTGGTTTGTAAACTCGTTTATTTAGTTCCTCCAAACATATTACACGATCTAACACCGGAACAAAAACAGACAGTCAAGGAACAAATGAATTTGATGTTGCCTATGGTTATGAAGCTGGACCAACTAATGCCTATTGTTTACGCCCTCACTAATAACCGTGATGCCATAATGAAACTGATATTGATGGTATGTTTGAATCAATGTGTTTTTATTTATTTAGTACATTACCATTATTTCTGATGGTCAGTGTTGTTTATTTACTTGATTACTTATTTATCTATTTATTTATTTTTTTTATAGAAATTTATGTTCCAAGATCAACTGGAGTCATTGAAGCATGAACAGTACAACATCACGCCAGAAAATCTTATTAAGATGAAAGAGCGATTGCATCACTGCTTTCTATGGGTTAAATCCGAGACGCAAAATGGAGCCCTCGCTGGGGCAGCAACAGGCCAAAATGCGAACAATGTTTTAAATCGAATCAACAATGTTAATCCTGGCCAGATAACAGGACTCAATCCTAACGTTGGACCTGGACTGGTCTCAATCTCCGGACCAGGGGTTGATCCTTCAATGAATGCTAATCTGAATACAGGTGCCAACAACTCTGTCGGCATGGTTGGCGCACAAACTGCAAATATACCAAACAATCCAGCCACGGTTCAGGCAACACCGTTACCATCTTCCGCAGCCCCTACCCCTCCAATGAAACCTGGATTGACGGCAGCTGACCTAAAATTACCACCGCCAAAGAAGGCTAACAGCTCGCCTCCAAACAGCTCATTCCCAACATCCCCAAGATCGGAGGCAGGAACACCTTCAACACCAAGTCAAGCGGTCCAACGCACGGGGACTGCCGGGATTAATTCAACAATTGTTAAACAGGAAACGCCCAAGCAGGCCAAAACTCCTCAAGCCACTAATGCAAGTGTTGCTATAGACCAGTCTTCTCTGGCTGTGCCAGCTGTTCAAGGAGGCACTTCGCCAACACTTAATGTCACTAAGGCGCCAGATGGAACTAGTCTGACTTCATCTCAGCTTCTGTTGGCGCAACGTGCGCGCCAGTTGCAGCAGCAACAACAACACACTCAGGTTGACCAGAAGCAGCCCATCCCTTCCCCTATTCAGCAAACACAGCAGACCTTACTTACACCCCAACTACTACAGCAAGGTACAGTACAACTGCCTGCCCAGCCATCGAATTTCGCACCAATGGCTGCGAAGGCAACTGCAAACAATTTGGACCAAATGTCCAAAGAAGAACTGATCCAACAAGGCCAAAACTTGCAGCGAGCCCTGGCCAGTAACGCACTCCGTGCAAGGGAGGCAGCACTCGTCAAAATGCAATTACAAAAGATACGTGGAGCGCTGGCAAAGCCACACAAGCAGGAACAATCAGCTCATCTTAGTACTACGTCGGAACCTTTGCAACCCAAGGTCGCATCTTCCAGTTCTTCAGCCGATATGACTATCTCACAGCCCCAACCTTCGGGACCATTATCCTCAGCTGCTGGAACAACTGATAGTGGATCACAACTAAGAGAAATTCAAAAAGTTCAAGAGTCAAGACAACAGCAACAACAACAACACCCGATGCAGCCAACAGATCCTCTTGAATTTTTAACAACAACTTATAAAACCCTAGTCGGCGTGAACGACACAGGAACTTTCAGTGATGAGGTGGTAACACGTGAATCCTTGTTTATGCTTCATAACACCTTTGAGGGCTTTGTTGGCAAGCGGGTGGGCAACGGGTCTAGAAAGGACATGTATGACGATGGCCCACGTAAGCGTGCAAGAACTGAAGTTAAAGATGATGTACTTATTGCTCCGTTGTTGCATAGTGGGGATGGTGAGCCAGATGCCTACATAGCTAGTTACATTGATTGGGTTCAAGAGACCCAAGAGGTACAGACTGCTTGAAAACCGTTCCCATGCAACCGCCCGTACAATATGTAGCAACACAGGCCCATCCGCACACTTTGAATTAGCTTGTGTATTGTATATTATTATTTTTTTTTTTTTCTTTTTCTTTTTTTTTTCCTTTTAGTACATTCGATTAATAAACTATATAGAATAAAAAAGCTATCGTATTAAAACTTCATTAGGGTATATATAAAGTATTAGATAAACTAGTGTGGTTGGGGTAAATTTAGGCTACGGTTCAGTTCCAGCATGATTGTAAGTTTTTGGATCTCAGCTCGCAGTATCTCGGTTCGTATCCGTAACGGCAACACTATCGGTTGTTTTTGATAATACTGGTGCACCGAAATCTGATCAAAAGGAACATTTTGTTCAACCGCGCTGCGCTTGTACTTGAAGTCATTGGTTTGCAAGACAGTTGCAACACTTGAAACTGCGCTGAGGAGATGTAAGACATTTACGATTGTCATAAAGATCCCTAGAAGAAGTATGGGAGTTATTATTCGAGAATGAATTTGTCTTGGTGAGCTGCACGAATCCGATGCTCCTGTAGCAATGACAGATTGATCTGGTGTATCCGATACACATTCATGTCCAGCATCAACAGCATTCGATTGCGTTGATTCTGCCGACTGAGTGTCTTCAGTTTTGGTAGGCACTGTTATTGCCTCTGAATTGGTTTGCGCTTTTTCTTGCATTTTCGTTTCCGGTGGAGAAGAGGTTGGAAATAGATCATTGATAACAGCAAAGCTCTTGTCCAGTGCTTCTATCCAGAGGTGTGACACAGTCCTGATAGATCTCGTGGCAAAAGTAGCAGTCCTTAGTTGACCATTACTTAAAGACTGATCGTCCTGCTCCATCAGCTCCTTCGAGGAGGCCATACGAGGGCTAATTGATTGCATGAAGTCCAACACCCCTGAACTTCTGTCTGACAAAGCTGTTGCATGCACCTGATGAAATGTTTCGATTGGTGACAAGGAGCTAGCAGTTCGCTGCATCGATATTATGGAAGGTCGACGTCCACGTCTTGGAGAGTTCCTCAAAAGCTGCTGCGAGAGTAAGGAAAGCGCAGTGCTGGACTCAGAAAAGCTTCGCGGCGTTATTTGGAACCTCAATGGGGGTGACTCCATTGAAACATTGTCTAATTTGTTTTTTAGACTGTTATTGACGTTTTCTTGAGTAACAGAATGTGATACATTAGGGGCTTCCGATGTCAATTGGACTGAAGGCGCTTTCCATATGATAACAGTGTCATTTAGGGTGTCGGCAGCATCTACAAGCTGTCGAACGATTTCTCGATAGAATGCACATGATCTTTCCAAATAACTTGTTTCGATCATGCCGCCTAGTAGGATAGATTTTTTGAATGCCACTTGCGTGAAACACTTTATCCTTGTGTTTCCTAGCGACTCCCATGTTAGACAGATCTGAGTGGCAATTGTAAATTGATCACCGAATGGTATACTTGGCGTCTTAGATTCAGTGCAGACGCGAATCACCCGATTGTCATGTCGTAAAACCTTTTGCGTTTCGAGGCAACAAATTGACGCTTTGGTCACTGCAAAAGTAGAAATAAATGAAGCATTAGGTCATTGAGTCATCAAACGATGAGATTGGAGACTACACATCGACGCAAGTACAAGCATTACAAAACTTACACATTGGAATATTGAAAGATACAGAGTATTCGAGCTGTCTTGTCCGTCCTTCCCACTTGCTCTTACTACCTGTAAGCAATTCAGAGTCTAAAGACCATGGCGTGAACTTCACCTTCGAGGATCCATCAACGCTCCTACGAGCCTCACAAATAAGCTTATTGCCAAATTCTGCTCCATCGCCTGAAAACAATAGATCGAAGCATTGTTCTAATGTCATAGGGACTATGGTGGATAGGATTGCGTGTTTATAATGCCTTTCACAGTCACAAGGTGTGGGTCCTTGTGGTACCTCGAATGAATCACATATTGGCTCCGATTCGAGCAAGTTCGACTTCAGCGGAGGAGAGTTCGAAATTCGCTTGTTTAGTGCAAGCATGCTTGACCCCCTTTCTTTATGATTCTCGAATCTATTTCTTTCATTCCCTTTACTAGTATCCATAACAGTACTAAATATTTCACCCGACTTTATCACCCCACGGGTTGTCGACGACGAATGGGAGACCTTGGTTGTTGGAAGAGATGGTGAAAGTAATAAAGGTGGCGGTGTTGGCGACTTGATGTTAGATCCTTGATAGGATCTTGAGGGCCCCAGGTTTCGTATCGGTATTGGTGCCACTGTATCGTCTGCATGAATGGTAGTATTTGAGGTGTCTCCTGTACCTATGCAAGAGTGCGTCGAATCGTCGGAGCTTGAACTAGAATGACATGTACTGGGACTTATTTCACGTCTCAATAGTAAGGTCCCAAAAAAGTCTGTCGAATCCATGGAGCTCGCCTGAAGATCAACACGATCAGAAGAATGTGAACGCCCTCTGCTTCCAACATGTAAATTTGCGTTCTTGGTCCCATCCTGTCTCCAAGTCCTGCTATAAATATCCTGCTCGAGGCTCTTCTTATCAGTCTCGACAGTCCATGTGCTATCTAACCACTGTGTCGATCCAATACCGTCATACATCGTGTTTGCATTGATAGTACTGTCCAATGTTCTGATTTGACGATCCTGACTTTTATTGACTATTACCGCAGAATTTTTAGCCAATTGCTGATCACCCTTGGTTGTTGAACAACGAACTGACCAGAATCTTTCGATGTCTGCAATAGCGCGTTGTGGGTCTGAAATATTCACCAATACGTATTCTGTCCCAAAAGAGCCCTTCTCTGAGATTGATCTCACTCCGATTCTGATAGAGTTTGAGTCATGACCTACTTCCTTTTGCTGTTTAAAAAACAGCAGGTCATGGTAGTCAATTATCATTCGAATGGCTTTTCCATCGCTCTTGCCATAGAAACATACATGTGTTTCCGTTACGTACAGCGCCCCTTCCCAAAGAAGATCTTGTTTCAGGGCACAGCAAATACTTATAGGATTTGGAAATGAATATGGCGTATTAGAGTGGGGCAAGGAATTAGAGAACTTCACAAGTGAAAGGCTATCGTAACTTTCAGGTGAAGGTGCAGATAATGTAGTAGGGTATGTAGACTCTAAGATTTCAGGGGGTGTTTGGGGCGGTGTTGAGAGGGATGGTATACACGAATTTGAAGGTAACTTGAAGAGGTAGTCATGCTCCGGAAATGTGGTTATGAATTCGTGCTGTATCTTGGCTAGCTTTGAGATATTGTCCGCAGATACTAGATGATTGTCTGCACTGTCATCATTGCCACAGGTCAATAGGTTCTCAACCGAAGGCGAGCTGAAAATTGAAGTCTTTTCGCAGTTGGATTGATGAACAGGCTTCACTTGGGGATCATACGACATCTGGCTCTTGGTGTGCGCTGCTAGATAAAATAGAATTTACACAAAGTTTATTTTTCCAATACAAGGAACAGTAAATATTCATAATAACTACTTAAATTATGGTTTCAATACATTTGAAGCGCTCATCAAAGTCACCTTGGTGGTTCTGGATGCCATTAAAGGATCTGCTCTTATTAGCGTAGCACAGGGAACTCATGTTCTCTTGCGCTGCAATAGGCTTGGCAAATACTCGGCCTATTACTCAGCTTTCTTTTATAAATGCTAATAAGGCAAGAGAGAAAGGAATGTTGGGATATGGCTAATTAATGCTCAGCTGATTGAACCAAGCGAAGCGTATCTGCCTTTTGCGCTGTCCATCCTGATGGCATCATTCATTTGTACATACAGGGAATTTATATTATGGATTTGATGACCTTGTAAGAGTTGGTAGAGGCGATTTTTTTTTAAAAAAAAAAAAAAAAAAAAAAAAAAAAAAAACCGTACAATAAAGTTGTCACACAGCTTAAAGTGTATTTTCAGGACAATGAATAGATGAAAGAATTGAATGTGATGAAGAATAAAATGTCTGAAAGTGATGGAGAATGAGAGAAAAAAAGACAGGGGCGAAAAAAGGGACAGAGAGAGTAAGGAAGAAGAGGGAAGAAAGAAGTTTAGCATTGTTGGTGGGGCGATTTGTTTATCGCAGGCATACTTGACATGGTACATGTACATGTAGTATAAAGTCAAATGAGCCAAGCCCAAGGATAAAAGATCAGGCCACTTCATCTGGTGCTCATGATTTCGGCCCCTGTTGAAGACACACAAACAAACATTCAATATTAATACATTTAAGCATTCCCTTTATACATTCCCCACCAGTTTGGTGCGACTGTTGTCAACGTGAATGCATATCCAGTCTATTGTAACACAGGAAAGCCTTCGCTGCATGTCAGCCGATCAATGCACTTGCTAGACAATCTGCGTATCCCCTATCCTAAAACATCGCCTGATCGACATTAGTTCATTTTACACTCGTTCTTCAGAAATCTGCTTGTTAGCTTTTAGTCCAGTTCAGTTTAGTATTACAATCAAGAAATGTTCGACTCAGCTTAGTCATTCTAGCTTTATTTTTTCTTATTTGGTTCTTGATGTCACTTAATAAGTACTTTTTTCTTTATTTTTTTACCTTGCGCACAAAGGAAGGACGCTTCCTGTGGCCATCATAGATAGGCTCTACTCTTTATGTGTATGATGGACAACAACGGTTTAGCAAAGGTGGGTGTTCACGGCTCCAACTTCGTTATTATGACAGATGACAAATAGGCGAAAAGTAATGGAGATAAGAAGATTCATTTGTGGCTGAGATATTCAAGACCCAGCTGGCGCCGATGATTGCGTAGGTATCACAGAGTGAGGGTCTCACTTTGCATTGGATTTTCTTTGTCAAGACACTACTCTTTTTCTTCCCGCTATTAAACTCCTCCCCTTCGTCGATTACTTCCCTTCTCCTTCCTCAATGATATTCATGAACCCGTTAAACAGAGAATAGGTTTTCATTCACCTTCGATCAACAACAAGTCCTTCTCGCCCGCTTTTGGTATCTTTTGGTATTGAATAGCGCTCAGACCTTTTTTTTCCTTTCTTATCAGACATCCGAGATGCCTCGACTACCATTCGCAAGAAGTTTTTTATCAGATAATACAGGTTCAACAAAAAACAACAAGATCGCACCCATACCTTTTGATAGTCAAACAAAAACACAAGGGCAGCTTCCAATAGTCGATGTCGGCCCGCCATTCCTTTCGCCGCTGATATTTGGACCTGATAACACATCCACAAATAGCTTTGACCTTGATGAAATATTTGAGTCTGGGGGTTATACCAGAGCAGCCTCAACACAATCTTTGACTTTATCATCAAAAGTCCTTGAAAATACCAGACTACAAGTTGGAGAATCAGAGGATAGTTTCCACTGCGGTTCCAGACCACACCTCAAAGAATCGAAACTAAATGGCAATACCCTTTCGAGTTCTGAGCACAGAAGCCAACCTTCATTGGAGAATGCAAGAACACAATCTCCTACAAGCAATTTAAGCTATAACGGTCATCATTCCAATTCCTTACCCCAGTCGGATGATAAAGAGGTAAGTATATGTATGCTTGACGAATCTCGCACCGTACAGAACAATATAAGCTGACTTCTGACAGTTCTGATACTTAGCAACGCATTCGAGGATTAACTATAGGTGAAGCTGAGATCTTCATAAAAGAACTCTGCACGGAGTTAGCGAAATATGATCCAATGAATCCGTTGCTCCATAAAATATCACAACAGTCAGAGCAAGGGGTTAAAGAGAGAGATATTGAGAAAGATGCCATAGCCACATGCCGTGGAATGAGGGGAATCGAACAGAGGTAAAATGGACTCAAAATATGATCAATACATGTATCTCATAAAAGTACCGAATTAAACGTGTTGTTAATTTTTTTTATAAAAATTTACAATATGCTAAAATAGGATCGTAGAAAAAAATTTGGAAGGGCCTTGGGATAAATTGGAAACATCGCTTGCTCCAAAGCTACAGCGTAGTTCAGATGATGAGCTCCCGGAGAAATTATCCTCAGCAGAGGTGAAACTTCTCCAGGAACAAAAAAAATACCTCCAACGTGAGGTACATCTCCTTTTGGAACAACATGATGTAATGATGAGCGAGATACAGAATCTCACGGTTCGTATTGCTGAACTATCAGCTGTCAATAACGACTCATTTAAGGGGACACAGGATGCAAATCCAGCTACTGCACGACCCAACAGTAGTAATAGTATGCTTCAATTATTTACAGAAAAGATCAAGCGAGAGCAAAAGCTTAGCGGAGGAAACCACTATGACGCTGAAAGCGGTCATCTTCTGAGCGACAAGGAGTCAATACTATCTTTCAACTTGGATCTGTCGCCTGAGAATTCTCATGATTACTCCAATCGTGGTAGCGCCATGGATTCAATCAAGGATAAATATCATGAGGTCCATGTAGATGAAGGGGGAGGTCTCGTTCTAAGGAAAGTTAACAAGAGGGGAACACCGAATACTATCAGGAGTGTTGGAACTATATTTAACAAGTTTCTTGGAGATGGTTCAAGTCTCAGTCATGAAAACTCGAATAACGCTGTAGATCAGTTGAGCAACTCAGACGATAGTGAAACCCGGTCTTTGGGTGAACTATTTCCGGAGCGCCACTACTTTCTACAACACAATTTTGTCCGTCCCGTGCGTTGTGAATTCTGTGAAAATAAATTATGGGGCCGTGAATATAAATGTCGTGGTAAGACACTTAGTTTCTTGAGTTATTTTCTTTTTTTATTGGTGCAGATAGACGTCTTCTGAATATACTGATGATTTTATTTTAGATTGTGGGATAGTAATCCATGGAAAATGCAAAAGTGAATCGATCCCAGTGTGTTCTAAACGAATTACGGACTCAAGTGCAGGTTGCATGGACCTTGTTACTCCGACCCTATCAAACGCAAGAGCCATGTTTGGAACTAGTTTGACAGAACAACTGGAATATGAACAAAGTAACATTCCCCTGGTCGTAGAAAAGTGTATTGAGGCAGTGAATAAGCGGGGCCTGGAAGTCGAAGGAATCTATCGTCGGTCAGGATTGGCGGCAGAGATAAAGCAACTTGTGCAAGCATATGATAGTGGCCAACAGCCAGATCTCTTAGACTCTACATTATTCCAGGACATTTGTTCGATCACATCCGTTCTAAAACAGTACCTTCGCAGTTTACCGGAGCCTCTCATCCCTTTTACCTTGTATAACAGCTTCATGGATGCAGTCAGTCTCTCTCAGAATAACGACAGGATCCAGATGTCTAGACATCTGATTGAACATATGCCCTACGCACACTATCAGACGGTCAAGTTGTTATTAGAACATCTGAGAAAAGTGACCTTTCATGAAAGAGTCAACCTCATGACTGCCAAGAACCTTTCTGTAGTGTTTGGACCAACATTGATGCGAAATCCCGATCCGACCCGAGAGATCGAGGATATGACATTGAGAAACCTGGTGATTGAGCACCTAATAATTAATGTCCATAATCTCTTTGATACAGCCGTTTCGAACGACGTCAATGGAACTCTCTTGAGAGGTAATGCCAATATCAGGACCGATACGTCGCCCAATAGTCTTTCTTCAGAGTCAAGTATGGACACTGCTGAAGATGCTTACTAAGAGGATGGAGATTCCAACATGATAGCTTGTAGTGATATCAGGTAGCAAGAGACTTTGTCCTGCCAGCCATTGATGAATATCCAATCTTTCCATTCAGCCACAATATCAATTTAGGATAGGCTGTGTGTGTAGCAGGCACAATATTTATTGTTGTACAAACAATCCAGATTTAGGGCCGAAATAGATGTCGACAGTGTATTTATAGCTAATTTTGGCGCATGGATGCAACGGTGCATTTTTTGTGGGTATATTAAAAAATGCTCAGGTTTTTGGCACTGCTCGATGTTGCACTGCCTTCCTGCAATTATTTAAACAAAAGTCTCCGTTTTTTTATTTTTTTTTATTTTTTAACAGTCTTTTTTTTTTTGTACATCATCTTTCTCTTTCTCATCCTCATTCCTCATCCTCTTCATCCACATCTTCATTGCCCAACTCTCCTTTACCTGTTCCAATTTTTCCCAATGAGCCTATCGAAGCAAACGATTCTAGTTACAGGAGGATGTGGTTACATCGGTTCTCATACAGTCCTACGTCTGCTTGAGAATGGTTACAAGGTTGTTGTTGTCGATAATCTCTCCAACTCTTCCTATGAGTCACTTCGCCGTGTGTACAAGCTTTACGGCATCACTGCCTCTACTTCATCCTCTCCTGCGTATAATGATGCTATTCTTCCACTTGAGACCCTGATACCCTTCTTTCAGGTCGACATCCTTGACCGTGCTGGACTCGTCAAGGTGTTTGAGGCTCATCCCGAGATTTCTGCTGTGATTCATTTTGCAGGCCGCAAAGCCGTAGGGGAATCAGGCAGGATTCCACTCGACTACTACAATGTCAACATTGCAGGGACGGTTAATCTATTACAAGTCATGGAAGACTTTTCTGTACGCAAGATTGTCTTTTCATCTTCGGCTACAGTTTATGGCAATCCTCCTCATATCCCTATTCCTGAGGAATCCCCTATTGTTGCGTCCATGAGCCCTTATGGCCGCACAAAGGTCTTTTTGGAACACATTATCAAAGATCAATGTGTAGCCTCAGCTGTGAAACAACAGGAGTATCAAAAAGAAATCAATGGTCATTCAAATGGTCATGATACATCGAAAAACTATGAATGGAGTGCTATTTTATTGCGATACTTCAATCCAGCGGGTGCACATCCAAGTGGTATCATGGGTGAAGACCCTCAAGGCATTCCTAATAATCTGATGCCGTTCCTGGCGCAGGTCGCTGTTGGTAATTTAGAGAAATTGTCTGTGTTTGGCAATGATTATCCCACAAAGGATGGTACCTGTATTCGGTAGGTTATTATTATTGTTGTTTACATCCCCCTCTTTTTATTTTTTCTAATATTGAAATATGTTAATCCCCCTTTTTAGTGACTATCTTCATGTAGTAGACTTGGCCCAGGGTCACGTTGCCGCTTTGAACAAGATTGAACAGGAACAGGCTGCAGGGATTTATGGTTGCAAGGCTTATAATTTAGGTACAGGCACAGGGTACACAGTGTTGGACATGATCAAGGCCTTTAATAAGGCTGTAGGGCGTGAGCTTCCTTTTATCATCACAGAACGTCGCCCTGGCGATGTTCCAAACTTGACTGCAGATCCTCGCCTGGCTAACCGGGAACTAAACTGGAAGGCTGAAAAGACCTTAGACGAGATGTGCTTGGATCTTTGGAGATGGCAGCGTAACAATCCAAGAGGATATGATACAGTTTCCAGTTCCAGTCCCAACTAAACATGTACAAAAAAAAAAAAGGGCAATAGAACATAGCATAGTAACGGCCGCAGCAGTTGCGTTTTATATTTAGAGCTTACGTCCGTTTTACATATAGAGCTTGCGTCCCTTTTACATTAAATAATACCCTCATTAGAAACCTATCTTCATCGAGCGCCTACTATACATCTTGCCCTGTTCGCAAGATCTTTCCAGATTTCTATCCGACTAAATCCTGCCTGTCGAACTGCATTGCTAACGGACTGGACTTGATGGTCACCTCCGATTTCCAACACCAGTTCGGGGATTCTAACTTTGTCCAAATCAGGACCATTTCTCCATTGCCGTCCCTTCCCTGTCTCTTGTTTATGACTGCTTTGAATATTTAATTCCTTTTGTTTAGCCAAAACGGAAGTTGGGGGCATATTATTGGAGATTGAGTCAAGAAGTGGCTCGGAAGGCAAGGGAGTAAAAGGATGGAGCTGATTACGGTCATGAAGCAACTCGAAAGCCATATGGGCTATACGAGGGTAAAACATCAGTCCGTCATCGTCCGCCAACAAAGCCTTTGCATCTTCCCAAAGCGCCACCTCAGGCTCCAATGTCTTATGTTCAGAGGGGGCAATATAAGGAGGATTTGATACGATAAGATTATATCTTGCGACTGACGACATTTTTGAAGGTAGATGAGGATGCGGCTCAAAGTCGTGTGCTAGGATGGCAGTGCTATTCCATTGATCAGTTTGTACATTACGGTCCTTTGACTGTTGAGGTTCGTAATGTTGCTGTCCTTTCGGCCCTCGTTGGTCTGTTTTCTCATCGAGAAAATCCATAAAGACCTTTACGGCATTAGGAGCAAGCAAGTCTGCCTGACGGATATAAACACTGTTGCCCTTGAGGAAAGCGCGATTCTTGATTTCATTTTCTCTAGCAAGTTCAACAGCCTTTGGATGAATATCAATGCCAAAGATTCTGCAGGACTTATGGGGGAGAGCAGAAGCTAAACCGAGAGGGATACAACCAGACCCTGTACAGATGTCAAGGATGTTGAACAAAAGCGATGTGGATGTACCGCTTCCATGTCCTGGTTTTAAACAATCTACTGTTACTGCGGCTTTCTGGACAGAGCTTGACATGGAGCATTGTATCTTTTGATCAGCTTGGAAAAGATGCCACTCGTTTGATAAGATAGTCGCCAGGCGCGCAGTCCATTCCTCAGTTTCCCATCTACATGTTGATCAAATATGATTGAGACAAGTCGTCAATAAATGCTATGCATGTATTTGATATGCACTCCAGAACGAAGTAAAATGCATTCAATAGCATTCTTACCTCGGTATCAATGTTGGAGGCCTAGTGAGGATCTCCAAATCCATGAAGGGTTGGGTTCCTTTCTTAACATGAACCGAATAAGTTTGATTAGCACTGAAAGCATGTGTAGACTAGAAACCTGACGAGAAAGAGGGTCTGTTCCTTAACTTACCAAGTATATACTGTAATGGCTTTCTTTCATGGACTCTCTGTTCTACATAGCTTTGCATCAATGCCACTATCAAGCCTTCTGAATGATGTAGACCTGGTTCACTATTCCCTGTTTCCAGAATCATGGATTCTTTGTTTCTTGATCCATTTTCTGAGATCATTAAACGAGCCTGTTGACGAGCATGTTGCAAAAGCCATTTGACTTCCTGACCGGCATGACTTTTACTATGATTGCATATGGGTACCAAAGCTTCGGTCCACTTCCTGATTAGCTCGCTAGTCGCTCGCATCTTTGACAAACCCATTTGTGCAAAAAAAAAAAAAAAATAATAAAAAAAGAGCAAATGTTTGTGTATCACGTTCAAATTCTACACTATTATTTATTAATAATACACTGGATATTTTTTATTTAACTCCGTCTCACAAATCCTCGTCGTCAGACTCGTCCTTCTTCACTGCTGTTGTCCTGATGCCGCTCATGGTTCTGGCACGTAGCTCTTTGATCTATCAAATTTGAAATAGTTTCCAACATAAATTCTCGCTCCTTTTTTTTTGCTGACACTACATTCATCTCAGCATATGTGATATGGCACATCCCAATTACCTTTTGTGCAAGCTCGATCTCCTTTTTTGATGCTCGTTTAGTTGTCCTGTAATAGGTCAAGTTGTCTTGCAATATGACTTGTTCATCGTTTAATCTTTCTCTCAACTTGTCTAAGTAGCCAGTCAAAAAGATCATGAATCCATTAGCCGCCAAGTAAAAATCTTGAGTTCATTTGGTACTATTTTTTTTTTTTTTTTATTTTATTTTTAAAAAAATAAAATAAAATGTTGCAGTGATGGTAGTTGCAGTAGTTGTAGTTGGTGTTGTTTGCAAGTACATACCTAGAGGGTTTTCTTTTGCCTCTTTTTCTTCGAGTGCTTTTCGGATAGAATAACCATATCTCAACTCGTGTTTAATCTTTTTTAGCCCAGTCTTTGTCTTTGGCAAGGAATCGCTTTTGCTTTTAAGCTTTTTCCTCTTCTTGCTAACGGATGGTTTTACAGCAGAGTCTTTTTTTGACAAAGCAACAAGGCTGTTGCTCTTGCTGTTGTTGCTGTTGCTGTTGCTGCTGTTGGTGGAGCGATTGCTTAGGAGTAAATCCAATGCCTGTGCTGTAAGTTTCTTTGACATGATGTGTACAGGTCAATAAATGTCAACGGTTTCAATGAATGAAGAAAAAGTAAGAAAATAAAAATAAGAAAAAAAATATAAAACGGTGCGTGGCTTAAGTAACGAAAGTTTTTTTTTTTTTTTTTTTTTTTTTTTTCACATGGTGATAAGGAGAAAGAAAAAGAAAAGGGAGGGCCATTCAGATTGCACAGATCTGAGTCTGAGAATGACACGGCGAAGCACACACCGCCCGCATGCCTGCAGTCTTTATCTCCCTTTTTTATCTCTCGGACGATCTCCTATTCTTTTCCTTCTTTCTCCTCTCTTACTTCTTACTTTTTGACCTTGACTCTTAACTCTGACTTTGCTTCTTCCCTTCTCCTTTCTCTCCACTCCACTCCTTTTTCACCTCTATAAACACATCTGTTGTAGCAATAGATTCCACAATGCTGCAGTCACTCATGACAGAAAACCCTTCGTCCATTTTATCTTCTGACCAGTTTACTATGCTTCATCATTCACAACAACCTTCATCCTCTTCTTCTTCTTCTTCTGCTGCCGCTGCCGCTGCTGCCGCCGCAGTCACTGCTTCCTTTACTTCGGACCTCATTCATGCTTCATTCGTCGCTGCTCATTCATCCTCTCATTCTTCTTCTTCTTCTTCCTCTTCATCTCAACCCCAATCTCAATCTCAACCTCAACCTCGTCAGAATGATCTTTATAACACAGTTATCAGTAACAACAATAATAGCAGCAATAGCAATAATAATAACAGTAGCAGTTGCAGTAACAACAATACCAGTAATCTTTTAAAAAAGACTCGTGCAATAACGTGCATTACACCACCCAAAATGTCCACATCATCTCTTGCTACACTTGAATATTCCATCCATACTTCACCAAGAAGAATGACTAGAGAGCTTGCAACGGTCTTCCCCAGCAAGGACCTGTCTAATTTGTTAGTTGTGCCAACTTTTCAAAAATGTCAACACGACATGGTTGCATGGGATGCTGTTATCGCCAAGGAAAAAGATGATCGTTTGGAAGATGTAGGTTCCCTTTTGTACTATTGCCATTGTATTCAATGTCATACGACTTGATGGATCTTTTTAATCTTTTTTAGATCCATGTAATCTCAATTGATGCTGTGAGAAAGTATCAAGGAAAAAGAGACAAACATGGAACATGTAGAACGGAGAAAGGGCCTACGTGTGGATGAAATTCTCCATTACTAATGGCATTCCTTTTTTTTTTTTTTTTTATTTTTTTTATAACATTACTAAAGTTCGTCCGGTGGTCCACTGCTATTCACCAAGGTCTAAAGGAGCTTGGCTTCTGGTCCGACATGACTGACCCAGCCTCTGGATATCCTGTAAGAAATTTAAAATCTCTCTTATCAGATATGACTCGAAACTTCAATTTGCCTGTGTCACTTGACCGATAAATCTTACAAACAATCCTTCTTTTGTAAACCATAATTGCTTTTTCTTTTCCCATAGACATTCAGCGAGCGTGGACGAGATGTTTATCCTGATGTGGAAGGATGTCAGATTCTACTCAAATATGATTTTCAGAATGCTGGCTGTTGTAAAGTTTTGTTGCATCCAATCTGGGGTAGCAAAATCTACCCAGCAACATTTTTCACAACCGCTCCTATCGATGTTCTTTTAAAGGTGTTAGAGCAAGTGGAGCAAGAGAATCCCTTGTCAGAGTCACAGTAATCCTTTCATTTCCGAATAAACATATTTTAAAAGAATATTTCGGGTGGCGTAGACTAAAGTATAAAAGTAAAAAAAAAAAAAAAAAAAACCTTTTTTCATTCTTTTTCATCATCTTGAAAAACCTATTCAACTACCATCACAAGAGGAAATAGCTCATGAGCAAGCATCGAAGCATTCATCTACGCTTACCAATACATCAACATGGACTATGCAGTCTATTCCTTCTTATCACCCTAGCGTTCTTGACCACGTCCAATATCAATGTTCAAGCCAGGGCGCTGCACACTTCATCGTTATCAGACCTACAAATGATCACTTCATGGGAACCTTCGGACCCAGACCGATTTCACCCACATACAGGATCGTTGCTTGCTCCTCTTATGATCCCTCGAGTCTCTGGAACTGTTAATAATACTCTTGTCCAAAACTTTATATTGGATTATTTTGCAAAATTGAATTCTTCAAGCCTTGCTGGCGACATTTTTGATCTACAAGACAGTCATCCAGATGAATCTAAAAGGAACCAAATGAAAAAACGATATAAAAGCGAATTATTTCAACGTGCGGAAGGAACACCTGGAACAGGATGGCATGTAGAGATTGATCGTTTCACAGACTCCACTCCCTATGGTCCAAAGACTTTCACAAACCTCATCTTCACAAAAAACCCAAAAGCTGAGAATCGCCTTGTCTTTGCGGCTCATTATGACTCCAAGTATTTCCCTCCTCCACTTGAACCAGGAATGACTTTAAATGGAGGCGAGGACACTCTTCCATTCGTAGCTGCTACAGACTCGGCCGCACCTTGTGCCATCCTTCTAGATCTCGCAGCGAGTTTAGATAGAGCTCTTGATCAACCCGGAAGAGATGATAAGGAAACAACATTGCAAATTATATTCTTTGATGGTGAAGAAGCCTTTGCAGAATGGACACAAAAAGATTCACTTTATGGATCTAGGTAAGAAAAAAAAAAAAAAAAAAAAAAAAAAGTGATTTGTTTGCTTTATTGAAATAGCTGTACTAAAGCACATTCCTTAGGCATCTAGCTGAAAAATGGGCCCAACAGATTGTACCTCGCACTAGGACTGCCACTGGAAGAAATGGTGGATCCTCATCCAACAATCTGGATGGCATTGAGCTCTTCATCTTACTTGATTTACTAGGATCAGAATCCCCAACTGTCCCTTCATATTTTGGAGCCACCCATTGGGCTCACCGTCATACTCTTTCAATCGAGCAGCGACTTTGGGAAGCCAAATTGCATGGAGGACAATTTTTGGCCAGACGAAAGAGTGGATACAAAAGAGCCGATGTCAACGACGACGAGGATGACCTTGAGGGTGACGAACCAATGAGTGGATTTTTGACCGAGAATGCACCATGGCAAGGCATTGATGATGATCACCGCCCATTTCTTGAAAGAGGTGTGCCCATCTTTCATGTCATCCCTATACCTTTCCCGGCTGCATGGCATCAGTTGGGGGTAAGAATTAATCTACTATTAGGATCTGACCTTTTATTATTACTATAATTATTAATACTATTATCATCATCGTCATTGTTGTAGCTAGCTGTTATTATTGTGTTTCGTTTACTAATCTTGACCAACATGCATTAACAATAGGATAATGCCGACATCATCTCTCCAGAGGTTGTTGAGGGTTGGGCCAACATCTTCCGTACCTTTACAGTGGAATATCTTCAATTACTTAAGCCTGTTGCACGTCGTCGAGATGAACTTTGATATTATAAACAAAATAATAGAATGCAATTAAACTCATATTATAGTGCACAAATATACTACTACTTGAGACTTTGGATGAACGAGTCCAAATTATACTCCTCTTCATATTGTTTCTCGTCCCAAAGACCCTCCAAGGACTCAAGGACGTTCTTTGTGGACATCTTTTGGTCCCCACTGTCACCATCACCATTAGCGACCCCACCCTTGACTTTGCCCTTTTTCCGGGCATCCGTGTCACCATCGCTACTGATCTGGAAGAGATCCAAGATTTGATCTGTTCCCATGCTCTGGAGACCCGAATTTTGCTGATTAATGACCGTATTCGCAATGTTCAATTTGAATTTTTGGAGACTATATATGCATAAATAACCAGAAAAGTGATAAAGTGATGTTGCTCAGCATTACAATCGTGCGCTTCATCATTATCATTATCTTCAATGAAAACAGCATATTCATAGATATATATTTACCCCATGATCTTCTCCTCAAGAGTGCCCTTGGTAATCAACCGATAGACATTGACGACCTTTTTCTGTCCCAAACGATGTGCACGATCCATGGCTTGTAAATCCTTCATAGGGTTCCAGTCATGCTCCACAAAGATAACAGTGTCAGCTCCTGTAAGGTTGAGACCCAGTCCTCCAACATGAGTCGTTAAAAGAAGAAGATCAATTGAAGGGTCTGCGTTGAACTTTTGAACAATTCCATGTCTCCGAGAGGAATCAACTGCTCCATCGAGTCGCATATATGAAACCGAAGGCAACAGAGGTCGTAAAAGATCGTTTTCAATAATATCGAGCATTGCCTTTTGTTGGCAGAAGACAAGCGCTCTGTGCTGACTTACTGCTGAACCACCTCCAGTAATCAAAGAAGCCTCCACATCAGCGTTGGATTCCGATATGGACTTCAGTCCAATACCGCAATCTATGAGTAACTGCTTCAGGGCTTGCAATTTTGGAGCAAAACTAATATCATGAAGGGACTGATTATGGGCCTTCAGTTGTCTCATGACTTTGCCGTACTCTGGGTGATTTTCGTTCACGACCAAAAGCGGGTGGTTGCAGAGCTTGCGGAGATATTGAAGGGCTTGGAAGATATGTGTTGCTTTTTGTGGCGGATCAGCCTTGACATCCTCCGTCAATTCCTCCTCCACTTCATGCTTGATATGTGACTTTGAAAAGTCTTCGTACAGCTGCTTTTGAAGATCGCTAAGCTCGCAATAATAATCCTGGATAATCTTGGGTGGGAGATCACTTAGCACATCCTCCTTTAGTCGACGCAATAAGAACGGCAATACTTGCTTATGAAGAGCCTCAAGTGCCAATATACCTAGGAAAATAAATAGTTGGATGTAATACAGTGAATCATGTGGATTCTAAACTTACAATGATCATGATTTTCCAGGGATAAACAGCAAAGGATGACTCCACCCACAATACTTACCGGCCTCTTGCTCCCGAGATGAGCTTTTACTGTCACGACTCGCGAGAATAGGCTTTCCAAAACGGTCATTAAATTGTTTCTCTGTTCCCAAAAAACCTGGCATCAAAAAGTCAAACAAGGACCATAATTCAAGCACGTTGTTCTGAATAGGCGTTCCTGACAATATGACTCGGTGATTAGCCTTAACCATCTTAACAGCCTTGGTAATCTTGGTCTTTCCATTCTTGATAATATGTCCTTCATCCAAGATACAATAGTTCCATCTGATTTTCTCCAAGTCCTCAATGTCGTTTCGGACCACATCATAAGACATGATTACAACGTCGTGTTTAGGGATTGCAGATCGAAGCCTTTTCCGTTCAGCTGGGCCACCAGTATACATAATAGGCTTTAAATTATCTGTATACTGTAAGATTTCATGATACCAATGACCCGTTAGTGTAGGAGGGCAAACCACGAGCGATGGGCAGTGAGCATACTGAGGGAGTCCCGTCTCTGCGAACTTGACTTGACGGTCATGCTGATCACTAGCAAGCATGCAGATCGATTGAAGGGTCTTTCCCAATCCCATGTCATCGCACAGGATACCATGTAGTTGGTACTTGTTCAGAAAAGCAAGCCAGTTGACGCCCTCCTGCTGGTACTTTCTCAAGTCCGCTTTGATCGTGATTGGAATTTTGTAGGGCTGCAGCTTCTTACTATCTAATAGTTGCATTAAGAACTGTCGCTCTTCCTGGCGTTGTTGTAGCATCTCAGCAGACATCTCTGGGGGGTCTGGGATACCAGCCTCTAACGGTACAAGCTTGATTAAATGTGCAAAGCAATTTGTTGATACTAAACGCGTAGGCTCATCCGGATCACTCATGCGCCCAAGAATGGGTACAATCAGGAACACAACATATGGCAAGATCTTGGCGTCCATTTTCTGAACCACTTCATTGATCATCTCGACTGCCCCCTGACGACGGATCACATTAGCACTGTCTCCGATATATGGGACAACACGATCAATCACCAGATGCATTCCAGGCACTGTGATTACATCACAAATTACAGAGAGGCATTTTGCTGCGGCGTGGCGTACGACAGTGAAAGGGGATACTAATGCCGTGGCAATATGCGGCATCAGCTGCTCAATAGATGGGTATAAATCTGGATGTATGTGAGGCACTAGAGTTTTTGTGATTTCAAGAGCATCGATAATATCATGCCAGTCATCTGCCTGTAAACTAGTAGGCTCGATCACTGGTCCCTGTGCGAATGAAGATATCAATGGTGAACTCATGCACTCCCAGACCTTTGGGACTGCTGAAAACAAGTTTGATCCAAATCGTACAGCGAACTCCTTGAAAGCTGCCTCCGCGCCACGTCTAGTCAAGCGGGTTTCATCGTCCTCAGCAACCTTTGTATCTTTGGCAGATATTTTAACATCCTCCATGCCCCGTCCACCCACAATCTTACTGTCGAGTGCAGCCTCCTTGGACCTCTTAAGTGAAAAAATGCCTTCGAGCGAAGAATCCTGATCCAGTGACGGGGTAATAGTTGTGTCGCCGCAGAGGTATCGTCCAAGATTCTTGATCAATTTGGGCGTAGGAATTACGCGTAGGTTGCAGAACGGCGAATTGCATAGGATTACAAGACTAGCCAGAGTCGAAGCGGAGCGCATCTGAAGATCCATGTTCCCTTCGCTCTAATAAGATGCGATGTATAAAGATTAAATACCTGTTAGAAATTCAGCATATTGTTTCCATGATCACCAGCGTCGCTGCTTTGCTTCTAGCTGAAATTCGACTTACCCTGACACTCTTCATAACACTATTAATCACTGGATTCAGTTTGGCAGGAAGTGTACCTAAATTGATGACTGCTGAACCAACTGCCGCTGCAACATATAAATCTGCTTTCTCCTTGATAGTCTCAAAGTAACCAATACTGGCAATAACGCGCTCCAGTCGACCGCTCAGCAAGGGTACAGCGGTCTTGCGAGATCGTGCTCCAATCTGATTCATCAACTCAGGTGCAGTGTTGGCCGCAAGCTCACGTGCATAGTCAATTGTGAAGTCGTTGGCGCCTCCATTATTATCGGCTCCTGCAATTGGTGGAAGAGCAGGAATACTCGTCTGTGGCACTTTACCATCACTGACGAACGCGTTGAGCATTGTCTGGATTTCAACCCGGACACCCTTTAAGACTGTGAGACTCTCGAGATAGCTGAGTGGTGGGTCCGATATGAGACATTCTGTTAAGGCTGAGGAGGTGCGAAGACCAAATGGAAGTCCAGCTTCTGTTGGGTATACTCCTGTACGCTCCTTAAATGCATAAGCCCACTCCGCGATCACAATCGCTGACATTTGACGACGCATTGCCCAAGAGGAAGTGAAGTGAGGCTGTAATATGCTGTAGAATGTTTCTTCTAACTGATCTAAAGGCCAGGTCGCCATGATCAGTCCAAGTGCCTTGCATGCGTTTAGACGACAGCGAATGATTGATTCTGTTGACACCAATGCCAAGTCCTGCTTCAGCATCCCTATATCAACATTATGAGAGTGAGTCTGTGCAGATTGAGCTTTTCTACCGCGGGTGGGGGTGTCAACAACATTAGCAATCTCCTGTCCTGTTGGTGAATAAAAAAGACGGGTGTCCAACGGTGTCCCAATGGGTGTGAGCAACAAGTTGAAAAATGCTGACAGGTGAGGACCTATGACAGTTGTGATCAGCAATGACCCTGAGGCGGATATGTGTTCAATCAATGCAGTCGCGACAGTTAATGACAGCTCCAAGATCTCTTTTTTCTCCTCCACAATCAAATTTTGAAAAGCCATGCGGACCACTCTCTCATCCACCCACTCTGCAATCGACTTTAACTTGAGAAATGTCAACATTGCATTTAAAACCGCCATACGAACGCCAGGAATAGTATGACGAAAGAATGGGTTGAGGCGAGGGATAAGATTTACCAGTGTATGCCTGCCAAAAAAAAAAAAAAAAAAAAAAAAAAAAGACAAGGATTCATCTATTAGCCTTGGATGGAGGATCATACACAAATATACGGCGTCTTAGTTAAACAAGAGACCATTACTTCTCATCCTTGGTGTGAATCATAAAGTCAAGAACGCTTGGGAATGTAAAGAGCTTAGCTAAAAGATCCATAACGCTGGCTGTCGAGGCCGTGAGGTCATCCTTCAAGACAGCTAAGCAATCCCAAAGAACATTGACAACGTCTGGGATACGTTCTGGCAGTTTATGGACAAAGCTAGAAGAGATGGGGATAAGAGTAGATGCTGATACTGCCCGAACATCATCGTCCTCGTCCTTGAGACCCAGAATAACAGCGCTAACTACATTCTGCAAAATGTCAGCACCACAAGCGGAGTCATTATCTAGAAGGTCCCGCCGAACAGCCACAGCATATTTTAACCCAAGCAATCCAGCATGCCGAACTTCCCAGACATAGTCTCTTTCCATGCCTTCCTCAAAAACATCATTCTGGTAAATGAGGCGCATCAATACTCCAAGCGTATTTCTCACTCCTTCGTCAGACATGTGTTGCAACAGAGCGCCTAGGGTTTGTGAGCACGTTTCTCTTACAGGAGCAACAACCTAAAACGTTGGCCGATTTCATGTTAGATTGGGTTCTTTGATAGCATGTACAATATTCGATTGAAACTCAAGTCGGGTATACCTGGTCCGACACGAAATCCCCAAATCGATCCAACGAAAACACGCAAAGAAGCCGGATCGCAAGATCTTCTAACCATTCATGATGGCGGGTCTCGTTTTCGGCTTTCTTGCATCCTATAATCTTTCCTGCACCGCCGCCTTGAATTTTCAAAATTTCACGAAGTCCAATACCCGCCCCATGCCGTATCTCCCAGCATGGATCAAAGAGATCCATGCATAGTAGGTCGCAAACACCCTCAAATGGCCATTCAGTTGACGTCTCCAATATTGATTGTACAGGTAATCTTGCCTCCACTACGACTTTATTGGAGTCTGATTGAGGAGTAAACTCAAAATAGCCTCCTTCTTGTCCATCTGCACCTGCACCTGCTCCTGGTCCTGGTGTGCTTGGTGTACCTGGTGTATCTGGTCCTTTTCTTCGACCAGCTAGGTCTATCACACGAACTCTATCAATTAGGCGTAAAAAATATACTTCATCAAAATCAACAAGCATTTATAATCCGACGAAGAAAAAAAAACAGTTACTTACTTGTCTTTGCCTTTAAACTTTAGATCTGTTTTCGCACGACGTTTGAGCTTATTTCTTTCACGTGCACTGAGCCCCTCTAGATCTACTTCGCTTGGAAGTCCTGGAGAAGGTAATGGCGGTTTCGAATGGGTAGAGCTTGAAGTAGAAGGTGTTGAAGGGTGTTCCTGCTTTAATGAAGCAGATGGAGCTCTTGTTCCAGAAATATCCGATTCGTCCACAAGATCGACTTGAATAATCAATAAACAGAAGAAGATATGATAATGTTAACTTTACAGTTTTTGAGGTGCATATGAATATATATCATTGTTGTAACAACAGTCTGTATTTTACCATCCATGAATTGAGATGTCATGAGTCCAAGATTTGCGGCTAGATTTTTTCTTTGAATCGCCAGACGTTCTGCAGGATCAAGATCGCTGAGATCCAGATCATATTCTTTTCCTGCTGATCCCAAGAGCAATTTCCCATTTTGGAGTACTTGACTAATATCAAAGTTGGAGAATGATAGTCGGTCGTACCGAGAGGCTTTTGTTTTCGCTCTTTGCTCTTCTGTCGTGTCCTCGTTTTTTAGAGTCACTTCTATTGAATTAAACCGGAAGCTGAGACCGCGTTAGAATGGAAATTGATCAGTTTCTTTAACCTTGACAACTGTTGAAATTCTATCCATTAGGAGCAATTTCACAAGAAACTTGCCATTATCTGACGGATCCCACTGATGCACATTAGAAACTATGGCCTCCAGAGCCTGTCCCGCAGCGATCCTAGTATCCCAGCTTTTACTCCGCAAATGGACTAGCACCTTTACAAATTAAGCAGGGAAACATAGTTAAGTCCATGACCAGACATGCACCGGTCTAATTACGTAAACAAACCAGTCAGAAGAAAGGGAGAAAAAAAAACACAATACCCTCGACAATAAGTTAAATAGTTCTGATGGATGCTGCTTCTGAATATCGCCCAATTGTTGGGCAGCAGTTGCCCTCACCGCAGCAGTCGATCCTGTCTCCAGGAGAAGTACTAGACGATCGAGCCTGTTGATGTAGATGCGGATGATCAAAGAGGTACAAGGTTGTCCAAAGTAATTAGACAATCATCAATGGTTTGTGCATCGGGTTGAAAACTCCTGAACAAACGAAACGAACTATACCTGGTAGTCATTGCTGGCAGGGAGATTTCTGTTACACACAGAGCTTACTAGAAGCTGTTGTTTTGAACCACCTATAGAAATAAGTTAATTCAATGATTCGTATGACTGTATTTGTCGACTTATAAAGTAGTTGTCGAGCTTAGGAGCTAATAACCTCATCACTGCTAAGGACAAACTTTTTAAAAAATAAAAATAAAAATAAAAAAAAAGCTGATGGCAGACAATGTAAAGGAGAAAAAAAAAAAAAAAAAAAAAAAAAAAAAAGAGCCCAAAAAGATCTTTTTTGATCATGAACTTTGACCAGATGAAGAAAAGACAGCAAGTAAAAGTAGGAAAACAATGGAGAGAAAGAGAGAGAAACATAAAATGTGTGTGCATGTGTCGGATGATGAGTCTTTTTTTTTGTTTGTTTATCTTACCTGCTAGTTTGTGCAGTGTGTGAAGGTGTGTGAAAAAATGAAGAGGGAAGGCTATGAGGTTTGGTGGCGTATGTGTGGGAAGGAGTGAGGGGGAAGGAGAAAATAAGCCTGCCTTGTCTGTTCTTAAATACAAAAAGACCACCCACCGCGCGTCGATCTCCCAAAAAAAAAAATTAGCGTGGTAGTGGTGGCTTGTAGATACGTACAAGGCGCATTCATGAAATCGCACTGGGTCAAAGTGCATTTTTCAGGGAAGACGTTAAAACAACTTAACGTTCCTTCACGGCCAAACAAACCTTTCTTTTACCTCTTCTTGCCCTCATCATTATCTGCTTTATTCTTCTGGCCCATTCTGCTTCATTCTGCTTCATTCTGCTTTATCTCTTTCACAGTCCTTTTGTTGTCTTTATTACTATTCTTATTATTCTGCTCATATTCTAGTCTACACACCTTCTAACTACATCCCTGGACTCTGGGCTTGACCTCGTTTAATATAGCTTAACAACTATTCATTTGTAGTCATGAACCCCACATCTCCACCATTGAAAAGGAACCCGTCCTTCCGCCTTTTCTGCTCTTATCTCTTCGATTGGGTTCTCTGTATCATTCTTCTGATCCTCTTCTTTTTCATCGATAAAATCGAGCCTTTTCATCGTCCCTTTTCTATAAACGACACGAATATCATGTATCCCTACAAACATGAAGAAACTATTCCTGTCTGGGCACTCGTCCTCATTGTAGTTGTTTTCCCTGTCGTAATGATCGCTATTGTGGGTCTAGGAGTGAGGCGTAGCCCTTACGATTTTCATAACGGTATTCTCGGACTCTTACTCTCAGTTTTGCTCACTACTATGGTTACTCAAGTTGTCAAAGTAAGTGACATCCTACAGTAATTGTTTCCATCTGTAATTATTACGCCTCAATTTTTTTTTTTTTTTTTTTTTTTTTTTTTTGGAAGATGCTTGTTTTCCAAAATTGTTTAAATGACGTTGTGAAGAGGAGGGGAAACCCTGCATTAAAATGTAGTGTGACCTCATTTTAATGTGACACCCATGAAATTTTCGAAGGAATGGACGTTCCAGGCACTAAAGTCGTCCTAATGTACGTCAATCATTAGGTCACTGTCGGTAAGCACCGACCAGATTTTCTTAGTCGATGTCAACCTATGCTCAACGGCTCTCCTATCACACAGGACGAGCCACTCAAGCTATGGACAGTAGATGTCTGCACACAGAAAGACCGCCATATCTTCCAGGATGGACTCCGTGCTTTTCCTTCAGGGCATGCTTCAAGTAAGTTATATGGTCTCAGCGAATAAATGGCTGTATTACAACTTCATTGATCATGATCACAAGCTGAACAACAAGCACGAATCTTTTATTTCAAAATAGCCGCATTCGCTGGTTTGTTTTACATATCGCTTTGGCTCGGAGGGAAAATGCACATCTTTGACCGAAGAGGGTACTCAATCAAGAGCGTCATCCTCATTATCCCGTTCCTTGGTAGGTGTTTTGCTGGTTGAATAAAATATTTAAAAAAGAAACAAACATCCAAAGAAAGTATTCAAATCACACTAACCGACTAACCTTTCGCTTTTTAGCTGCTTTGCTTATTGCTATCACACGAGTACAAGATTATAGGCATGCACCTATTGATGTCACATGGGGTTCAATCATTGGTATTACTTTTGCTATATTCGCATATCATCAATACTACCCCCATCTTCTCTCAGACCACTCGCAGGTGCCTCATCCACCTCGAGATTTTAGTTACTTACAGAGAGATTCTGAGGGTCAGGAGCAGGAATCACGGCACTTTGAACATTTTACGGGCATCCAACGCCATTCAGGCTCATTCATAGATGAGTCTAGGCCCCAGCCAGGCCACATAAATGACCTTGAAGCTCAAGATAGTGGATTCCATAAAACAGAAAGTCTCCATCGTGTTTAATTTTAATTTTACAGAATAGTTAACAACAATAAATACCAATCTCTTATTTTTCAAAGGATACAATCTTTTTTGGAAAGATTCAAGAAAGAAATGCTAAGTGTAGTAATGAATGTCTTTTTTTTTTTTTTTAAAAAAATTATATCTAACAAGCATGTGCCATTCAAGCTCCAGCTATGAACCTTAGACATCCACTTTGCGTTCACCGAGGAGTCGCTGGCTTTCGTTGGCAACGAGGCGATTAATAGCGTTCAAATAAGCTTTGGTAGCTGCTTGAATGATGTCGGAGTCTGCACCATGGCCATGGTATGTGGCTTGGCTCAGCCCATTGTTGTTCTCCTCATTTGACTCTTCACTATCAGAGGTGCCTGCTACGGAGTTGTCCTCAGCGATCTTGACTGAAACTTGACCAAGTGCATCTACGCCCTGGCCAACAGCGGTAATGTCAAACTTGAGCAAACGGATCCTCTTGCCCACCAAACGCTGAATAGCCAAAAACACGGCCTCGATAGGCCCAGACTTGCCGATAGCGGCATCAATCAAAATGTGGTCCGTCACCGTGTTCTGAAGCTGGACTGTAGCAGTAGCAAAGGAGGTTCCCGACACAACTTGGAGGGTCTTGATGACGAAGGTTGCTTTGTCACCAGCTGACGCTGAGACCTGGTCAGACAACAGAGCAATAAGGTCTTGCTCTGTGACACGCTTCTTACTATCTGCCAAAGTCTTGAAGCTATTAAAAGCAACTTGGAACTCTGCCTCAGTCAGCTCCCCAAAGCCGAGATCCTGCAAGCGAGAGCGGAAGGCTGCACGCCCAGAGTGCTTGCCAAGGACAAGGTTGACAGTGTTGGCCCCAACAGTCTCGGGACTAATGATTTCATACGTTGTCTTATTCTTGAGAACACCATCCTGATGGATACCAGACTCATGCAAGAAGGCATTGGCACCTACGATAGCCTTATTAGGTTGTACTAGCATTCCAGACAATGATGATACCAATTGCGAAATCCTGAAGAACAGAGGGGTGTTGATGGTGTGATAAACAGGGAAAAAGTCTGGGTGGGTATGAACAGCCATCACAATCTCCTCCATAGCAGTATTTCCTGCACGCTCTCCAATGCCGTTAATTGTTACCTCAACTTGACGGATTCCGTTAAGAATTCCAGAGAGAGTATTGGCAGTGGCTAGTCCAAGGTCATTGTGGCAGTGAGCCGACCAGATGACCTTGTCTGATCCTTTAGTGTTGGCAATAAGGTATTTGATCATAGCACCATACTCCTCCGGCATATTGTAGCCAACAGTATCTGGGATATTCAGCGTTGTTGCTCCAGCCTCAATGACAGCACTCAAAACCTTGCACAAAAAGTCCTGATCACTACGTCCTGCATCCTCGGGTGAGAACTCTACATCATCAACCAGGGTCTTTGCGAAAGATACTGCAGCTACAGCGCGAGTGATACATTCTTCACGAGAAATCTTGAGTTTGTGTTGGAGGTGAATATCGGAAGTGGCGAGGAAGGTATGAATACGTTTGTGTGGTGCCTTCGCGATTGCATCATAGCAACGCTGAATATCAGCCGGCACAGCACGAGCAAGACCGGCGATAGTCTGTTGAATAAAATAAACAAGTATCTAGTTAGAACTATGGCCATTAATATCAACACGATAAAACCAAGGCGCCGTCGATCCTATGCCTACATAGGCTTATAGGTAGTCTCTTTAGTGGAAAGTCTTCCTGGAAAGTAGTGGATGCAGATGCGGGCACTTATGCATGTAAATGTGTTTTTTGTTTTGTGTTTGGCAACATTACTCATCCGTGTTTGATATTTGTCCAATCACAGCTTTAAGTAAAATCTAATCTCTTTCGGTTTGTTCATGTATCAAATACGAAAAAAAAGGTCGAGTAGGTTCGAACGATCAAACTTACAATAGGCTTGCCAATCGCTTCACGGCCGACCATCAAAGGGCCAACTTCGGTAGCGATCCGTTCTACTGCATCGAAGTCACCCTGTGACGCAACCGGGAAACCAGCCTCAAGGACATCAACTCCAAGACGGGAGAGCTGCTTTGCAATCTCAATCTTTTCATTTACTGTAAGAGTCACACCTGGAGACTATTTTTAAAACAATTCAATGATAATTGGTATATGAGAAGGCGGAGGAAAGGCGTATTAGTGTTATTTTTTTTTTTTGTCGATCGGAGCAGCATTATATTTATGTGCAGTTGACTGTCGGACATTTTTCGTTTAATAGAGGGCTTGAGGTCGGTATTCCTTTACCTGTTCTCCATCTCTAAGGGTTGTATCAAAAATGATAAGTTTGTCTTTATTTTTAATTGTCATATTGAAGTGATGTGGTATATGTGCCTGTGTGTGTCTGTGAAGAATGCAGGAGACAAGAAGAATAGAAGAGTCCAAAAGTTTGAGTGTGGAGATTTTATCCACTTTCCTCAATGCATTCAAATGAGTAAGCTTCACGTGATTGTTACTCATAAAAAATAGATCTGCACAACCCGCTGGAAAAAAAACATTAGCAGACTGCTTGCTCTCCAGCGTTAATCAACAATTACTTTGCATTGACCAAGAATGGTGCATGCGTCATATGTGTCATAATACCCGTTAAGGCTTCAATTATCCCAAATATCAATATCCAGTGGCTTTGTATGTATTTAATAAACTATAAGCAACAAAACAATAGTACAGAAATATGGAGGAAGTACAAAAGAAAAAATGGAGTCTATCTTGAGCAATTAAGAAATACTCCTTCACCTCATACACCGCGCTTGATTACGGTGAGTCCACGTCGATCAGTGTGGATGATTGGAGTTGGCATGGTATTAAAAAGAATCTTTTGTCGAATGATGGCCACAGTATCATACTCTATTACTTCTGGAGTACCTGCAGCCATCGGCTTCGTGGGTGTACTGCTTGTCTCCACATCATCTCCCCACCCAGTCGAAGTCATCGTATCATCCTCATCAAGTTTTGGTGGCGAAAGTGGACGTATAGAGGACTGATTATGCTGATCGAGGTCATTTACATTTTCAATCTTATATTTGTGAATGTCAGTCGTAAGATTGCCATCCTTCATAGCAACGTCTGTATTCATTGCCAGGTTGTTCTTCTTTTGAATTAAAAGTAAAGGCTTGTCCAGTTTTAATACTTTCCCATCAAGTCGATGGTTACCGATAACAAGTTGTGCTTTGAGGCCCTATCAAAAAAACCGTTATTGTTAAAAAAGCTGGATGAAATTGAAACGGCTTTGTAAAAACATTTTTCTTGAAACCAACTTTTCTTACACCATCAAGTATAGAAAGCTGCCCAAGAGCGTTGCCTGCCCAAGTATGGCCATCCATTTCGACGACACCTTGGAATTCCAGCATTATAGTTGATTTGGTGTCAACGCATGATGCGAATGCCGTTGTTACCACTTCTTTCGAGATCCCAGCAGGGATTGAAATCACAACCATTTATTCTTGTGGAAGCAGGACAGCTGATTTGGTTCACCTTTCCTTCATGCTAGAAATCTTTTAAAAGTTACGAGCCTACAACTCCTCTACCCAGCCACACCCATTCTCTAATAGTTTCCCTCGTGGATAATTTAGGCGATTGCGTGCTCGATCATTCTATCCAAGTATCTTATTGCTCTCGAGCCGCGAAACCGAATACGCAAGCACCTACCACCTTCATGATCGCCAACGGTCCAATTCATATATAAATCCAGACAAAGCACATTCCTTCATTTTCACTTTTATTTTTTTATTTATATATTTTTACTTTTCCCTCATAGCGTAAATCAACAAATCAAATATCATGGCTGTTTATGCTTCCTCTCTTCCTTCCTTGATCAAGTCGTTCCAATGGACGACCGTTGGTAAACCCTCTGAGATCCTCACATTCAACGAGGCTGCGCCTTTACCTCACGTTTCCGGGTCCAACATTCTCGTCAAAGTCCACGCTACTGCCCTCAATCCTGTCGATTGGAAATTGATGAAAGGCGGCTTGCCGCAGCTACTCATGCCTAAGCTCAAAGTTCCGTGTTTGGATATCTCTGGTGAAGTCGTAGCAATTGGTCCCAAGGCGGGCAAAATAGTTCAAGTGGGAGATGAAGTCATGGCTATGCTACTTTTTAGTCAGTCCGGAGGGCTGACAGAATACACGCTAGTAGATGAATCACTTGTGGTAAAAAAACCTCAGCGATGGTCATTCGAGCAGGCAGCTGCATGGCCTTTGGTCGCAACCACTGTTTGGGAAGCACTTGTCATTCGTGGCAGCATCAAAAAAGGCGATAAAGTTTTGATCAACGGCGCAAGCGGAGGCACAGGTAAATGGATCAAAATTCGCAATGTATTAAAAGTTACCTTATCATTAATGAGCAGCCGATATTCACTTTGTATGTTTGTATGCTTGACATCACTTTATAGGCACAGTAGGAGTGCAGGTGGCCAAGGCACTTGGTGCGTATATTGTGGGTGTTTGTTCAACCGCAAATGTAAAGATGGTCAAGGATCTTGGAGCAGATGAGGTTGTTGATTACACCACGACAAATGTTACAGAAAAGTACACTAATCAGGACTTCGATATCATTTTTGACACTGTTGGTTCTGCGGAAGAGGTAATAGCCTGGATGATGTTGATTCTCTTCTTGATGCATCTTTTTATGATGAGTTAACCAACAATCTCCTTCTATAATAACAACAACACAGTTATGGGCCAAGAGGCGTACTATTCTAAAGCCAGCTGGCAATTTAATCCGTATTGTTGGTGACTCCAACTCCATGAATACACCGTTCCATCTCCTCTATGCTGGTGCTCGAGTTGCAGCGAACAAACTGACATCCTTCTTGCAGTCTGGCCCTGGATATCACTTGTTTACGACTTATCCGAACGGTGCAGTCCTTACAAAAGTTATCAAAGTCCTGGAGGATGCAAAAGCCGACCCTATCATTGATTCGGTGAATGAGTTTACACTACCTTCTGTCCTTGCAGCCTTCGATAAGAGTCAGTCCTCCAGAGCCAAGGGAAAAATTATTATCAAGATCGCTTAGTATCAATATTCGTATTCACATAACGATTCCTGAACATTAAAAGTATTGGGTTATTGATTTGTAAGAATCATATTTATGCAAATGATGGGATAATTATTCTATTTTCTATCGTGCTATAGCTCCTTCTCTGCGAAATAAATACCCTCCTGTGCACTCCAATTCTGCTCGCCTTGATTTTGCAGACGATGAGCAGCGACTTCTTGCTGCCCTGGGATTGGATTACCATAGACATGCCTTGTTGAACTGCTCAAGTATGTCCCCGTATTTGCATGTCGAAGGTAGATTGTCGATTCCCGCATCCAAAATTCCTCCTTCTTGTTTGTACATTCTACAATCCAATTATCGCCATCATCCTGACCTTCATAGGCAGAGACTTCCAATCCACCAGACATGGGTGAATGATGATGATGAGAGTGGAGAAACTTCTTGGTGTTGACGTGCTTCAATCGAACAACGCTTCCACATGGCACAGGCTCGCCACGATCGCAAGTGTGGCCCAATTGAGCCATCACTATTGGACGCATTGAAAATTTAACAAAAGAAAAATGTCAGTGTTGCTCCCAAGAGAGTAGATTAGATGTGTCTAGCTCATATCTAACTTGGAGGCCCATACCTCGCCAAAGCGAGTTTGTATCGTCCTTGCCAGGGACTGCCGTGATAGATTGTTGCCCTGAACCAGTGCCATAAGGAATCTGATGCGAGTGCAACTTGAAATGCGATTTTTCATGTGTTAGCTTGATGGAAGATCCGCAAGTGACTTTTTGAAATTCTAGATGACGGCCCATCATAAAAGAAGTGTGAATGTTGCATGCGTTAGATGAGTATGTCTGCTGGAATGGATTTTAACTACATTCTTCCTTACCTTCATCAATATCAGGAATTGCAATTGTTGCACTTGCAAACAAGGCCAAATAGGCCAACCCTGGAAGAACGATATGCATGAAGGGTCTCTGTGTCTGGGACTTGAGGAAATAGGCGTAGTGAAAGGAAGAGAGAGCTGCAATGTGGTTTTTTCTGACTGGCTCTCTTTTAATTAAGATTCTATGCAAGCTCAATTTCAAGAATGCCAGTAACAAACACAAGGTAGCAAATAACTATATTTCTCCATGCTTTTCAATGGATTAATATAAGAGCCATCTACCGGCACATCATGTCGTAGTCACGCCGAACGCGCCTAGCGTACAATAAACTGTTGACAGCGGACGTAGCATCCGCAGCTGCAGCAGAGGCTGCAGCTCTCGCAGCCATGACTGAGCTCAAGGCAAATGCTGGCCAAGACCTGTACTGTCTGCTATCTGCAGTTGACATTGAGATTGATCCATGGTGACCTAGGCCGACATTACGATCAGATACGGCTGAAGCGGAAGGTGGGCACAATGAAATGTCTTCCTGCCATGGTGCTAAAAGCGCATTTGGCTGCGCATCCTGCTGTCGAAGCACAAGCCCTCTTTCTTCACCCGAAATACCAACATGCTCAATATTATTAACAACATTTTGATCTTCCTCATTTTTGTGGTCTTCCGCGACTGGCAACGAGGATGGAAGGCTGAACCCATCGATTTGGTCAACGAGTTGCTCAACACTCTCGCGATGCCCTTCCTCCATTGCTATCTCGCATTCGAACCCACCACCGCTTTCACCATCCTTTCTACCATTTGCTTGTGGGATTGTGTAGTACCCTGCCATCCTCTCTAGATAACGCTCTTCTTCCTTCTCTTGTCCTAAAGCCAGCCACATATTCGCAGCGGCAGCCTCAGCTGTCCTCATAACCATATCTGTCCATTGTTCGGCAAAAAATGGCTCGTCATCCAATGCGCTAGGATCCAAGTCAATGTCGAGATCTGGATGCGGAAGTTGGTCCCACGTCACAGGCTTTAAGAACTGAGAAACTGAAAGCTTTTCCAGGACACTAGATGCCGTGCTAATTTGCCTATTAACTATGCTATCAGGAACTAGGGGTATTGAAGGCATAACGGTCGTGGGATTATTAGGCATATAAGTGGATAATCTGGGTGTCACAGGACTTGATGAATTCGTTGTCGCTATTGACTGCTCTGGCTGGTGTACAGGGTTCCGGAGTCTTTGTGCCCCGAGGAATGATGTCGGCCTAGTTGTAGAGTAATATGGATGAAATGTATTGGAAGGATCTGCATGCTCTCGGCTTGCGTTATAATCTGAGCCATGTGGCCGCTTTGAAGCTAGTAGTCTGATCAGCTCTTGAGCCAATTTGTTAAGATCCATATTTACACGCCCATGGCCTATCACCTCCTCTGCGTGAAACATCCAAAAATGGCCGTTGTTGGGGGCTTTAAGACATTGCTGGCAAGGCTGTGCAATATGATAGCCGACAACATTTCCACAGACGCGGCAGGCAACATCTCGAATCTTACATTTGCAGTTCGGTGTTGTGTAACTTTTGTCAATTAGCTGGACCCTAGAAAAAAAGAAAAAAGAAAAAAATAGCTAGAAAAATAAATAAAAAAAAATAGGCAGAAATGATTAAATAGATGACGGATCATTAACATACGATCCTGGTGGGTGATCGGTCGAGTAGAGCTCTATTGAAGTGTCCGCCAAGAGCATGGCCCTCATGCCTCGTAGACAGATTACTGCAGAGCAGTATCGACAATCCATGCGATAGACTATCTTGGGCTGAGGTCCATTGCTGCTGTTGCGGTTACTGTTCGATATGTGATGGCCACTGTAGCTCGTGTTATAATGGTTGCCATTTTCAGTATTTTGTTGGGGCTGTGGTAGCGGATGGTGTGGCATTCGTGATGTTAATTCGTTAAAGGATATATTAGATGCAACGCCAGTTCGGGGCAATGAATGGTGGAAAGACTGATCCCTGTTTGTATCGCTTGAAGAAGATGATGGACTTGTATCGTAGGTGGAGTTGAATACGCTAGAATAGGCTCTGAAATTACTGTCGCTACCAGAATGGTTCTGGATGCTATGAGGCATTTTTGGGGTGTGTGAAAGTGAAGTGGAAGAAAGTGATGAAGGAAGAGCTAGTTTAAAGGCTACCTCTGAGTCTAGTTGTATTTGCAGTCGTTTTAAGAAGAAAAAAAATGGTACAGTTCCATTCAGAGCAGAGCTTGGCTCGTGCGATTGGCGTTCGTGTCGCCTGCAGAAACATTTGGGTCGAGAATCCATATTTTAATTAGAGCGATAATTGAATCGATTTGGTGGCTGATTTTCTCAATTCGAGCAATACATTTGGTGGCAAATGAAATTTGTCAATTCCATGCGAAATTTTTTTTTTTTTGATCAAAAGTATCTGCATAAAGATAGGAAAGAAAAATAAAAAATAAACGATGAATTCCTCATCAATGCCAAGTTAAACTCAGGCGTTTGAATCGACACAGGAATAAACAAAGATTATAAAATGCATATTATATACACATGTTATGTGGATATGTGTGGTAGTAATAATGTGTTTTGTTATTGTTGATATCACGTGCAACGGCAATTTGAGTGAACCAATCCAATGAGCATATCTTTATGCTTGTTTTTTTTATTTTTTATTTTTTTTTGTGCGTTCGTCTTGTCTTTATACTCGACTGCGTCGGCACTTTTTATATTTTTTTTTATTTTTTTTTTACACCAACCCATTCTCCTCTTCCTCTCTCTTTCACTTCTTTTCCAACGTCTTGTTCACTAGACGCCATCCCAACTATTCCGATTCATTCGTTAGTCGCACTCTGTGCCTCTGGAACAGCGATTCCAAGTGTATAATCTCCCATCACTGCCTTCCTAAATAGACATATACAATGCCTACCGGAAGCGTTGCACGTGTGTACGCTAACGTTAACGAGTCGTACCAGAAGGAGTACTGGGACTATGACAATCTTCAGGTCCAGTGGGGGTAAGTTTGCTCCACCTCAATAAAACATCCAGAGTATACAAACAAACGACACTACATCCATCACGGCAATTGTGATGAAGGTGGCGAGGTTTTTATTTCTACATCATCGCTGTCAATGAGCAATGCTGCAATGCTTCCTCGACTACCTTGGCGCTCGGTGGTCTTGGCAAATGAACAAACAGTTCAGACCTGTACCATAAGGAGTATGAGAGTGCATGCACAGTTTATATCATGGATATGATTTTTTTCCTTTTTCTAGTACTGAATGACTCTTCATCTCAACATTTCTCGGCTCTTTCTTGTATATTCATTATGCTAATACTCTCTCCCTTTATTGGTGTGCATATAATGATAATAGGGTTCAAGATAACTACGAGATCATTCGCAAGGTCGGTCGTGGAAAGTATTCAGAGGTTTTTGAGGGCTTTAACACTGTCAATAACGAGAAGTGCTGTATCAAAGTCTTGAAGCCCGTTAAGAAAAAGAAAATCAAACGTGAGATCAAGATCCTCCAGAATCTTGCTGGCGGTCCCAATGTTATCACACTTTTCGATGTCGTTCGTGATCCTCAGGTAAGAGAAGTGAAGGAACATCAAAGAGGCTATCTCCACAAGACATATTTGGTTGGCGGCTTTGATTATCATGTCATACTGGATATGAAATTGTAGGGTTGGTGATCCATTCATCACCTCAAGTAGTGGATATTAGAAAATCACATTGTCCTAAAGTACATAGGAGTGGTTAACATTAAGAAACAGGATGTAACATCTGTAGAAGATCAGCACTAACCAGCAAAACATACACTGTCTCATCATCCATAGTCAAAGACACCCTCATTGATCTTTGAGTGTGTCAACAATACCGACTTCAAGATCCTTTACCCTAAGTTCACCGATTTTGATGTGCGCTATTATATTTTCGAGTTGCTCAAGGTAAAAAAAGAAAGGAAAGAAAAAAAAAACTATACAAGCACTTTCTATCTTCGATCTCCATCATCATTGCGACATGATTTTAGATCATAGTGTCGTATGGACCTTGATTCATACATGTTTTTAGATAAAGATTAACATCTATCCTTCATGTTATGTCTGTTCATGTAGGCTTTGGATTTCTGCCATTCTAAGGGCATCATGCACCGTGATGTCAAGCCCCACAACGTAATGATCGAGCACGAAAAGCGCAAGGTATGCAATCTGGAGCTATTTATTAGTCCAAGTAGTCTAGCTTTCTTTGACCGAAGTCATTGATCTGATACTCTTCGAATTTATTTTATTCTGCCCTAGCTCCGTTTAATTGATTGGGGTTTGGCAGAATTCTACCATCCCGGTACAGAGTATAACGTTCGTGTTGCATCGCGCTACTTCAAGGGACCAGAGTTATTGGTGGATTTCCAAGAATATGATTACTCCCTCGACATGTGGAGCTTGGGTGCAATGTTTGCAAGCATGGTATGATTATGCAAATATCACTTTTTTTTTTTTTTTTTTTTTTTTTTTTTTTTTGAAGGAACCAGATCATTGATGTACGACGATTGTTTATTTTCAGATTTTCCGTAAGGAGCCATTTTTCCATGGACACGACAACTACGATCAGCTTGTTAAAATTGCTCGAGTCCTTGGAACGAACGAGCTATTTGCATATCTTGAAAAATATGATTTAGAACTGGATGTGCAATATGATGATATTCTCGGAAGATATCCTCGCAAGCCATGGAGTAAATTTGTCACACCGGAGAACCAGCGTTTTGTCTCGAATGCTGCGATTGACTTTTTGGACAAGCTTCTTCGCTATGACCATCAGGAGCGCTTGACTGCAGCAGAGGCAATGGAGCACCCTTACTTTGATCCTGTTCGTGCTGCTGCCAAGGCCCAGTAAATCTGAAGAAGCAAGATGCAACAGGAACCATTATTCATAGCACTTTCAAAACCGTCGTCGGTTTTTATCACTCTACAATTTCTTTTTTATTTTCGCCATAAAATGTTTGCTTTTCACTTGTATGTTTCGTTGGGATTGTGGAAGAATGTTTTACCAAACAGTCACAATCCCATTACTGTTGAATACCCAGATCTGCAGTACTCGAATATTTAAATCTTGATTAGATTGAACCCACAGGCATGTGGCTTAATGATCTTGGCTTTCGACTTCTGATTACCCCCAGGCATGGCTGTTAGTGGATCGTCAAAATGCAAAGGATGTATTAACAGCTGGAGGTGAAGTCAAAGCAGACGCAGGTTAGTTGCACGAGCGCACCCTCCGTATATCAAAGGCCAAGCATAGAACATGTTGGCTAAACAAGGATCTGCGAACAGGAATTCTACAACCCCTGCTGTAGAACCTATTGTATCCACTGAGAACAAGATTAACGGGAGCGAATCCGTAAACTGAAACGTACTGCATCTGAGGTGTACACAAATCTAAACGCCACTCTTTCAATTGAGTGCAAGACATCTGGATCAAAACTGGTCATAAAACGGTGCAGCAAGCATAATGAGGATCCCTCAGACTAAAGAGCTCATAATGAGCAGTAAAGCTACAATCCTTCTTGTTGTAGAAACAAGAGTCAACCGAAAAGTATATGAATCTATTTGAAAGGGATTAGCACTACTTTTCCTGTAGCTTTGATCCTATACAAACACACATGAGCGACATGTCCCATACACAAAGACATTAATGCGACATGTGGTCTTGAAGGAAAGGTTACACAACTTTATTTATACGGACCCTTACCAGCTCTTCCCACTGCGCGAATGGTTCGGCTGGATAAGAGTGAGAGCCACTTTCTTACCGACCCAACAAGCAGATTTTGCGTCTGCCTTCAAGGAGGCTGTAATCGATGGAATCGCACCTGTGCAAGGGCAAATTACTTGATTAAAGATGGTTTCCCTTTCATGCGCTAAGCCGCATGGCAATTTTTAACGATAAAAGTATCGGTCCTTGGTCAAATTTCGGAAAGGAACTCATCACAATGCAATCATGCTCAGGATTTCCTCGCAAGTCATGGATCACCATCAGACAACAAAAGCACTCATGGGCGGTGCTTACCACTCAATACCTTCCCACTTGTAACGCATTTAGATTCGGTAAATATGAGGCTATTCGACGATACTCGATCAGTACACAGCGGGCTTGTTTACTCCATAGTCAGCTACGATGTGCACAAAACTCTCTTAATAAGAGAATTAGGGCTTCGTCACCCCACTGTGTAACAACACCGATGATGAACTGCTTGCCAACAAGATTGGCTCAATATCGATTAAATAGTGCAGTACAAAGCAGGTTAAATCCAGATCTGTCGATTCTACCAAAAGTAGCAACTGTATCAACTGAACCAGCACCCTACTTGGAATATTCACGCCCATTCTCGGATATGGTCAATATACAACCAACCATTTTAGAGGCAATACAATCAGCATTTGGTTTTGACTCCATGTCTAAAGTACAGTTTAATGTCCTTTCTATCCTTCCTACAACGCAAGATTTGCTCGTGAAGGCCAAAACTGGAACAGGAAAGACACTTGCTTTTCTGGTAGCGGCTTTAGAATCGTTGATGGCAGCAGACATGGAGATAATGAAGCGCATAAAGATGAGTGGGCAAATTGGATGCCTGATTGTGGCACCTACACGCGAGTTAGCTCTACAGATCTCAGACGAGGCACAAAAGTTACTCGAACCTCTCGGTTACGGCGTGCAGCACCTCGTTGGTGGAGAGAGTAAAAGAAAACAGCTTGATAGAATTGCCAAAGAGCCTGTCGAATTTATTGTAGCAACTCCTGGGCGACTGAATGACTTGTTGGACGATAGAGAGTTTGCGGACAAAACTGTCGCCTGCAAAGTGGTGCGTAGTCATTCGATATTTTTTTTTTTTTTTTTTTTTTTTTTTTTGATCGTAGATATATGTAGACAATCTAAAAGGTGCCTCCCCCTTTTTTTTTCATTTTCTTTGTAATATGTATAGCTCGTATTAGACGAGGCAGACACGATGCTAGAACTGGGCTTCCGCACTGAACTTGATCGCATCTTACGAGTCCTGCCTCAAGAGCGTCAAACACTCTTATTTTCTGCGACCCTTGATTCCAAGTTAGATCCACTTATGGAAATAATCCTGCAGCAGAAGACAAAGAAGCAACGACGACCGATTATGATTGATACTGTGGGTACCTCGGAAATCAATTTGAACCTCTCGACCCGCCAAAGATATTGTCTAGCACCATATCAGGCACACGTTGCTCTCGTACGTCGAGTCATCAACGACTATTTGCTTAGTGATATGGATTTGAGGCACCAAGAGAGCTTGAAAACACCCACAACATCATCTATGCAAGGTGTAAAGTCCAAGAAGGCCAGTAACAAATATACTTCACCTTCCACATCTACACTCTTGCCATTAACATCGTCTTCCGCATTGAGCAATAAGATCATGGTCTTCTTACCGACAACGCGAGGGGCCCAGCTCTATGCTAAGGTGTTTGCAGCCTTGTCTATGGGCAAGGAGCTTTCGATATTTGAAATTCACTCTGAAAAAAGTCAGCGTGAGAGAACTCTAACGAGTCGTAATTTTAAGAATATTAAGACACCCGCAGTATTGTTTACGTCTGACGTCTCTGCAAGAGGTGTAGATTATCCTGGCGTCGGATTGATCATACAAGTAGGAGCGCCTCTTTCTATCAACCACTATATCCACCGTATAGGTAGGACGGGGCGCGGTGTAAAGAATCAGAATGAACAGTATGGTGAAGGCGTGTTGATCCTTGGGGAGTTGGATCAAGGTTTCATTGAGCACCAACTCAAGCCATCGCCTCTTTATGAGGCTGTAAAGCAGGATCATAAATATGATGATTGGCAGAGCGTGATACGAGGCGAGAATTTAGACCGTGGGTTCAAGAGAGCAGCCTCAAAAGTAGGTGAAAAGCTAATCAAGGACGCCTACACAGCCTTTCTAGGATACAGTAAGTTTAATTGAAATATCGTAATTTTTTTTTTAAAAAAAAAAAAAAAAAAAAAAGACAAAGACAAAGTCTCCTCATTCTGAAAATTAAAAGGCACTCACCTCGATATCATGAACCTGCGGCATATTAGATTTGACAATAGGCCCCAGGATTGGAAATACGGATCGAAAGTTGATCCTAGAATCTGCAGATAAATATATTGCAGCCTTTGGTGTAGAAAGTCGGCCTGCAGTGTCTACAAGTTTTTTGGAAAGAATGGGTTTCGCAAATAGTTGTAATCCTGTGGTGGGAGGCAGCGTTGATAGTTCCCAACAGGGGCGTTCCTTTGAACTCGTCGATGGGACATTCCCCATAGTGAACACACAGACGGTCGGAAAATCCTGCATATCTTCCTCCACTTCTCCTATAGATCTAAGCGAAGACGGAGAGAATGAAAGGAATGAGAAGCAAAAAGTTGAGTCGCAAAGTATCATCGAAACGCGTTTTTCTAGGAAAAAACGTCAAGAAGCCTTCATAGACAGAATTGGCTTGGGGGACACAGAGTATATCAAGATCAACGAAGCTGAGTGGGAAGATTTTATCGAGTTTAAGCCTAGTACATCTAGGCTGATCGAGAAGCTGCACAATCCCAAGAGGATGGGTCATGTTGGAAATCGGCCGAGCAAGAAGATCTCAAAGATCTTTAGCAACAATGACGGGTGGTAATGGCCCAGGTATAAGGGAGTGTATGTATAGTTAATTAAATTAAGCAATATATCCCTTTTAGTTAGAAATTAATGATTGCAATATTTATTCGTCTCTCTTGAAGACAACCGTCTCAACAGTTGCTGATGAAAGCAATATGTACTTTTTCATTATCTTAAATGGTACCATCCTCAAGGATTCGGTACTTGGGATAGACATCCACAGGAACACCGAGATCTTCGAGGGTTGATAAGGCTTCCTTAACCTCAGGTGAGATAACTCCGTATTTATCTACAAACTCCTTGACTTTCTGCTTGTCACCATCACCTTGGAGAACAAGGATGCGCGTTGTCAAAGAGCGTACAGCTCCCTCAATCTTGTCCATGACAACTCGGAACTTACGCGTCTCGGTATTGTAGGAAAACCCACCCTGCTCTTTAATATATTCAAACTGCATAGCCTGACCCAAACCATGAGCTTGCGTAATGCCAAAACGGATGGAGCGGAAAGCTGAGGCAAGGTATGTAATGTAAAACGATTCAGCATCGGGATTACCGGACAATGTACCATCCTTGAGCAGCAAACCGACTGCATACAGCCCCGCAATGTCTATATTGTGTAGTAGAACAAGATGGATCTCATTAGTATACTAATAATCTACACAAACTTGTCAAATATATATTTCTATATAGCAGTCTAGGGAGTCCATACCGGCCTTAGCTTCTTCCATTGCAGCATGGTATTCCTCCAAAGCGGTGCGGACCTTTTTGGCCTTATCGCGAACCAAGAAGTGAGGTCCCAATGAATGGGCCACTTCATGCATAAGTACGTGCTGGAAGAAAGCCTCGAATTCCACCTTCCCAAGCTGATCAGAATCCAAAACCTGTTGAGCAATTGGGCGGAGAACTTTTTCAAATTTGCCTTCCTGAACGTTCTTAATGATTACAAGCTTGGAACCTGCGATCTTGATGGGGGCTTCATCATTAGGCAGGTTGTAGGCAGCAGTCATGGGCACAGCAACGTCTCCTCCTGAATAGAGCTGATTAACAGTGATGATGGCAGGAGGGTAAAGGCCTTTGGCCTTGTAGAGCTCATCAACAGGCATCTGATCCTCCATATCTTGTAAGCGACTAGAAAACTTGGCCAAGATAGCAGAAGAATCGAAATCTCGGGCGTTCAAGAAAAACTCATAGGCTGTGCGGACGTTGAGCATTTTATCAGTGTAGTTCTATTCGATGCGAGTAAGAAAAGCCTTGTTAAAAAAAGGAAAAAACCCTTCCATATCGTATATATTTCTAAGACCTTATCTTGTTACCTCATACGGTCCACAGGTAACATCGAGAGCTGACTCCTTGCTAATCCTCAACCAGTCGACATCGGACTCAGTATACTCGTTGGTGATAAATGCCTCAGCCCTGGATTTCAAAAACTTTGCAAGCGACTCATCACTGACAAGGTCGGCGGCTTGCTTTAGTAGCTTGGAAGCAGGGACCAAAAATTCCTTGTATTCATTTGAGTAGGATACCGAGTACAGCTTACCGGTCGTAGCATCCCTTTTGACCACATGATAATAACTCTCAGCGTTCAACTTGTCTTGACCCTCTAGTCCAGCAACCCAATCTAGATATTCTTCCCTTTTGATACCATCAGGGTAGAAATTTCCATGTGGTGGAGGATGATGAGGGATATGAATCTTTTCATGGATGTTGCCATCATCGCCTCGCTCTTTGATTGAGTCTATAAACCTCTCCTCATTCAGACCCCAGGGGCCTTTGAACAGTTGTAGACCAAGATCCAACTTGGGGTCGCGTGGATTTTGGCTGTGGATGTAGGAATGCAATGCCTCATTACCGGACCAGCGTTGACGGATATAAATCTGGTCAAGCAATTTACCCACCTGAACCAAAAGAGGGATAGCCTCACGATCACCAGCGGTAAGTCGGTCAAGGTATTGAGAACCTCCAACTTCAATCTCTTTGAAGCGAGCAAGCTGTTTGTCGATAGGCGACACGGTCTTAGTTGTTGACTCCATATTACTTTTGAATCGATTGCACGGGGCGAGATGGAATGCTCGTGAAGAGTTTAACTGAATCAGAGAGAAGTCCTTGATCTGAAAAGTCAGAGGTCGGGCAATTCCTAGTACTGATGTGGGCCGTGATCGAGCGAATGAGAAGAAGATTGTCGTTGAACGAAGAATTGTGAAAAGTAGAAGAATAGGGAGTTGTTTTGTTGAATATCCTACGCTGACTCGAAGCCCCTTTTATTGAGATGACTGTGTTGCGTGTACCTTCCAACTGCGGATGGAGTCCTGGGAAAATGACGAGCCAATAGAAGAGGGAGGCAGAGGAATGATTTTCACATCCATTTGAGAGCATTGTAATAGGAGAGATGAAGTTTAATAGCATACACGGACATTATGAAAGTGAGAAGAGTACGTGAGTCCATGCAAAGAAAAAGATAAAATGAGTCTATATGTTCTATTTTAAAGGAATCTTCTTGGCAATAGGAAGTTTTTTCATGCTGTGCATGAGATACAGTGCTGAAGTCAGTAGAGTCAAAGAACCGGCTTGATGTGCGGTGCCAAGAGAAACAGGGACCATGTAGAGCAATGTGGCAATACCAAGACCAACTTGACAACAAGCAATTCCCATCAGTACATTGACGCCGAGACGGACATGGGGGGGCAGAGACAATCCACGCGAGTACAAGAACAGAGACGAAACAGCAGTAAAGGTTGTAGTAGCCTATCCAAATTTCATTCATGCATGAATATATCAAACCACGAAAGATAATTTTTTTCAATCAAAGGTTTTTTTTTTTTTTTTTTTATCGACCAATTTATAAGAGCGGACATAATAACTTACAAGGACACGGTGATTGAACTGGACAGTAACTTGGTTATCAAACATATTCCTCCAAAGGCCGAGTTTGGGATTTTCGCCTTGACGGACAAACTTCTCATCAAAGAGTTCATTCACAGGAGGCATCAAACGACCACCCATAAGGGGAAACTCGTTATAAATCAAACCGGCATCGAGACCAGCGACAAAGGCTCCAGAAATAGCTGTCAAGAAGACAAGGGCAACGATTCCATGTGCAGCACCCTTAAAGCGCTTCAAAGCAGGGTTGTTAAGTGCAGCAGCCAAGCTCTACCACCAAAAAACACAAATTAGTCCTAGTACCATATTGTAGGTATCGTAGACAATCTTTCACAGATGAGACTATTGAAAACTTGGTACAGGGTTTGGTGTGCAAGACCACACTTACTTCGTATCCGCCCTTGGAAACTTTGTAATCAGTCAAAATCTTCAAACCAGTCATGAAGGCTCCAGTGTAGATCAAAAACGCGCTTCCAAGATGAGCAGCCAGTCTGTATTGTGAGACTCTTGGTGTAGCGCCAGGAGTATTCATCAATTGCTCATCCAGTCCGGACTTGACCATATACCATCCTAAAGCGCCCTGAAAGCCAATAAGTCCACCAATAATCAAGGATCGACGAGCAATATTCTTAGTGAGCATTCCTCGAGCAGCAAAGTAAAGACCAGGTAAGATGAAGGCTGCACCAATTGCACGGCCTAACATGCGATGCGACCATTCATAGTAAAAGATACGCTTAAATTCTTCAAGAGTCATTCCACGATTCAAGCTGGCAGTGTATAGATGAATCACATTAAACAAATGGAATAACCAAATCAACGATGTTTTACTGTCAATCATATTCATACATAAAGGTACACACACTGGGATTGCCTTACATTTTGTATTCGGGAAACTGTTTATACTTTTCAAACTCTTCATTCCACTCTTCTTGAGAGCGAGGAGGTTTCATACCCTTGATCAAGTTCCATTCGACAATTGACAGGCCACTCTCGGTCAAGCGGGTCATGCCTCCAACGACTACGATACCAAATGTCATGGCGCTGATTGTCAGCATCCAATAACCCACAATAGGTTTGACTACTACATCTGGTGTAGCCTTCGCTACAGATGCTGAAGTAGCAGACACTGCAGTGTTTGCCGCACTATGAGAGGTAGAAGCTGCAATTGTGGACTGGAAACGAGCTCTGAGCATGAGTGCAGTAGATCGTACATTGTGCTGATGCTGTGCTGCGAATCTGGCCATTAATGATTGAGTAGTTGCAGAGTTTAACCCGATGCAAAGATTTTTTTTATTAGTGCTGAAAGGACGTGCAGACAGGACATGCGCCGGAGCCATAGCTGAGTGCGCAGTGGTTCTGGCAAGCGTCCTAGTCAACAGCCCAGAGAGTGCATTAGTGCGAAACATTAAAGAGAACAGAGTCAAACTGTGGACTCCTGTGAAATGAATTCAGTTGGTAATGGATGAAGATCGGATCGGAAGACAAGAAAAAAGGCACAAATAAAGATCTTTTTGATCTTGTTCAGCTCGATCCATTACTTGGTGTCAGACGCACCACTTTCGGAATCCCGAAACACCTAAAGAACAGTGTGAAAGCGAGGAGCAACCGTCACACACAAATACGCCCACAGAAGCCCCTCCCAACACAACGTCTTATTGCAGCGAACACGATGAAACGTGAAACGGTGCTACTTCTTCAGAGGAAACTAAAAATTCAAACAGGGGATGAAGAACGCGTTGTGGCGGACAAACACGACATAAAGTTTTTAATAGATGGATCAAAAGTAGAGTCAGGTCTACAGCCATCCGTCAACGCCAATAGCCAACATCCCTCAACTCTCTCCACAAATCTCCATCATTTACACAGAATGCCTGCAAATAATGATAATGCCGCAAGGCTGAATGTGGCAGAGCACAAAACCTCGTGGTCGCCAAAAAAAATAATTAGTACTCCACTCTAATCATGCTCTATACTATCGTTTACATTCATAGGCTATCTTGAAAGTACACAGACCGTTTGCCATTCATTCTTTTTTTTTTTTTTTGTTGATTTCAGGGCTGATCGAATACTTTTTTTTTTTTGTTATTGCTCACCTCACACATTCCATTATAACATAATGGCTACTCCAATTCCACCTCCATTTCCATCACCACGCACCACTATAATACGACCATCCTCCTCAGCTATACGAGCTACTACTTCTGCCACAACCTCAAGGCGCTCTAGACCTCGCACTACATCAAATACAACTCTGCCCACATTTCAAGACGACAACACAAATAACAGTAACAACAATGGCAGTGGTGGAAGCTTAAGTGGTGGTGCTATTGCTGGACTCATTGTTGGATTACTTTTCATTCTTGTTTGCTCTGTTGCCGGAGGTATGTTTCTGCTCAAGAAGAGACGCAGGCGCATGATGGTCGCCGGCCGAGTTGCTCAGAAACCCAAAGGTCAATATGGTGGTAGCAGTAACGATGATAATGATGATGAAAAGGGACGAGGAGGTGTCCCACAACTTCTCTCAAATCTGATTTCTAAAACGCGCAAGGCTATCAATAGAGAGCCTAAGGCAAAGGATGCACCAACAGTGGCAGTGCCAGATGTCCGAAACATTACTCAATTACATCAAGCGCAGCTCAGAGCCATGAACTCCCCGTCAAGTTCAGTCAGAGCAGGCTCTCCAGCAACAGGAATGTTCCCACCACACAGTGGCTCCTCTTTTCCTACTCACCAGAGTGGCTCATTACCACCAACGGGTCCTCTGCCTCTTCCCCCGCTCTATCAAGCAACTGCTCAAAACTTTACCCAGCAACAGCCGCCAACAAGCAATACACAGCCAGGAGATATAGCCAACACAACAATCATTGGGCAAACTGACCATCACCAGCATCAGCCGCAATATCAATATCAACAGCACCATTACCAACCATCATACCAACAACAACCGCCCAGTGGAACGTTTGCCCAACACATTAGTACCCCAGCCAGTCAACCCTATTTTTACCAACCAGGTACTGGATTAGTTTCTGTACCACTATCCCTTCCTGTCCCCCATCATCAGCCGCCACTCCAGACTGCATTCTTGCAACAACCTCCACAGCAACAGCCACTTCTTGCTCAGTCCCCCCAACCACAGTCATACCAACCTATACCATCCAATGTCAATAAGATATACACTGCTTCCCCGACCTCTATAACGCCACTATCAGGGCAGCCTGTACATCAGTACCAGCCTACTATCGGACAGTGGCAAGCGTCTGCTTCTTTCCCTCCACCACCGCAAACCTCATCTCCTACTGTTATTCAACCTAAATCAACAACCCCTGATGCATGTAACGTCTTCTTGCCAGGCGATGCATCCAGACCATTACTAGGTCAGGGGCTGTTCAAGATCGTACCAGATGCTGAAGATGAAGAAATGACACAACAAGCAATCACCGAGGAGAGGATAGCAGTATCAAAGTCTATTGATACCCCGAATGATATTCAGCTCTTGCAGCTAAATCTTGGCGATGAGTTTTTGAAATCGGTGATGACCTTTGAAAACCAGGACCAACGCTTCCAGAATCTTGAAGCCGATCGAGCTGTATCTCCAGTTCTACATCCTTCAAACCAGAGTGAAGTATATCCTGATATGAGGAATGCTCTGTCAGATGGAAAAGGGCTTCAGAACGACAAGCAAGAATTGAATGAATACTTTCACGAACAACAAGACGAACAACCGCCTATAGTAATTGTTGGAAGTGATATCGTATTAGAACCACTGCCGAGTGCCAAAGCAGCTGCTATGGCTGCCCGAGAGGCAGCATCTAATCCGAGCATCACCCCCTCTGTAACAAAAGCTCCTAGTCAAGAAAGTCTTCGCCTTCAAAAGCCCAGTACTATCGAGAATGTAAAACCAAGTCTTCATCGCAAGGCTACAATAGGTGCCATGTTGCCTACAATGGGGACTGAGGAATACCTTGAACGCACGGACGATAAAGAAGAGTATTCTTTTGGATTGCATGGCGACAGGCGCACATTGGCGGGATCGTCTCTGGATTCGGCGCCTATAACTCACCCTCCAACGATGGTTTCTTTGGCAGAAGGAGCACAGGGTGATATCTTGAGTGTAGACGAGCCTGTTATGGCTTCTTCCATCTTCGTAGCTGGGGGTGCACCGCCGCCGCCCCTGATCAGGTCAACCAAACCAAACGCCAAAAAAAGCAATGCATAGCTTCATTCTAAGAAGGACAATAAATCAGTGCCCATACTTAATGCAAGTGTTATTTATGAGACAGCATAACTCGTGTACAAGAGAATTATATAGGGGTCGCGGAAGGGCTTTTTTCAAAACATTTTCAACAACGAGTATTTGGGCCATAGCCATGTAAACTTGTGGATTTTCACACTAGTGTCATGGTAGGCCCCGTTAGTTCCAATGAATCAGCTTTGTGTGCAATGTAGTCTTGGGATATGAGTTGTACAACAACCCCACTCTGCCAAACTATGAGTGACAAATGCTCGAAAGCAAAACGTGACATTAGCGAATCTCTTTTGTCTGACCACCATCAAATAGATTGTGAAACGAAATTGCTCACCTGTGTCCATTCAGATGGACACAGGCGGACACAGGTGGACACAGAAGGATACCAAGTCACAAAATTTTTATATTTCGCTTCACAAATCTTTTTCCACAAAATGGATTTGTGAAGCGAAATAGACAAAATCTTTTTATGGTAGAGACAGTGTTAATGATTAAGACAGTTTTTATATTGATGAAGTATTCAATTATTTCTGCTATAGTGCGTTGGTAGCCGAGTCGAGTTAAAAATGCTTTGATAGCGCTTTGATGGTGTTTTGTCTTGTTAATAGTGTTGACGATAATGCTTTTTTCTGGATGATACTTATGCTAAACACCTTGGAATATCACAAATTTCACGACAATGGATTGCTTGTACATTGTATTTTCTCAGCCTCTTTTGGCTCAAGGATGCAGCCAACAGTTTTCTGCCTCTTGTAGCTACCTTCCCAAGTGGAATATCGTCCAGGCTTAAGCCTCTTTCGTAGGCTTCCGAGACCCCTGCATATCGACCAGAGTGCGTAATTTGGGCCGAATGCACGTCGCAGGCACGCATTACAGCCGCCGTAGTGCTCATTTGGGTTCGGCCAACAAGCGCTTCCTTTCGGTTCTCTAACCGTTCTTGGCTTGTGCCACCCCCTGTTAGCACCTTGATGCTGTACCACTCGTCAGGGTCCGCAAAATTGAGAAGAGGCTCCTTGAACACCTACAATAGGGAAAAAAAAAAAAAAAAAAAAAAAAAAAAAATAAGGATATATGTCACTTCGTGTAATTGAATGAGAAAAAATCATACGCTCGCGTCAAGGCTGACGGCATCATTTACTTGGAACCGTTCTAGCATATAAAATGCAAACCCGCCCACGGTGCACCTTAAGAACAGCTTATGTCGATAAGCTGTCGCATAGAGTTCGACACCTTTATGGTTTGTCTTTCCACGTGTGATGCAGAAGACAAGCCCCGACGCCAGCTTTGACCCTGGCGCGGGGTGACGGGTCTGAATATTGAATGTGTTAGCTAGGTTCAAGTTTCGGATATCCTCATCCCGCAGCAACATATGATGGCGTGCAAGGAGGCATAGCCTCTCCCTCATATATTGAAATCGCGCAACACTGTCGTAAGGTCGCCTGCCGCTTACTCCAACCGTCGGAAGCATGCGCCATGTAAAGGCCAACATACGCAGGTACATTTTAGTGTTGTAAGGTTCTCGTACGGCACAGGTGGCAGTGCGGGATAAGGTGCCTGTCGTTACTTTGTGATGGACAAGTTTCTCTCCATAATTTTTGATCGCCTCCGCTAGTGGTACATCCGTTCTTGGGTTTGGGGCGGGATTGGGATACGGAGCTGTCGAAGAAGACTGTTGCCTCCATAAGTATTGCAAAGCCTTCTTAACATTTGCGACTGTCCCCAGCGTGAGAGGAACAAAGACATTTTTGCTGCCATGTTTGTCCTCTGGTGCTTGCAGGATAACTACAAACGCGAAAGTATATCCAAAAAAAAAAAAAAAAAAAAAAAAGTAATTGTATAATAAAAAATATCAACCAAATTGCAACAATCAAAGATACATTAAGGTGGATGCAGGATTAAGGAATGATTTATTAAGTCATAATTTAGTAGGCTATTTATATTGATAATTAACACTGAATTGCAGCCATGGTGTCTTGTCACCTGGGGTACGCGTGATAGCGGAGCCTTCCCAAAGGTTTGGATCCCAGTACTGACAATTTATATATTAATACATGGTTATCTTTACATACCTTGTTCTCTTTCATTTTCAGTCCTGATAACGGCTGCAGTCTTCCGCTTCGGCGTGATGTTCTTGCTTGAACCCCCAACAGTTACAGCTTCATGTGATGCTCGCTCCTCATCATTCAATGCTATATCAATCTGCCATTGATGTGGGTCGACTCCTTCAGGTGGCTCCATATTATCCCAGGAGGGAGGAGCCTTCTTACCTCTCTGTGCTAATGACCTCAGCTGAAGCTCCAGATCTTCATCCTGTTCCTGTTTCTGTCCTTGTTCCTGTCCCTGCCCCTGACCCTGTCTCCGTTCCTGACCCTGTTCCTGACCCTGTCCCTGTCCCTGTTGTTGACCTTGGTCTATGCTTTGGCCGTCGTCGTCATCAACTTGCTCGCTATTATCTAATGTCTCCAGTCTCTGCTCCATGTCGCTTAGTTCATGTTCGTCGATATCTGCCTCGACTAATTCGTCGATCTCTTCTCCCTCATAGACTGCGTCTTCCCCAGCCTGAGAATTCGAAGAATCTCCTCCACCTTGCTGGGCATACCCAATAGCGCCACGATAGCAACGATCTGTGCCGATCAATCGCTTTACTGTTCGCTTGAAGACAACCGTTGTGAAGTATTCAAGCATGCGTTTCGCATCGACGCTACAGTCACCTTGATAATTTTCATTGCAGTATTGCTAAAAACAAAAAAGAGAATTAGCCAAGTCGTCTAGTTTGATAGCCTGTCTGAGATAGCTCATAGCGACATTTTGATGATCCAACATACCTCCCACAGCCGGAGCTGTGTCTTATATTGATTCACTGTCGTCGATGAATCTGGATCATCTAAAATCATCTGCAGCACACTTCTCGCCGACTCCTTCCGTGCGTTCGCCAGGGCCAGCTCTTCCTCTGTCAATGGGCCGGAGTGAAGGAAATTTGAGGATAAAGAATCAGCCTCACAACGCCTAGGGCGCTTAAAAGACTTTGCACTAACTCTAGCAGTCTGTGCCACTGGTGAAGGCTCTGGAGTCGTTTCGTCAGTCAGAATAACTCTTTTTCTCCTCGGTGCTGCACGAGTGGATCCAGTGCGAGTACTTGACTTGGTTGGCTTCGTCTGACTGGTGCTTTGTTCCAAATCCATGCAGGTGAAATTGGATAAAATCTTTTCGTTGTTGTTTGTCATTTTGAAAGTGAGCAAGCAGGAATGAACCTTTGAAAATGCGAATGTGCCGTTATTTTTCTCAGCTTTAGTCAGGGGAGAGGGTAAGTCTACTCTGTGTATTGTAGGTTTTATTGTTTTATTGTGTATATGAATGTATGGAGGAATGAAGGCGTGAAATAAAGAAGAAAGAAAGAGATCTTTAGCATGCCATGATGACATTGTTAAAATTTCGATGGATTTGATGTCAATTCAAATTTCAGGACAAGTGTCGGAGTAAAAGCCACAAAACGGACACATGTCTTGTACGTACAGACATGAAACATAATACCCTTAAATGGAAAAAGGGCTGGATTTGGCATCATAATCCATTATAGATTGTGAAACGAAATTGCTCACCTGTGTCCATTCAGATGGACACAGGCGGACACAGGTGGACACAGAAGGATACCAAGTCACAAAATTTTTATATTTCGCTTCACAAATCTTTTTCCACAAAATGGATTTGTGAAGCGAAATAGACAAAATCTTTTTATGGTAGAGACAGTGTTAATGATTAAGACAGTTTTTATATTGATGAAGTATTCAATTATTTCTGCTATAGTGCGTTGGTAGCCGAGTCGAGTTAAAAATGCTTTGATAGCGCTTTGATGGTGTTTTGTCTTGTTAATAGTGTTGACGATAATGCTTTTTTCTGGATGATACTTATGCTAAACACCTTGGAATATCACAAATTTCACGACAATGGATTGCTTGTACATTGTATTTTCTCAGCCTCTTTTGGCTCAAGGATGCAGCCAACAGTTTTCTGCCTCTTGTAGCTACCTTCCCAAGTGGAATATCGTCCAGGCTTAAGCCTCTTTCGTAGGCTTCCGAGACCCCTGCATATCGACCAGAGTGCGTAATTTGGGCCGAATGCACGTCGCAGGCACGCATTACAGCCGCCGTAGTGCTCATTTGGGTTCGGCCAACAAGCGCTTCCTTTCGGTTCTCTAACCGTTCTTGGCTTGTGCCACCCCCTGTTAGCACCTTGATGCTGTACCACTCGTCAGGGTCCGCAAAATTGAGAAGAGGCTCCTTGAACACCTACAATAGGGAAAAAAAAAAAAAAAAAAAAAAAAAAAAAAATAAGGATATATGTCACTTCGTGTAATTGAATGAGAAAAAATCATACGCTCGCGTCAAGGCTGACGGCATCATTTACTTGGAACCGTTCTAGCATATAAAATGCAAACCCGCCCACGGTGCACCTTAAGAACAGCTTATGTCGATAAGCTGTCGCATAGAGTTCGACACCTTTATGGTTTGTCTTTCCACGTGTGATGCAGAAGACAAGCCCCGACGCCAGCTTTGACCCTGGCGCGGGGTGACGGGTCTGAATATTGAATGTGTTAGCTAGGTTCAAGTTTCGGATATCCTCATCCCGCAGCAACATATGATGGCGTGCAAGGAGGCATAGCCTCTCCCTCATATATTGAAATCGCGCAACACTGTCGTAAGGTCGCCTGCCGCTTACTCCAACCGTCGGAAGCATGCGCCATGTAAAGGCCAACATACGCAGGTACATTTTAGTGTTGTAAGGTTCTCGTACGGCACAGGTGGCAGTGCGGGATAAGGTGCCTGTCGTTACTTTGTGATGGACAAGTTTCTCTCCATAATTTTTGATCGCCTCCGCTAGTGGTACATCCGTTCTTGGGTTTGGGGCGGGATTGGGATACGGAGCTGTCGAAGAAGACTGTTGCCTCCATAAGTATTGCAAAGCCTTCTTAACATTTGCGACTGTCCCCAGCGTGAGAGGAACAAAGACATTTTTGCTGCCATGTTTGTCCTCTGGTGCTTGCAGGATAACTACAAACGCGAAAGTATATCCAAAAAAAAAAAAAAAAAAAAAAAAGTAATTGTATAATAAAAAATATCAACCAAATTGCAACAATCAAAGATACATTAAGGTGGATGCAGGATTAAGGAATGATTTATTAAGTCATAATTTAGTAGGCTATTTATATTGATAATTAACACTGAATTGCAGCCATGGTGTCTTGTCACCTGGGGTACGCGTGATAGCGGAGCCTTCCCAAAGGTTTGGATCCCAGTACTGACAATTTATATATTAATACATGGTTATCTTTACATACCTTGTTCTCTTTCATTTTCAGTCCTGATAACGGCTGCAGTCTTCCGCTTCGGCGTGATGTTCTTGCTTGAACCCCCAACAGTTACAGCTTCATGTGATGCTCGCTCCTCATCATTCAATGCTATATCAATCTGCCATTGATGTGGGTCGACTCCTTCAGGTGGCTCCATATTATCCCAGGAGGGAGGAGCCTTCTTACCTCTCTGTGCTAATGACCTCAGCTGAAGCTCCAGATCTTCATCCTGTTCCTGTTTCTGTCCTTGTTCCTGTCCCTGCCCCTGACCCTGTCTCCGTTCCTGACCCTGTTCCTGACCCTGTCCCTGTCCCTGTTGTTGACCTTGGTCTATGCTTTGGCCGTCGTCGTCATCAACTTGCTCGCTATTATCTAATGTCTCCAGTCTCTGCTCCATGTCGCTTAGTTCATGTTCGTCGATATCTGCCTCGACTAATTCGTCGATCTCTTCTCCCTCATAGACTGCGTCTTCCCCAGCCTGAGAATTCGAAGAATCTCCTCCACCTTGCTGGGCATACCCAATAGCGCCACGATAGCAACGATCTGTGCCGATCAATCGCTTTACTGTTCGCTTGAAGACAACCGTTGTGAAGTATTCAAGCATGCGTTTCGCATCGACGCTACAGTCACCTTGATAATTTTCATTGCAGTATTGCTAAAAACAAAAAAGAGAATTAGCCAAGTCGTCTAGTTTGATAGCCTGTCTGAGATAGCTCATAGCGACATTTTGATGATCCAACATACCTCCCACAGCCGGAGCTGTGTCTTATATTGATTCACTGTCGTCGATGAATCTGGATCATCTAAAATCATCTGCAGCACACTTCTCGCCGACTCCTTCCGTGCGTTCGCCAGGGCCAGCTCTTCCTCTGTCAATGGGCCGGAGTGAAGGAAATTTGAGGATAAAGAATCAGCCTCACAACGCCTAGGGCGCTTAAAAGACTTTGCACTAACTCTAGCAGTCTGTGCCACTGGTGAAGGCTCTGGAGTCGTTTCGTCAGTCAGAATAACTCTTTTTCTCCTCGGTGCTGCACGAGTGGATCCAGTGCGAGTACTTGACTTGGTTGGCTTCGTCTGACTGGTGCTTTGTTCCAAATCCATGCAGGTGAAATTGGATAAAATCTTTTCGTTGTTGTTTGTCATTTTGAAAGTGAGCAAGCAGGAATGAACCTTTGAAAATGCGAATGTGCCGTTATTTTTCTCAGCTTTAGTCAGGGGAGAGGGTAAGTCTACTCTGTGTATTGTAGGTTTTATTGTTTTATTGTGTATATGAATGTATGGAGGAATGAAGGCGTGAAATAAAGAAGAAAGAAAGAGATCTTTAGCATGCCATGATGACATTGTTAAAATTTCGATGGATTTGATGTCAATTCAAATTTCAGGACAAGTGTCGGAGTAAAAGCCACAAAACGGACACATGTCTTGTACGTACAGACATGAAACATAATACCCTTAAATGGAAAAAGGGCTGGATTTGGCATCATAATCCATTATAGATTATATGAAGAAGCATACATCGCAATCCAAATCAAGACAATGAAGTTTTGGTTTTTTATTTCTAAGTTCTCTAGACATACCGTTTAAAAGCAAGGTAACTTTATACTGTATTCTGTATACAATGTGATACGTAGCCAACAACAGGCTCCCATCGCTTCTGTCTCATGTGAACTGTCTTAAAGTTTCTCGGTCCCAATATTATTCATTCATAAGCCAGGCTAGTGCCTTGTGTTTGACCGGAACGAGTCCCGAGCTGTCTATTCCATATATGTTTGATTTACATATATACTTACATCATACATCAGTGAAATGAAGTGAGCACTTTTTAAGACTACCAGGCTTATTTTATCTCCAAAACTTCCTTGACGCCGATAATGATAACAAATATTGAGACCATAAAAAACAATGTCAATATAGAGCTAATCTATCGAGATAAGGTATTACCACGAGGGTTCCTGAGCAGATTAACGTTTAGCAGGTTCCGTTGGATCCAGATCTATGACCAAGGAGAATCACTTTTGACCATGTGGAAACATTTTCAATGAAAATTTAATCCTGTAAGAACCAAAATAGCAATTGCCTTGGATCAAAGTTGGCGGGCCACGAGACAATATTTCTAATCTAAAGCGATGATCAAATCGGTAGAAGAATTTTGCAAACTAATTGGCCGCCCCTCATTCAATAAAACTATCACAAACGAAGCGGGTCATATTCCGTTTTTTATGGAATGAAACAAATGCCAATCGAGACCTCTGGATTTCCTTTAAGAAGGACTCTGGCAGCTACGGCATTATTTACATTTTGCAAATCAATGGTCGAGGACACCGGCATCCAACAACCATATAAAGGGTAGGCTCTCCACCCTCCTCCGTTTTGGAATCTCTCACTCCATCTTTGATCATCCATTGTCTTTCTTCACCTGCCCCTCCATATCACGCATACCGCAACCTCGCTCCTACACTCTTCATCAACGGCCCTCATCGCCGCCTTCCTCTTCACCCATAGGCATATCATGGCTGAAAAATCAAAATACAACACGACTGAAAAGTCAGAACGTAATGAATATACTCAAGAAAAGGCCACTCAGCTTACTGAAGACAGTTTGGAGATAAGCAATCTAACAGATCAAGATGAGTTTGTCTATGAGCCTCACCAATTCACTTGGTACGCCCAATTGCTCTTGCACATTTTGATTTTTACTCGAGACTTTTTTAAAAACAAAAACAGTTTGGTATATAACGTGCTTGGACTGTTTCGGCTTGTTTTTTTAACACATCATTTCTCTCTCTGCTTCACTCCCCTGGACGTACCTCATCTAGGCGTGCTGCAATCGTAGGCTCCTTATTAGGATGCGTTGTTGCTGCAAGTAACTTGTACTTGGGTCTAAAGATCGGCTGGACCTTTGGTGCTGCCCTCTGGGGTTCCATCTTTGGTTTCTTGGTCCTTAAATCCTTGTCCAGGTTTACAGGTTCTGTGTTCGGGCCCAAAGAAAACACAGTTTGCCAGACTGCTGCCACAGCCTCTGGTGGTCTCTCCAGTGGGTTTGTAACTGCTATCCCTGCCATGTACCGCATGGGTCTCATGAAGGACCGGACTCCAAGTGACGACGTTGTATCGCTACTTCTCTGGACAATGACCGCCGCTTTCTTCGGCACTTTCTTTGCTGTTCCCCTCCGTTCTCACTTCGTCATCAACCAGGATCTCGTTTTCCCCACCCCACGAGCCGCTGCTGAGACTATCAAGAACTTGCACAGGGCCGGTTCCGCGGCTGCTAAGGATGCTCGTGATGCTGGCAGGGCTATGATGATTTCCTTTGCCACAGCCATGATCTGGGCCATTATTGGATTCTTCATTCCTGGAATCTTTGGAACTATCCATATCCTTTACTACATTGGCAAGGCTGCCAACTATACAAAGATGATGAATGCTGATGCTGAGTGGGGCTGGGCCTTTACCTGGGATTGGGCCTTCTTTGGCGCTGGTTTGATGACTCCTGGAAGCACTGTCTTCTCGTTCTTGTTAGGAGAGCTGATTGCCTTTGGTATTGCTGGTCCTCTCATGACCTCTGCCGGCTATTTGACCGGACGTGGTGGCTTTCCTCCTCCACCAGCCATTGGTTCTGCTCAGTCATGGTTCCTTTGGCCTGGTGTCGGAATGATGGTCTTCACTGCTTTCACTGAACTCGGAGTTCGCTACGAGTCACTCAAGCATGGTATTTTGTCTGCTGTCCACGGAGGTCGTAACTTGATCCGCAAGCTGCAAAAGAAGGAAGCCTTGGTCAGAAGCTCCGATTATGTTTCTAAAGATACTACCCCTGCTCACGAAATGATTCCTGCCTCGTGGTGGCTTTCCGGCCTTGCTGTGTCAGGCATTTTTACTATCCTGGTCATGTATTTCTATTTTGACGTCCCAGTTTACGCCACTATCGGAGCCATTATTCTGTCGTTCATGCTCGCCTTTGTTGGTCTTCAAGCCTCAGGTGAGACCGATATCAACCCTACTGGAGCTGTTGCCAAGGTCACTCAGCTAGTTTTCTCTCGTGTTCCTGGTGCCGATCTTGCCACTGTTCAGAAGACCAACTTGATGTGCGCCAACATTGCTGCCTCAGTCTGCTCTCAGTCTGTTGACATGGTTGGGGACCTTAAGACTGCCCAGTTGCTCAATGCTTCTCCCAAGGCCATGTTCTGGGCCCAGATGGTTGGATCAGTCTTTGCTGTTGGTGTCGCCATCCCTCTGTTCTTGCTTTACACCCAGGCCTATCCATGTGTACTCAACCCTAATCTTCCTGGGAAATGCCAATTCGAAGCCCCTTCGGTCGTTGCATGGGAAAATGTTTGCAAGATTTTGACCGGCGACGGTTCCATTCCCAGGGAGTCGATGATTTTGACCATCGTCTTGTGTATCCTTGGAGTCGTCAACGTTATTGTTCGTGTCAAGTTCGTCCCTGATGCATGGAAGTCTTACTGGATCAACCTGAACGCTGTTGGCCTTGGATTTATTAACCCTTCACCTAGCATTGTTTTTGCCATGCTGGTTGGCTGGACAGCTGGACATATCTGGAAGCGTACAAACATACGGAGCCATGAGCGTCTTATGTATTCTGTCAGTGCTGGTTTAATTAGTGGCGTTGGTATCGCAGGTTTGCTCAATGCTGCTTTGACCATAGGTGGTGTTGAAGAAGGTCCTGTTAGAGTCGGGTGCGGTGATGATGGCATTCTCTGCTAAAAAAACGATGAGAAAAAAAAAAAAAAAAAAAAAAAAAAAAACTATTGGCGACTGTAGCTTCCTTCACCTTGTACCATAATGATATTTAAATATAATAAACTCGTAAAAACTATCATATGATTGCGTGCAAAATTTCTTTGATGTTTTCTGTACTAATAAAAAATAACAATATTAACAGTAACGGAAATAAAGATAAAAAGAAAAAGAACCGTATTATAAATTCACCGCCTGCTTACAAAATATACAACTTCAACCTTGGAAAGAGATTTGGTTTAAGGAAAGATAGGGGTTTTGAAATGAAAGGAATGAGTGGTAGGGAACGTAAACAGTAACAGATTTACAATAGTTCATCCATTTCATTTATTTGCGACAAGTAGCCTTGTGATCATGGTATTTCCACACAACTCAACAAACAACTCTCGAAGGAGAAAGAGGGGAGGGGGGAAGCGAGAAGAAGAGTTTTTAGGTAAGAGTGTTGTGGCGCATGGCCGTCTGCATGGAAGCTCGGAAGTGCTTCCGAATCTTTTTTACTTTATTTGAGTTCCATGGTCAATTCATTATAAATATTATATAATACTTTTCTGCATTACGCAGTGACTTTCTACTTGCCTCGTTTCTGTGGCAAGTTGATAATTATTATATATATATATATGATGGGCTATGAATATGTGTTAAAGCTCAATAGGAGTTGATCCGTTGATCCATTCAACTTGGGTTTTCATCAGAGTCATGGGAGAAAATAGGAAGAACAAATACTATTGAGTACATGAACAGGGACATGCGTGTAAACAGACAATAGGCATAAGGATTTTTTTCTTTTTTTTTTTTCTCTTAAAAAAAAAAAAAGAGAGAGATGGTTGGAGCAAAGGGTATATATATTTATATATATAAATGTATAAATGGTATTTGGTTGGAATGATCCCTTTCAAGTGAAATGTGCTTTGACCAAAAAGAAAAGCGTGCCTGGTTAAAATCTGACACAATGCACAGAACGAATGGCAAGTTGTACACATGGCAAAAGAATACGGACATTAATTAACAGGATTGACTAGCGTCGATCGATGGCGATGAGACCATTCGTGAATGATGTTGCGAGGGTTGAATAGAACCTTTTTTTTTTTTTCTTTTCCAACCCTCTTTTTTCTTCAGTCTTTCATGTCCATAGATTAATGTAATTCATGTTCTCACGAGCCCGAGAAAGCTAAATTGTTTAATGCTTAATAGGAGGATAACTGATTTGTTCCCAGGGATGTCCGTGTGCGAGTTTGACCAATCGCTTTGATTCCATGGGTACGATTAAAAGATGCATGTAAACAAATGAGTTTGTAAATAAAGTTCCTCTTCTTTTCTAGACATACACCAAACAGAAGCTTATAATGGAGTGGAAGTCGATCCGAACGATCCTCCGTCATGTTTATACACGGACAGTTCCGGCGAGACATAATATGGGAGCACAGGCATGTGTGCGTGCATACATCCACATCCACACACAAAATGGGCTTTTTTTTTTTTAAAAAAAAAAAAAAAGAACAATGTTATACAAACTTCCAGTGCTTGTCTACATTCTACATGTCGTTGAACACAATGTAAAAGGTATTATCCTTTATTTCCTACATTTTTATGTGGAAGAAACTGCTGGGCATTCAAGTGTAGAATCATATGATGGTGGACTGAGAGTCATTCCTCTCATAATCACGATCATAATCATAATCATGAAGCTCATTATTTAATAATGAACTAAATCAGGCTGTTAAGATTATGCATGTCTGTAGTCTTTAGACCATGAAATGGTTGTAAGCCAAATAAGATTAAACACACACTTAACCCTGAGAAAGTTTCGTGCTCATTTTAGAGCTTTAATTGATTGGATAAGAGGAAAATGAATTAAATACAAGGTAAACTAAAATACGAACGTTCATATATTTTATGTACTATCTGCATCATAAATGAATGACCGTGGGGAGTGATTGCAAACCATGCAATATCATCCGTACATGATTATGCCTTGTTTACTCAAAATTATTTCTTGGAATTCTTTTACCAATGAATTGCATTACCAACAAACCTGGCTCTTTCGTTGCGCTTTGTGTCTCTTTCCTGTCTCTCTCTCTCACACTCTTTCACAAGTATACTGGCTGACCCAACTCTAAGGGATCTCTTCCCATAGGTCTGTGGTCACTCTTCCGGAAGGTTTTTTCTTTTTCTTCTTCTTCTTCTGCATTGTTGGTGTTGGGCCAGACCCTTTCATTTTTCAAACCAAGGTTCCAAGTGCTCACACACATACCCACACACAACCATTACACAAACAAGGATTGTTCACATTCAAAGCATCATTGAACCGCCCTCCTCTCCACCTCTTTTTTTTTTTTTTTTTTTTTTTTTTTGCCTCTCTAGATTGTACTGCAAAAAAGACGAAAGAACAACCCTGTAACGAACAATGCTGCTCGCACAAGCATTATTGAATAATATTTTTAACATTCGCCTTTTTAGGACAGAGAAACACTAGAGGAAAAAAAAGTTTTTTTTTTCTTTTTTTTTTCTTACCATTGCGCCTCTTGCGACGATAATAACACTAAAAGAACTCCAACAGTGAAGGTGCCACATGATGAATCAACATTTCTATCCACTCATTCACTTCCAATCGACAGAAGGTTCTAACCTGCTGGGAACATCTCAAAATGCATCGTTCGCGTGAGAAGGCGTACATGTATTTGTTTTATTATTATTTTTTTTTTGCTCCCAAACTCAAACTTTACGCTTGCAGCCCTCTCTTTGAGTCCTTGATATCTTTTTGACATTCATCCTCTGGTATAAAAACGATCGACCTCCCCCTTTTTTCTTTTGTTTCCTCGTCCTTCATTCGCTTGAGAACCATAACCGCCTCCTTCTCCTCTCCTCTCGTTGCTCATCCTCTTATTCCGCCACCTGCAGCTCCTCTTTCCTCCCTACAACCCATATACCACCTATATTAATTTATAATTTTTTCTCGTCATGGCTTCGCCAGTGAATGAAAAGTCGCAGTATGGCGACTATGAGCCTGATCAAAAGATTGAAGCCAAAACTGTCGATCTTGCTGAACATCCCGAAGAGGAGGAGTTTGTTTATGAGCCCCAGCAGTTCACTTGGTAAGATGACTAGACGATTGTCAGTCCTAATTTGTTCTATTCTTGTTTTTATTATAAAAAATTAACGCCTCATTTCCAACGACTTGGTATTAGGCGTGCATCGATTGTCGGTTCACTTTTGGGATGCGTTGTTGCTGCAAGTAACTTGTACTTGGGTCTAAAGATCGGTTGGTCCTTTGGTGCTGCCCTCTGGGGTTCCATCTTTGGTTTCTTGGTCCTTAAATCCATGTCCAAGGTTACCGGCTCTGTGTTTGGACCCAAAGAGAACGCCGTCTGCCAAGCTGCCGCTACTTCCTCTGGAGGTCTCTCCAACGGTTTTGTCACTGCTATTCCCGCCATGTACCGCATGGGTCTTATGGGTAGCAGAGATCCTCAGGACCATATTGCTGATCTTTTCCTTTGGACTGCCTGTGCTGCATTCTTCGGTATGCTCTTTGCTGTTCCCCTCCGTTCTCACTTCGTCATCAACCAGGATCTCGTTTTCCCCACCCCACGTGCCGCTGCTGAGACCATCAAGAACTTGCACAGGGCCGGTTCCGCAGCTGCTAAGGATGCTCGTGATGCTGGCAGGGCTATGATGACCTCCTTCATCTTTGCAATGGTTTGGGCTGTTATCGGATTCTTCATTCCTGGAATCTTCACGACTATTCACATCTTCTTCCTCATTGGCAAGGCTACTGGTTACGATGCATTGATGAATGCTGATAGGGTATGGGGCTGGGCCTTCTCCTGGGATTGGGCCTTCTTTGGCGCTGGTTTGATGACTCCTGGAAGCACTGTCTTCTCGTTCTTGTTAGGAGAGCTGATTGCCTTTGGTATTGCTGGTCCTCTCATGACCTCTGCCGGCTATTTGACCGGACGTGGTGGCTTTCCTCCTCCACCAGCCATTGGTTCTGCTCAGTCATGGTTCCTTTGGCCTGGTGTCGGAATGATGGTCTTCACTGCTTTCACTGAACTCGGAGTTCGCTACGAGTCACTCAAGCATGGTATTTTGTCTGCTGTCCACGAAGCTCGCAACTTGATCCGCAAGCTGCAAAAGAAGGGAGCTGTGGAACAGAATACTGACTATGTTTCTAAAGATACTACTCCTGCTCACGAATTGATTCCTACCTGGTGGTGGCTCAGCGGCTTGCTTGTTTCCGGCATTGTTACTATCATCGTCATGAAAGTGAGCTTTAATGTTCCCATCTATGCTACTTTTGGAGCCCTCATTCTGTCGTTCATGCTCGCCTTTGTTGGTCTTCAAGCCTCAGGTGAGACCGATATCAACCCTACTGGAGCTGTTGCCAAGGTCACTCAGCTAGTTTTCTCTCGTGTTCCTGGTGCCGATCTTGCCACTGTTCAGAAGACCAACTTGATGTGCGCCAACATTGCTGCCTCAGTCTGCTCTCAGTCTGTTGACATGGTTGGAGACCTTAAGACTGCCCAGTTGCTCAATGCTTCTCCCAAGGCCATGTTCTGGGCCCAGGTGGTTGGATCAGTCTTTGCTATTGCTGTTGCCATCCCTCTGTTCTTGCTTTACACCAAGGCCTACCCATGTGTGCTTGATTCAAGCATTAAAAACTGTCAATTCGAAACCCCTGCTGTCGTTGCATGGGAGAATGTGTGCAAACTCTTGACTGGTACGGGCTCCGTTCCAAGAGAGTCGATGATTTTGACCATCGTCTTGTGTATCCTTGGAGTCGTCAACGTTATTGTTCGTGTCAAGTTCGTCCCTGATGCATGGAAGCCTTACTGGATCAACCTGAACGCTGTTGGTCTTGGATTCATCAACCCTTCACCTGTTTACCCTGTCGCCATCCTCTGCGGTTGGCTCGCTTCTGCCATCTGGAAGCGCACCAACATCAGATCTCACGAACGCCTCATGTACTCTGTCAGTGGTGGTTTGATTGCTGGTGTTGGTATCGCAGGTTTGATCAACGCCGCCATGACCATTGGTGGTGTCAAGGAGGGCCCAGTCAGAGTTGGATGCTTCGACGAGGAATATTGCTAAGCTAATATTTATGAAGCTTAAGAAAAGAAGCTGAATGTGTACTGTACATTAATAAATATTTTTTAATTCTATTGAACATCTCGTCCCATATATTAAGCTTGTTTTTTTAAGAAAAAAGTCTTTTGCCTCAACAAAACACGTGTGCATAGAAACTTATAAATTCATGGTCTCACCATTGTTCACTCGTTCTCTTAAACACGCTCGCTCCAATACTACCCAACACTACACTCTATTTCACATGGCCACTCGACCTGTTGATTTCCTTCTTGTTGGGCTGGGTAATCTAGGCGAAGAGTACATAACCACTCGTCATAATGGTACTTGACCCAATGATGTATGAGCTTCCATTGACATTGTTGCTTTATAATCTACTACATTAGCTTAATATGTCGACTTTTTCAAAAAAAAAAAAAAAAAAAAAAGCTGGATTTTTGTTCATAGATTATCTCGCAAATGTCATTGCTTTGGACCAAAAGTCGAATGTTCCTCCAGTATTCCAACGTAGGATGGCATTATCAGGTAAAGCTAAATGCCTGAATTTTTTTTTTTTTTTTATTCTCAAGCCGATGTTACCAAAGTGTCTGCGTTGGGCTAACAATTTGCACACATTCCGATGAACAATTTTATCAATTATAGCTGATGTTCATGATGTCGTTTTCTCATATCAAAAGGGTAGCGTCTCAGTAAGGAATTTCGTTTCTGGTCTCTTAACTTTATTGCTACTGCGGCAAGGAATCATTCAAATTTGTATAGCTTTATTTATTTTATTTTTTGATTAGTAGAATTCGCTGCGGATAGTCCTTGCAAAACCACTGACTTATATGAATGAGTCGGGAGTAGCTGTCAAGAAGGTCATGGATTATTATCAATTGACGGACTCCAAGAAGCTAATTGTGATTTCGGACGATATCAACACTTTACCCGGGTCCTTGGCCATTCAAAGTAAATAAAACTGCAATTTGGCTTCAGTTATGTGCTTTCCGTTTTCCTGATCACCTCAACTATTTCTGCGTGTCATGTATTGTTAGATGGGGGCGATCTAAAGAGTCTGGCAGGTCAGAAAGGTCAAGAAAGCATTGCAACCATCTTAGAGACTACAGATTTTGTCCGCTTTCGTCTTGGTGTTGGAAAACCACCTTCTGGAAGCCCCACAACTATTCCTCAATGGGTGCTTGGTCCTTTCAGTCGCGACAATAAAGAGATGGTATATATATGTGATATAACATGGTCTTATTGTCTCTACTGGCGAAATCGCAATCTTTAGCCATCTGACGTTGTTTATTACTCACTCGTCTTTCTTCGCTATCATGTAGGATTTGTTCGCGTATTTAATGAGCCATACAACGCAGGCTCTACTGAATTTTGTACAGACTAATGATTTGAAGCTCTGCAAGAAAAAGTTTGCGTCATCCAAAAAACTCCCATCTAGACTGGTACCCACAGAGAGCTTGGTCTATCCTGTGCATATCGAAGACTTGTGAGTTTCAGAGAACCAAGAGAAACTCTCCCATCTTTTCTTATAATCAATAAAGCCTTTTTTTTTTTATTTTTTTATTTTTTTATTTTTTTTTTATTTTATTTTTTTTATTCAAGTTATTGTTTTATTTGTATCATGTAAGGGTAAGAATAAACTGTTTGGGAGATATCAAGTGGTTCACGGTGAGCTACCCATCTATTAGCGAATAAAGAGTTTCAACCCGTTGGGGATAGGCTCGCCAAGACGGGCATGAAGAGCCATCTTTGTCTTGGAAGGATCTTGCATTTCTATCTTGAAGAACTTGGTAACTATTAAGGCACCGATGATTTTTATCTCCATTATAGCCATGAATCGTCCTGGACAAGCGTGCCTGTTTAAAAAAGGTTTTTCTTTTTACGTTAAATTCATGATGAAAAAAAAAAAAAAAAAAAAAAAAAAAAGCATTCATAGGATTGAAAAAGGCGAATGTTTTTTACCTTCCCAGGCCAAAGGGCAGGAAATCAGGCCCAACTTTGACCGCAGCTTTAGGTTTGTCGACGAACCGCCATGGCCTAAACTCTGTCGCATCCTCACCTACTTCAGGGCCTGTATGACCAGATCTCGTATTGATAATAACCTTTGCGCCCTTGGGAATCTTAACACCATTTGAAAAGATATAATCCTTGAGCGCACGTTGATTTACAGTCACAGACAAAGGCTCAATGCGAAATCTAAACATTTCTCGTATAAAGGAATCCAAATGAACCATCTTCTTGACCGCGGCTACTGGCAGGTCTCTGTCATGTGCAGGGTCCAAATGGTCATTGATGGGCTCTCCCTTCTTCAAGCATTCTTGCCGGGCATGCTCGCGCTCCACTTGAATATCATTGAGGATCTGCTGCTGCTCTTCGAATAACTTGTCCATGGAGTGTGGAAATGCCGCCATGTAGTAGAGCATACTGTTGGCGGCGTCTGCTGTCGTATGGACACTTATGATAATAAGAATAAGTATATGAGCGCAAACGTCTTCCAGGTCGACGAACTCATACTTGTCGGCGTCATCAAGCAAATGCTGAAGGATATCATTAGGTCGTTCCCATTCAACACCAGCCTCGCTCGCCAGAGCTTCAAGTCGACGGCGTTCAAGAATAACAGGCATAGAAGCATCGATCAGGACTTGGAGATGCTTCCGGAGTGGGTTGTAGAGGGATTTGTGATGGAATCGAAGTGCAAGTGTGTGCCACTTCGAGTGTGGAGTGTTAATGTCAATCAACTGTCCAAATTCCATAGTGGCAGTCATAAATACCTCAATGACTTGACTGCTCTTGGCAATCTCAGGACCAACGAAAACGTGTGCCACTAAATTTTAACAAAGTTAAAAAAATAAAATAAAATTATGTTCACTAATCATCAGTATACTAATCCCAAATAATGAAGGAGGAAAAAAAAGTGATCATTCCTACATAAAATACATACTTGCTTTTGCAATTGGCTCATGAATCAAGTGAAAAGGTTCCCTTGCTAGTATCTCCCCCTTTTCAACAGGACAACGGCTCAATTCCTGTTCGAAGTTTTCCTCTATCACCCTTGCGATCTTTGGAGCAAACATGGGTAAGCGGGGATTGAGGCAGTTGCGGACAATAGCATGTACAGTTTGAAGGCCATTATCCTTGTTGCTTTTTCGAACAGTATCAAAATATGCCAATACGTTTGTGACCTCATCAAATGCTTCAAGATGAGAGAAGGCCCCAGAAGTGCAAACTTCGCGGATATAAGGTTCAGAGACGACGGTGTAAGGCGAACCGAACAGATGTATGTTGAACATTGAACCATATTCTTCTTCACATCGCTTGGCGAACGCTTCTGGGTCCTCATTGTATTCATTATCATGTGAGGAATCGCCCGGTCTGAGAGGGACCATAGGGACCTACAAAAATAAAAATATATAAATAAGGAAGGGGATTAAGGTAACGATAGTTCAATGATGGTATAGGAATGAAATAGCAGAAAAGAGTACTCCTTTGCATTATTTTTACTTTGTCATCTGTGCACATTGGAGTTGCGACAGCCTTCATGGCCAAGAATGCTGCAGAGGCAAGTCCAATGCCAAGAGGAACGATGGCCTTCGTAGCTTCAATGGGCATGCTATGTATGGGGTTGGATGAAAGGCCAAGCATTTGTTGAGTACAGTGGATGTTCTTTTGTGGGATAAAGTGGATGTAGAATGAATTTGGATGAATAAAAGATCAACGATAATAGAGAAAATCAATAAAGTTAATAAAAAAGAGAAAAAGAAAGCCTGGATATCGAGTTCTGTAGATATATATTTGTATCTTAGAGCTCAAAGATTGCACTCGATATTTTTTTTTTTTTTTTTACACATTTGGGAAGGGTTTCTGCAATGATCGTAATGATCCAGTAAGAAAAACGGAACGTGAAAGAGTTAAACGCAATGGGCATTGTCGCAGGATTTCCGCCGAGGAATAAAATGATCTTCTGAGACGTGACCGCAGGCCAATGATGATCTCGAATCAAACTCGTCGCAGGATCCTCTCCAAGCAATCTTTCTTCTACAATCGTCCTGTTGATTCAAACACAAACGCAATGCTGGAAGAAAGTATGCATATTTAAGTGAATACATGAACGTATCCATGAGAACAACATGGTCTGAGTATTACTTGGGTCATGTTTGAGAAGTTTTATTACTCTTATTACTCTTAATTTCTATTCTTTTTTAGTGGGTTAAATGATTATGATTTTATATGGAATATACATACACAGACACATCTAAACATCTTAATTATCATCCTTGATATTATAAGTCCAGTTGATCTGTCCATTGACAGCGACACCCCGTCGACGATAAACGCTGGCGGCGTGGATATATGGGCTGAGTCGGGCATATTGTTCCCTAATATTCTTGGCAATTTCGTCCCTCTCATCAGAGCTAGTTCCTTCAGATTCCTTGATCCAGGCCCTGGTGGCAATATCAAACTTTGCCTCAAGCTCATGGCGCTCCCTCAAAAGCTCCTCTTTCTTTGCAGAGTCCTTCATGTGGTCATTCTCGTTCTCTTGTGCAGAAATGTATTCATATGTCCAATCATCCAGACCGTCAAAGTGGTTAATGGGCAATCGATCACGTGGAATTATTTTGTGTAACTCAGCATTATTGCGTGTGAACACAAATTTGGAAGCAACAACAGGATCAAGCAAGGGCTGGATGAGTTTCCAGAGACCCCAGAATACAAAAGGAGCACGATGGACGACACAGACTCCGAGGGTCTCCGGGTAGTATGATTCGAAGCATTGAACAAAGAGACGAACGAAGCCCCAGTCCATGTTGTCGAGACCAAAGTTGGAGAGATCAAAGATTACAATGACATTTTCAGTGCCCTGAGGGAGAAGTGTACGGCCATGCTCCATATTCTGTTATACAAAAAAAAAAAAAAGAAATGAAATGGTAAGCAAAAAAAATACATGACATGTGGCTTGGTTATATTCAAGGTTGGGCTCAAAACTTACATAGAGTGTGAAGCGATAAGTAGTCTCAGAAGGTTGATCGGCCTTGTGGTGGAAGCGTGGATTGATGAAAGTCAGGGGGCGGCCCAAAGGATCTGCACCATGAAGGTACCCTTTACCCTTGTGCAATTGTTCAAGGAACTTTGGATATTTGGCATCCAGTTCGACGTCTGACAATTCAATTAGTTCATCGAGACGCTCGACAATCCTCCATTTCAAAGTGTTCAAGAACATCTTGAGGGCATCATCCAAAACCCATTTACGAGCACGGATAAACTGAATGATATTTTTCAATAGAGAGGCATATACACAAATTAGAACAGAGATAAACATTTTTTTTTTTTTGTTGCTTATTGTTGTTGTTATTGTTATTGTTATTGTTATTGTTGTTGAATTTATTATTGTTTACCTTGAGTATAACAACGTCTGGATGATCCATCATAGTCAGCTTCCAATAAGCCTTCTTCAGATCTTCACCCGTGAAGCGTGGTACAACTGGACCACTCTCAGAAGCAGGCTTCCCACGTCCAAACCAGCTTGATTTTTGAACAAGGGCATTCGGTTCTTCTTGAGCTTGGCCTTTAAACGAAGTGGGGATGGTTTGATCAAATGCCGTCTTGCCATCGAATATGTCATAAAGACAAGCCCAGAACTGCTTCAATGTCTCTGTTTGTTCAGGGGTCAAATGGCCAAGAGTACCATCAGTTGAGATGATGGGTTGAATGTAGGTAGAGTTATCAGTAGTGGCCATGATTTACAAAGAATAACTGAAAAATAGAAAAGAGAAAGGAGAGTCTATCTGGTGATGAGGTCCAATTGAACGGCTACAACAGTGGGAAAAAAGCTGTAAAGATGGAGGGGGGGGGAATGGTGTTGGAGGCGAAGGGCGAGGTGGTTGGGGGAAGAATAAAAGAAAGAAAGGAGAGAAAGAGAGAGATATGAGAGGTGGAGACCTATTTTATAATACAGTTTTCGATGAGCACTTGTTCTCCACATGCTCACGCATAGATTGTATTCATTCATGTTATGCATCGGAGCAACAGTGATTGAAGAAAAAAAAAGTTTCAAGCCCTCATCTAATATTAATATTAACGAGCTAGCGACTGACATGTAAGCACCAAAGGGTCCAACGTGGAGAGCAGCATTTTAATTTGCTGACTATTTTGTATTCCCATAGACATGGCGTCATGGATGCTGTTTTTATGTATTTTTATATTTGCACCATATGGTTGCGATATGTTGAAAGTCCTAGAACCCAGAGCCTTTTCAATGTATTTTCCTCATTACTCTGTTTGTGTTATGTGATCAACAAAACAAGGCAGTTAATTATTGAAAAGATTGAGACGAAAGCTAGTCTTAAAAAGAGTTATTTTTTGCTTCTTGTTTTAAATATACTTGCCACTGACTAGATGTAGTGTGAGCGGGTTACATTGGGGGTTTCAAACTTGAACATTTGGTCAGATAAATAGGCGGCTATTTCTAAGTAACCCTTGACGGGGTTCACTCAACCTAAAAGAAAAAAATTGAGGGTTACCCCTTCTACAAACTGGAAGCGAAGATCCAGGGGAAATGTTTATTGAAAAAAATAAAATAAAAATTGGATTGTCTGTCTTATTTCGGCAAATGTCCAACTTTGAAACCCCCCTAACATTATTTTAAGATTACAGGAACGGTATCTCCACTACTAAATGTACAGCTCAACAACACGACTGGATAGAAATTTTTGTCAAGAAAATAAATAAAGAGCCGTTATCCCCGCCATGTTCTAATGCCAATGGAAATTTTTTAGGATGAGAGTTCTTTTCATTTTGTTCTGACAGTAACAGGATTAAGCCACAGGGTATTTCGACAATTTCAAACAGCTTACAGCTCCAATGCTTCTCTTCATTCCATTCATTACTTTTTACTACATTCTCTTCGTAAGCCCATCTAATAGGATATGCTTCGTCGTGCTGTGTCGCTCTCTGTCTTGAACTTTACTCGCCAAGCTTTAGTTTCGCCTGTTGTCTCTTTCAAAATTCAGACCAGAACTATGGCTAGCACTAAAGCAAAATTGCAGTTCGGTCAGATCCTCAAGTCAGAGATTGAATCCATCAAAGCAGCTGGCACTTATAAGTCTGAGCGAGTCATTGTCTCCCCTCAGAACTCTGCTATCAAGGTTGCAGGTGGAAGCGGTCAAGTTACTCCACAGATCAACTTTTGTGCTAACAACTACCTAGGTCTTGCAGATCATCCCGAGGTCGTTGCTCGTTCAAAACAATACTTGGATACCCATGGATCTGGCTTGAGTAGTGTCCGCTTCATTTGTGGTACTCAGGTATTGAAAAGAGAGAAAAGAAGAGTTTGTTTGGAAGTTGTTGTGCAATTTTGGGGAGTGGGGTGTCACTAAAAAGAAGGTATTGGCTAGATTCATTTTAATTCAATTTTTTTTTTATTTTAATTTGGCTGGCAGAAGAAAAAGTGTCAGGACATGATGTGCAAAAAAGTGAGACTGGGGTGTACCGTGAGAAAATTTGCAGTAACTCTAAATAGGCATTTAATTAACGAACAAATCATATTCGTCTGGGGAAATGCGGCGTTTGCTATGCCAGGTAAAGAAGGAACGGGGCTGTGCTAAACATGAATGATCAAATTACTTACATCTTATTCCCTATCATGATTTTTATGCATCATAATCGTATTAAAAGGATATTCACAAGGACCTTGAGAAAAAGATCACAGAATTTTACGGCACAGAAGACACCATCCTCTATGCCTCATGCTTTGACGCCAATGCCGGCATCTTTGAGACCATCTTAACAGACCAAGATGCAGTTATTTCTGATGCTCTTAATCATGCCAGTATCATTGATGGGATCCGCCTCTGCAAAGCTAAGCGCTTCCGCTACAAAAATTGCGATATGGCAGGTGCGTATTACATGCTACGGGAATTACATCTTCTGGCCATTTTTTCTCAATGTAACCGAGGAAAAAAAAAAAAAAAAAAAAGAAATGGACTAAATAAGTCTTCCGTGATTCCTCTTTTCTTCCCTTCTTTTTCCAGACCTTGAGACCCAACTTCAAGAGGCAGACAAAGCTGGTGCCCGCTTAAAGTTGATTGCGACAGATGGCGTGTTCAGTATGGATGGCAAGTTTGCACCTTTGGACAAGATCTGCGATATCGCAGAAAAGTACAATGCCTTGATTTTTATTGATGATTGCCATTCGACAGGATTCCTAGGCCCCAATGGCCGTGGTACTGCAGAGCACTTTGGCGTCCAGGATCGCGTCCATATTGTCAACTCGACTCTTGGAAAGGCTCTTGGCGGCGCAGCAGGAGGTTATACAACTGGATGCAAGGATATGATTGACCTGCTCCGTAACCGTTCTCGCCCTTATCTGTTCTCCAACAGCTTGCCACCAGCAGTTGTGGGATCTGCCAGTGCTGCCTTAGATTTGATCGATAGCGCAAAGACAAACGGCTTGTTTGATAGATTGTGGGGAAATACAAAGCTATTTCGCTCGCTACTGACCGAAGCTGGATTCACTATCAAGGTGAGCATTTGTAGTTGACTTTTCCCCTTTATTGACAGCTATTTACTCGCAGTAGTGTACTAACAGTATCTATTATATATTTCCTACGATTTTAGGGCGATAACCACCCTATCGCACCCATCATGTTAGGTGATGCTCGCCTTGCTAACCAGTTTGCCGACAAGATGTTGCAGCGCGGTATCTATGTCATTGGCTTCTCATACCCTGTCGTCCCCAAGGGAGAAGCACGCATTCGTGTCCAGCTGTCAGCTGCACACACTGAGGAACAAATTCGTCAGGCTGCTAACGCCTTTATCGATATCGGTCAAGAACTCGGTGTTATTGGTGCCAAGAGCAAGCTTTGAGCTTTTAAGATACAGAATACATTTTCCCCCTATTCTAATATGGCTTTAGGTTCATTTCTTTATTTCTCGTAACATTCTTTATTGGTGCTATGTACGATTCCTTTCTGGGATGAAGCGCTTGATACCTATCTCGGCGACTTTGTAGAGAGGAAGGGCGGTCCTTGGGTGAGATAACTGTTTTTTTGTAGCATGTGAAGGATATAGTACATGACATAAAATAACTGTCTAAAAATAAAAAGAATAATAACAATAGAAAATAATGCTACGGTAAGAATGAATGGAAAATGACTTCGAGACATTTGTGATATGATGAACTTTATGTTGAATACCTTTTGAACTTGAGAGACAACTCTATTAATGGTTAAAAGCCATTGCCATGAAAGAGCAGGATGAGGTTGACAGATACCAGGAGTCGAGGACAAGAATGGCTGTAATAAAGTACCTGTTAGGGGCTTTGAGGCGCCAATTTGATGTTCGTCTTGACTGTTACAAGAGATTACTTTGATGGCATATTGCGAATGTCCAAAGACCATGCCTTTTCGATAGAGTAGAAAATCTGATCCATATTTCAGTCCATCCTTAACAACCCAGCCCTGACTACGATAATGATGGTAAGCGGCATATCGGACAATGAAGGGATTGTCGACAGTAATTTCCATTGTTGGATTCACATTACAGGCTTTTATGAACTTGAGCCAGCATTCTTGTATAGACATAGTTACTGGTTTTGTTGTAGTTGTTGCTGCGGCGGTTGTGATATAAATACACTCAATCGCAAACACGAGGAACATGGCTTCCTCAAGTGAGAGCTGAAGATGCTCATAGTTTTCCTCAGAATTTTTTGCATTTATGTTCTTTTTACCATCAGTCGCTATAGCATCCCTGGATGTAATTTTTGATGGTGCGGCTGTGCTCTGTAACTGGCCACTAGAAGTAGTATCCGTATCTATTAAAGGTATTACAGATGGTTTTAACGACGACGGTGAGGGGTCTCCGCTTGTTTGTGTAGGTAATAAGCCGCTTGGAGAGCTTGTCTTTTGCTCCTTCAATCGTGCGCGTTCGATGCGCCGCTGACGAGTAATGTCTTCAAGTCGCATCCCTTTAAAAAAAAAGAAACAAAAGAGTTAGAAGTAATAAAATCTTTCTGAAATAGTAATCGGCATGAAAAGTTCAAACAAAAGTCCCTAATTATTATTGCTATGGCTGTCGACTCCAAAGAACCTCTTTCAGGACTTATTTTTCCTACCTTGTGCGTCACCAGCGATTCTTTGCCTCCAGGTCGCCTCACTGCGAGAGAGTGTACCCTTGCCAAAGAAGCCCTGACGAAAGAGTTTCTCCATATCGTTTTCATTTTTGACCCATACAGATCTCCCAAGCGGATGGAACTCTGCCTGGATAAGCTCTGGAGGTATTACCAGATTTCCACTCTGAGGATACAGCTGGCGGGTCCATATGGAGACGTATCTGAGTATCTCGTTCAGGGGTTTCCAACGAGAACGCAATATTTGTTTCTGGGCACACTGATCCTTGGTCTCCAGTGATGGCTGAAGTGAATCCTGCTGCAGGCATAGTAAGGGCAATGCTATGCCATACTGCTGTCTTTTGAGCGCATTACTCTTCTTGGTTGTCATGACATGCAAAAGCTTCAATGAAAAAGCTGTGCGAGACAACACATGAAGTAGATCCATAGCACCCCTTAACCATTGCCTCATATATTTATAAGAGGAGTGGTTTTTGCTAGGCTTTTTTTTTTTTTTCTTTGACTTGAACAATTGGTGCTGAATGGGTGAGAAAGAGGATTACCAACTTTTACCAGCAGACTACTGCGACCGACATACGGCTCGCTGCCGGATTTCATCAAAACGATTCAAGGGATTGAAAGTAGGACAATGGGTTCAGCTGGAATCAGCAGAAGATCAGATCCTTTGCCGGGTTTGGCCAGCCCGTTATGACTGTGGGGATAAAATTTTGGTCGATCGATATATAGCAAGAGGAGTGGATAGTACAAAAGATTTGAAAGTGAATACTGCAGATCATCAGAGTATCACCAATGTACCGAAAGGAACTCGATACAGTGAGTAAATCATTAAAATGCCTTGCAACCTCAGTGAGTTTTCAACTAATGCTTTATAAGGTCTGTGAGATCTGGAGGACTAAAAAGCTTGTTGCGGCATAATGTCACCTTAGAGTTAAGTGTGCTATCTGAATCATCAGTAAGAAAGGCGCAACAGCTTCAAGTTGATGTAACACTACTCCGTCGGAATGGGCGCCTGAGTGGTGAAGCAGCTGTTTATGAGGAGACCACAGATATGTTGAAACGGAACGTAAGTGTGATGAGCAGGAATACATTGGAAGGAACTTTTCTATTTTTGATAGTCAAAGCATGCTTCTATGAAGATAGGTCTTTGTTGGCTGAATCAAAAATGCTTTAATTAGTTTGTTCACAAACTACTAGAGAATTTGATCCTCATGGAAGGCTTCACTATAGAGGATCAGCACGCAGGCCTTTCTATCGCGGTAGGCTTACACGATACTCGAATGAACCCATTGAGCTTTTATTTTATTTTATTTTATTTTATTTTCATTATCGCAAATTAACATCGTCTTCCTTGTTTCTCTTTTATTTCAATGCATGTGAAGGTCAAGTCTACATCGCCATCAGAAGGCCCTCTTCTTGTAGTGAAGGGCACAATGGTCACGATCACCAAAGAGAGTCAGCTCATTACAGCATCAGCAAAGACAACAGGGACCACATGCTCTGCATCCAAGACCACAGTTTCAAACAAAAATACTATGGATTTAGATCGCAACTTAAAGGTGCTTCCTGGCCTTGAGAAGCCGATTCAAGCTCTCCTCGAAGTTGTTTCATACCCCCTACTGTTTCCCGATCTCATTGCGCGTCTCAACATTGAGTGCCCTAAGGGTATTCTCTTGCATGGGCCTCCTGGTGTGGGCAAAACTTTACTAGTTTCTACAGTGGCGCATATTTGTCATGCTCAAATGATCACCATTTATGGACCCGAAATTTTTGGACCTTATGTAGGCGAAAGCGAAGAAAAGTTGCGCCAAAAATTTGATCAAGCGAGCCGGATCGCCATGGAGGATCTCAAGAGGCCTGTCATGATCTTCATTGATGAACTAGATGCATTAACACCGCACCGAACGGATGCACAGGCCCACGAATCTAGAGTAGTTGCACAACTGTTAACGCTGATGGATGGTGTGACTTCTAGGGGAAGGGTAGTGGTTATAGCAGCGACGAATCGACCTAATTCAATCGATCCGGCGCTCAGGAGGCCTGGGCGCTTCGATCGTGAAATTAAGATCGATGTACCCGGCGAAATGGATCGAAGAAGGATTATTGAGAGCTTAATCAAGGATATGCCCCACTTGTTGAAAGAAGATGAACTGACGACTCTGGCTCGGATGACTAATGGATTTGTGGGCGCAGACCTAGAGGCACTTTGTCGGGAAAGTGCTCTGGCAGCGATTCATCGGGAGACTATTGCTGCAGCTACTGGAGAGGCCATAGATGTTAGCGTGACCATGGGTGATTTTAAGCGAGCTTTCAGGATGAATGCGCCTTCATTGCAGCGCGGGTATGCTGTTGTCGTAGAGCCAGTACAATGGTCAGATATTGGTGGTTTAGAGTCTGTTAAGACTCAGCTCCGCCAAGCAGTCGAATGGCCCGTGCTTTACAAGGACACATTCTCACGACTAGGCTTAAAAGCGCCACGAGGTATTCTGTTGTATGGACCGCCAGGATGTAGTAAAACGACACTTGTCAAGGCTATTGCTACCAACTCGGGAGCGTCGTTTTTATCTGTGAATGGTGCAGCCCTTTACTCATCCTATGTAGGTGACTCTGAAAAGACTATTCGAGAGACATTTCATCAAGCGAGACTATCGGCTCCGTCCATTGTCTTTTTTGATGAGATTGATACAATTGTAGGGAAGAGAAATTTTTCTGCAGATAGTGGTGGTGCCGGTAGGGACAGCGTCCAAGAAAGAGTACTATCAACTATGCTGAATGAAATGGACGGCGTGGAAAATGCGACAGGGGTTCTGATAGTCGCTGCTACCAACCGTGTGGATCTAATTGACAAGGCTTTATTACGACCAGGACGATTCGATCGGGTCATATATGTGAGTTTACATACCTCTAGCCCTTACTTTTATCTCTTTTTTTATTTTATTTTTTTATTTGACCACACATTTTACTAAGCATGATTACTTTTGGATAAATATGGCTAGGTCCCTCCACCAGACTTGGTAGCCCGTAAACAGATCCTCAGTATCTACACAAAGGATATTCCTCTAGCTGACGACGTTGATCTGGACTTTATTGCACAAACGGTAACCGAAATAAGAGAGCATTAATTACTCCTAAAAGAGAATTTGTTGGAGATAAGCTAACATTTTTTTTTTTGTTTTTTTTTCTTTTTTTGACGCATTTAGACCGAGATGTACACAGGAGCGGATCTACAGAATGCCTGCAGAGAGGCAGCTTTAGTTGCTTTGAGGACACGAGCCCTAGCCAGGAGCGATTATACGACGGAGACAATGCCGAAAGATGATTCAGTATCATCTCTTCAACTAGTTGTAAGTCAATTATGCTGACATTTTTGTACTAGTTTTTTTTCTTTTTCTGTTATCTAATGTTATTCAACTTCGTCTTTGTAACCTGTAGAATGCGCAAGATTTTAGACAGTCACTTGCAGGAATGAAGCCATCCTTAACAGCGGCCATGCTCTCGGAGTACAGCTCCACTGGCCAGGGAGCATTCTAATTTGATCCAGAGCGTATAATTTCAACTATGTAACAATAGCTTCCTGTACAATATAATACATCTCATGTGTCATGTTATATATTATTATGGCGACCTAAATAAAAAAAATACATTTATATAATATAAAAGATTTGCAACTCAACAAGGAGGTTTTTTTATTTTATTTTATTTTGCGCTCGATAGAATGATCACTGGTGAAAATTTTCATATCGTAATAAGTCAAATTGGTTGACTGAAGGCCGGATCTCCGATGATGCGGTAAAGAAATCCTGAGGCTCGATACTCGTCTGCATGCATAAAGAGATAGTAGAAATATAGTGTAAAAAGTTAAATACTCGAACACAACTTTAATTCTTTGATTATAAACTAAAAAATTACCCTATTGGCTCTTAATGCGAGCAAGCCAGATCTGCGAACTAGAGCCTTGATGTCAGCACCTGTGAAGCAGTTAGTCAAATTGCCCACAGTCCGTAGATCAACCGAACTTGAGATGCGAGTGGACTGCTTCAAGATCTGCAGAATAGCAACGCGTTCCTCGAATGTTGGTGGTGGAACGTACACCAGCCTATCAAGGCGCCCTAAATAGAGAGGACAGAATTAGGCAGGCAGAGTAAGGAGAGAAAGGAGTCAGGTCCTATTTCTTATTTAATGAGTACGTGATGGTCCATCCTAGAAAGGATGCAGCCAACGTTTAACCATACCCGGCCGTAAAATAGATGAATCAATGACTTCTGGATGGTTTGTAGCTGCAAGGACGACGACACCCTCTCCACAGTTGTCCATCTCTAGAAGCAACTGGGAAATTATCTATAAAAAAAAAAGATTGTCATAGGTTAGTAATAAAGTACTTTCTCTTATCTTCTTACACTCTTCTATCCATGCCTTCCTTTCATTTTATTCTAAGCTTTTTTTTTTTTCTTTCTTTCTTTCTTTTTGTTGTTACCTGCTTTCCAAGTCCTCCGCTTGATTCTCTAGCTCCAAAAATGGCTTCAAGTTCATCTAGGAATATAATACATGGACTACATCTTGTAGCCATCTTGAACACCTTAGCTATGGCCTTTTCTGATTCGCCCACCTCACCCTTAATTAGGTCCGGGACTACCACTGCCATAAAGTTTGCTTCTGACTCTGTTGCAACGGCTTTTGCTAACATAGTCTTTCCTGTTCCCGGTGGACCGTATCTTTGGAGATAAAGAGAAAAAAGAAAAAGAAAATAGATAAAAAAAGGACATTCTAATAAACGTTCAATTTTATACAAATTATCCATTCGAGTATTTACAGTAAGACCCCTTTGGATGGACTAATACCCATCCTCTTGAAAGCTTCCGAGTGTTTATAAAGCCAGATAACAGATTCCTCTAATGTTTTCTATTTACATCAGGGAGATAAATAAAAGGATAGTTTGGTTACAAGATCTCCTGTTTCCACCAAGTATGATGAATGACAAAACAAAAAGAAAGAAAGAAAGAAAGAAAGAAAGGAGAATGCAGAGAAGAGGATAGTATTTTATTGTTCAATAATACCTTGACTTCCTCAAGACCCCCTATATCTGACCAATATACAGGATCGACTTTCTGTACACTTGTGCTTTGACGTAAGGCAGAGACCTTAATCGTCTTCATTGCCTCTATAAAGTCCTGGACTGTAAGTTGATCCATTGTTCGCTCATGCCGCTGATAAGCAATGATGGCTGCTTGTCTACAGAGTGCATCCAAATCTGCAGCAAGGTATCCATGACATTTTGCCGCAATAGGTTCAAGGCTGACTTGAAGCCATTCTTTCGTATCGAGGATTTCTGATGATTTGACATGGTCTATTGCAAAAGTAGACCCATCTCCCTCTGTCTGCTGCTGCTGCTGCTCATGTTCATACTTTTGTTCTTGGGGTTGTAGGGATATGCCATGATTGCGAGCACAGGCCGTCAAAATTAGGCATCGTTCTTCAGGTGTTGGGATATCCAGCTCGATTGAATCATCAAATAGTGATGCAACTGAAGGGTCCAACCCACGAGCATCTTGTGTCAATCCCAGAACTATGACTCTTGGCGCAGCAGAGCCCTTTATGGATGGCGAGGATATGTGATTGGATGAGAATGTCGATGACGATGTTGATAGCTCTTGTTCTACTAAATCATTTATCCATGATTGAAAAGCATAAACTAGCGCGAAATCACTTTCTTCACGAGGGAATATCAGTTCGATATTGTCCAATATGACTGTTATGAACCAGATAAATAAGCAGATTTAGGAGGGATATAAGCACTATTGATCATAACGTAGGGTTCCTCCTTTCAAGATGAATACACGTATATAAGACAACCTGCCTACAGCTTTAGAATGATGTTTAATGGATCCAAGATACATTTTGAGACCTTTAAGCAGATCGCCTGGATACATTGTTGCTAATCCTCCAATAGTGATCGTCACTGTGCACGGGATGTCATATTTTTTACATAGCACCTTGGTCAGATATGTTTTTCCTAGATGTGATAATGATTCATATCCAAAAAAAAAAAAAAAAAAAAAAAAAAAGAAGGCGTCAGAAATATGGTATGGATCAACTCAGTCCAGTTTTAGCCTTCATGGAGCTGTATTCCTTTAGCTTTTTCTTATTATTTACCTACTCCAGATTCCCCTTTGATGATCCATGCCCGTGGAAGGCCACCGAGCGGACAAAATGCTTTGCAGAGTTGCCCGTATTCCTTTGGTGAACTTTGAAAAAAGAGTTGAAATGCCTGATCTAATCGCTGAATAGCATCATTGTTTGGTAATGCCAGGCTTTTCATTCTTTCAACAGTCTGTTGCTCTTGCTCTAAGGACCCTTAAACCTTTTTGTATTCTAATGGCTGCGTTACTGAATGGGTCTTTGCATTTGCTTTCGTTGTTTTTCAAGAATTTATTGATCTGCCCATTCGAGACAGTCACTCCACTTAAAAAAAACGCGTCGCGTGAACAATAGGAACGCTTACCATATTAGGAGTAATTACTATTTTTGTGTTATATCTTTTTCTTACTAGCCACATCTATGTGCTTTTCTAATTGTAAACTATGCTATTTTTTTTTTTTTCTTTCTTTTCTTTTCACTGTTTGTTCTTACTTCAAAAATGCCGATTGGCTTGTAAATATTGACTATCATCTCCCAGTTCTTTGGCTCGCTCTTTATCCTTTTTTCCTTCTCCCTCTTCTTCTTCTTCCTCTTCTTCTTCCTCACCCAGTCCATGATGATATCCACCATACTGCCCAAACTGAGCTAAACCGTACATATGCTGAGCTGGCGGCCCCATCATGAAGACATTTGGATGAGCTACCCAATCAGGTTGATTTAGATACCCAAGACCGTGACCATGCTCATGCGTATTACCGTCAAGACCGAGCCCCCCAATCAAATTCGAGTGAGAATGAGCCAGATGACTTTGGTCTGACGGGTATGAATCCTGGTAAAGGGGGTATCCAAGGGGTTGGGGCTGTTGCTGATATCCTTGCTGGTGCTCATCATGGCCTCCAAAATGTTGATGTTGTGGCGGTTGGTGACCTTGATGATTCTGAAAAAATCCTGGGTACATATAGAACCCTGGCGAGACCGTATCATTAGCATGTACATGGGTGGATGAACCGCTATTGATGTCGGTATTGTCAACAGTATCGTGTCTCTTCAAATCCTGTCCACCCCTCTTGTCAGTGCCATTACTTGAGTGATTCATCAGATATGCATGATCCCCACCATGAACGTTTTCATTTCCATTGCCGACGGCTAATATACCATTGTCTACGCTTGTTGGCTCAAGCTCTGAAGATGGAATGGCGTTCGAAGGGAATGAAAAGGCTGTTGGGGATTCAACTTCTGAAGTGTAGTTATGCAGTGCTCCATAGATAGGATGGAAATGAGGATGAGTTTTTCCAATGGAGCCAAGGTTGGCTAGAAATGGGTATTGATTGTATTGGGACGGTGAACCTGCATATGGATGGTGCAATAATGACCCAGGCCCTGAAGTAAATGGTCCAGGGCCCACCGTAGTGGCGGTATGGCCGGAGCCTGCGGCAATAGCGGAAGGAATTAAAGGCGAACTGATATTGATGGGTGACTTTGAACTAGCCTCAAACTGAGATGGAGATTTGGCTCTGTCGCCTGATTTGTCTACTCCTATATGGTTCTTAGTTGATAATGGCGAGGCTGCAGCCTCTACTGAGCCATCTGTCGCTGAAATATCGGGGGTATGGCTCGAATGCGGACTTAACAATGCCGACGAAAAGGCGCTGGTGCCAATGGGGGGTGGACCGATATTGACCTGGCCTGGCAGCGTTGGGCCAGGGATCATTGGATGATTTCCAAGAGGCATCATGGGAGGCTGGTGGAAGTTGGGAGGAAATCCATGCCCGTGCTGTGCGTGCATTGGATGGAGTTGATGTGGGGAATGGTGGTGAGGTGGATGTAGGCAATGATGATGAAGTGGGTGTGGAGAATGGTGGTGAGGTAGATGTGGAGGGTGGTGAAGGTGGTGAGGGTGGTGATGTAGATGAGGATGGTGCACAGGATGAGGATGCATTATTGGACACATATTGCCGTGTATCATTGGCCCATGTCCCATTGGCCCAGCGCGACCGTAGTGAACCCGAAGAGTACGTCCATTGTATTCTTGGCCATCAAACATTGCTATAAAATAAATCAACAGTTTGTATATTAGAGATATAGAGTGAGCATGTTACCCTCATCCTTTTGCCTATATATGTACAGTATGCGAACTTACCAATAGCATTCCTAGCACCCTCTGGAGTCGCAAATAATACAGATCCAAAACCTCTGCTCCTGCCATCATATCCAAGAGTCACGTCGGCCCGAATGATATCTCCTGCTTTGCGGAACAGATCCTTAAGGTCCTGCCATTGACACGTAAACGGAAGCTATTGAACAACAATGTAAAATATATATTGCTGAAGTTATTAGTCTAAACGATAAGGAGGGGAAGCCAAGGAGTGTCCAATGAACATGTGCACAGTGTCATACATTTCCAACAAATACTTGACGTCCATGAACAAAGTTTGGATTCATAGGAAGAGGGCTTCTCTAAAAGCAATTCATATATATAACCTGTTAGTTATAGATGATCACATTGGGATTTCCAGTTTTAGCAACAGCTCTTTGTTACCCTCATGCAAAGTGTATGAATAATTTCGTGCATACAAAGAACGGGCCCCCATAGTTTGGCCCAGATCCAGTCCCTCGAATCTGACTTCCTTCCAGACTATGGAGTCCATGTTCAAGTCCAGGTCGAGCCTCCTGTACATGGATTACGCGATCATGCCAATGGAAGCGATCAAACATTTCTGTTTACATGCAATGAGGAACATACCGTGTAAGCTTATTAGCAATAAGGAGAAATATAGGAAGAAATACACTAGAAAGAAATGAAAAAAAAAAAAAAAAAAAAAAAAAAGACTCACGAATCGCATTCCTGGCTTCCTCTTCAGTTGCAAAAATAACGGTCCCAAAAATATGTGATCGATTATCAGGTCCTAGAATAACATCCGCTCGGATAACGCGGCCCGCTTTTCTAAACAAATCCTTCAAGTCTTGCCATCTTACACGCGACGGAATCTAATGTAGAGCATATCGTTATGAGAATGACAGCGATAATAATAAAAAGACCAGTTTAAAGGGGCGGGAATGGTTGGAATGGTTGGCATTATCAAAATGGAAGAAGAAAGCGGTTGCCCATAGTAGTGTTGGCTTACATTTCCAATGTGAATGGTTCGTCTTTGGGCTGCATTGGTCGTTGTTGGTGTCTCTATAGCACTGTCGCCCTTAATTGATTCATTAACTCCTTCACGATGATTGTCAGTTAAATTAGTCAGATCCTGATCCGCAGCATTTGATGTCTTTTCCCGACCCTCAACGACTCCATGTACATTCAGTTTCTGGTCTAATATCTCTGCGAGCTTGTTCATATCCTAGTCGTTTTTTTTTTTTTTTTTTTTTAAGAAATAGAAAGATAAATAAAAAAAAGCTTCATTCCGTGATCAATGAACCAAAGGAGGGCCAAGCATTCTAGCCTCAAAGAATCAAAGTAAAGCATCTATTCAAGTTACCTCAGGCTGCGATGGAATGGGTTTCCGTGGAGAAAAGTCTATGATGCTCCTATCCTACTCAATGGAACAAGCCATGGCATGTGAGAAATGCTACCTGTATTTACAACTTTATTTTCATCCGCATGCACCGTTGTTATTAATCATATAAAAGGGACGTGCCAATACCTCTCTAACTTCCAGGAGACGTCCGTGCCACTCGTATCCATTGAACATTTCTATTTTGATTAATAAATATTAATAGATAATAGGCATTTGAGGAATGCAGAGAAAATAAAAAAAAAAAAAAAAAAAAAAAATGCATAAGGGATTCACTCTTTGTTACCCTGAGCTTTCTTGGCGTCTTCAATTGTTGCGTACAATACAATACCATGTCCTTTGGATCGACCATCTCTTCCTATCATCACATTAGCGTGGTGAACTGTCCCTGCCCCTCGGAATAGATCCTATGATGATAAATCCCATGAGGGTGGAACATGTCAGAGATAGGTATCGTAAAAGATCATCTTTTTTTTTGTTTTGTACTATATGAGTTGTATAGAACTTTTAAAAAAAAAAAAAAAAAAAAAAAAAAGACCAGGCTTTACTTTAAGATCCTGCCACCCAACTGAGATGGACGCCCGTCAAGGTGGAATAGAAGAGTAGAAGGAAAGATAGAGAGAGAAGAAAGCATATAGGTAATGTTAGAACAATATTGGCTTTATGAAGGAGCACGAATATCGATGAAGGAGAAAAGATCTCGATCAATGATCATACCTGAGAATGGTATCTATGATATAACATTAGTTGATAATCCATCTTGACTATTAGCAAAGCTTTATTCAATCTTATTTGCAAATAGAAGAACAAGAAGAAAAAAAAAAAAAAAAGGCTATGGCTGCACCTACATTTCCGACAAAAAGCTGTCGGCAGCGCAAGCTCATGGTCTCTCTTGTCTACAATAAAAGAAGAAATCTTTTTTATTTGGTCTCCGTTATCCTTGTTCTGTCTGTATCTCAAGTTGAATGTGTATGCTGTGAACATGAATCGCTAGAAGTATAGAAACGAAAGAAGGTTGTCCATGTTTGTTCATGCCAGTTAAAACGAGTTACAAACTAGTGAGGTTCGGCGAAGCCCTGTCCCATTTTCAATAATATAAAAATGCATGTGCTGTGGTACCTGGAACACACTGCAGAAGAATAAAAAAAAACTGTAACACCCAGAGAACACGACAAATAAAATTAAAGAAGGAGACGAACCGATGTCGAAGGGCAATGCAAAAACAAAAAAAAAAAAAAAAAGCGATGAAGCAGAAAAGAGAAAGAGGAAAAGAGAAAGAGAGTCTTTCTTTGTTTTCTCTCTTCTGTGTCTTTGTTTCCCTTTGGCCCTTGTGTTCTCTGTTGTGTTCGTGGTAAAATCAGCTGGACACAATGAGGTCACTCTATCTTTTTCTTTCTCTCCCTCTCTTTTTCCTCAACCAAATGACCGCGATGAAGAAGAAATAAAGACTGGAGATTCTAATGACACATTCTTTCTTTTCTTTTTTTGACCAAGAAGAATGACAAAAAATGTGTTAAAGGAAGGAATGACAATAGAACAATAGATTGGGGCTACAAAAAAAAAAAAAAAAAAAAAAAACAATAAAGGAGATAACACAATCTTGTCTCCTAGCCCATGATTGCTCCATCTGTCTTGTTGCTTGTTTCCTCTGTGGTGACTTGTATTTTGTTGCAACGCGTCAATAAGATTACACACAGAATTATGGTCATTCCAATAGCCATCACCATATATACTCCGTTTACTTTTTTTATTTACTCTTTTTGTTTACTGCAGAAACGCCTTGAGGCTGTCGATCTGTGCCTGAACTGTGACGCGGCTGGTACCACCAGGTGTGCAGCGATTCTCAATACTCTGCTCAAAATTCCACACCTTGACCACATCCTCCTCAAACGAAGGATGCAGATTCTTAAAGTCTTGTAATGTCAAATCTGCCATCGAGCAAGAGCGCTCCTCTGCCAAACGAACAGCCTCACCCGAGATATGATGGGTCTCACGGAAGGGAACTCCCTTCCTAACTAAATACTCAGCCAGGTCTGTCGCTAACATGTCTGTGCTCAGACTAGCCAACATCTTCTCAGGCCTGATCTTGAGGGTCGAAAGAACCCCTGTTGTAATTTGGAGTGATCCCATCAATGTGTCATAGGCATCAAAGACTGGTTCCTTGTCCTCCTGTAGATCCTTGTTATAGGTACTGGGCGTGCCCTTGTAGGCCATCATGAAACCAGACATCCCTCCAAACACACGACCCGACTTGCCACGCAACAGCTCCAAACTGTCTGGGTTCTTTTTCTGGGGCATCAAACTGCTTCCAGTACTAAAAATTGTCATCACAAACACGTGGGAAAAAAAAAATAGAAAGTCAGTCACACAATCGATTGATTCACAGATCTTTTTCTTTTTTCTTTAAAGAAGACAGATAAATGTCGTTCACAAATATACCTGTATGCATCTGCAAGCTGGACAAAGCCGAATTCGCTTGTACTGTATACGATCAAGTCCTCTGCAAAGCGACTGATGTGTACCATCGTCAATGAAGCCCAGAATAAAAACTCGGCCACAAAGTCACGATCACTGACACCATACAACGAGTTGGGCATCAATCGAGCAAAGCCCAGCTCCTTGGCCAAGAAGTCGCGATCGATCTGGAATGGGTTTCCTGCTAGAGCTCCAGATCCCAGTGGCAATTGGTTCATACGGTCCAACAGTTGTTCCAAACGTTGGCAATCTGCATGCCAAGACCAAGCATGAGACAGAATCAAGTGTGACCAACGAATAGGCTGTGCACGTTGCAAATGTGTATAACCGGGCATGATCACATCAATCTCAGCCTCTGCCCGGGCAACAGCGGCCCCAATCAACTCCTTGAGCACAACCACCAACTTGCGTCCTTCTTCACGAACCCAGATACGGAAATCTGTTGCCACCTGGTCGTTACGAGAACGTCCTGTGTGAAGTTTTCCCGAGATGTGTGTACCAATGATCTCGCCCAGGCGACGTTCATTCGCAGTGTGGATATCCTCGTCTCCATCCTTGAGTTGGAAAGTGTTGGCCTCCCATTCTGCAAGCACGCTGTTGAGACCCTCATGCAACTTGACTGCTTCTTCTTCAGTGATGATTTTTTTCAAGGCCAAGGCTTTGGCGTAAGCTTGGGATCCAATGATATCTGCTTTGTAGAAGCGGGAATCAAAGGAGATGGAGGCATTAAACTTTTCCATAAGAGGATCTGTCTTGCCTGTGAAGCGGCCACCCCAGAGTTTACGGGCAGCAGGGGCAGGTTGTGTGGTGGCCATGATATGATATGATAGGAGGATATGAAAAATGATAGTACTATACAGGTATAATCAAATAAGGGCAGAAGAATTACCAGAGAAGAGAAAGAATAAGGATTGAAGCGAATAAAGATTTAACAAGCAAGACGTTGAATGGGTTGGGAGAATGTCTTCTTTTATATCCGATAAAGCGTTGTGAATCAGACAGCATTTTGAACAAAATAGTTGTGACGGCCTACTGTCCCCATGAGAAGATCCCATTTTTTTAAGGTTTACAACACTTATTGACTCGCGCTGACCCATAACGATGTTGAACTCAAAAACATCAAGATCACTCCAGCTCAAAAAGTGAGCGAATGAAGGAGTGGACGTGAAGAGAAATAAATCATAATAAAAGACAATCTCATGTCAGCACGCACAATCCATCCTCGTTCTTTTATTCTCAACGCCCAGCCCCATTACAATGTGTTCCTGAGATCCTTTCTCCAAAGGTGCAGCCTACTAGTTCCACCCCATCGATCCAGTCTATCCTTTGCGCTATCATCTGCTCCAGAACCGATATATGACACTCCTTTATTTCAACCATCATCCCCTTCCTCCCTCTCTTACTCAACACACTCAACATCCTCTTCAGTACGGCTCCGTATCCATTCATCAGGCCCTAAACGGAACGACTCTGACTGGACGCCTGAGCATGATTCGATACTTCTGTCCCTTCGCGCCCAAGGAAAGACTTGGACTCAGATTGGAGAAGCTCTTGGTCGCTCCCGACAAGCATGCAATCGGCGGTTTGATTCTGTACTCAATCCTGAAAGCGGTGAAGCCTTCTGGAAATCACAACCACACAAAAACCATTTGCTCAAGGAGTACGTCCGTCAGCGTCAAAGTTGGAAAACCATCGCTCACCATTTAGGGACTAAGGCATCAGCATGTGAAAGGCAATGGAGGATCCTGGCACGTCAAAGCCAAGCTCAGGGTCAAAATCAAGGACATAGCATGGATCATGAAGACGGTAGGGATGATATGGAACATCTTGGGCCTAGTAGAGTAAATGCGCTATCATCATTAGACAGGGTTAGCATAACAAGCGTCAATAGAATTCGGTGGACGGCGGCCCAGGTACAACGCCTCAAGCATGCAGTGGCCGAATATGGCTTAAACAACTGGGAGACGATTGCAAATAGTGTCTTTGATGGACAATTCACGCCGACCTATCTTCGACGTCAGTATACAAAGCTGGAGCAGAGGAGGAAAGTCTGGAGAGAGCAACAAGATAAGGAACTCTCCTCGGCAGTCATGAATCTTTACAAAAGTCTATTTCCAACACTACCAACCCCATCATCGTCTGAATCAGTTTCACCAAAAATAATGGATGATGTACTCTCACAAAACCAATGGGATATGGTCGCAAAATCTATATCCGGGGAACATTCGGCCTCGGAATGTAGGGCTCATTGGTTGAGGATGCAGCTATGGGCACTAAGTAGGCAGCTACGGGGCCGCAAAAACGTGTCAGTAGACGCAATAGATCATGATGGTGATGGAAACAATCATAATATACATCAGCAGAATGCACCTGCTAGTTCATCAGAATCATGTATTGCTAGTGCTTCCCAGGATGAAAGGGGATTATGGACACTACAGCAAAGCCAACGACTAGAATCAATCATCAAGTCTATGAAAGAAAGCGCCAGCATCTCCGACACAAGTAACACCATGTTTACCATCGATTGGGACAAAGTGTCGGCTTTGATGGACCATAAATTTACAAAACAACAGTGCAAGAGCCGCTGGAATCGTATGCTAAGGCAGGTTCAGGGTTCCACAACATCCGGACGATGGGACGAAGAAGAAATCGAGAACCTAGTGGTGGGCGTATACAACCTTGGACCACAATGGGCAGAGATTAGGCGGAACTGGGTCCATGGGCGTGCTCCGACGTTCATTCAAGGGAAATGGGTGAGCATCCGAAATAAAGTTTATAATGAAATGGTCGTTCAACGATGGACTTGGATGCAGGCCAGCATAGAAATCTATGGGCAACATATTGGCGAAACACTGGGCAAGGTTGCTGAACGCTGGCCCTCACTCTGTGAAATGCCCACCAGGCATCAAAAACATAAACCAAAGTGATCACCAAATAGACCCATGGTGTTCTTAGTAAAAAAAAAAAAAAAAAAAAAAAAAAACGATAAATGATATGAATGATACATAGATATTTATTTTGATACATGGCTGACATGTTGGTATAGTATTCGACGTCGAGCGCGATATATGGTACTTTCCCCTTTCAGTTTGCGAGGTAGAAAGCAAATGTTTGTGGATTGCTCTGCCACCGAATTGAAGGCATGCCCATCCTGTATCTAATTTCAAGCTATTCCCTTTTTTTTTTTTTTTTTTTAAATGTCCTCTTTCTTCTTCACCTTTCTTTTGCGCATTAAAAAAGTAGCTACAACATGAGATTTAGAGCCAAAACTATGCTACAACGTTGCTAGCCTCAGTCTCAGTCTCAGTCTTAGTATCGGTCTCAGAGTGAGTGACACTGGTAGCAGTGATGGCTTTTGGATTCCCTTGTCCGCCAGGTCGCATCAACAATCTCATCTTTGCGACTTCTTCACGTGCACCTGCAACTCTCTTCTCCACCGTATCTTTGGCTTGATCAACCATTAGCTGTGCCTTGGCAGTCATCTCTCTGGAGCGCTGCTGGATCTCGGTACTTGACTTTTCAATGATTTCAGTCGACAGCTTCTGGACTTCCTCTGCACGAAACTGCAGGTAACCTGTGGTTTGGTTGGCGGTATGCAGAAATCCTCCTGCACTTGTCAACACTGCTCCCAATACATTGCTGTCATGTGCAAAAAAAAAGAGAAAGAAAGATAAAAGTACAAATAAAGAGAGAGAGAATATGAGTGTAAAGTGAAGTGAAAAGCTGCATGGATGATTTGTGATGTAATTTCATGTGTTACGGCCAAAAAAAGGAAGGACAGGGCTGAAGTAATTTCCCAACATTTATGCCAGTTGGCGCTTACCGGACAACATGGTCATACCACCAACCGAGCAGTGGCATACTCTGGACAATGCCCTCAAGAGTCCAAGAGTCTTGATGGCTGTAAATCATGGGTCCTTCAGGCGTGTCTTTAAAAAGAAGAGTCGTCGTTGCTGGGACCTGCAAATGGAGAAGCGGAAAGACGCGTGGCCGCAAGTTTTGGACAAGCGAAATGATGGCGGTGTGCCCACTGTGAAACCAAGGAAAAAGATACGATTGGTCAACAAATACCGTTTTGTTTGTGTTGGGTCGTACGGGTGGCTATTATTTTCATTTTTCATTTTTGCCCCTGTTGCACGCGACAAGGGATTTAAATGAATATGTCTTTTCTCTCTCTCCTATATTTTGTCCCAGAAGAGATTATCAGTCACCAATGTATCCCGTCGGATTCGATTTCCCACACATTTACGTCGGAAAACTAATATTGTGCTGTGTTTGTCCTGTCTATCCCTTATCCTGTGTTCCTGTACATGTATGCATTTGATATCCCCAAACCCTCATTTGTAGATCGTTGGGGGAAGAAGAGAGCTTGTCACCTACTCAAAGACAATGTTTGTGACTTCCGGTTCGTCCTTGTTGAGTGACGTCCACACTCGAAAAACTTTTCGAATGTTATAACGACCCTCAATTGTCAATGCAGGGTGAACATATCTATTTTTGACCAAAAAATATCGAAAGAGAGAGCGAGAGAGCAAAGTCGTTAAAATAAACAATAAAGCCATATTTTATTCTAAACACCCCTACAAAAAGAAATAGAAAAAAATGAAAATAAAGGGGAGAAAGAGAGATTGCTCATTGTGTATCCCTCCAAAGTCACTGCGCCAATGACTTTATTCAGGATAGAAAAAAAAAAAAAAAAAAAAAAGTTGAAATAGTCTGCGGACTAAGGCTTTTTTTTTGTCGCAAAGTGTGAAATGTGTCGAATACCAAACCAGCCAATTCCGACCTATCAGAAATAGAAATATAAAAAAAAACACTTCACCAACAAATACGTACTTTGCATCGTCAGTGAAAAAGTCTTCAAGGATTTCCTTGTGCATCTCTTCATCGTAACTAGTCAAGCGATTAGCGAGCCACCAGATGAACTCCATATTTCGCTCTGTTGATAGTCAAAAGACAGAAACAAATATGTTATTTAAGAAAAAGTGTTTGTTATGCATTTTCTACCCTTCAGTAGAACTCTGGATGTGTAAAGAACAGAGGGATACTTCATCAAGAGACGATCCCTGTCTAAGACCTGAAGTATGCGAGTCTATTTTTTTTTTTTTTTTTTTTGGTAGTACGAAGAGAGCAATAGCACAATAACACATACCAGTGACTGCATCGTGGTTATTGCTACTGATGTTACTTGTACAACTGACAGTGCTCCTTGATGAAGAGCCAAAGCTTCGGTTAGAAGATGTTCCCATGATGACTGTAATGGAGAGTAAGTAAGAATGCAAATGTAACTGTGAAAAAAGTGTGGAATGCAATGAAGAGAATAGGAGTATAAAAGAAGTGAGGAAGTGAGGAAGTGGAGACAACAGGTGAGCACTCGGTGTCGGTGTGACGAACAAACAAATCGAACAGGGTTTGTGGAGAAAAAAAAAAAAAAAAAAAGTTTTTTGGGGAGAAAAGAGATCAGAGGAGAATGGATAGGACAAAAAGAGACTTCATCTTCCTTGGATAAGAAAAGCTAAAAGCACGTCCACATCCTTTCCACTTGGAGCAATAACGACTGGGGAAGATAAAGGAATAGGGGGAGATGTAAGATGCATATAATGCAATGTAAAAAAGCAAAGCTAAGCTAAGCACTTCTGAGCTGAGGAAGCATTAATGGAAAAAGCACTCGACATCAGCACTCCCACCCAATCAGCAGATCAGATTAAAGCATAAGTATCGTGATAAGATATAGAAAACAAGAAGTCAGTCTCTTTTTCGATCAGTCTTCCCCTTTCTTCCCCAACAAGTCCCTGAGATCAACATGCATGACAAAAGCTAACTCCTGTGCCGCCACCTTCGATCGGTATTTTATTTAATGTGTCATGCAATACAAAATAGGAAGAAAACAATCGACCTCAATATATAAATGTGTGTATTTCCACTGTAGTCAAATCCGTGTTATATCTCCAAGGCAAAACAACATTAATTCTCATCTAAAGACTCTAGAAATTGGATTTCTTATCGGCAGGGATTGAACACCTCTTCGTGAAGGCAAAATAGGACAAGGGAAAAGAAAGAAAAACATGCTTTGACTTTTTTTTTTCTTTTTTCTTTTCCTTTTCGTTTCTCAACTATCAAGTGAACAAAGGCGCTGCTTGTGGAAAGAAAACAATCAAAGTTTTTTCTTTTCAGTAGCATAGTCGAAAGCACTTGACAACCATGTCTTTTTGGCGATTGTGATTTGCCTTGCCAGCGAGGTTGGGTGTCCGCATCCATCCTTTACGGTCATTCAAATCCAAAAACCAATTCGTTTTCTTTAACACCTGGGGTTGCATTGTTGCCTCAACAGGGCGGAAAGGTAAACTTGTGTGTATTATTTCTCTCTGAGAAAAGTTCATACAAAACACTTGGAAGTAGCTCTTGTCTAGCAATCGTTGTGCTTTCAATCCTAGGGAAAAAAAATTGCAAAGACTGACAATGGGATACAGCACAAATAATGAACAGAGCATAGGGAGTCATATTCTCAGCATTATTCGTATGCTTGTCTCAAAGAAAAGGCCTAAGTATAAACGATTTGTACTGTGAAACTGGGAATGGCTCATTAAATCAGCTATAGTTTATTTGGTCATACCTTACTACTTGGATAACCGTAGTAATTCTAGAGCTAATACATGCTAAAATCCTGACTTCTGGAGGGGATGTATTTATTAGATAAAAAACCAACGCGGGCAACCGCTTGTCTGGTGATTCATAATAACTTTTCGAATCGTATGGCCTTGAGCTGGCTATGTTTCATTCAAATTTCTGCCTTATCAACTTTCGATGGTAGGATAGAGGCCTACCATGGTTTTAACGGGTAACGGGGAATTAGAGTTCGATTCCGGAGAGGGAGCCTGAGAAATGACTACATCCAAGGAAGGCAGCAGGTGCGCAAAATACCCAATCCCGACATGGGGAGGTAGTGCCAATAAATAGCAATACAGGGCTTTTTAGTCGCAATTGGAATGAATACAATTCAAATCCCTTAACGAGGAACAATTGGAGCGTAAGTCTGGTGCCAGCAGCCGCGGTAATTCCGGCTCCAACAGGGTATATTAAAGTTGTTGCAGTTAAAAAGCTCGTAGTTGGATTTAGGCCCGGCTGGGCAGCCTTGCTGTATGACATGTACTGTCTTGACTGGGTCCTCCCTTCTGGTAAGCTGTCGTGTTGTTTACTCAGTGCGGCAGGGAACCAAGACTTTTATTTTGAAAAAATTAGAGGTTTAAAGCATGCATTCGCTTGAATACATTAGCATGGAATAATAAAATAGGACTTTGGTTCTATTTTGTTGGTTTCTAGGACCAAAGCAATGATTAATAGGGATAGTTGGGGGCATTAGTATTTAATTGTCAGAGGTGAAATTCTTTTCATTAATCAAGAACGAAAGTTAGGGGATCGAAGACAATCAGATACCGTCGTAGTCTTAACCATAAACTATGCCGACTAGGGATCAGACAAGGATAATTTGACTTGTTTGGCACCTTATGAGAAATCAAAGTTTTTGGGTTCCGGGAGGAGTATGGTCGCAAGTCTGAAACTTAAAGGAATTGACGGAAGGGCACCACCAAGAGTGGAGCCTGCGGCTTAACTTGACTCAACTCGGGAGGGCTCGCCAGGTCCAGACATAGTGAGGATTGACAGATTGAGAGCTCTTTCTTGATTCTATGGGTGGTGGTGCATGACCGTTCTTGGTTGGTGGAGTGATTTGTCTGGTTAATTCCGTTAACGAGACCTTAACCTATAAAAACGTGACAAATATATTTGTTTATGACTTTTTGGCGAGGACTCCATTTCCTTTCCTAAGGGGACTCAGCTCTAGACGTTTTTTTTTTTTTTTTTTTTTTTTTTTTTTTTTTCATCCTATGGATCGCGAGACACCAAGGTTCGACATAGGAGAGTATGATGGCTTTATTTGATCATTTGATGGCTTGGTCAGTAGTAATACTATTCGCATCACTAGTATTATTCGTATCACTAACATTATTCGCATCACTGACATTTTCCGCATCACTTTGCACTTTCTGTGAGCTAGGTTTGTTGTTTTCTTTGAGCTTGATTAATGACCAATGCCCGACCTGCAGCGATAAAATAGTCGATCATTGCCCGTTTTCGTGTTTGATTACCGCCATCCTCTCTTTCTGCTTCACCTACTTTTCTTCTCTCACTACGCACTTTTTTTCTCTCCTCACTCACTTTTTTACTCATACATACACTCTTTGACACCTATTTATTTTTTACCTCTCTCTGCGTACTCGTTTATTCTTCTCTTTCATTACGTATCTTTTTTTTTTTTTTTTTTTTTTTTTTTCACTCCTCTCTCTCTCTCTCTCCTGTTGCTAGTTACTCTTTATAGCTGCTTTGTTCAGGTGCTTGAAGACTAGTCATTGTATGCATAGACTACTTTTTTGGTTCAAAGATAAAGAGGGTTATTCACACAGTTCACTCATGTCTTTGTAATCCTCATATTATTCTTTAGCGATGGGAATCGTGGGTTTGTGGCCCTTCGTTCGAAACAAGGGCTACGAGGCAGATGTTTACTCTCCATTCCTTACCTCTAAGCTCAATGACAACACAATCTCCGGCATTCATCGTGTTGATATCATGGCATCATTTTACAGTACCATCCGTTTTGCCTATACCAATCACCCTCCAGATATTGCTCACACTATACTCGAAAGCAAAATAACAAGCTATGGAATTCCTCGATCCTCATGGCTGTACCTCGATGGGATAGCACCGAAAGAGAAGTTAATGAAGTATCGGAAGCGGATGCTGGATCGCGAGATAGCGAGTCAGAAGGCTCAAGAAACTCTCAAAATATTGGAAAGCATCATCAAAGAACGACCTCAGAGTCCGTAAGAGCCTCTTTATTAAGATCAGGAAACTTATCAATGCAGCCTTTCGTTGGTCGCCAGAGCTCAAAGGATCCTTTGCCCATTACATGTGCAGCAAGGGTTGGAATATAAAAGAATGTCCCTATGAGGCTGATACGGCCATTGCGGACGAGACAATGCCCGGTGATGTAGTGATCTCCGCTGATGGTGACATGTTTGGCTATGGCAACATCACGACAATCTGGCGGCCGTGCTCTCATCACAAATTTCTTGTGTACGATGTGTCCCGACTGTGCTGCAAACTCTTCAAATATCTAGAGATCAACTCACAGTGCTATGCATTATATCCTCCAATGATTATAACCGCAACGTACCAACCCTTGGACTAGTCACCAATTTTAAGATTGTCAAGTCATTGACACCAGAAGGTAGCATTATACAGTAAAATTATGACGCTTACAGTTAGATTTGGAAATGCCATTCTATTTTATTTTGTTTTGTGAGTAGATCCGGCTACTATGGTTCAGAACTATCTTCAACACGAGCAAGTCATCAGCGAAGATGTCTCCACTAATCAGTTTGAGCCAGCTTTAGACGTCTTTGTGTTTCGAAAGCAGACGAAGCCACTCACCGATATTCCAGCTGTTGATGGGGCTATCACAATATATATCGATCTTGAGAAAAAGTTTAATGATCTTCGCGATTTACTAAAAGAGAGAAAGGATGAGCAACGTGCTCTGAAGGATCAAAATAGGTAATGTACTATGGTAGTAATACTACAACAGCTGAAAAAAAAAAAGTAATAGCGAGCTAATATGCCTCTTTAATTCCCTTGTTTTTAACGATCCGGGTAATGATCACAATTGAACATGTCATCCAACTCTTTCAACAAATGTCGTACTATGGATCGATTTCCTGAACAGTGGCCGCCTCCTCATGAATCTGAGAGGAGATACAAGTATAGAAAACGCTTCTCGCTCAAAACTCGTACACGTCTTTTAGAACATGAGCCCCCGGAAAAAATGAAACAGTATGTTCTGAAACCATGGACTTCGCGCGATCAGAGTGACAGTAAGCCGCCCAAGAAGAAGCAACGCAAAGAGAGGAAAAAATTGAGAGCTCTGGATAAAAGAAGGCTGGTCGAAGCAATGCAATCAGTGCTCCTATTCGGACCATTCGAATGGATATCAGGATTCGAATGCTATTCGAATCGAACCAGGATATGGCTTATTCGAATCAAATCGAATAGGAGCACTGGCGGCTATAGATCAGAAGACCGCAAAGGGTTCAAGGGATACAAAGCCAGAACGTCAACGATACTCATCCAGGAAATGGTTGACCATATAAGATATATCCAGGATGACGATTTCGACCCTAGTTTATATCAAGAGCGTGACTACGTCCTAAGAGGCTCGATTCGGACTGACGGTTTCCTTCTTCAACTTATTGCATTCAAACTAAAGGAGCTTAATGCAGTCAAATACAAGCGCCTGCCTGAGGAGAAGCTTCCGTCTCGTCTCACGTCCACCCTCGGAGGAACAGGAGATTTTCTCACCGAAATCAGAAATGTGGTAAAGACTAGGAAGGATGTGCTAGACCTTTGGGGAACGGAGCCAGACAAATCAAGATCCTCGGCCTAGATCTAGGTCAAGCTTTCATCGCTGGAGCCAGCGCTTTACTACCTGACAGTCTCAAGACAGATAAAGGCAAAGGGATCGATACGTCAATCAGGAAACCGACTGATAAAGACACTAAGTCACATTCTGCTACAAGGTTCTACAACTTGGCTATAAGCCAAAAAGCAGCGTACCAACCCACTTTGAGACATCGACACTGGCAAGAATGGAAGAAAGCAAAGACAGTATATGACACCATGTCTGTTACTGGAATTGAAAGCTCACTACCCTCCCTTCGCGGCGACAATGCCAGTGTCAAGGATTACGTAGCAAGGTTGGAGGAGGTTGAGGCTCATCTGGGTTCGTTTTACAATGACTCCAAAACCTGGAAGAAGAATAAGTGGGACGCAGGAAAGGCAAGAAGTGAAGAATATGGACATATGGTGAACAGCCCTCTCAAAATCATTGGAGGGACAATAGGGGAGATCCAAAAAGACGAAAACAAGATGATTAATGGCATTGGCCTTGGCAAGTTCCAGTCCAGCAGAGGACTTTCATCTCTTCACGAAAGCTTCAAGTCATATTTTGTGAGAACGGTATGTAGTAAGTAGTAGACGAATCCTTTGTTATGGTTGTTCATAATGTGGTTCAAACATACTAATTGTTATTTATTCTTCTTGTTAGGCAAGGGCTCTAGGCTATATCGTAGTCGGGGTAAATGAATTTTATACCTCGAAAAGATGCCCGAGCTGCGAAGGATTCGTTTGCCAGGTAGACATAAGGAGGCTTTACTGCAAGAAGTCCATCACAGAGACGTAATGGCAGGCCACAACATTGCCAATGCAGTCCGCGGCCAGCTAATCAACCAACAGCGACCCTCATATCTTCAACCACAGGATGAAGCTGGCAACTTTCTCTGGATGGTACAGAAAGTCCCGCTCATGGATGCCAGCAGTTCTGGAAGCGGAAGCCAGGGGCACAAGCGCCAACCAATGACGGAAGGGTCAGAGCCAAAACGAGTTCAAATAGATTAATTTAGAAATTTTAGTAGACTAATTTTGCGTGTCAGCAAACACGCCAGTCGAGTGTGGGCGAGTTTTTGTATGTGTAATAAGGGCTCTCCGTTAGAGCATTTATGACGTAATTAATAAATCTTCATGAATAATGAACATCCATAAAAACATATTGTACTTGCAGCTAAATACAGCCAAAGTTGGATAAAATAAAATGTGGAACAAGTGTAATGAGATAGAAAGATGAGGTTTATTATCTATCAATATTCGTTAAATATACGGGTAAAAAACATAATCAGACTAGAGAAGAGATTTATAACACTCTGTTTATTTTGGAGTGAACATCAAATAACGGACCATATTGGCGCTGCGAAGTAACATCTTTACTCTTTCTGCCATCTAAAGAAAGTTGATTTTGGTGATAATAGCCATTAATAAATAGGTGTGAGTTGTACAATAAAATTAAAGGCGAAGACAGAAAGAGAATGCAGCTGGAGGATAATTCCGCAATAATTACCTTGTCATTGTTTATTACTTCCAATTCTAGCAGGTACAGTGACTGTGGCAGTTTCTACAGCTGTTACAACATTTTCCTGAAGGGTTAGACGCCTTGCATGTCCCACAAATGTAATTCATAGTGCTTGCACTATTAATCATATTGGACATTAATTTCTTGAAAGATATGTCAGTGAATTGTTTTGCAGGTTTAGTGAAAAGATGGTTTGGGAATGAAATAAAATTCAGGAAGATCACTTTCTTTTTATTTCTATTTTCTCCTTTGGTTGTCGCCATGTTTGTGCTCCCTTTATTTCTTACTTCGCCATGTTTTAGTTCACTTTTTTCATGTTTGTGCTGGCATAATTCAGTGTAGTGCACATGACCTTTACAGAAATTACAAATGAATAAATTTATTAGGTATCACGTGCACTGACCATCGATTATATTGCACTACCACTTACGTATCATGCATTCAGCGTCCCAAAAAATGCACTGTATACCTAGGCTATTTTTATGAAGTTTTCTAGGTACTCAGGCACCTTTTTTTTCACCTTTAATGCTGATTGGCGCAAATGAGATCACGCCATGCAAGAAAAGGTTGATTTGTAATGTCAGGAATGAATGAGGATGAAGCTGACAAAAGGAAAGGTGAGAACAATAAATTGAAGTCCATTTTGCTTCTCATTCTTTCATTCCTCTTTAACTAATCTATCTCACAAAACCACGTCATTATATCTATCTACCCGCTTTCATATTACTTAAATTATGTCTTCCTCTAACAACACTGCTTCCTCTTCCACCAGCCAAGTTGCTGGCAAAAAACGCGCTCGTGAGGAATTGGAAAACGACAAGAGCGCAAGTCGCCAGACCTCACCTTCCCTAGAAGGTCCACCTGCTGCCCTAGCGTTCCACTATGTGCCATGGGAACGTCCCACCAAAAATATACACGAAATCCAGAAGCTCTTTCTTGAGGGTCCATTCTGTACTTTCAGGGAGCGGGAAGACAGTGAGCTTTATCAGGATGGCGATGAAGGGAGTCCTCGCAAGATCCTCTTTCTAGAGGGAGTGCTAAAACGCGATTTGTCCAGCAAACCCGTGACGCGTGGCAAATTTGAGATTTTCGGGCTTCATGAACCATCGCTGATCAAGCAGCTGAAGCGTCGTGACCTCAGGCTGATCAAAAACACGGAATTGCAACGGTTAGAAGCGTTAGCTAGGGCCTCGCAACGCGCACCGGCTGCTGTCGTTTCAGTTGCAACAGAGACTGACCGTCCAGAGTCGACGCTAGAGATGTCAGAACGACAGCTCCGAACGGTTCTCACTGAACTGGAATCAGTTAATGTGGACTCGCCTCGTAACAAGCTTTTGCAAGAAAAAGCAGCACTGTTGTTAGATGTGTATAGAACCTTTAAACCAGTTGCGGAATAAAGTGTTGTTTTCAAAAATATATATTATCATGAGTATAAAAAATTCGTACGGCGGTGCACTTTGGAGAGTACATCAAAACCATAGCTTTTTATTTGCCCTTCTTCTTTTGGATAGACTTAAAGTACGCGTTTGAGGACCCAGCTTGCCTGATTGCAGTATCCATTGTCGTTTTTGCCTTTATAACTCTGTCGTTCAGTGTTGGTCCTTCAGTCTTCAGGACCTCAGCCAGAGTAGCAAAGATAATTCTTCGCTTGAGCATATACTGGTTCCTAAGATTAGGATTCCAGCCTTTGCGCCAGTCCTTTTGGAACCTATTCAAACTCCAAATCGATGGCTTTGCCCCCTGGGCCGTAAACCATTCATCCCAAAGAGGAAAAAGAGGGGTGACCCTTGACAACATAGAGAAATTTGGGGCTGCAGCTCTGACCTGGTCAATTGGGAGCTGCAAGTAAGTCTCTGCAATCTTATCCGCTAAACATTCCAACTTCATTGTTTCCATGGCTTCATTTATCCCTCCATCTTCCTCTTGTTCCTGCACCTCGGGGTCTACTTGGTCTAGTTGCTCATTTTGGCCTGGTTGCTCGTCTTGGCCTGGTCGCTCATCCTGCTCTGGTTGCTGCTCCAAAGCATCCATCCCCCTTTGTTCAAATCCCCGCGGCTGCTCCTGGAGATGCTGCCTTGGAGGTATATGATGTATAAGGTCATTCAACTGTTGTTCTTGCTCTTTCGCTTGACGCTGCTCTTGTTGCGTCAGAATGCGATGCTCGTTCTCCATATCACTAGCTAAATGCCCAAAAGACCTGGCGGTTGTCTTCGTAAGGTTCGACATTACAGTTTGAAGCCCTTGTACGATGGTTATCATCTCACGATGCATATGACTGCATGTTCTAGACCAGCCAGCATTACTATTCTCCGCTGTAGCTTGGAGTGCGCCCATAAAATCATCACGTACGTAATGATCCAAAGATGACACGCTCGATTTGATGGCTTGAAGCTCTTGATGGATGACTGGAGCATTGAAACGGAGACTGTCGTTTGTTGGTGATTGTGTCTTCTGCATGGCATCGTGAAGTCGCAAAGAAAACTCTTGGAACAGTTGCGACGAAAACACAGGGTTACTAGTGAAAACGTGGTGCTGGCTGTAGATACACAATGGATCGCCATTGCACGCCATCAGAGCAACTGCATCTTGTAAAATAACCTTGCGCAAGTGGGCTAGGATAAGCATGATTCGCATGGCTGGAATGTACTCAGCTGGATAAGGTACTGACTCATTGTCAGGACGATTCAGATCTTCGGGACGATCCATCATAACGTTCTCCATCCATCTGGCCCAATCGACATTGTCTGGAAACAGCTCCTCAATGAATGGAAAGATTTGCTTCTGTAATTCAACAGGCGGTATAACGGTGTTCCGCGGAAGCCAGAAATCCTCATTCTCGTGGAGAAATCCGGCCATTTTAAATGGTACAGTCTGCGCTACCGGACTAAGGTAATGCGTTACCAAGCGGCGATGGTTCCAATTACCATGTTGGGCAATATCTTCGATGCTAGCCCCATTGGCTTGCGCATGTTGCGCCCCAGCCTTACGGCCACTATGAGTAACCTTGGATGATGTGTAATGCGCTAGCTTCATCACCTCGCTTAGAGATCTGAGTATGGCTATGCTATTGGTTAGGAAACAGAGTACAAAACTTCATGTAATGGCGTATTTGCATTTCTGATAATTTCACTTGCCTGTAGAGAGTCGCAGCATCCATCGCTTTGTATTTGTCAGAGGCATGTACAAGGTACTGGGATTTCCAGTCATGCATGCGGAAATTTGGAGTAGATTCTTTCGTCTGTTGTGTAAGGTAAAGGGGTATTTTAATCATGGATGAATATTAATAGACAGCTTATATGCTGAGTTAATCTTCAACAGCAACCCATAGAAGCAGCCAATACGTACCATCCACTGCTCGAATAGATAAAAAGCGAGGCATCCAACAGGGCAAATCTCTACGTCCTTGTTACGAATAAATACAGAATGGAGCGTATGATCATTGTTCATTTTTCCTTGAGGGATTGCTATTACAATCCCAAGTGCGAACTGGTGTCCATTTCCAGCAGTCGCAAAGTGGTGGGGAAATAAGTGGCTCACTAAGGCATCTCGTATACTTTGTCCCCGAGTGATCATAAAATGATTAAATGCAAAACACAGACGATTACGCGCGCCAACTACTTCTGTGTCCTGGAGACAGCACTCAGATGCTTATAGCTCCTGCTCCACGAGATCTTCATAAATTTCTTGAACATAGATAGAGGATATCCCGCACCAACTGTCAGTTGCAGAACGTCCTGGGACGACGTTCTTTTGTGATGCCTGTAAATCAAGATAAGCCGGATAGAATAGTTGTAAGGCAGAGTTTTATGCAAGGCAGCTATAATAGAGTCACAATACCCACTATATTTTCTAAAACTTACTCCTTTCTATACCCGTCCAATAGCGCGATAACTTCAGGGACGCGTGTAGTACCTATCACATTTGCGGCCACGTTGTTATCCGAACACTGTTGAATGTAGAGATCTCGAATTCCTTTGAGATAAAACGCGATCGTTGGGTAAGCAGGATAATCGCCTTCATAGCTTTCTGTCTTGTGGACACGAGCGGGCAACACACTGAGATGAGGGTTCTCTTCATCTATTATGACTTTTGGAGCCAGGAGCTCGCGGACATACACTAGGACCTTTTCACGAGTGACCGTGTTATCGTCGCTGTACCTCTTGCGCTCGCACCATTCCTTGGGATGAATAGAATGAATTATAAGCTTTGAGCTATTTCTCCATATGGCATATATCCACCTTGTACCTAGTGACTAAGGAAATGCTTACGTTCCAATGTTTCTGATAAGCTTTATACTGCTCTTGAGTGGACCTTGCTTGATTATTTTTACGGACGGCCGAGGCTAATAGTATTGACTCTCTCTCAGACAGCGCGTTGCTAAGGTCATAGTCAGCCTGTGTAAGTGGTCGCTGTGGCCTATGCTGTTGTTGTGTAACGATGGGCGTTGAGCTAGCTGTTGAGGTAATCGTTGCAGGATCATCTGTTCCAGCTTCGAACATATCTATGGCAGGACGCTTCCGTGTTCCTGGCTTTTCTTTCAACTTCCTCTTTAGCGGCATTACTGGGCAATAGATACAGCATTCAGCATTGTAAGAAGAGTAAGAGGGTTGATGGTCTACCAAATTAATTTTCAAAATAAAAAAGTGGGAGAAATGATGCTGGTTACCTAATTCTCCATCCTCTTCATCCTGTTCATACAGCACTGCTTCGGGGTCGACGGCCTCATTCATCGACTGTAACTCTGCACTTTGTTGAAGAATGGCTTCAATATCCTCTGCCTCTGGTTCAAAAGTAACGTTCATAATCTGTTTCTAGCTCTGCTGATATAAAAAAAAAAAATAAATAAATAAAGAAAGAAGGCGTGAGACTGAGGCCATAGAGGGTCGGCGTACGGCTCTAAGCAAATGGGATACATAATGGGTCCTTTGCTCAGAAGCACTCCTACTCTCTTAGAGGGTGTTGGTATTGCGTTTTATTGAATCCATCTTTTTTTTTTTTCTAAAGGGGTTACGGGGACAAGAGACAGGAACGCCGAGAAAGTAAATGAGTGAGTGGGAAGGAGAGCTTACTCGGTTTAGAAGGGTTTGGAAAGGTGTTGGGTGTAGCAATGAAGAAGGAAGAAAAGGAATGCATGAATGCATGAGACATTTTTTTTTTTTTTTTTTTTTTTCCCAGTATAGCCTGGGAGGTATTTGCAGAGGTTACAAGCAGGATTACAATTGGTGCGAAAACACAATCACATATATACTTATTGAATACAAATTTTGTAATTTAAATTGTTAAGATTTCATTTTGTAATCCGATTACAGCAAACTACCGTTTCAGTAAATATCAGTAAAACAAAAGTAAGTAAAAAGTATATTTTCGGTAAAGTAAAAATTTACTGAAAAAAAAACTCCAGTACGTATGTTAAGTACATCAGTACAGGTCACTTCTTACTTCGCCATGTTTTAGCTCATTTTTTTCTATATACTTTGCCTTGTTGCTTGTTTCTCCACATGGGTAATTGGCTTGTGGCAGCCAAGCGTTCATAGCGGCGTTGTTTTTTTGAATCTTTTATGCGTTCTCCCTATCCTCCATGTAAGCGCAGAAATCCAGCATTGTCGAAAGTTCGTAGGCTCGTCACCAGCCTGGGGTCAAAGCCACGTGCTGCGAATGAACGTGCTGCAAGGCGGAATTGCCTGTTGAGGCAATTTGTGACAGCTCTTGTCGAAGCTTTTTACTCAGGCTGGAGACAAACATTGGTTATTAGCTGGGACGTTACAAATTTTTTTGAAGTCGAAAAATATATGGGAGTTCATATGCTCTAACGGTCAAAAAAAGATTTTGAAGTCGAAAAACATATACGAGTTCATACAATTTTTTTCCTTGCCAAATGTTGTCGAGTCTTCACACCATGAGCACTACCCTGCCCGCACGCTTCAACATAAATGACAATTACTGTATGCATTCACTGTTCTCACGCTCTTTTCTCCTCTCTCATCTCCACCAACACTCTTGCATCCTAACTTTGCTATTCAGAAATTAAAGATAAAAAAAAAAAAAAATTAAAAAAAAAATAGAGTGCAAGAAAAATAAACTCGAAAAAAAAGACAATGAAAGCAACAAAAGTGAAGTTTGTAACAAATACGAAGCAGAAGACAAATATTGATCAGACGCTAGCTAAGATCTTCCAGAATATGGAAAAGCGCAGGCTTACTCTCAAGGGCTTTCTAAAAGCATGCTTCGAGTCGAACGACTCAGACGTGAATTTGCACCATCCCAGCTAATAACCAATGTTTGTCTCCAGCCTGAGTAAGAAGCTTCGGAAAGAGCGGTCACAAATTGCCTCAACAGGCAATTCCGCCTTGCAGCACGTTCATTCGCTTCGACCTCAGGCTGGTGACGAGCCTAGAAAGTTCACTAAGTACAAGTTGGATAATCTTAAGGGGTCAACTATATTAATTTGATTTAAATTTAAGGTTAGACTTTATTAAACTCCAAACGATCTGCAAACTTTGCTTGACGCTAAATCGTGATTTAAGTTACGGGATCATGTGAACTCGTTGCCTCTTTTCATACATTATCCTTCATAGCCCAGCGACCCTTTCCTGTGTAATCTTTCAGGAAAGGGTTGCTGGTACGGATAATGAGCGTAGGACTTCCTTTGTCGCCTTCGCTATCCAACATACCTCACTTTTCCTAGCACATGCCTTTTCATACCATATATGTCAGGCTCGAATGTATATGACTCGAAAGCCCTTTAAAATATCTATCATAGGTTGAGGATCCCTACCTGCTCTATATCTTTTTATTATTATAATTTTTTTTATTTTTACAAAGTTGGAGGAAGAGGAAACTAGATGGGGAACCAGGCTCAGATTATATCACCTGAAAGCCCTTCAAAATGCCTATCAGTGGCCAAAATCCAAACCTCCATCTCTTGTATCCGGCGAGTTATTCCAATACAACCATTTTTTTTTTTTTTTTAGCAGTAAGATGCCTCAACAACAAATTCTTCCTCAGTTTAGAATAAAACTACAACCTGGTCTAGTCCTGCCCTGTTTCCCCGCTTAAAAAAATCCCTCCCTCCCCTTGTTCTGCTTGTCTGTTCCTGACATATTATCCACACTATCATTCTCTTATTTCAAGCATGGTTGTTAGTTTGCTTAGACTAATATTTGGTAGTTGCTTTCTCCAAAGTAAATACTGGTCTTGTTTTTTTTACCATAATCTGAAATTAAAAGAGAGTACGTTCTATCTCGTCCGCCCTCTTTTTTTTTTCTTTACTAAACAGACGCTGTGTTAATTCCGACACTATGCATGTTGAAGGTGAATGTCGGCATTGACGATAAATTTTGCGTTAGCATTAGCATTATTATCTTGTTACCACATACATGTACCTCTTTTGTTATCACTTGCCTCTTTTATTACCACTTTTTCTACTAATTAGTTGCCAAGCAACGTTTTTTTAGGGATCTCATAATGTATTTTTACAAAATATCTAGCTAGATATACAATATTTATCTTTTTTTTTTTTTTTTTTTTTTTTTTTTTGCGAAAGTGCTTCCTTGTCCATAATGCTGCACTTCACTTGGTCCACAATTTGATCGCGCATTAGAGTAAAAAGCCAAATCAATTCCTAAATGCTTTCTCTCTATCATCTCTGCCCTTGCGATAGTCAACTGTCTTAATCTCCAAAGTACAGTTCAATTCCCGTTATCTGTTGATCTGTACGGTTTTTAAAGTTAGTCCAGAAATTCAGGGGCAAAAGATTAGAGAGGATGGATACAGGAGACGAAAATAAACAGAACTTACAAATTTTTTGTGGGTGTGCCGGTACCCAAATACTTGTGTCTAGCGTCGTGCGCGCTTTGCAGCCGGAGCAGGCGACTCTTCCGTGGGCTTGTACTTTGCAGGTCTCTCTTGTCTCTCAATTTGAGCAAGACCGATTCTTGCGATGTTTCCCGCCCCTACTGCGTCACGGTCGAAGAATACCTTACATGTCCTGCAATATTTAGAGCGAGGGTACACCGTCTCTAAAAAGCTATCGCAGAGGGGTCGGGGACAGCGGGCGCTGGTGTAAAATTCGTGCGCTCCTACAGCGAAGTGTCCTCGTGCTTTGACCTAAGCGTTTCAAATGGCAGTCGTTTATTAGCAAGGGTTTTATGGCTTTCCAGCTTTGCTTACTTTTTTAAAAACAGCCATACCTGTGTGACAAGATGTCTCGTTATAGCAGTGTGCTTGCTGGGAACTCCTTTACTACTTTCAAAGGACCCTAGGCCGACGACAAGTACTCCTTTATCCCCAAGCATCTCCAACACTCGCTGTACCGCGTAGTCGAACGTAGCTCGTTGAGCCTTTCGTAGGTCCCATTTTTTTTTCAGGTGCCATCTGGACTCGTAGAACTCTTGAAGCACATCCAAATTCGTTGATCCTGTCTGTGTCTGAGACTCCTCGTTCATCCATTGAAAGTACTCATTATACGTATCCCTTCCAAACACAGGGATGGCGCTCTCAACCTCAATCATTCCTTTTTCACGCTTCCTTTTGTTCAACAGGTGATTGAAGCGGAGGACAGGGAGGTACAAGAACCTGCTTCTCACCTTTACCGTTTGCCGCAAGTTAGGGTTGTGAGGGTCCAGCGAGGAAAACGTAAGGGCGTTAACAATACCAGGATCACATCCGACGATAGTTGTGGTGTTTGCGGATGGGCATCGCCCTGGTTTGTTGAATGTGAGCTCAACGTTTTCAAGCAGCTTGGAGCTCCTCTTCCAGTTTATGTTTGCGTAGTCTTCATCTGTTAGGTCTTCACCGGCCGCCTTTGAACACGTCGTGTTGAGAAATCCCTGAGAAAGCTCCAGTTCTTGGATGGGGTCTTCTTCATCTGCGTCAGACTGCTGCTGTCTCTTCGTCTGGGTTGTGTCATAGGCAAGTAGATTCAGAACTAGACCGTTGGTAGAAATCGTCCCTTTGAGTTTGAACCGAGTTAGATCTTTGTCCTGTGACTGCAGGGATACTTTGTCTTGATATCCACGAACCATGCGATCACCTCCAATGTCACAAAAGAGAGCCTGTATCAAAACCCCTTTTGTTCCCTGTACACACTCATACATTGCAGTCTTGGAAGCATTATTGAGAGGCAGAATACGCTCCAGCAGCTGCTTGGTATCTTCGTTCGCCCAGAGGATGTCAACTAGGGCGTGTTCAGACAGATACACATACCCGGGTGACCAGGGGGACGTAGGAAAGTCTGAGTATTTTTTCACTTTTTTGTTCTCCCGCAAAAAAAACTCAATGTCGCTCATATCTTCGTTTGTTTTCTCGACATCAAACTAGAAAAAAAAAAAAAAAAAAAAAAAAAAAAAAAGGTGTGAATAAAGAGCATTTGATTGCAGAATATGCATGAAAATACCCCTACACAAGCTATACCATTGCGTTCCTGTAGTGCTGCCTTAATGATGTCTGTACTTGGCCCATTAGTAAGTCTGACGCTCTTGGAAATGTGATCTTTTTGGGATCAAAGCCTTGGACGTCCCCCAATGTGATGTCTATATCCTTTATTGGGGAAAGTTCAGTGGTGGCCTTGAAATGTTCATAAGCGAGGTGATGATGGGGCGTTTCTACCGCCTTTCCTTGTTTTTTTGCCCTCACGTAAGCTGAATTGGGGCCACCTTGACCACTCAAAAGAAGGGTGGCGAGACGGAAGGAATAATCATTGCTATCCAAGACCTCGTCCAGTGCCTTTTTCCTCGACTTTGCTGCCCCTGGTAACCGCATGATCCTCTCAATGTCCAAGGCAATCGCCCAGTATGCATAGCGGCGTAGTCGGTTGAGGACAACAACTGCCCCTCGGATCTGGCTTGCAATACTATCCCTTTCATCTGCGTCCAGTCCGCCTTTCCTTGCCACGGAGGCCTTAAGGGACCCAATTGTTAAGGCCTTGATAGGGTGCTTACTGCTGTAGCTGTGATCAACCTTCGTAGCATCCTTCAAGTTCCTAATTGGTGCACCTTCTTTTTTAGCCCTGTGGGGCTTCTTGCCTTTGTGCTTCCGCTTTTGTTTTTTCTGTTGCTTCTTTTTTGCCTTTCTCCGACGTGGTGGATGCTTAAGGCCCGGCCTATCGTGCTGACGGCAGTTACTGATATCAACTGTGCGCCCATTCATATGCTCGCCTTGTCAGAAAAGATGGGCCGGAACTGGTTCCTATGTGACCCTTCCGCTATATAGAATGATGGTACGCCTCTACATTATTCAAGAAAGGGGCTAACGATTAGTATTGGGGACGTCTGGTTTCAAGGCCAAAAATTATAGCTTGAGCTTTCTTACATTCTGCGGCGCTGCGCTCGCCTTTGCTGAGCCATTCTATGGCGAAGATCCTTTCCATTGAGTAGACGCTGCTTGAAGTTATCGAACTCATTGTTCGATGGTAACGCTTGGGCCGACGTTTGATGGCCGGAAGTAAAAATGCGGAGAGCTACACTGAAACGGCCTTCCTCAGAGGCTACGTTCCTTCCCAACACCTTATTAGCTTCCTCGAGGTAATCTTGAAGCATTTTATTATAGTTCTCGTTCCACGCAACCTTTCGAACTAATCGAAGATTATTAACCGGGCCTAACGTCTCGAGGTTCCTTGAGTAGTCATTGCCTGCGATGGCACAGAATAACACCAGATGCGCGTGTGTTGGCAGTCTTAGTGCTTGGATAACGTTGTCTACGTCGTAAACCCCAAACTTCCGTCTACGGTGTGGAAGGGGTCGCACTAGGATGCAGACTCGTTCGTACGCAAAAAAATTAGAGTCTTGGGATATCACGATCCTATCATTCTCCTCATTATGGCGCCCTATGCATGGATCCGCTTCATATGCACACAGACAGACATCGAAGACAGAACTAAGGCCTGTTGCCAGCTGATCCTTGTCCTGGACGCTCAGGGTGTGGACTTCCCGAAGACCCTTCTGGATGCGCCTCATGACTTGAGGACGAGTCCATACCCCACTCCGAGAATTTCTCTCGAAGGTGCTCATATTGTTCTCCAAAGCGTCCATATTTTTTTGTCTTATGGCTTGCCGTTCTGTCCTTGCTTTTTCTTTCTCAGTACAAGGTTCCCCATCAATATGTATAGTCAGGTTGTCCGTTGTGAAAAGATCCTTTATCTCGAGTGCCAGGGACCTTCCTACATCAATGATGGTTTCGTTTTTCATCTTTGCATGGACAACTCTGCGGAGGATGTCGTAATAGAACGTACCGAGGAGATCTAAATGAACAGAATGGTCAGGATTTGCCGCCAAGAAAGTGCCCACGTCAGTTTCCGAAGGTAAAACCCCGCGATCCTCAACCAGTTTGAAGAAGGACTTCAGCCCCATGGTCAATATCTAAGCGAAAAGAGAAAGAAAAAAGGAAAAATGGTGGTGATGAAAAGAAATGAAAAAGAAAAAAAAAAAAAAAAGAGCGACAAAGGTATAAAAGGATGAGCTTTTTTATGGTGTAAAGATTCAAAGCGAATAGATAAAGAATATTGAGGGAAAGATACAGGAACAAGTGGCAGTGGTAAAAGGGATGGGACTTTGAAGGAGGAAGACAATGATCCCTTTTTATATCCTGGTTTGATGATGAGTTTTATCATTGTCTCATATAGTTTTGATATCGATCCTTTGCTTCACAGGCCACATCAATCTTTATTCAGTTCCTTTGTTTGGATTGGGGTTTTGTCCCAGTCAATAGCAGAGATTGACAAATAAATACAAGCTCTCGCATGAACGGCAGATTGGAAACAATAACATTGAGATACCAAAGTGAGCATTCGAAAAAATCATCTCCATATACAGCATACAGTGTCGATGTCGATCCTTTTTACACAATTTTTTTTTTTTTTTCAGTTTCTTTTGTTTGCACTGGCTCTCGTTTTGTGCTTTGTGAGGAATTTAATGAATAAAAGAAGATTTATAATTTTGAACAGGGGTAATAAATGCATTAACAGATATGACTTGGTGATTATATCCTTTCAAAGGTAACAACTAAAGAAAAAAAAAGTCTTTTTTTATCAGAGAATGGGTTCAGATGTCGTTCTTTGCTCCAACAGCCCCAGTACTATTGCGTTAAAGCAGAGATATTCGTTGTCTCTCAGGTTCCGGCATCAATGGCGAGATAGGTGATGTGCTTATTGCTTGGAGTAAAAGCTAGCTAAGCACCCTTTCTTACTGGACGGTGCCTTGTTAATGGTGATATTGCGCAGCGCCTTGTGGATGGAGGGAGAGCAGAAGCGAGAGTGGTGGTTTTTGGCGGTCGTTTGGTGTGTGTATGTGCGAACTTGATAGTTGATACCAATCACCAAAATATATGCATTTAGAATTACAGAAGCGAGATTAATACCGACGCGTTTCATCCTTTCCTAGGGATTGTTATAACCATGGCATGATTGTGGAGTGGCCGCCAAAATAAAGTTTGTTTATTTCTTCTGGAGGCACCAATGGAAAACGCTTGTGTTTTGTGTTTTGGAATTGCAGAAAATAAATAAGACGCCGCGATGTAAAATGTGTATATGCATGTACAGAAACCAAAGAGATGCTTCAGCTGCTTATTCGTGCACACAGTGATTGACGAACAAAAAAGGAAAAAAAAAGCCCGCGATGAAAGAAGGCATGTACAGACAACAAATAAACACAGCAACTGTTTGCTCACATACATTTTTTTCACCGTTGTGTCTGTATGTCTTTTAAGCTTTCTGTCTGGCCGTTTAACACAAGGAATCCTCAGAAAAAGAAATACCTCGCATGATTGGTGCCAGGTCTGAAAACACCAATAATGCAATGCTGTACGTGGAAGATAGGGTCTAGAAACTATACCATTGTTATGCAGACTCACCGAAATCAACTTGTGATCACATGCCCTCTTGCCAAGGACTTGAACAGGCATACCAACCCCTTCTTCCTTGCTCTCATAACCGCTCACATCCTTTCGATGCATTCTTTCGCCGTTCATGTCCACTACATCTGAACCACACAGTTCACCACTCACTCCAACAGAGATATTTGTATCATCTTGGGTATGATATGTTGCTGTAGTTCCCTCTGGTTTCAACAGGCCCAACAAACTCTATTAGCAGTGTTTACCAACCCAGATATATCAAGAAGACGAGGAAGCAAATGATGTGACAAATCAAGTCTTGCCGAGCAAGCTCTATGGTGCGGTAGAATGAATCAACTCAGATTGCCCTCCTTTCAAGTCGATACTATGGCGAATATTATCACTGCTATTACACCAGTCAATAAATAAACAACACAATGGGCCCCCTAAGAGGATGCTAGTGTCATGCGAAAGCCTTCAAGAGTTTTTTTATTGGCACAAATAAAGAAGCCAGGATAGCTCCATGACAGTTTAGTTTTCGGTCATTTATTTCGACATCGAAATAAAATTTCAAGACAATGCCCATGAATTGCTGAATTTTAAGCCCATTTATAATGGCAAATTTGCCAGGTTGACGGTTTAAGGGAATAGTGACCTCTGTTTGGACATAAAATTTATATGTAACTCTCGTTATAGAGACATTTTTTATATGGAAATGTCACTATCGGGTATCACTATAAGGGGGGCTCACTAATTGGAAGAGTAAGAGTAAAAAGAGAAAAACCAATGCCTCATAGCAACAATCCCTTCACGAGCCGTAGCTGCACTCTCATTGCGAGAGGGAATGGGTTAGGCGTACCTATTGTTTGAAGTAAGGCGAAATGTAAAACAATTAAGAAGAAAAACAACCATTGCAGCAATCCCTTCACGAGCCGTAACTGCGAGAGGGAATGGGATAAGCGTACCTGTTTTTTGAAGCAAAGCGAAATGTTACACAATAAAAAAACAAAAAAGGCGTCCAGTGAGATGCGATTTGACGAAGATATGAGGGTCTTCTCTATAGGAGGTATGGTTTTCCTAGGTCTTGTTCACAAATGGAATAGAGAGACTGTTCCCTGCGAATAGAAGTGCAGGAAATGCATGAGGCAAATAAGTGAAAAAAAAAAAAAAAAAAAAAAAAAAATGGAATTAAATCAAGGTTGGGTTTTTATTGTTTTTTTGGGGGGCATGTGTGTATATACCATACTATTGACGCGCCTTGATAAAATCGTGCATTGCCACCATTTGGTTATGACACATTGTCATCCATCTTCAAACTCATTTCTCTTTTTCATTATGTATCCTTTTATTCATTTCTTCTTTTTTTCTACCTTTCGTTTGTTACGCCAAAGTTCCATCACCTATTCTTCTTTCCTCTTCCTTATTTTCTTCACGACCGTGACCATACCATCGAATAACAACTCTTTCCACACAAAAATACCCACTTGAACCACACCAAATTGCAAGAAAGTTGACCCCACGATCAAAAAGATGTATTCAGTCACGGCCTGAACTATTGTGCGTGATTGCAAGATACCTGCCTCAAAAGAAGGTCAAAGTTCTTATCTGCGTCTGTAGCTATGTAGTTTCTGGGTTCCCTGCCTCTACTCACTCGTCTTTCTCAGCTACAAGCCCATTGCTCAAAAGCACTGCCTGTTCGATGTTTGGACTCTATGCAATATCTCTCAATGTCTCTTCACTCATCCAAGAAGAACGAGGAAGTTATTTCTATGGTGCCCTAACCCAGGACCCTACACCTGGACACCCCTGCTCTCCGTTTGCGCCACCACTGCTGCAGCTGCGCTACCTAGCCTTGAGGAGCTCTCTTAGACAAATGGTGGAGAAATGGCGTGCATCAATGATCTAAGTCTCTTTGAACAACACCGTAAATTTAAATCTACTACTTAATCAGATGTAACCTTCATGAAAAGACAGCCGAACACTATGGATCTAGAATAAACATATGAAGACATTGGTTCTTTGGCTTCTGCCAAAGCAGTAATCCTAAAGTGAAAATGAGCTGCTCTCGCTCAACTAACCTTATAGAGCCACACTGGGTACTTTATTAACGTGGAACACCAGATCAAAGGCCTCTCCATTGTTTAACATCTTTTTTCATATACTCTTAACCTATTAAAACCAAGCCCAGCCACAAGCGAGGATAGGAACCTTAGTCTGTGCAGGCTGCTTTGAAAAGCTTTTGCTCTCTTAGCTGGCACAACCTATTCAGACTTGAAGGAATTTAACCTTATTTTTCTTTTAGATGCAACAGGTGACGCTCTGGCAAACCACATGAGAACACGTCGAATCGGAAAGATATACGCCATGAAAGCCAGTTTTTGGGCATTTGGCATTAAAAAGAATTGTTGATGTCTCCTCTAGAAGCACCAACTCCAATTCATTCAGTAACACAATGAGCCCTGTTCCCAGTAGCGTGGTTCTTGGCAGCTGTACGCATCCCGAAAGAGCTTAATCTCTAGAAGTATATGTAAATAACAGACATCATTCTAATCCTATTTTCAAACTGTGCCTATGGCGCGCCATTGGGTAGTACACTCACCACAAGTGCAGTCCAGTCCTGACACTTATACCCTATTTCCATTTGGACTATTGAGGCCGATAAGTGTGACCTGGATAATCCTATATAAATACCAAAGTCGATTTTTTCTCTCTTTTTTTTTTTTTTTTTTTTTTTTTTTTTGGAAAAAGCAACCAAGTCAGGGGTATGCCCCCATTTCTCTTTGCAGATATTCACGCCTCTAACAATTATTTCTAATTGCTAAAGAAAAAAGAATGTCGCGCTCAACTAACATGATAAAAAACATGACGATCGAACCTCTCTGTCTTGAACACGGTGAACCTATCCCTCGTCAACTTTCACATAACTATATATACAGTACTCGTATATTTTAACAATATCAGAGTGCATTAATTTTTATTTTTTTTTTTTTTTTTGCTGTTTTTGACATTCGTTGTTCCGTGCCCTTCTGGATTCCACGAAGATTCTTCTTTTTTTCTATTTTTTTTGGGTTATTGAGCTTTTGGTAAGACACCATGTGATGAAACAGGAAACCTAAAGGTCCTTTTGTAAACAAACCAAACGCCCATTCTCAATAAACACTGTCGACTCTTTGTCCAAGAGACTGAGTATAAAAAAAAAGGCTTATAAAGGGGCTGAATTGGTCTAAACATCTTAAATCTTCATTACGACCCCCCCAGGAATAATAAGAAATCTTAATTACCATCCAAAACAGCATAGAAATGGACGTGCTAAACAAGCTCGCTGGGGTCAAGAAACTGGCCATCAATGTCAATAGTCCAACACGATTGGGCCCAAAGGGAGAACCCCTACTCTATGGCACACCTGAACAGCCAGCTGTGATTTCGGGTGAGGTCGTATTTGAGTCGGATAGTGCCTTCAAGGGTCAAGACCTGACTGTCGAGGTCACCATGATGAACACCTCGGGATGGACAGGTGTTGTCTCTTTCCACTTTTTTTTTTTTTCTTCATGTAACAGAGTTCAGAACTGGAAACGGCATGCAAAGAATACCCATATTAAAGATTCTTTTATTTCTTCCCTTTTTTTAGATATTGCTGGCTACCATCATTTTCCTTACAGAAGCTGTTCAGTGTTTGGTAAGAAGAGTATTTCGGTCGGGTTACGCTACTCATCCCCAGGGACCATCCAAGCTGGCAAGTACAGGGCAACATTCAATGTACCTGTTAACATTACTGCACCTTCCTCTATGACGAATGAAAAGAGTTGGATGACTTACAAGGTGACAGCACGGATCCCTCGATCCCTTCCAAACGCTGATATTGTGGAGGAACGAGAGGTCTGGGTCATCAACTCCAATATTTCGAGTGGACAACGCCAAGGAGAAAAGCTCATACCTTGTCTCGTTTACGAGACTGGGGATGAACTCGAGCCCTCTGAGACACTGGATAACCCGAAGGAAGAAGCTGAAGAGCCTATGCCTAAATGGATAGAAAAACTTCACAACTTCTCATTGTTTTCCAAGAAGGAGAAGGTTAAAGGCCCTTTTGCCCCTTCCTCAGCTGGAGGCCTCTATTACACATTCGAGGTGCCCACTACCACCTTTATTGCAGGAGAGACTTTCCCGATCGCTCTTGAAGCTCTTCCGTTAATATCCAAGGAGGATTCCTCGCCAGCCACTGCTACTTCTTCTTTTGGAGGTAGCCCTCTCCCTACACAAATCGACATCCCTAAAATCCGTGTTCGACTGGAGCAAAAGATGTTTTATTGGCATGACAATGGCACAGCCAAATTTCCTGAGCCTAGGGAGTTTGGATGTGATTTCCCAGCATCCTTAATCACTGGCGGTGATGAGATGAAGAATGGATGGAGATTACTGCTCAACGCGACTCTACCACGATTGGGTGCTAAAGAAGTCAAGGTTGAAGGTCGGCTTGGAGAAGAAAATGCCACTGATGGGTTGAAGCCAAGTGTCCGATGCCGTAGTCTGACCATCAGACACAACCTTTGTGTCGACCTGATCTTCAAGGATTTAGTGCGCAAGTTTAAAAGTAAGCGAGTGCAACAGCAGGTTCTTTGCATAACCCGTTACAATTTTTTTTTTTTATTATTAATGAAATTTTTTATTAATGAAATTTTTTATTAAGGAAATTTTTTATTAATGGATTTTTTATGATTTTTTTTTTTCTTTAGTACCCATCACTATCACTGGGCCTGCAGGTTCTGAACCTGTCCCATCTCGATTCATTTCTGACAGTAGGTGGGTCTGCACAACTCGGCCAGGCCTGTTGGAGGATAAATTGTTGACTGAAACAGTTGTTCGAAGAATAGACGGGATCTTTACTGCCATAACTAGGACAGATCGAGGGGTTTAACAAGAAAAATTATGTATACCATACAAGATAAAGCAAATAAAAAAGACCTTAATTATAGATGTTCATCAATAGAGTTAATATGCATGAAAGCATGTAAGATCAAAATAAGTAGAAAAAAGGATAATAGGCTTGATCTGTGATAAGTTAGACATCTTCTACTTTGACAGCACCATCTTCTAACGCACAATAAATCGAAGCCCTGAAAGTTTAAAACAGTCCAAAGCCGATATTTTGGGCACAGGCGAACATCGAAATTCCAATAATGAGGCTTTTGTCAGCCAATTGAGGATCTTCGGTCTATCAAAAAAAAAAAAAAAAAAAAAAATCAGAGCAACATTTCAATAGCATGTGCAATGCGTATTACCGCCGATGGAACACAACTGACGTCGGATGCGCATTTTGTGTCCATCTGTCGGGTTTCTACATCATGAAGAAAATAAATAGGGCTCCGTTTGTTCCGATGAAAGGAGGAAAAATTAGAGTATACAATTGACCATGTGGCAAAGTAGATCGGTGAACCATTTGCCCGTGAGCATATCTTTTTTAGTCTGACCCCTGATGTCTACAAGTATTTATAAAAGAGAAGAGAACTGTTGCACGATCCCACTTGGTCTTTTTTTTTATAACCATAAACAACAACGTTCAGGGCAACACACCACGACATAATCATTTCATAATCATCATTCTCAACCTAGTTTTCTCTTCTTTTCTTTTCTCGCTCATCCACATCCATATTTTACTTTACTCTCTTCCTACTTCTATCCAACATGCACTCACAAAAGGAGGATCTCACAGCGAGAAAGAAATCATTATCTATTCATATACACACAGACTACATCGGTCCACATGGCATGCCTCTTGTTTATGGATCTACCTTAGACAGGGTTGGTACGATAAAAGGCACTGTCCAATTCTCTTCCAACTACGACTGCAAAGGACGCGATATCCAGATTATTTATGAGGCATGGGTCGAATCGCATTGGACAAGTAAGCATGCTTTGTGTTGATAAAAAAAAAAGTTGGTTAATTACAATGCTCGTAGAACAATTTCATCTCATCATTTTTCTCCTCTCTCCCTTCCTTTTCTCCTATTAACCTTTAGCTATTGAACATAAAAAGCCCATCCACCACCATAGTCGAGATGTGTTTGGATACCAGACATGGTCCTTCCCTCTGATCCATACTAAACACAATGGCTCAACTGTTGTAGCTGGAGTCTACGAGAAAGAGTTTGAAGCAATCTTGGCTCATCCCATGAAGGACCTTTACCAAGTTCGTAAATCCGTCGACAGCGCTGATTCCACCTTTAACACTTCATCCATGCATACTGCTCAATCTTCTCCTTCTCGTACTTCATCATCATCCTCCTTCTCTGGATTGCGATCGCGCCTTGGTCGCCACGCTGCACCATCAGGCTCGGCATCCAATCCAGGATCCTTGTTATCGCTGTCGATATCCTCACCTGCAGCTAGGTCCATTCTCATTGGGGAGGAAAACGGGCTAGAAGTGAACAGGGTCTTACCTTCCACCAGCTATAGCCCAGATGTAAAAATCAGGTACACCATCCGAGCAGTTCTCCAACGACCCTTTCCCAGTCTTTCAAATGTTGAGGCCTCTCAAGAGATTTGGGTCATCAATTCCATGCGGGATGCATCAACGGCAACACGGTTCGCGTCCTCACAAGGACAGCAAGAGCCGCAGCAACTACACATGTTGTTGCCGCTACAGTTGAAAACTCCACTGCCAAGGCCATCAACAAATCTGCATCGACGATTACCTCCTCGACCTTCTGCTTCGAGGTCTACCTCTGATGTACTTATTAACTCGTTGACACCTATGCCACCAACACCATATGGAGCTCAACAGGTACCAAAAAAAAAAAAAAAAAAAAAAAAAAAAATAGTAATCTTTGTGTCTTTTTACAAAGCCATGATTTGGCCCCTAATGCGCTTTTTTTTTTCTCCTCTAGTTTGTTGCTTTTCTTTGCTACTTTTGTGCCTTCGTCCTCGGGTTCGGATTATGTAAACGTTATGTTCCCTTCAAGACCTCTAGACCGGCCTGACCTTGAAATTTAGGAAATCAGGTGCAATTTTTGTGTCCCTACTCAAAACCAGATTCCGGTGACTGACTTTGGACATATCCGGTCGGTCACGAATTTAACCGACCTAGAAGGATCTCTCGGCTTTTCAAGATGCCTAAGCGGAGTCTTCCCACACACACATATTATATATATATATATATAATTATCCCTGTCTAATAGTGTCTATTTGTCACATGCCTCCACTTTCCGGTAGCGGAGTAACCTAGGGGCTCTATTACCTTACTCTCTCTCTTATTTTTAAACATTTCAGTGGCATCATTCTTCCTTAATGAATCCCCTTAGATAGAAATAGTTATTATAATGATAATGATAATGATAATGATATGAATAGAAACTTAATAATGCTGATAGAAACAACAACTACATATTATATGATGGCAGGTATGCATTAAATTCAAAAGCCAGAGTCATTTTATATGAATCATTTGACAATTAATACGCAAAATACAAGAGCTAAGAAAGAATGATAACGGAAACGATCAACCACAGAAAAAAAAAAAAAAAAAAAAAAAAAAAGCTACAAATACATGACAAGCAGAATGACAAATGGGCCACGAAAAAAAAAAAAAAAAAAATGCAGAATAAATGTGAAAGTAAAAGATAGTTATCATGATACTAAATGATAATGACAATAGTAATAACAGGAAAAAAAAAAAAAAAAAAAAAAAAAAGGTACCAACTAGATATTCCTTTTACTTCCTTCGCTGCCATACGCCTTTCCTTCCTTCCTTCCTTCCTCTTTTGACTTATTTTTTTTACGACGGTGCTTGAGCTTGTTGAACTTGAGAGATATCATATTGTAATTTGTTGTTATCTTGGTATTCATTCACAGCTTCATCTGCAAAGTCCATCAAGTTGCTCAAGTGCATATATGTTCCCAATGGCCACATAATCTTGGGAAACCGCACGACCTTTTCCTCGTAGACTGGTGCACCATCTACCATGCCTACCAATAATTTCTGCTTTTGTTCCACAAACCTTGAATAAGTCTTGCCACCACTACCTCCAATCTCTTCAGGATGGATACACCACTTCTTAAACGCCTTTGGAAAATTCTTCCGCACGATATCAGGCGTGAACGCAACTTCGCATTCTTCCAGTTTAGTCGTCAGGTTCGTCCACTCCTCTGCAATCTGCAATAACTTGGCTGCTAACTCTGAACTGATCACTACATTGTCCTGTGCCGTTGCTGCAGAATCCCCTCCTGAGGGTCGTTTCTTGAATTGTTCAAATGCTTGCATCTCCTTTCGAAGTCGATAGTTTGCATAGCTATGGCATTTGAAATAGACTAAGGCCTCTAGTAGATAACTCAGACCGTCCAATCCTTCGAATTTATCGCAGCATTGGACAGAGAGGGCGGTCGAAAATTGCTTCATGCTACTCCAACACTTCATTGACTCTCTGAGAACTAGATCCGGTCTGGACGAATGCATCTGCTCAAAATGTTTGTCATTATAGTGGAACGCTCGCATAAACGCATTGCTGCTGAGAAAATAGACAATAGCGCCCAAACGTGGATTATTCTGAACGCGGGTGATTTCATCTGCCTTACGCTTAAGTCCGATAGCCAGTGTGCGATATCTAAAATAAAATAAATAAAACCGGAAAATATATTTCTCTTATTAGAAACTATACCTTGTTACCCTTTTTTTTCTTTTTCTTTTTCTCTTTTTTATCTTTACCTGTTATACTCTCTAAAGTATTTGGTTTGCCCGTCCATTGAAGGCTCATTCGGCATAACTGACATTCGTCGTGGTCCTTCAAGCGATGAGCTCCCTGCTGACCCAGAGATGACTGCGCTATTCGAAGACATGGCAGGTGAATCGGTTGAAACCTTGGGTGTATTCACCTCCGCTTCTAACCGCCTACGTTGATAGTCCTCCATCGTAAACTTTTTAACTGGCGTCGGCTGTACCACTGGTGTCGGCTGTACCGCTGGTGTCGAATTTATAGTTGACTCTGGCTGCGGTTGAGATTTTGTAATGCTGTCTAGTGATGAACGAGTTGATAAGGAAGCAGTACTGCTCTTGGTGTTCTGGGAACTCTGAGAAGGAGAAGAAAGAGCAGGAGGAGGAGCAAGTTGAGATGACGACTTTGTGATAGGTGTAGATGTAGAGCCACGAGGATTTTCGGCTTTCCGGCGGTTAAACAAAGGTGATTCCCGGCCTCTGTCCGCATTTTCTTCAACAATATCCAGCGATGTAGGTTTAGGATGGCTATTATTAGTGGATGCTGCCACTGGAACAGGCAAGGATGACATTTCACGTGAAGCATGCTTGTCCTTGTCACGCCTGTCCACCACTTGTTTGTTCTTTGAAGGTGACCGTGAGCGTTGTCGCTTCCTGTCGCGCCGTGGGTCGCGACTTCCATCCCGCTCCATGCTTCTACTCCTATTTCTGCTTCTGCTCCTCTCCTTACTGCTCCTACTTGAGCTCCTACTCCTGCCCTTGCTCCAGCTGCGACTCCGAATTCGACGGCTTTTAATAGGCCTCTCCTGATAATCCCGACTAGAATTGTGCACTCGTTTTACTTTGGATGACGTGTTTCTTTCAGTCTCATAATCTCGTCGACCGCGATTCGATTGAACAAGCTCATGGCTATCGCCACGATCACGGCTTCTCTTTTGTTGCCTTGAATATGATCGTGATCGTGATCGTGATCGACTTCGAGAGTCTCCATGTCGTGGACGTCGTTTTGCCGTTCGGCCACGGTCATCCTTAAGAGTTGAATGTGATCGCCGATCAGTGTTGTCCTTAGATCTTCCTTCTCTCGCATGGTCATCACGAGCATCATCTACATGGCTCTTCTTTGATAGTTTTGATGATGATGATGCTATAGCTGTAGGATCTGGAGACATGCTACTCGAATAACTCCTTCTTCGGCGCAAACTGGCCTCTTTCTTAACGAGCATTCTCTTTGTGGAAGCTCCATTGCTGCCCTCAGTAAGATCCCGTGCTTTGTCTTTGACTTTTCTTCGATCCTCAGTATCATCGTCTTCGCTCATTGAATTCATCCTTGCAAGCTTCTGTCGCTTACGATCAATTGTTGACAATTGCGATGATTTTGAGTCCTTAATGGGTCGACCATCCTCAATCCTACTAGTACTACCAGAATTCTGTCGCCGTTCCTTATCTCGTTTCCTACGTTTTATAGTTGCCTGTGACCGATCCGATTCAGAACTTGAATCCGAATCTGAACCTGAATCTGAACTACTCGACTGCTCACGATCACGCTTTGTCTTCTTTCTTCTAGGGCCCTCATTTTCGGAATAGTGCTTCTTAGAAACACTTTTGCTCTTAACCTTTAATGGCGATGCCTGTGGTGAGAGCGAGCGTCCTGTAGTAGCATTGGATGCGGACTTGGACGAGACTAAACCATTCAATGACTTGAGCCTGGCTTCGAGCTCAGGCAATAAATACTGAGGTATATTAATTCTAACAACAGCAGGCGATTTGGATAGATGAACTTTGCCAACCCGTGGTAGTTGTTTTGCCTGTTCCGATGTAAGTAGACAGCAGTACTCCTTTGATACTGGCCCCTTCATCGCCGTAACTCCTACAGACCTTTTCCCTCCTAAATCCCCTGTCTTTGAGCCCCTGCGCTGCGCAGATTTCCGTCTAGGAAACATAAAAGAAAGAAAAAAAGAAAAAGAGTAAGCAATGAAAGATCCATGATAAAACAAGGCTCTCATTATCCTATGCCTTTATAGTAGCACAAAAAGACTCATCTTGAAGTATTATCCATGAAATCTTACCCAATGCTGTTGTAACGCGCATTGGGAATTGCGTCTGCTTCACTCAAAACAATTCCTTCTGAATCAGGTACAGTGGATTGATTATCTGACTCGTGGCCTGATTCTGAGCTGCTATCATCACTACTGACAGCCAGATCTGGTGGAACTGAAGGCACTTTCCCTGGCTGTTTCCCACCTGTGACAGGTCTAGGAGGTAGAGTCCACGTTGGCAGTGTTGGGCTCATGACTGTAGGGAGCTTTGAAATCATCTAAAATGAATATGAATGGGGGAAACACAGGGATAAACTATATTTTAGCCCGTGTGTTACCTACCAAGGGAACACAGTGAGGCAAATAAAATTTGACGTGTAACTTTAAAATAATTCCGTCCTTACCTCAATGCTCTCACGCAGCATTTCCGGAGGAGATAGTGGAGCACACTGTGGTCAGACCAGAAAAGACAAATAGATTGCAACAACAAAAGAAGAAGAATGGTTAATTTGAATTCGCCTATAGCATAGGCAAAGCGATATGCATTCCAAAAGCTTCTAGGAACAGGAGCCAAGAAAGCAATCCACAAAGCCAACCTGGTGATACACGATCTTGTTTGATCGGATATTGGGGCTAACATGTTATTGGTCAATGGAAATAACAGTAAAAAAAAAAAAAATTAGCGGATACGTAGTGAGTAATAACAGTAGCAAACAAGGGATCTTATAATAACATCTTAACACAGCGATGCGCAACAAATAGACATGCATTGTTGCATAGGAGTCTCGCCAATGGGTGCACAAAAAATTTTTGCGTGAGATGGTAAAAAAAAAAATGGACAGTGTCCCTTTCTGTATTATGGTTTTTAAAGGAGAAAGGATGACAACACCAGATTGCACATTCATGTTCACACACACGCTTGTACGTGGGTGCACAGGTACAAGCGCACATGCCCCCCTTGCTTGCTCTTTTTTTTTTTTTTTTTTTTTTTCATTCATCACACACATTGCACATGCTTTTATTATTTAACTTACCCAAGTAAGGGTCCAAAACCCGCGGCATAGCCAGAGATAGTCCTTGGGGGTGAAGGCGGTACAGTCCAGTCAGGAGTCTTGTTAATGATATTATTGCCAGGTCCTAATAAAGGTTTTTCTACAGATCGCTCCTTTAACCCAAATGGGCGAGGCATGAAGGTCGCATACTCGGATACATTGAGGAGGAGATCAGGCCCTGCATTAGGACTCCTTGAGAACCAGTAGCGCCTAAATTCTGCCATCTTTTGATCCAAATCATTGCCACTGTTGTTTTCATTAGCACCCATGGGTAATGACGATGTGGGATTGGTATTGGATGCGGAAGGAGGAGGGGTGTCAACCATATTGACATAGCTGTTTGGATTAACAGATGTCGGAAGCGAGCTTGAGCCAGGACTGGGACTGGAAATCGAAGGACTAGGCCAGGCTGTCCGAGCAGAGGCAGTAGTCGTCATTGAAAAGAGATGAGATTTATCTTGTAACAGCAAAAGTAGCCTTGTCTCCTACTCGATTTTTTTTACTTCTTCTTAATGTAAATGCAAAGTCTGGGTCGCTGGAAATGGATCCTTCAGCAAATCTGGGAGTGAGCACCCAAACCTTCCAAGACCCCAAGACGAAATGCTTCGGCAATTGGTGAAACACTTTTATGGATTTTTTGAACTTTTTTAAATAAAAAAGAAATAAAAAGAAGGTTTGAATGGGAAGACCAGGCGGGGCGGGGTTTCTTTTTAAACGTTGCGTGCAGATAATGAACGATGGTTGCGATGCAGTTCCATGCAGCGCAAATCAAACCTCGTCCTTGGTAGTAAAAAAGGAACAGGAGACAGGTGAAAGGAGGAGAAGGAGAAGGGAGAAAGAGGGAAAGAAAGAAGATCCAGAAAGAAGGGAGAAAGCGAGAGAAAGGTGAAGAGAGAGTGTGACAAAGAGCAGAAGAAAGAAAGAGAAAAGAAAAAGGATAGCAATGGTTGTTCTTTTCTTTTTTTTTCTTTTTTTTTTTTTTCCCTTGGCTGCAACTCTCGTTCAAAAGGAATTGCAGCTGTGTATACGTGTGTATAAAAAAATATACGTTTCTATAACACACACAACACTATGCGGAGATTGCAGAGGGATTGATCAGAATTTGATGAACACAATATTAAGGTAGTTGGATTCAAATGAGGAATGAAATGGAATAAAGATGAGATGGTTTATGTAAATGTTGTGGTATATGATAGTAGAATTGTCAGAAGGAGTTCAAATGGATCAAATGTGAATAAAAGTGTGTCTTGTGCGTGTGAACACAATTGAATTGTGTGAGGGTGAAAATTGGAAATGGTGTGAAAATTAAAAATGAAATGTGATCATGGACTACACTCAAAGGCCCATTGGGTTTGATCCGATCGCAAAGTATTAAAAGAAGAAACAATTCACACAATTACGATTGCAAGAAAAAAGAAAAAAGAGGAATCGATCTATGACAATCGTGAAGGAAAAGAGAGGCTTTTTTTAATGATTGAGGAAAGGGCGAACAAGACCAGAGTTTTTTCTTTGTGCAATTTAGGGGAGAGGACAAGTAACACAGAACACAGAAATACAGAAAAAAAAGAAGTTCCTGACAATGTCTAATGTGCATGTGTGTTTTAATGTAGACAATGCTTCATGATAATGGCTAGAATCATGAGTGGAAATGAGAATGTTTCTTCTCTTTCTGTTAAAAGAACATTCACAATGACCTCTTGTTTTCTCCTTCCTCCGTATACTTTCTTCTTTACATGAATACATATTCTTTTCAACGGATGAGCAATAAGAGACATATTACTATTACAGTTATTCCAACGCAGCTATGCAGCCTATCTGGTGATCTTTTTTATTTTTAATTCTTCCAAACAAATGATCGACCTTTTTTACCTTTGATTAAGTTTGTCAACCTGAATATGCTCTGGTTATTCCCCGTCCGTCCGGTCTCACGTGCAATCGTGGAGCTCATCCTAATATCCCACATACTCACACAGGCAACAAATGTTTGTATATTCATATCATTTGCTCTACATGGAGCAAAACAATTCTACATTCTGAAAGAGCCAACTTGAAGAGCTGAGTAAAATGTATAAATATACATTGCTCGATTATTTCTTTGACAATAATAAAAGCATAGAAATAAATACATTTTTGTCTTTAGTCAAATAAATAAAAGGACCCTGCAAAAACATTTTGCATAAAGCAGTTGAATAGAATAAACAAATAAATAAAGGGGAAGCAACAAGGAACAACAAGGAACAGCATGAATGAATGTCTTCCTCCTCTATCCTACATAAACCATAAACATACTTCCTGCCTGCTATGTGTCTCCTCCCCTCTCTTACATGCGGTGCTCTGCGATAACCTGCTACTGCTTTATCTCACCTCACGCGCTCTCAGTTCCCCACCACTCTTTCTCTCCATCATTGAAGAACAATTGGGCTATCTCCCCTCTTCCGCTTTCTGCAAAGAAGATTACCTGTCCAATAGGAATGCATTGAATGGTGGCAAAGTAACACATGAAATCGTGTCAAAAATATGTAATCTCGCATCTTATTACATTGGTAATCCAAACCTTGACAGGAACAGGTATCATTATCTGGAGCTGCTATTGAATATAAAATACAATATAAAACAACAAGTAACTAAATAACTGACAATTAAGGACCGTGGTCATGGTATTCCAACAGCAGCAAGACCCTTGACTCTTCTTTTTTATGTCAAATAGATATTAGAATCTATCTCTCTTCTTGACTCGCCTTCCTTCAGACCCTCATTCTGGAATAAGCAAAGTAATAAACGAATACTTTACGTCTGAAGGCTATTCTAAAACAATAAATTTCTTTATAATTATATCGTTCATCCCCTTAAGCATTATGGCTTCATAGGCAGCCTCGATATCAGCAACTACACAATTATCGACCTGGATATGGTCATGATATGGAACTAGAGTACTCTCGATCGTATGAAGAACTGCTGCTGCTGCTGTTGCAACAGCAGGAGTCAGAGTCGGTTGCTAAAATTGCCATCGACTACCCCAAAGATTTCAGAGTATGCATGGGGTTCAGCCTAATAATTTCATTAGAGGAACTCTTTTTATTGACTAGAATTTTTTGCTGCCACGTTCTCCTAAGAAACGCGAAAAGGCATTGTTGGCAAGCAATATGTACCAAAAGAAACTGATGACGCTACTCCTACCTCAAACGCATACAGACTTCAACCACACAGTTTCATTTTTAGGCAAAGAGGGTGTTTACACCCTTGGCCACGGAGGTGTACCATACCATGATCAGAATGGAAAGTTTGTAACAAAGGGATGCCTATACGAAGTATTGGCGTATTGTCGCCGCAAAAGTCCCAAGGAGGATGTGATGAAACATCTACAGAGGCTCGGTATCAACGGTAAGGTAAGTGGTATGATCTTCTCACTCTACATCGTCCTCGACTGTTGGCAGCTGTGGCTACTAAAAGTTCCTACGTCGCCCGATAGCAAGGTTGCCATGCTCTGTCACAGGACAGATAGCACTCTATTCTCCCAACAGTAACAACGACAGAAGCTACAACCGCCGTATGATTTTCGCTCACATTCTAACCACAAAATAGCAGTTCGTACCTCAACAAATATATCCAAATGATATTCCTACGCACTAACATCATGACTCTTCTCTAGGATCCCACGGATCCCACATTTCCTCCCCCTCTTACATTTGCCTATTGCTGTATATTATAATTTGTGGCACATTCTTCCTCCCGAGACACCAGGCATTGGTTCGTCTGGTTGCAGAAAAGATAGTCCTCGAACAAAACCCTAAAGAAGGCCATAGTCGAAGCGAAAAATAGAATAATGCTCTTTTAATACTATGACGTTCCATAAAATGGTTTCTTTTTATTCTAAAAAAATACAAGCCAGCTTTTGACATGAAAGTTGGTATCTGTTTCAATGTTGTTTTACTACTCTTCAACAGTACAATCCCCCAAAATGATCACTTCTCTGACCAAATGCGGTTTAGCATTATGTTACTATTGATGTGTAGTAAAGCTACTTCCTCATTGATCCACTACACGTCGTCTCGACAAGATGTTGGGCAACGTTACTGATTTATTTTCTTCTGCTTGGATTGTAACCGTCGGCATGCTGATTGGCTGTGCCTAATATCGATTGAAGGTGGATGGGTCTGTGCCCAAACAAGGACTATCACAAGGGTTTGAATATCGTCTCGAACAAGGGGCAAGGGAAGCAAGAAAGCACCATCCCATAGCCATCATGTTGCCAATTGTGTACACGTACATGTACAAAATGATACAACTAATCTCCATGAACTGATTTCAGCCCGAATTAACCCTGAAAGTGTTTGTCGTTTGTTTATCTGCAATCCCGTTCATTTGTTCGTTTGCTCGTTCGACTGTACAGCAGACAACATGACAACCAAATGACTGGGCGGTGAATTAACAGGTGACCCATGTGCCTTCCCCTACCCCTTTTTTAAACAAATATTATACATTTATTCGTTCATTCATTCTTTCATTACTTTCTTTCTCCATCATTCTCGTGTCATTTCATTTACCCCTTTTTTTTTTTTTTTTTTTTCCTCTTTTAAAAAAATCCCTTCCCTCATTCCTTTCAAAAGATCATTCCATTCACTGACAGCCTTACAAAAAAAAAAAGAAAAAGACATTATGTCGCGGCCTACGCTTGCAGAGTTGTCCATATCCTTGAACCATGTTCAGTCACTACTCAAACAAATCACAGATGAAGTCAAGGTTTTAAGCGACGGAATTGCAGTCTTAGTGGAACAAGAGGAGGCAGAGGACCTTGAGGAAGAGCTCAACTATCTTGATGTTGATCCTTGGTCCAATGTCAGCGATAAAGATAAGAATGCCGCCAAGGCCGCACGGCAGGACAGCATTCGCTCACTCTTACAACGTAAACCTTCAACCGTTAAGGATGAAACAAAAGCACTAGCCCGGATCTTGAGTCAAAAAAAATCAGGAACAGGATCAGGAACAGGAACAGGGGTGTCGAATGGTAAAGACTCTGAGAAGCAACAGCAACAAAAGCAACAATCATCATTAACACCACCTTCTCGACCCAACTCAAGTTTGCATGATCAAGCCATTGAGGAGGATTCAACCTCATCTGAGGGATCATTGTCCTATCAGCGCGGCCGAAGTGGAACTCCGCTTCCTGTTGAAGGAGACAAACAGGAGCTCGAATCAGGATCGGACTTGACAGCGGCTACATTAGAGGCTGAGCGCGTACCTCACACAATTACAGTCCAGACCACCCCCACGCCTACCAGATTCTCGATTGCCATCACAAAACCAGCTACTCCACAAAGTCCCTCTACGCCTGTACTCTCTACATCAACAAGCCATAGCTCCATCTTGAGTGCTTTGAATACCTATACCTCTTCAACGACAACTACCACCACTACCTCAACAACGACCAACAACGGCACTCATAATGTCCCTCCTCCATTCTGGAGATCCGCTACGGCTCCTAATGTGAATGAAGGGTCTAGACCCAATTCCGTCCTTGGTAATCCTGCGGACGGATATTCGGCGAGGGGAATCAGCGTCCAAAATGTATGTCCTACACAGCCACCTTTCATTATGTAATGTTGAAGATAATAATCATTTCAAGGATACCTTCATTCAAATGACCACACACTCACCTTTTAGATCGTTTTTAGGTACCCCAGCGTCGCTCTCTTCAACCCGAACCCCGAAGCGCTTCAGATTTACAGATTATTGGACAAGGCAATGGTAGTGTCAAAGATCGATACACTGTAAGGAACGAAATCTCTGTATTTGTCATCGGTTTGGCATTGTTTTCAGTGTTTCAATCGAATACTATGCTTAAATCCGCATTCACCATTTCTTTTTTGTGAATGTAGCAAGCGCTCAGATCCAATTCTCAAGGCGTTATATTGCACCCGTCTGTAGGGAAAGATTCATTAAAGTCGGTCTTTACTATTAATTCACCTAAACCTATGGTTGCTTCACAAGTCGAGCGGATCGAGTCTGCAGATTGTTTTAGTAAACTGGGCTTGGTTCCTGAACTTCTTCGAGGAATCTATGCATATGGGTAATGTAATTTTTCGATAACCTTCTTTCGCCTTTCAGAGCAATAGCTCTATTACATGTGTGTAACTTGCATTTTTTACTGATGTCATTGACACGTCTATTTGCATTTTTTTTTTTTTTTTTTTTTTTTTAGTTTGAAAATGCCTTCTATCCTGCAGCAACGAGGCATTCCAATGATCATGACCAGGCACGATGTCCTCACACAGGCAAAACCTGAGGTGGCAAAGACACTGACTTACGCTATTCCTCTTCTCAACTTTTTGACATTACCCGCCACATCGATTCACCCTCAACTTTTGATCTTATGCTCGAATCATGATCTCTGTCTACATGTTCAACGAGTCCTGCTGGCATTAGCTCGGTTCATGCCTACGATCTCATGCCTTATCTGCGCTGAAGGCACAAATGCTACACTGTCTTTAGGAACTATGTCCACTACCCAGCTCAACCTTGCTGGACATAGCACCACTAGTAAGAATGGGTTCATTAGCCGCGGATCACAACCATCTGATTCGCCTCAAGTCATTGCGGCTCATGTTGTCATCGGAACCCCTAACAAAGTATTGAATCTCATCAAGACAAAGCAAATCAGTATCTCAGCCCTCAAAGTCATGGTCTTAGAGAATGCAGATATCCTGTTGGCGCCGCCATTGAAAGATGCCACAGTCAGTTTGCTGTCCATGGTACGAGACCCAAGTGCCAATACGAATGGCGGAGCAGCAACAACAGGGCATGGACAGGACCTATTGCTTTCGCCACCCAATTCAGGACCCACATCACCAGTATCTGCTGCTGTAGCAGCACTTAATGGACGATCACCAGGAGGCGGGGGAAGCGGTAGTAGTCCAGGATCTGTACGATTCTCTGGGTCATTTGGCGATTCAGATAGTCGTCCTCGTTCTTTGCCTGGAGCATCCGGATCTAGTTACAATTCAGGATCGTCATCTTCACTGAGATCCTCACCTTCACCTCCTCCTCCTACCCCTGCTATCAATCAGCCTCAGCTTTTATTCTTTTCAACAGATGTGCCATCCCATGTGCTCGACTATGTGGCACAATATATGACACAACCAACCAAAGCACTCGTGAAGGGACATGAACTGGCATTGAAAGGAATTCTTCAATATTTTAAGTACATGACTGTGGATAATGAAGAGTGGCAATTATCGCTTCTCTTTGATCTTTTGGAAGACAGTGGTGCCAACCGAGCAGTCGTGTTTTGTAACAGTGACGAGTCTATAGAGCGGGTAATACGCAAGATCCGTGAGCATAAAGGATTTGCTATTGGCATTGTAAGTTTACTATTATTATTCGCTAGATGACCGACGGAAAAAGACTTTTGATCACGACTTTGTATTCATGTTTGACTTTTTATTTATTTATTTGTCTCAAGTATTCGGACATGGACATGACGGCACGGAAAGCCGCCATTAGCCGGTTCCGAGGTTCAGCACCCCCATGCTATCTTATTATGTCAGATGAATCCTCCAAGGATCTTGAAACCGTAGGAGTGCCCCTAGTAGTTAGCTTTGAGATGCCTAGTGTCGGCAACTATATTCCTCGGTAATGCACAATGTCTCATTTTGTCTTGACATATAGCATATACTTTGTCGATTTTTTTTTTTCTTCACACGATCGAACACTTTTGTTTTTCTACATTCGCTATGCTCTAAACTTTTCTCTTTTTTTTAACTTTTTATTTAGTGTCAAATGGATTGATCGTGCTAAGGGTAAAGTGGGTGCTAAGGTTACCTTAGTAGATGGTCATAAGGGAGAAGGCCAGGCACTCCGGGCGATTCAGCAACAATACCGAACGACTATTGATGATTTGCCGGTAAGCATCTAAATGAACAAATGACAATAAACCTAAGTCTCATCGACCCATGCTTTTTTATATTTTTTTAGTAATATCATTTTATATTAACACACTTTTTTTTTCTTTTTTTTCCTTTTCTCTTCTGGTAAAAAAAAAAAAAAAAAAAAAAAAGACAAACCTCGCAGAGTTCATCGTAAATTAGTTAATGATAGCTTAATATATAGTTGATTTTAATAAAATAATGAAAAAAAAAAAAAAAAAAAGCATCAGCCTCCTTTGGTGGCAAATCACTGGACTAGGCGAAGCACAATAATGCAACTTACGTATAGACCACCCAAATTTTGTCTAGGAACTGTGGTGAGACAAGTCTAGAGAAACTTGCTTTTTTTTTTTTCGATAACGAAGGCCCACGGGGTTATGTAGAATTTATTTAGATGCTAGCTCTATAAATAGGTTGTCCCATTACTGGCTTATTTTCAAGTTATTTGCCTTTATTTCCAATAATCGGTCTTAACCGCTCAGCTTATAATTTGAAGTTTTTTTTTTTTTTTTTTTTTTTTTTTTTGATAACAAGGACCCACGAGGTCATGTAGGAAGCTTATAATTTGAAGTTAGTTGATATGTTGTGGCTGGTCATTAATAGTTATATAAATTAATTATAACTATTTTATTTTTACTTTGTATCTACTAATCGGAACATTCTGTCGATCCACAGTTAAAAGAACCTTTGTGCAAAGCCTTAAGCTATAGGTGAGTCCACCTCACCTAGAAAGCACCACAGTCAGGCCTGTAGGCTAAGTTATAAAAGCCAAAGAACTTCTTCCTCAATAAAGTCTTCAGTTTTCCCCATACGTCTTGTTCTTGCTATTATCTTTTCCCCTTTTCACAACAAGCATTTGCCGTCCAGGAACTCAGTTTGTGAGCTAACCTATAAAGCTCCCATCTTTCTCTTTCGGCATCCTATGGCGCTGTTTGTCGTCAAGGTTGTTTGTCTTTATTTTCTCTTGTTATTCTTGTTGACACTCTTTGTACTGTCTTTTCCTGATTTTGTGTCTATCTTTTGCCCCTTAAGCAAAGATACACCTACTATTTACAACATAGGAAGGTTTTATATGATAAATTAAAATCTTCCAATGAAAAAATCACTGTCTTAAGAACCGGGGGGTTATACTGAGATGCCCTTAAAAACCGCAACGAGACGCAAATACATAGAACACACTGAAGTGTTGTACCAAGATAAAGGTCTTTATTAGTTTATGATACATATAATACTATACAAGTAACTAGTGCTGAGATGAATGAGGTTGCATACCTGAAGTGTTGTACCAAGATAAAGGTAAGGAACACTTCAGGGACGGAGAGTCCACTATTTATTATAGCGGGGAGGATCGGGTGGCTGAGCTCACGTCCAGGCAGGACGGGGTGGGTTTGAGGGTACCATGACGTCACTTGCTATAGGACGTGAGCTTAAGTTGCCTCGATTTAGGACACCAAATATCAAGGCGTGGTTGGTTTAGTGGTATAATTACCGCCTGCCACGCGGTAGACCCGGGTTCGATTCCCGGACCACGCAATCTTTTGCCCCGCTTTATGTGGTAATCGAATGTTCTCTATTCTTCTTGGAAAGGAAAGAGTATGCCCACATTCTTTTGCTTTTTTTTTTTTTTTTTTTTTTTTAATTTTATTCTTGGTGCCTAAAGTGTATATCGAAATGCTGGATGTCTATCATCAGAAACAAGCAGCTCTGCCATGGGTAGGTGTTTGAATGGATTGGCAACAAAACCCATAGAATAATCACGTCGGTAGTTTTCACGCTTCAGAATAAAACGTTGAGCGGCTGCCAAGAGGACGACCAGGAGTGAGAGAGATATGTTAGCTACATGGCCAGGGACTTTTTTTATTAAAAAAATAAAAAAAAATAAAAAAAAAAAAAAGGAAAAATAATAATAACATTAATAATAATAGAAATAGAAAGGGAATTAGTCATTTGAAAGAATAGTAAACGTCCTTGTCAAGAGGAAAAGACAGAAAAAAATAAAAAAGGTAATACCGTAGCGTGGAGCATCGGCAGTCGGATAGAGATGTGCCCCGATGATACCTCCTATACTGGACGATACTATGAACATGCTCATGGCTATCGAACGTTTCGCGTGACCCCCTAGATTAGTCGTCAGCCACGCAGTAACAACGGGAACAGCAGCTGCCTGTCCTATTGCAAGTACGATTACTCCCGCGTAGTCGGCTATTTCAGAGATATGGAAGAAAAAAAATCCTGTTAGTAAAAAAACGTACGGGGTAAAAGAAAAGAAAGGCTCCATCAGATGAATATGAGCTTCTCCTACTTATCATCACCTACCATAGCTATTCAATGTCAACACTTCTATGCAATAGCCTACTGCTATTAAGACGGATATTCCCATAAGAGCTAGTCCCTTCTGTCGCGTACGACCTGCCAAGATGGTTATCGAGAAGGCGGAGATGGCTCCTGAGATATATATCGGCACCGAAAGCAGCTGTGTTAATAAACATGCACTGTCTAGAGACCCCTGAGCGAATGATGCTTCGGATACAGCTCGAATGAGGTTCCGAAAACTAGATAGAAAAGGCGGTGACACCATACTACTACTACTACTACTACTACTACTACTACTACTACTACTACTACTAGCGCCGCTACCAAAACAGTTGCTGCTGATGCCGTTGAGGACCGTGGCAATAGAATAGGCAATGGCATTGTCAACATCTGGAGCAAGGAGTGCTAGAAGGCGGCTGTCCTTGATGGTTTCTGCAAGGCTTACCCAAGCGTGGGCGTTTACGCAGGCTGTCGAAACAGCTTTTATAAAGAAACGGAACAAAAAATCAGACATTAGCTTTTTACTTTTATAAAAGGCATAAACCAGGCAAGAGCTTGATCTTTTATTGAGGATAAGGGCATTCATATTACCGGGGATAGTTATACACAGGTTCATAGCCATGAAGAGGCAGATCTTTGGATCTTTTAACGTTGCAAAAATGCTTTCTCGGGAGATTGTACCCATCTTTTTCACTTTAATGTCATTCCTGAGTCTGAAGGTCGCAACCGCTGTTTCTCGCTGATTAAGCCAAGAAGCAACCTCGGGAGATCTTGTTAACGTAGGCCTGAAATGGGAAAAAAAAAAAAAATGTCCAAAATAACGGTATCATTTTAGTTGCCTTTTCCATCTACTCTACTGTTCTCCCACCCTGTTACTCTTCCCTCTTACTGGCATAAGCTTACCAGACGATAATAGCTAAGGCGAAGATAGCAAGGCTCTCTACGATGAAGATCCACTGCCACTCTGTAAGGTTTAGTTTCCCACCTAATTGCCCCACTGCTCTTGAGATCAATCCACCAAGAGCGCCTCCAGATAAATTGAATGCCTGTAAGACCGCTATGCGGAAAGTTTGTTCTGATCGTTTGTAGAACATAGAAATATAGATTAGAACAGAGGGGATTAGCACTGCATTTGCAGCTCCAAGGAAGAGCCGTAATAGTAGGGCTAAATAAAAAGACTTTGACCAAGCAAGTATAAATGTAATAGAGCCACTAACAATCAAAAAGAAGATTAATAGTTGAACTTTACAAAAAAAAAGAACGTTTCGCATCCTTAACTGCTTATCAAGCAAAAATAATTCTTACCAAGTGCATATAGATGCCAGTAACCAAACCTTGGGGGGCCAATAGGACATCGCCATATTAAATGGGATCACTGCGAGGCCATACCCGACAAAAAATAATGACACGAACCACTGAAACTGCTCAGGAGTGACGTGTAACGCATCGCCAATCTCGTAGAATACTACATTTAATAGGTTTAACCGAGCTTTTTTTTTTTTTTTTTTTTTTTTTTTACCAAAAAAGCAGATAAGTACTTGTACAAAGATTCAAGGTTGAGTAAGCAGCAGTAGTACATTCTCTTCCTTACTAAGGGTCGAAACGGCGTAGGACATCCCTAGGATAGGCAATAGCTTCCAATCAATCTTCCTCACTAGTTGCTTCTCCTCCTCAGACGTGTAATTAAATGGCCTCCCTGCGTTTGCAGAGCCCCCAGTGCTGTGCCCATACACACTCTCATCGAGGATAGATAGGACTGGCGCCACAGGGGTACTAGGGCCTAGCGTGTTTATATATCCAGGCTTTAGTGAGCCGTCAATACCAATTACAAAATGCAGAGGCTTCCACTTGTTTCTTCTATTATAGTCGTTACTGTTATTCCTTTGGTAAATGTCGTCGGAGCGGCAAAGGTTATAGTGGCTATTATCATTGCTGTTATTGCTACTGCCATTGACCACAGCTGTTGTAACATTGGGTGTCCGCATATTAGTCGCTGACAAAAGTGTTTGTTCTGGAGCCGTCAAAGAAGAGCAGGCTGTTGAAGTTGGGGGTGGATATGGGTCTTCATCAAAAGGTGCTTCAGTGAGTGATAGCAAAGGCGCCGCTCCGCTCTCTTTGCAACTTGAATAGTGAGTAGGTACTACAGCTAGTGGAATATAACGTAAAATTCAGGTAAGCGCTTGGTTTGTAGCTCGCCCTTTGCCAAAATGAATGCTTCATACCGATAATTATGAGTAAGCGAGCGTGAATGTGGAAGGCTTACACAAAAGCTTGTTGCTCAAACGCTGATCTCGATGCCATTCCTCATCATCAACTCCATCATCATCATTGGAGCCGTCAAAGCTGCCGAAGCTAGCAAAGTTACTGTTGCTGTGATAAGGCTTGGGATTTCTGTTGTCCTCGCTTGAGCTATTGACAGCATTAATCGTGAAGGGGCTTGATTGAGTTGAGAGCATTAGGGTTTTTAAAATTCTAGAGGGAATGGGTCGGGGGAATTGTATAGTGTTCAGGAAGCCCATTGTACATTGGACAAAGAACAAGGAAGAGAGAAAGAGAGAGAAAGCGAGCGTATAATATATGCAGTAGTAAAGTGTGAATGAAAGGGTGCATAGATGGCGCGAGCAATGTAAAGCTTGTCAAGTCATGTAAGGTAATGTGTCAGTAATAAAGCTGTAAAAGCTGTGGATGAAGAGAGAGAACAACAGCAAGAAAGATGCAGGAGCCATGACGGCCTATAACTTCTATCTGTTTTGGAGTGCTACACGTCCAGGTCCGTAGCAAGTTGCTATTATTGTGGGCAGTTGTAAGGGGAAATTAAGTACAGTATATGAGGCTATACCACTTTAAGGGAATAATGAGATCAAAAAAGTGGGGAAGAGCGGTTGGAAAGAGTGTAAAACAAGTTGATCAATAGAAAGCGGGTACACCTTCAGCCGAATATTCTATTTCCTTGGTTCTACCTTTTCCATGGCTGAGCTTTAGTACTTGATTGATATTCCTTTAGCTGTGCTGATGATATAAAGCGACAGTGGGTGTCATAATCATCATCTACTTTAATCATGGTAGCGCTAGCAGGAGAGTCGTAGCACAGATGACCTTGATTAGAACCGTTTCAGCCTATTGCTGCTCAGAGTCACTTACAGTGTAATACAGGTGTCCTTGCGCCTTTTTTTTTTTTTTTTTTCATCTATAAAACGACCTGACGGTATATCCGCCACATTCACTTAGTGGTATCTTGTGATCATATATATTAATATAAACACCAAAGTCAAAGTACTGGTCGCTTCTAGCGAAGGTCTGTCTAACCATATTGGATCGATTTTTTTTTTTTTTTTTTTTTTTTTTTTTTTCAATAATGGTGAGTCCACGCTATTGTACGCGCTTTTTGGAAGCACGAAGTAAAACTGAACAATGAAGGAGCGACCGACGCGCCTTGGTCTATGTTAACATTTTCGATACAAATTTTTATTATGCAGCCAGCGTACACCAAAAAAAGTTTTTTTTAAGAGCCGCGCCATTCATCCTTTTTCCATTCTTTTTTTCCATCTTTGTTAATAGTTATCTATTACAGGAGTTTTAAACGAAAGTTTCGTCTTTATATTATATTTTCGTCTTTTCGTCTCTTGATGATTTTACTCATGGTTAAAGAGTCAAATTGCATGCATACTGCTTGTTTGGTAATCAAAAGCATTATGCCGATAAACGCGTTTATCACTGGCGATCTTTATATATAGCTTTTTTTTTTTTTTTTTTTTTTTTTTTTGGTCGCTAGTTAGTTGGATGGAGACCATGGCATCAATTTTCAAACCCTAATTCAGATCATTGCCATTAAACACTAGCCATCATACATTGATCCAAGAAGCCTTCAGTATCCATGAGTATGCCTCACATACTACCTTAAGTTCACCAAAGTCCTAGCTGGGCTGTCAAAATCGAGCTGTAAACTCTCCATAGGACAAGTAAAGTTGCTGGACATCAGATGTTGACTGCAATCTCGAATATATTTAACCTTCAGTTAAACTTTCCTTTTTTTTTTTTTTTTTTTTTTTTTTTTTAATAGAATTACAATACACTACAAACCAAAAATACGTCTTTCTACAGGAATGGTGTACAGTAGTTACAATATAAAAGAGGGAAGTGCATTCAACAAACTATGAAAAGAAAAAAGAGGAGCAAAAACATAAAAATGAATAATACAAATAAACAAGAGGAGAAAAAAAAAAAAGATAAAATGCATTGGTAAAAAATAATGAGAAATAAAAATGACAAACGATTGCTGATCGCTTCCAAATTCGGTTTCTGAGCTGGCTTGTAAAAGGAGCTACTTTTCCCCCTGTTGTTTAATTACATGTAGCCATAGGGATTGAAATCGTTCATTCCGATTATCCCCACATTGTTGAAGTGATTGTTCATGCCGGGAAAGCCATATCCAACCATATTACCATTGACATTACTGTTAGCGTTCATACCATTCATATTGTTGACACTGCTCATGCTCATATTGCCGTTCATGCCCGCCATACTCGGCATCGGCATCCCACCAGCCATAGCACTGCTCATGCTCATGTTGCTGTTCATCCCTATATTATTCATCCCGTTCATGTTGTGGCTGCCATGATGTCCACCGTGACCGCCGTGGCCCCCATGAATTCCATGGCTAGGCATGCCATTCATACCATTCATACCACCCATCGACATGGCTCCATTTATGCCGTTCATACCATTCATGGCCGCCATATTGTTGTTCATACCGCTATTGAGGGCGAGATGGTTCATTGGGTTAGTGAGATTCGTCATCTGGTCGCGATGTAATTTGCTTTGGATACGTTTGCCATAAGGCGTGTTGCGAATAGCGGGCAGCAAGGGGCGGATACACTCAACCAACTGAGCACGTTGTAAAGGATCAGCATAGTCAAGCGATGTCTGCACAACATAATTAGCGTACGAATCACGAAGTAGCTTGTCTAAGCGAGACTTGTTGATCATTTCTTCAATCAGAAACTTGCGCGTCTCAGGTTCAGCTACACGGATACACTATTCTCATTTGAAACGAAATAGAGAGGTATTCAAATATAAATCACCTAAACATTATATCCAATGCATTGCAAATGGGTATCCGAACACAAAATATATATACCTTTTCCATGACATTCGAGCTAAATTTCTGCACTGACAGCACGCAGACATTTCCGATAAAACGGCGGATCAGGGTATCCGTAAATCGATTGTCAGCCAAGTCCAATACGTACTGAACCACATAGTTGCCATAAGGGTCCTGTACGAGAGTTAAAGCATTAAAAGTGATTTCGCGAACTAATTGGATCTTTTGAGAGGGAGAGGCGTGATCTATGCAGCGCTGCAGGACACAACATCCATGGCGATGAGTGGCCACTTCGATACAATGGGCACTGATAGCGTTGTAGATAAACTGGTTATCCTCGGAAGCAAAGCGATTCAAGCACTTTTGAATGACATGGTTGCCGTTTAGATCCTTGATCAGCGTCACAACGCTTGGATTAAGGGCTACAACGACAATAGCGATCTGTTGAGGGGTTGACAAGAACTCTATCATCTTTTGGACGGCACGTGTGCCATGCATGTTCAGTGAGATATTGACAAGCTCTGGAGCGACTGTCTCAACAATAATAGTACGTTGTTCATCCCCGCAATATTCGAGTAACTTTTGACAAAGGTAGTTGCCAAAGGGATCTGTTGAAAATCATCGCACGAGCAAAATATAAAACAAAAGAAAAAAAAAAAAGCGTTATACTTTACCCACGACAAGCTGATTGATTATTATTATTAATATAAAGGCCTCCTTACCAGTCATAAGTTCTACGAAATGGCCAAAAACTTCCCCGAAGATAATTGCAAGGTACTTGTCATTCTGTTCCTCAAGCTTTTTTTGAAGATAACGACAGCCATGCTGATCTTTGCAGAGGGAGTAAATTTGCCCAACAAATCCCTCAAGAGCCGCACCAGTAAATCGGTTAGCTTCGATGTCAGCCGTAGGACGCTTTTGATTAGCTTTACTTGCCAATGCTATACTGTTCGAGGCTTGCTGCTGCTGATGTTGCTGTCTAAGCAAGTTGTTCGAAGTAGCTGGTGGGCCATTGAAGCCATTAGTGGCGACAGTAAAAGGAAAGCCAGCGCTGCCAACCAACGAGTGAGAGGGTCCCGCTCCAGCGGGAGCATTAACGTGAGAATAGAATGGGGTTGATCCTGCCATAGTCCCAATAGTCATACCAAGTCCGGGACTAAGAGGAAGGGCTGTAGATGCGCGCGTAGTTGAAGGCAAGATGTTAGAATGCACATAAGGGCACTGGTCACCGCGTGGACAGAATCCTTGTTGAAATTGCAAACAAATATCTGGAGAGCCGATGTCCGATTTCAAAAGAAAGTTTTGATGATGCTCCGTATCACCAAGATCATCAAACGCTGATAACGCCGGAGTTTTGCTGAAACGCGTTGGGATTTCTGTTGATGAATACGGAGTCGTAAGTTTCGGCAAGGCAGATTTGAGTGAATCTTCAGAATTACTGGTTAAACCAAAACCGACGAGGCTGTTGGTGCGCTGAGGCATATGAGGCACCGTAGGGACACGTTCTGACAATGCCTTACTATATTGTGACCAATCAGACTTCAGGCTCGAGTCGAGACCGGCCGACTGGCGAAGCCCATTAGCGCTTGAGATCTTGATCGGATGATAGGGGTTGAAGGAAGATAGAGTTGAGTTGTTAACAAGTTTGAAAAAAAAAAAAAAAAAAGAAAGGTCGTCATATTGATGTTTATGCCTTTAAAGATTAATAGACTCATCCAACATAATCTTACCATCGATGGGAAACTGTCATCATCATTGCCCATCCGGAGATATTGTAAGTAAGACGTGCCGCCACCAAGTCCAGCAGAGCCAACACCTCCAAGCCCATTCTTGTCTTTCCAGATACCATCGTCATGCAAGACCCTGTTCATATTAAGTGAAGGCAGTCGGCTGCCTGTACCTGTACCCGCGCCTGTGCTCGTATTATCATTATCATCCTCAAAGATAAATCGCTCCGTAAACTTGGAGAAATGTGCATTATCATCGAATGTCGACTCTGAAGGTGACGAGCTTTCATCATGTCCTACACCTCCTGCTCTACCGATCTTGGGAAGGCTGCTGCACGTGTAGAGAGAGGAAAGAAAAAAAGGGGATGTCAGTCACTTGTATCGTATGCATAGCCCAACTACAACAAAACAACAACAATGACAACGATAGTGGCAGTAGCAGTAGCAGTAAGGAGGATAGGGGTATTAGCAATATAGTCCTCAAACAACATTCGCCACCTACTCAATTGAAGACTTTGCCCTGTCGATTGACACTTTTTCCATTTCGCTCCAGAGGTCGGCTGCATCATTCGAGTTGCGTCTTGAAGCTGGAAGGGATCGAAGGCTTGCCAATGATTGCAGAGGTGAATCTGATGGACCAGAGAGTGAGCCTGATTTGGATTGTCTCGATCCTGATGTTGCCCCATTACCCTTAGATGCAAGCATGGCTTGCTCCTCCTGCATTTGCTGAATTTCCAATTGCTGCATCTGTTGCTCAAAAAGCTCCCGCTTTTGCATACGCTGACGTTCATGCTCGAGTCGCTTCTGTTCGATTTTTTCAGCCTACAGGATCAACAGAGCGGGAAACTGTAAATAACAAGTGTATGAAACACATGGTAGACAGAAATTAAAAAAAAATTGTACTAGCAAAATCACTAGTTAAAAACCTACTACTTCGCGGTCTTCACGCTCCTGGTCTGCTTCTGTGGACTGCGAGGAGGCTTTGGACTCCTGAACAGGCTTTGAAGAGCCAACAGCCTTGGAATGACGCTGCTGTACAATCTCCTCACCCCCAAGCTCTTGCGATGCACGCACGGATTTCATCGCCATATTCGTTAACAGATTGTTCTTGCTGGCACTGATCAGACCAGCACTGGTTTGATTGGATTTAGAATATTGATAGTGTTTGGCTGTTAAAAGTTCTTGCCTATGTCATCTACTGATAGTAAATCTAGAAAACAACGGGTTAGAGACGTAAGTAGCTTGGGATGCTGTCAGATAAGAGTATCGCTTAGCAAAATGAGATGATTGAGATAAAAATCAATGGAAGGCATGGTATGCTGTGTTGCTGTACATGTAGTGTGTGCAATTGAGAGATTTCTAAATTTGAGTTTGTAGAGACGGAATGCGGTACAAAGGGCGTGCAAGGTATTTCAGGAGCATGATAGGCATGATTGGGCGGAGAGAACGTGAAAAAATAGAGCAATTGGGGCATGCAAAATGAATAAGATGACTGGAGGGCTAGACAGAACAACAGTCGTGGCCACAAGGAGGAAAAGGGGAAGGGAAATCGGCCGTAGTGCAGCACGCACGGCCAGAAAGTGAGCAGTGACCATTGGTGACAAAACAAAGCAGTTATGGGTGCCTCCACTTACTAACAAGGACAGTTATCGTTTTCGAGACTGGAAGAAGGGAGTTGAAGGTGTGCCCTGTCTCAGGAGTTGAGTTGTCTTTTCTTGATCCAGAAAAAAAAAAGAAAGGAAGAGATGTTTTAGGTAAAGACACAAGTCATGTACAGAAGAGACAAGGAAGCCGTAGTAAACAATGAAACTGTACAAACAATGAAATAAAAAAAAAGGAAGAGAATGAAAAAGTGCAATGACTAGAACAAATTGAGGATAAAATACAAAAATTGTACAGTTATGAGGAAGAGTGGGTGAATATGAAAGTAAAAGTATAAAAATAAAAAAATGCAATTGAGTGAAGGAAAGAGAATCAATTAAAAAAAAGGAGGAAAGCGAGAAAGAGAGGGTCCAGGGTAAGGATAGAAGAAAAGGAAAAATGTAAGTGACGAGGATGGTGCGTGATTGAAAAAAAAAAAAAAAAAAAAAAAAAAGCTGCTAATTGTGTTTTGCCTTTCTTCCACTCTTCAAACACAAACACACATAAACACAAACAGACAATGCGGGCTGTGCGAATGGAGTGTGTGTGTGGAATCAAGAAGTGAGAAAGAGCGAATGGAGCGCGACTAGAATTCTTTTGCTTAAAGCTAGGAAAGGAAGAGAGTGGGGAGTGTAAAAACAAAGAGTAATGGTCCTGAGGATCAGTAGACCAGAAAAGAAAGAAACACCAATAACCCTCAGAAACACAGTCTTTATGCAATCAAATTGAAAACACATATTCCATCACCTCCCCTTTCTCAAGACATGGAAAAATAAAAAAAAATTGGATTACTTTGCACGTACAAAACAGGTCTGAACATACGTGGACTCTAATGGTTTTTTCACGCGAGATTGCTGATCAAGCTTTTTTTTTTATTTTCAATTTGTATTTGCGCCACTGGACGCGCACGCATGTATATGTATACATTGGCGTACAATGCTGAATGGTAATCTCAAGCCACTGGAGGGATCCCCTAATTCTTGCGGTCTTCGACCATAATGACATGGTATCCATGTTGGGTCTTGACAGGTGGATCCGTGTACACGGGCTTAGCAACTGAACTGGGCTGTAGCTGGAATGCAGCATCTTGAAAGGCCCCAACCATTGATCCTATGGTGAAGTATCATTTATATTGGGGTTTTCCAAGCTTTAGCAGGTGAAAGTCTATTTTCTCTCTGCAAATCCCGTCAAAGGACAAACTCGTCATTTACCTCGCACCATCCAACCCAAGCTGCCTCCTTCTTTGGCCTTGTCTTCGCTAAATGCTTCAGCAACCTATCAAAGAAATAAATAATAATAAAAAACTGACTTTGTATCAAGACCATTCAACATTGAATTGATCATAAAAAACTCCTAGTTCAATAGCAATATAGTCATACCTTATTGAATGCAACGCCAGCCTTTAACTGCTCAATGGCCTCCAATGCTCTGCTCTGTTTCTCACATAGGATGTGGCGCACCTTGATGCTATTGGCGGTCTTGAGGGCTTTGCCTCCCTTTGATGATTCGCCTTCTATTTAGGCATATTTAAGCAAGGAAGAGAGAAGCGAGAAAGAAAGGAGAGGGGAGTATGAATATATATTAGCAGGGATTGTCAATTGGCTCTATTGCATGCATTGTCCTTAATTAATTTCAATTCCTGATTAGTCTTATGAGCTCATATATATACCATCGTTATTCTTCTTTCCACCTTTCGGGGATGCTTTCTTGTTGGCAGGCTTTGGTGGCATGGCCTTGTGTCGTGTTCTAGCTGGTGTATAGTTGAGAAGGAAGCACTCTTACTGGCTGTTGCTCCACAAGTTGAATTCAACTGAACAATATCCGCTCGAATTGCGTCATCAATTTGGCGATAACGTATTTTGAGAGGAATATGCGTTGTATTCAAAGTTCAAATGTGTGGCTCGTGAAATTCGCACAACTGTTTCGCTTCTTTCTCCTTCCGTTCTTCCAAACTGATATTGCTCATCATTTCCAGAAGCAAAACCAAGGCTTAATCTGTAAGTGCATCAACGTCTACATTGGGATCTTGCTTGTTATCATTGCGCATTAAGCATGGTCATTTCCAATTTACGCCCGACACCTTGCCAAATGCAGAGTCTCGTTGACTAAACTTACTATATCCTTCTGTCATGGTGATCTGCATCACAATAGTCTTCAGTAAGCTACAATCGAATAGTGGAAACAAATAAGTAAAAAAAAAGAGCAATGAGTGGCGGGTACATTGGCTCGAAGATCAGCTTGATCTCGCGCTCTGACATCCGCTATGTCGGAATCTTGCATCACCTCAATCCCACAGACTCTACAGTGGCTCTTGAACAAGGTAAATAAAACGAAGAGCTATTATTACTATTCATGTCACAGTACTCAAACACGCGATACTCGTGTAAAAGCTTAGTGTCATTTCCTTGGAGAATTAGATCATTGGTAATTTTGACCAAAGTCTCTTCTGTCTCAACAATTTTTTTCTATAGTCAAGTCATACGGTACTGAGGGTCGTCGTGGGAATCCTGCAGAGGAGGTCCCTCCTAACGACAACATTTTTGACTACATTGTGTTCCGAGGCTCGGACGTGAAGGATCTACATGTGTGCGAACCCCCAGCGCCTCAGCCTCCAGTGCGTCCCCAGGTCCCTGATGACCCAGCAATCCTTGGAGTAAGCTATTGATTTGACTATGGAACTTTTCAGCACAATGCCTATTATTGAGGGTTGGGTTTGACAAAATTTTCTGTTTTTTTGTTTATGTCTATATTTTGTATCATATTTAGACTACAGCTCCTCCCAACTACTACAATCAGCACCAACCTCCGCACCCGCACCATTACCAATACCAACAGCCGCCACCAGGAGCTTACTACCAGCCTCAGTCAGCCCCAGCTCAGCCTCAGTATCAACCTCCATCTCAAAAGCTATCTTCCCCTCCTCAGGATGTGCAGCCTATTCAGGTACGAATGATCACCCTTTACAGTTTGTTCAAAAAGAAAAAGAAACGAAACAAAAACAAAAACAAAATCGCCGTATGGTTTTTTATTGAAAAATACAGCTCCTTGGTCCTTTGTGTGCTGACATTTGTGTAAATTTCCATTTCAGGAAAACGTTGAATCTAAGCGCTCGCCTGTTGCTGAAGGAAAAGCCATCGAAAAGGAGGCTAGGCAGCATGACAAATCAGACTCGGAAACCATTAAGCCTGCTCCCCCACCAGCACGCTCTGCCCCCAAGAGTCAGCCTCAGGAACTCCGCAAATCGGTTGAAATTCTCGCCAAACAAGTGAGCGAGTTGAATGTTTCAAAGGATGTTCCGTCTTCATCTGTCGAGTCAGTACAGCACCATCAGGAAAGTGAAAACAAATTTTCGAACAATAATCAGGGTAGCCATAATAATAGTGTCAGTAACAACAGTAATCGACTTCCTGGAATGGGTGGCCATTTGCTTCATTCAAACAATAACCGCCGTGGTGGTCGTGGTGGTCGTGGAGGATCCCATGGGCATGGCAATAATGCGCGCGCTCCCGCTGTCCCTGCTTCCGACTTTGATTTTGAGACATCCAATGCAAAATTCCATAAGGACGAGCTTGCGAAGGAGGTTGTGAAGGCTGAAGAGCAACAGACTGAAGTTGAGGAGGAAGAGGTTGTGATTATTCCTCAGGCGGAAGAGTTTTATGATAAGTCAAAGTCCTTTTTTGACAACATCTCATGCGAAACCAAGGAGCGTATGAGCAAGACAGATCAAAGGTGAGTTTGGATGCCCATATTGCGTCTACAGAGTTGTGATTAGGCTTTAAGGAATATTTTGTATCGATGTACTAACCATGTTAATTTTTTTTTTTTTTTTTTTTTTTTCCGCTCACATCATCTCTAAACAGCCAAGGAAATCGTCTCAGTGCACCCGAGAGACGCGCTAAGCAGTCAGAGGAACGTCAACTGAACCTGGAGACTTTTGGCCAGACCTCGGTCGATCAAGGTCGTTTCCGTGGTGGTTATCGTGGAGGCTACCGTGGTGGTTTCCGTGGTAGCCCTCGTGGTGGTGGTGGATACCGTGGTGGCTACAACAGTGGCATGGGGTATAATAATGGTGGCCGCGGAGGTCATTACAACAACAGCCAGAACCGTGGTGGATACCAGCAATACCAGCAGCAGCAGCAGCAGCGAGCATAGGGTAGGGTGGCCTGTCTTTGGAGCATTTTTTTTTTTTTTGTTTTAGCTCAAAACGGGGGAGATGAGATGAGATGCAGAGAATTTAAGGGGAGGAGGAGTGAGTGCCTGGTTGGGGACATAATTGACCATGTACAGTAAAAAGTAGTATGTGATTGAATAAAATCGAGGATCGAAGTCCCAACAGTTTGGAATTTATTATGATGAGCGATGTTCCCAAATGTGCATACTCGCTGCTTCAATAGAATCCTAATTTGCAGGTTTGTTAAGGAAGGGGTTAAGGAGAGTCAATCTTCATTTATGCTGGCAATTTCCAACGCGTTGAGTTGTGAGTGGTTGCAGGCTGGCGGGCGTAGAAAATCAAATAAATGATCCAATTTATATTGTATATATATATATTTATATTTGTTTTATCTTTTGTCATTTGCCCTCGTTTTACTCTTCCTTTCTCTTGTTTTTTTTCTTGTCATCACGCTAACAAGCATCACAGGCTGTCCACGGATTCTTTTTTCTTTTTTTTTTTTTACGACAGTTGGAGAGTCACGTAAAGCATGTACAGTGGCGACATCAAGCGGCGCAATCCAGTGGGCCAGCTACAACAAGGAGTACCAACACAAGAACAGTCTGATGAATTCCATGCATTCGATCCTTATGCGCCTAATCCCCTCAAACCTGCATTTCAGCAACAACAGCATCAACAATATGTAAACTACAGTCGAGAACACCCTTCACATCGCAATACATCCATTTGGCGTGAATATTCTTCCAACAAGGTAATTATTATTATTATTATTATTATTATTATTATTATTATTATTATTGTATAATAAAGGGCGTGCTCAATTCTGTTCCAATTGTGGCTCGCTCCGCTCAACGCCCTCTTTGCCTTCATTGCACATTACACATTGCACATTTCACATTGTACATTGATTTTCTTATAGGAGAGAGGTGTTCTTTTGGAGAAAGCTAATAAACTTTTTTTTTTTTTTTTTTTTTTTTTTTTTGGTTCTAGTATATTCGCTTTTACCAACAAAATGATTATATTCTGATCCCTGCCGTCCTTACACTGTTGTCATTCTGGACACGCTTCAGAGATATCAAGGCAGCCGATTATGTTGTTTGGGATGAGGTATGTGTCTCCTTTCTCTCTCTCTTCCGTGATCGCAATCAAAAATTGTGATCTGTCTGAAGAGGGAAGGATGGAAAGATCCGTCAGAGCCTTTTTTTTTATATGAATATGTACAGTGTTTTTTTATCGTTATTAATATTTCAATCGATTGTTGATTTTACAATGACACAATAATACATCCTCTTCCTCATGATTTTTTTCTATTTGTCTCACAGGCTCATTTTGGCAAGGTAAAATACACACAACATATTTACATGCACGCGTTCTGGATACATACACATACTTTTTTAAAAAAAACTAAACTTGGAGACATTTCCCATGGTTTTGTTTTATTTTATTTGAAAAAAAAAAAAAAAGTTTGGATCGTATTATATCAAAGGCGACTTCTACTTTGATGTCCATCCACCTCTTGGCAAGATGTTGGTGGGCCTTTCAGGAGCATTGGCTGGCTATAATGGCTCGTTCCCATTCGAATCAGGCGCTACGTACCCGGACATCAATTACGGATTCATGCGAATTTTCAATGCCTTCTTTGGTGCGATCATGGTCCCATTCGCCTATTTTACTGCTCAGGAACTGAAGATGTCCAGGACTGCTTGTGTCTTTGCAGCTGTCTTGGTCCTTTGTGATAATGCTTACCTAACCATCAGTCGATTCATCTTATTGGACTCGATGCTTCTGGCTGCCACTTGCTTTGTTTTGTTTTGTCATACAAAGTTCCGAAATGAACGCCACGAGTAAGTTATTTGAAGGTTTTTTTTTTTTTTTTTTTTTTTTTTTTTTTTAAAAAAAGATATCTAATTTTTTTTTCTTTCTTTCTTTTTATTTTATTTTTTTTCTTTTATAAGCCCTTTCTCGCTCGATTGGTGGCTATGGTTGGCTATGACTGGTGTTGCGATCGGAGTTGTGTCGAGTATCAAGTGGGTCGGTCTTTTTGTCACTGCCTTGGTTGGCTTGGTAAGCTTTTTTTTTTTTTTTTTTTTGGTTCTGGATGAAAGAATTCAAATATTTTCTTCTTGACATTAACTTCTCTCAACTGGTTGCCCTATTGGTTAAATTTGGTCACTTTTGTACAGTATACTATCGAGGAACTATGGGACCTCTTTGGCGATTTAAGCATGCCTAAGGTAAAGAAGGACCCCTCTTTTTATTTATTTATAATTGATGTTATTCACGGAAATCGGCGCCACAGAAAGCTAATTATTTCATTTTCATATCCTTCCAATACATAAATATATTAATATATAGACGACCTATCTTAAGCATTGGGTTGCACGCGCTGCTTGTTTAATTGCCTTACCTTTTGCAGTCTATGTGGCGTCTTTTGCAGCCCATTTTGCTATCCTCAGAAACAGCGGTACAGGCGATGCTCAAATGAGCTCGCTTTTCCAGGCTGGTCTTCGTGGAAATCAGTTTTCTAGCAACCCATTGGGTAAGTGACATTTTATCCATTCTGGAGTAATATGACATCATTTTGCGTTTCATTTCCGCGCTAACAATTCATATTACTTGTTATAATTATTGTTACTAGAGGTGGCTTTTGGCTCCAAGGTCACGATTAAGAATACGGGATATGGTGGCGGACTTCTTCACTCACATGTCCAAACATATCCAGAAGGATCTGGTCAACAACAGGTGACTTGTTATCACCATAAAGACAGCAACAACAACTGGATCATCAAGAGGCCTTATGGCGGTTCATTGGACTTTGATGATATTCAGATCCTCCACAATGGGGACTCTGTTCGTCTTGTTCATGAATCAACCGGACGTAACTTGCACAGCCACCGCGTTAAATCACCGATCACGACGAGTCAATGGGAGGTCAGCTGTTATGGAGGCGATGATATCTCTGATCCTAATGACGAATGGGTTGTTGAAGTGGTGGATGAACAAAGCTCACTCCCACGCAATGGGATCGTACGATCCTTATCGACCACTTTCCGTTTGAGACATAAGATGCTGGGATGCCTTTTAACTGCAGAGAACACTAATCTTCCTCAGTGGGGATTCCGTCAAGTGGAAACATTCTGTGATCAGCGCAACCGTACATCTTCTGCTTATTCGATTTGGAATGTTGAACAACACTGGAATGACAAGTGTAAGTGATTAAAAAAAAAGAAAGTTTCTTTTATTTGTTATACATTTATTTAATTTGACTTTTTTTTTTATATATTTTTTTTTTTAATTTTTTATATTTTTTATATTTTATCGTCGTGTAGTGCCACCGGGTGGTGATAACGTGTATAAACCTAGGTTCTGGAAGGACTTTTGGCATTTGAATGTTGCGATGATGACTTCGAACAACGCGCTGATTCCAGATCCAGACAAGGAGGACGTCTTGGCATCTAACCCTAGTCAATGGCCACTGCTTGCGGTTGGACTTCGGATGTGTGGCTGGGGGGATGACAAGGTCAAGTACTATCTGTTGGGTAATCCACTTGGGTGGTGGTTCAGCACGTTGTCGATTGGTGTATTCATGGGAACATTGGGGTTCTATGTGATCCGTCGTCAACGCAAGTTTCAGGATATTTCACCGGGAGAATGGGAGAATTTTCAATATGTTGGCAAGACGCTTGTGGGAGGATGGATTTTACATTATCTTCCATTCTGTATCATGGGTCGTGTGACGTACTTGCATCATTACTTTCCAGCGCTTTATTTTACATTGTTACTGTTGAGTTTTACGCTGGATCATTTCTTGAATCGACCTCGGGTGAATGCGCGGGTGAGGACGATTGTGTGGAGTGTACTATTTACCTCAATTGTGGCGACATTTTTGTTCTTTTGGGATGTGAGTTATGGTATTCGAGGACCTGCTGCACCGCAGATGAACAAACGTCAATGGCGTGCTGCTTGGAATATTATTGATGATCACAAACCGAATACTTTTATTTAGTGGAAAAAGAAAAGAAGAAGAAGAAGAAGAAGAAGAAGAAAAAAGATACTTGATAATCAATAACAATAACATAGTATAAATGCATAAACTCACATGATAGTGAACACCCATTCAACTTGTACTTTACAAGTTGAAAATATTATTATAATAAAAAACTACAAGTTGAAAATATACAGATTTAATTTGATCCATTAGAAATTTGCCACTAATTTTATTTTTATTTATTTTTTTTTAGCACCTAAAACTGCGCCAAAAGTAAAAAAGTATTATTAAAAAAAAGTTTGAGGAATAAGAAGGGGCGTTGATCTTTTTTAAAACTAAGCATAATGCCTTGGAAGGATTTACGCCAAGGTACACTGGTGTATATAGAGTACATTGAGAGTCTATTTTTTTTTTACGGAGAAAAAGAGGAGCATAAATAGAAAAATATATAAAGCAGGATTTTTTTCTTACTCAGCCCCCGGCTTCTGGCCTTTTTAGGCCCGATAATTTTATGACAAAGCCTAGGGGAGAGAGGAATGGAGAGAGAAGAGAGAGAAGAGAGAGAAGAAGAAAAGGGTTATTCGATCTGGAGAAATGGTTGGAGGGATTTTCCCATCATATCAATTAGTTCAGTCAAGGATTGGACAAATCAGTGGTGATGGATGAACATTTGTATAAATATATAGGTTGTTTATTTGTTGGGTCTGTTTTAGGGCGTAAACGGGTTAATTGTTTGTTGGTCATATGGACTTTATAAATATATGTCTGTTTATTTTTTTATTTTTTTATAGCAGTGCATTTTGAAGAGCAGTGGGACAGAAACTGCTTTACAAAGAGTGCATGGATCTCCACGTATTTCCTTTTTTATAGTGTTATTTAAACTATAGACTAAAAAAAAAAAAGAAATCGATCGTGTTTATTAAACATGTATACAATTATGATCGATCAATCGTTTTCGACAAACACTTTACAATGCGTATAGGAATATAAAATAACATAAAAAAAAGAAAAAGGAAAAAGATAATGTGGCACATGCCTGATTGTCTGCTGGGCCGCTCAACTTTTTTTTTTTTGTCGGCTGCTCACATTTGTTGCTGATGTGATGTGAACACGACATGCACAGGGCACGAGGAAAGAAAGAAAGAAAGAAAGAAAGAGAGCGAAGAGATAAAAGAGATGGATGGATAGAGAGAGAAGGGTAGAGCAAAGCAGTGCCACAAAATGAAAAAAGAAAGCGGTGCAATGGTTGCAAAACCACTCTTGACCTAAAAATATTTGTAAAAAGGAACAAAATAAACCGACAACGCCCATCTCTGCAGCGGATTGTAAATCCATGAACTGCGAGTATGTGATTGCCTTTGTGAATGCCTTTTGGCTTTGGCTTTGGCTTCGCCTCTGTCTTTGCCACACGCCGATTGCTTGGACGTCATTTGCTTCGGTTAATTCACACCCCATCCTACATCTTCCTACTGTTACAAACCGATACTCTCGTCTATACTCTCAAAGGCTCTTTCTTTCTATCTTTCTTTTTTCTCTTTTTGTTATTCCTTATACTCCTTGCTCATTTTCAGGTCCCCAATTGCACTTAAAGACAGTTTATCCTGATATAAATGGATAGACTTTCATTTCATACCCTTTTGTATCTTTTATACATATAAATACATCATTAGACTTTTTTTTTTACTTTTTTTTTTAAACATCATCCCCATTCTACTCTCAACCACCAGATTTCATTTATTCTTGAGAATCTACAAGTCTCAAGACTTTTTCTTTACCCTTCTGCTACACCCATAACCCTTATTCTATTTCATATTATTTTTAAAAACAAGAACCAGGAACAAGTTCTGGAAACAAGCCGGAAACAGAGAAACAGGAACGCTAAATAACTAAAATAATAGCCGTAACAAACAAATAACGCAGTATGAATGTTTTCTATCGGTGTATTATTGACTTGAGGAATTCACTTTCTGCTTTCTATTGAATTGAATTCATCGACCGAGGAGAGGAAAAACGCTGACTTTTTTTTTTTTTTTTTTTTTTTTTTTTTTTTTGGCTCAGCTAAAAAAAAAAAAAAAAAGCTTCTTTTATCTTTCTCTCTCTCTTCTTTCTTTCAACCTCTTTAGCATCCTAACCTATCCTCATCCATCCCTTTTCTCTTTCTCCCTTCTTACGCTCACACACTTCCTCACTCTCTAGTACTAGAGCCTTTTCCTTTTCCTTTACGACCAAGCAAAAAAAGAAAAAAAAGCTGAAACTGATTTAGAGCTGATCAGGAAAAAAGAAAAAAAAAAAAAAAAATACACATTTGTTCCTTCATTACAAGAATCCATTCATTGCCACAACGCAAAGTTAGTCAAAATAGGTGCCATCATCACATCCCACAGATTTAGAGTAGCGATGGCACGCTTTTCGTCGCTTCACTCCATCATCTTTCTTTCAACGCTCGTCATAATATCGCTATTATGGTCCAGTCTTCGGTTAAATGGTATACTTTGATTATAATAATGCCTTGCATCCAATTCTTTCTTTTTTCTTTTTTCTTTTTTCTTTTTCATTTCCTTCATCAGCAAAGAAAAAAGAAAAAAAAGATCTGTTTTATTTAGTTTTTGCATCTGGAACAGTCGTTCTATTTGGAGGGATTTTTTTTCTCTCTTTTTTCACACATTCATCATCTTTTTTTCTTTTTGTAGATGGCACAGGATACTCGTCAAGGCCATCGTCAAGGAATCCCTTCAGTAATGGGGCCTATGGAAGAATTGACGAAAAGTACTCCAACCAATATCCTCCCGCAAACTCTGAACACGATCTGCCTTTGGTGACAGATCGCACCAGCTCTGCTCTAGAGACCCTTCATAAGCCCTTTACCATCGTCACAGCAGCATCCTCAAACCATTTTTGCGCACTCGAGTCCTTTTTGTATTCACTCTCTGAGGTCCTGGATGGCTTGGAGCGTACAGAGACCAGACCTACGATCATAGTCTACAACCTGGGCGGTATGACTCCTGAACAGATGACGCAGATGCAATGGCTCAGGGATAATCAGTATATGGATGAATACAAGGATTTTGATTACTCCGCCTATCCCGCTTTCTGGGACATCACCGTCGCAAGAGGAGAGTACGGATGGAAGGCAGGCATCATCAAAGAGGTTGCAGACAAGAATCGGGGTTTGCTTCTTTGGCTCGACTCTGGCAACATGTTGGCTCTCGACTTTTTGCGCTACTTGCCAGGATACTTGGAAAAATATGGCTTCTGGAGCCCTCAGAGCTCGGGCAACTTTCAGCAATATACCCATCCAGGCTTGCCTCAATTTTATGGTGATTCCGTCGAGAATTATGCTCAGGAGACCAACTGTAATGGAGCCGCCATCGCGTTTGACGCATCAAACGACAAGATCTATAATGGATTATTGAACGAGTGGTACAAATGCTCATCCACAAAGGAATGCATCGCCCCCAAGGGTTCATCTAGAAGCAACCATCGTCAAGATCAAGCTGCATTGACATTCTTGGCTAAACGCTTACGCTTCACGGAGCAGTGCAGGCACTATCCGGAGCATTATGGAGTCACTGTCCATCAGGACAAGGTTTGCAAAGAAAGGATACGAGCGTACAAGATCATGAAGGGCATGGAAGAAAGCAGTGCAAGCATGGATGTAGAGGAAGAAGAGGACGATTGAACATTTGCACACACACACACGCAAAAAAAAGAAAAAAAAGAAAAAAAAGAAAAGAAAAGAAAAGAAAAAAAGAAAAAAAGAAAAAAAAAAAATAATCATCATCATCCATCGTCATTCATTATGATCCATCATTCATTTTTTCTTTGTTCTTTATCCCTATTTTTGTCTTTTTAAAATTTTTATATGCCCTATTGTTGTTTTTTTATTGATTATTATTGCGTTTCTCTCTCTCTCTCTTTTTTTTTTTTTTTTTTTTTTCTTGACGCTACCATAATTATTTAAGAATTATCGTGTAAAAAAAAAAAAAAGATAAAAAATATTTGTTTACTACTCTCAATAATAAAAGTAAATATGGAAGACCGATCTAGCAAGAATTGATAAGACAAGATCAATTGAGTCGGAAAGAGATTTTAGTGTCAGATAAAAAAAGAACAATGTATATATATATATATATTGTTTGAACTAATTATCAAAGGAATTAAAACCGAGATTGGCACTCCTTCATCCGCTGTCATTTTTTTCGCTACGCCACATTCATGCACAGCCATGTTGACGTTTACGGAAAAGTATCACTGCGGCATATATTTTACATATAAATAGAAACGTACTTGAACACAGATATCCATACAAACTTTTTATATTTGGATGTTTGCAAAAAAGTAGTTTTGCCGTCACCGTTATTCATTTAAATTTTTTTTTTTTTTTTTTTTTTTTTTAGAGGATCTAGGCATCTAGGGCAATAGGTATACAACCAACCAATCAACTAACCAATCAACCAACCAACCAACCATAGACTAACGATTTACAAGGGGATTTGGCTTCATTACTAACATTGCTGCATTGCCACATTACTTTCATGGAAATATTTATGAGACCAATTGATCATCCAAACTGCGGTTTTATTCGAATGTCCATCTCCTCTTGACGACGGTGATTTTATATTTTATATTTATATCATTATCTTGACATTTGTTGCTCTACTCGTGACCTTGTTATATACGATGATTAAAGCTGTTTCTGATGGGTTGAGGGATGGCTAGGCTTAATATGATAAAGAGACGGGATATTATATTTTATTATGTTATATTTTATATATTTATATATTTTTTTTTACTTCTCAGCCTCGGGACGGCTCTGGACGAAACGTGCGCTGAAGCCCTGAAGATCGACCAGGGCATTGAATTGTTCAAGGCCTAGATGAATAGGTTGTTTGACCACATTCCAAGCGACGCCTTCATCACAAGGAGGGGTGGTCAAGCTACCCTCGTATTCCCAACGAGGAGTGAAGTTCTTTGTGGATTTGAGTAGACTGGAGAAATCAACAGTGTGGACCTTGTATTTGATCTGTTCCTTCTTTGAGGGCAAACCCGTGACGCTGTCCTTGATCAAGAAACCATGACCGTCCTTGACGCGATCAACTTTCTTATCCAACTTGATCAGCCATTCAAAGAAGGGGTTCTTCTTCAGGGTGACCTCCAACATCAATCCGATGACAGCTAAAGAGTTATCCTCTTTGGATTGATGAACCAAATGTAGTTCTGCGTCTGCGAAATGGTTGTTGATACGATGTTCACTTGGAGAATGGAAGTGGAATTGAGTCAGATAATAGGTCTTGCCCTGGAGAGTGATTGAATTATCATTGGTGTTGGTGGATGTGGCGTTCCATTCACACTTGACAGTGTGTCCATCATATCCACAGTGGACATCACGTAAAGGTTTATAGTCCAATTTGTCGAAGGGTCGGCTCTGGAGCTTCACAAAGGGTGCACCGACAACGATGTCGATGGGGGATTGTTTATGACCTGTACCACACTTGCCATAGAGAGGATCAAGTTCTCCCCAGTGCTGAGGCCCTGCATTGTCTTGTCCGTACTTTCGATATAAAAAATAAATATAAATGATTACAATTAAAAGGTGTGAAAAAAAGGAGATGGAATGATGCAAACAAGCAAGCAAATAAGCAAGTAGGCAAAGCAAGGAGGAAAGCAAGATCATAAGAAATATATATATATAAAGGCACAATTGCTTTAGTGCGAAATACTCAAAAATACTCAAGGAGGTAACTGATATTGGAAAGTGAGAAGGCACAAGAGGGGAAGAAGAAAAGAAAGAAGAAGGTACTTACAGTCCAGTGAGCGCCAGGGGCGGCCGAGACAGCAGAGATAACAACGGTAATAGCGAGAGCGAGAGTCTTCATTTTCGGGATTGAAAGAATAGAATAGATTACTTTGAGGTAATGCGTTGTGTATGAGAAACTGAAGAAGAACGGAAGAGGGGAGGTAATAGTTTTGCTGATACTAAAGACTAAGGAGAACAACCTGAGTGAGTTTGAGAGTGAAAAAGAGATATAGGTGGTCGTTAAGAAGTAGGAGAAAAAGACAGAAGGAGTAGTTAGTAAAAGGAGAATTGGATAAAGTTAAAGAAAGGTAAAAGAAAAGAAAAAAAAAAAGGTATTTTTTTGAACGTTCAACCGTCTTCCTTTTTTTTTTTTTCTCTTCCCCCTGTAAATGGGTTGGTAAGACAAGAGGTTCAGGAACGGACCCATAAACACGCGTTTGGACGTGCTCATCATCAAATCAAATTTCAACTTTAAATTTAAAACTTGGTATATAAAAATTTCTACCATTCATACACTCACAGCCTTGGCGCAGTCAACGAGCTTTAGAGCAGCCCAGCTCTGTTCAAAGACGCTCTCTCTTTTTTTTTTTTTTTTTTTTTTTTTTAACCAACAAGTTGTTTCCATCTTCGTCTTTAGAGATATTTTCTAAAATTGTCATATGAATCATTGTTGCTATGGTTGTTTTAATCAATTGTCCACTGCTTCAGCTTTTCTTTTCTTTTTTTTGAGCTCATCACATTGTTTAAATTCTCCTATTATATCCGATCATTTCTCTTACAAATCAACCCCTGTCCTTTTTTTTTTTTTTTTTTTTTTTTTTAAATGAGAGAATTGTTTTTCATTATATGTACTCATTATAGACCATACACAATAAGCAAAACGTTTGTTTAGCAAAAAAAAAAAAAAAAAAAAAAAAAAAACTCCTCTCTTAAATTGAACACGACGTTGATTAGAAACGGAAATTGAAGTCAGTTGGGAGTTGAAGAGGGGTCAAAAACACATCCACACACACACACATACACACACACAAAAGGCATGATTTACAATCTCTTCTCTCGCTCTTCATTGCCTTTTGGTCAATACTTGACTTGATAGCCATTAATTGCATTAATAACCATAAACAAACAAATTAAATAAATAAATAAATAAATAGATATCATTTTACATGTTCACCTGGAGTACAAAGAACAATAGGAGAAAAAAAAAAAAATCTTCTCCACATCTTTACATCCTTCCAAAATAGACGGGAAGGAAAAATTCGGAGGGTCGGAAGCGATTGGAAATAAAGGCAATAGATAGTTCAACTAATAGACTGTCATTGTGAAGTTATAATCCAACTCAATAATGCGGGGAAGAGGAAGAGGAAGAAGAATCTACAACGACCTCACCACTTGCTGATGGTATATATGTGGGTTCCAATAGTTTAGAAACATTTTGAGACAAAGAACAACTTGACAAAATATATGAGAAACACGCAAGTTTTACTTCAATTTTTTTTTTTTTTTTTTTTTTTACCTTCGAGAAGGATTATATCCAAACACACGAAGTGAATGCCTGAGAAGGATAAATAGAGGAGGAGAGCGTGAGAATGAAAAATGAGGATATGAATGAGAACCGAAAAGAGCGAGATATGAAAGACTTTTTTTTTTTTTTTTTTTTTCTTCTAACTACAAACGTATTTATACGAAAAAAAAAAAAAAAAAACACTGAAATGCAAGTTCATTTATATACATGTAAATGACAATGATTAGAGAGAATGAATATGTAATGAGTTTTTTTCCCCTCTGCTTCGCCATTCATTACTTCTGCATGTACCTTTCCTTCTTTTTCCTAACCTTCTTTAATTTTTCTGTCATTCAAAAAAAAAAAAAAAAAAAAAAAAAAGTTATTAAAATGAATTATTCCATATGATTGGATTCGTAAATCTTTTTTCTGTTTCCGCCCGCGATGATAATCCACTATTGCACAACATTTGATGCGGGGGGAAGAAAAAAAAAAAAAAAAAAGAAAAAGAAGAGGAGACACGTATACACCTTTGGTGATGGGGAGAAATGACGTTTAAGAGAAATATACTGTATACATAAAAGTAGCAAGCATTTTGGAGTATGTCATATACATGTACATGTATAATTGAGCAATATATTTGTAACTGACAAAGCGTCTTTGTTTTTCATACTCCGGTTCCCTTTCCCCATCTGTGGAAGCCGTTGCACCTGCATGATTGTGAGCCGATTATGAATGTTGAATTTTAATTGTGAGAAATTTCCACATTACTGAATGATTCCCAATTTTTTTTATTTTTTATTTTTTATTTTTTTTTTTTGCAATTTGAACGGCGCGCTTTTTTTTTTTTTTTTTTTTATGCATATCTTCCTGCACATCTCCTACATCAGTTCCCGCCCTAGTTCAAGTCATTGAAGGCAAGTATTGGTCATCATGCCCTCTTGCCAACGCCGGATCGTTTGCTTTGCTGAGCGCAGCAGTCGAAACTAAAAAAAAAAAAAAAAAAAAAAAAAAAAAAAGGAACGCAGAGAAGAGCACAGCGCTGCATCTACTTGTAAATAAAAAAAAAAAAAAAAAAAAAACGGCAGAAATATACAGTATAGCCCGTTTCATTTGGTCGCGATACCTTATATTTTTTGAATACTTTCGAGTGTATTGGCAGCCAATTAGCTCGCTTGTTACGAGTATTGTTGCAAGTCCGTCACGTAGTGAGATGCCACCAGAACAATTCAATCATCGTTTTTAGATTAAAAATATAAGGTATCGTGACCAAATAAAATTGGCGATATATGATAGATGCATCGCCTCGGCTTTTTTTTTTTTTTTTTTTTTTTTTTTATATTTTACACATCATCGTAACTATCCGCAGTTGGAGCGGTTTCTACAAAAGAAAGAAAGAAAGTAAGAATATAACCAGTGCGCCGCAAGAGCCTTTCGGTTCAGTTCTAGACTCGCCATATGAATAAAGGCAATGCAATCATCTATAGACTCTAATCCATATGTATATATATTGTATATATGCATATTTATATTTATGATAAGGACATTCCCAGTTGTCAATGCAGGTCAGTGAATGAAAAAGAATTGTCAAATACGTAAAAAAAATAAATTTTTTTTTCTCCGCGTTCAAACTTGCTTTCACATACACATTACACACGTTTGCACAAACATTGAGAAAAAAAAAAAAAAAGAAGAAGAAGAGATGAGAGGTGAAGGAGAAAAACAAGATTAACGCCATGGTCCAATAAAGTCATGATTGAGAAGGTTAGGAAGGGTTCTACTTGACACAAAAGTGGATCCCAGGACGGAAATCTAATGTTCATGTGAAACAAAAACAAATCATTACATTCATCGATACAGATATTTATACACACATTTGTATGAATATATAATGCTTCACTAGAAATTGGATATCTTCCATTCTCAACTTGTAGATCATATTAATTAAAATGGTTTCCTTTTTCGTAACTGAAAAACCTTGTTGCGCTTTACCTTTAATCGATATGTGGTTAAAAAAGATCTATAGAAGTCTAGGAAAGGAAGCAGAATGAACCTGATCGGACCCTGGTCCTTTTTTTTTTTCTTTGGTTCCCCTAGCCAACGTTGGTATGGGCTCTCTCTTGCCCCCTCCCTCACAGGGCACACACATTTGTCTTGTATAAATATACAAATATATATATATATATATATTAGATCAACATGGCCAATGCACCTGTCAAAAATATTTAGGAGAATGTCCATCTTTTCCAATCGACATGTACAATGTGCTCGGCTCTTGCCTTGTATGTCTTGTTCATGACTAAAATATTAAAAGTAAAAGTAATAATAATAGTAATAACAATAATAATTAACCAAATTGTCAATCCAGACATTTAATACAAAGTGGATGTTTTTCTTTTTAAGGACTTGATTCATTGATCCAAAAGGGGAAAAAAAAAAAAAATAGACATTCAAAGTTCATAAACGCGTTATTTTTTTTTGTTTTATTTTATTTTTTTTTTCCGAGAGTTATCCTCACAAAATAAATCTTATTGCACCACCATTCCATCCCACTGGTGGGCGTTGACAAGAAGAAGTGCACAAAATCACCCTCAACCTCCCTTTTTTCTCTCGTCATACTGCCCTACAAGAAGCTGCTCAGGCCAAATGTTGCATTAGGACAGTGTACGAGATGTTGAAAGTCCTTACTGTCACTTTTTTTTTATTTTTTATTTTTTATTTTTTATTTTTTATTTTTCATCAACTGGATCATCCCCTCCTCTAGTACTCTGGAGCCGTCAGTTATAAATTGTGTGCTGTGTGTATTGTATATGTGTATGTGTATGTGCATGTGTATATGTATGTATATGTATATGTGAATATGAATGCGAATTTGTGGCAACATTGTCAGTTGTACACGCGTTTTACCATCCAAAAGATACTCAAACAAACGCGTTTATTGGGAGCTTTAGCGAGTTTAAGCTTGGTTGGCCCAGCCCTCTCTATCTTGAAGTGTTACCAGTTTCCTTTTAAGGGTATCTAAGACAAGAGAAGACTGGAGAAATGTACCCCTTTTCAAAATTAAATTTTAACCCCAAAACCTGCTCGTTAACATCCCTCTCGCCAACATTCTGGAGCTGATTTTTGAAATCGCGAACTATTTTTCATTCCTAATCAAGGGTGCCATGGAGTTGGAGCTGAGTTTATGCAAACACCATCCTTGTGGCTTTTCAGGTGCATAAATACCTGGATTGAGTGGATTCATCCCTACCCTCATCTAACCTTCATCGTCTCCAAGGCCACGTCTCTGATTGACATTCAATAATATCAATAATATCTTTCTTCACACCTCTCTTCCCTTCAGCAGCAATGAGCATGTGTCTAACTAATCTATTTATCTGTCGTCAAGTTTTGATGACACGATAAAAAGTAAGAGAGAGCTTCAATGGTATTGAAATAAATGGACAGACAAATGTACTGTACATTTAATCAAAGAAGGAAATGAGAATTATCTCTCAAAAAAGCAGCTTCTAAAGTTTTGTATTTGAGGAATCTTCATGGGCATAAGGATCCCAAAAAATAGAGGAGGTTTGGGGCGGAGGATGTATTTCCCCCCGACGGGGTGTCACTGCCAATGGACAGATCAACTGGACTTACAATGTCAAGGCTGAGAAATGTGTATGAAGTATATTCCATGTAAGACCGACTAAAAAAAAAAAAAAGTGATATTCTCAAACATGATTCAATATTTATATATTTGTACAGTCACCCGAAATAAATTATTGAGATTAAGAATATTTATTTACATTTTTTGAATAATCTGGGCAAACAGCTCATATGCAGCATACACAAAGACTTTATCAATCAACATGAAAGTTCGTAATTTTATCGAAGGGGCTATTGTGGTTATTTACTGAAGCCCTTGGGGTATATTAATTGACTAAGAGAAGTACTACGCGGGCTCAATAACCAGTGTGCCTTCCTTTGGCCCCCTTCACCTCTATCAACCTTTCTGGCATGGAGTTAACAAGGATAGCCAGCTCCGCTTGTGGCAACTTGTCCCACTCCTCAACCAGAGCCGCTCCGAGGCTAGCGAGATCTCTTGGCCCTTTGGTGCGTCTATCAAGTGCAACCGCGAGAAGTGACCACACGTGCTCAATGGGGTTTAAATCTGGAGAGCGTGCAGACCAGTCTGGAATCCTTGAGATGCTGTTATTTTCGCGCCATTCCCTTGCAACTTTGCATGTATGGACTGGTGCATTATCTTCCATGAGAATACCATCCTCCACCTCAGCCATAAACCTGGCTAGCTCACATTTATACACATCTTCCACGAAAGATGGTCCATCCCTACGCCCTCGTTGAAATATAACCAACCGGGACCTTCTGGTCGCTGTAATCGCTCCCCAGACCATTAGGGATGTCCTACCACTCTTGAAAGTAGGCGCAACGTAATCGTAGTCGTACTTTTCCTGTGCTGTGCGTCAAACTCTTATCTTACGAAAGTGATTCATATATTTTCTATTCAAAAAACGATGAGTGAATTGGTGACTGATTTTGACATTTCACCCTCCGTGACGAACTGATTCCAAGGAATATAATTGGCTCCCAATTCAATCAAGATTATTCAAAAAATATATGAATCACTGACCAAATGGGACGGAGTATATTTATTAGTTGTTTCTGTGGATACGTTCGTCGTCGCTTAAAAACATGTTTCAAACTTTCTTTGGACGTTATATACAGTGCCCGGACAAAATATATTAAATTACGTAAGTCAACACTTTTTGCCATTAATATATTATTTTTATTTCTTGGTTATGTAATATATTTGCTTTCGGAGTAACAGAACGATTGTGGAACAAAGACTGTGTAGAGAGGACGGCTATCAGCGCATTGAAGGTCTCACGACGAGCTTGATTGATGGCCATCACCCTCCGCGACTACGTCTCAGAGAGGAGTTCCTGAGGCGAGACTAATTTTCAAACATTACGTTTTTTCTCCATTTTTCATTTGGATCATTGCAGGAGCCCTTCCCAAATGCATTTGACTGCCGTTCACGAACCAGTTTTTTTTTTTTTTTTTTTTTTTAAAAAAAAAAAAAACAATGTCTTTGAGGTCTTTGAGATATATATACCCAGGGGTTTTTTTTTTTTTTTTTTTTTTTTTTTTTTTTTTTTTTTTTTTTCCATCATATTTACCAAAGGATATCTACTATACCCCCACATATCAAGAATACCCTCCACAGATCCTTCACCAAATGCTTGGCCTTTTATCTAATCCCATGAATGGCATGCCCATTGAAGCTACAAAGGCTATCGTTCCTCTTGGTATCGGGCTTGCCTCTGCGGCATTCTTGGCCATGAAGGCTGTCGCAACCCCAAAGTTCCCAAATGACAAAGTAAAAATAATGAAAAGGAATATATATATATTTATCGTCGTTCGTTTCATTCCCTTACCATCGTTGAACTAACGTCGGAAATGCCACTACCTTATTTCCCTCTTTTTTTTTTTTTTTTTTTTTTTTTTTTTTGTAGAGGATTCCTATGGCCTCTCTCAGGCCAGGCGATTCTTCGCATGATAATGAATACAATGAGGATCCAAATGCGTTCATCAAGCGATGTGAAGAAGAATGCGGACCATTTTTCAATGTATTTCTGCACGGCTTTCCTTACACTGTCGTCTCTAATCCTTATATCAGCGAAGTTTACACTTCCGGTGACTTCTCTCACCTTGACACATTTGAAGACCTTACAAGCATGATGGCATACTTTAATACCATCCGAAAGAGCAACAAGCATAATGGCCTTCAAACCCCACACGATATCGTCCGTAACATCCTCAACCCCAACTTGCCCATGTTTACTCCAGAGATCGCAAAGCTGGTAGAGGAAAACCTCGAACAGGAATTAGGCCGCTGTCCTGTTGAAAAAGGGAGGATACTGGTCAAAAATCCTTTTCATTTAATTCATGAGTTAGTTGCAAAAGCAAGTATGTATTTTATATAACAATAATTACCTTTTCCTTTTTTTTTTTTTTTCTTCATTTTTTGCGGTGTGTATTAATATATTGATGATCGGTGAACTTTTTTTTTTTTTTTTTTTTTTCTTGATTAAAATTTAGTGGCACATGTTTTTGTTGGTCCCGAGGTTGCCAAGAGCCGCCAGATTGTTGAAACATTTATGTCTGCTGCTGCAGATTTCGGAGAGGTGATCGGCGTCCACGCTCCCACCTCGAAGTGGCGCACGCTTGCGCTTCGACTCAACTACAAATCTTTCCACAATCCACTTCAGAAGCATCTCCAAGTCCTGGTAGATGTTTCCACGCCCGTAGTCCTTGAACGCCGTCGACTTGAAGCTCTGGCGAACGAGACTGGTGTTGAATGGGAGCGACCTAGGGATATCCTTCAGCAGTTGCTTGACAACGCCGACAAGTATGGGTTCGTTGACTTGGAAGATGTTTGCGCTCATATCCTTATCCTTATTGTCATAAGTGTCCATACGACAGCAGACGCCGCCAACAGTATGCTCTACTACATGGCGGCATTTCCACACTCCATGGACAAGTTATTCGAAGAGCAGCAGCAGATCCTCAATGATATTCAAGCGGAACGCGAGCATGCCCGGCAAGAATGCTTGAAGAAGGGAGAGCCCATCAACGACCATTTGGACCCTGCACATGACAAAGACCTGCCGGTAGCCGCGGTCAAGAAGATGGTTCATTTGGATTCCTTTATACGAGAGAGCTTTAGAGTCCGTGCTGAGCCTTTGTCTATGATTACAAATCGGCGTGCGCGCAGAGATAGTACCTTTTCGAACGGTTATAAGATCTCCAAAGGCGCTAGCTTTATTATCAATGCGAGATCTGGCCATATGGGCCCTGAAGCAGGGGAGGATGCAACAGAGTTTAGGCCATGGCGGTTCGTCGGCAAAGCTAAGACCGCGATCAAAGTTGGACCAGATTATCTGCCCTTTGGCATGGGAGGGTAAAGTACATTCGTCTCTTCTAGACCTATAAATGCTTTTTTTTTTTTTTTTTTTTTTTTTTTTTTTTCTATCATGAATTTAACGTAAAAAATAAACTTTTTTTTTTTTCCAAACAGGCACGCTTGTCCAGGACGATTCATGGCTATAATGGAGTTGAAAGTCATTGGTGCTTTGATAGTTACCAAGTTCTCCAAGGTAGAAATGCAAGACCCTTCCAAGACAAAGATGGCTCTTCATTCCCGTCTTGGCGAGCCTATCCCCAGTGGCCTAAAGTTCTTTATCCGTGAATGAGTGGCATAGCTCGTCATGAGCCACTTGATATCTTCCAAATGGATTATTCTCATCCCTGTCCTTGTGTGGCGACTGTTCGATACTTGTTGTTTTTCCATATCTGCCTCGATTTAATGATAATTATGAGATTTGATTAGCATCTCCTGAATGGTTGCCATCCCGAGGAACTAGTGAGGACGGACAGGATTCATTGTGTTGTTCAAAACAATAAAACTTGACTGAAAGTTAACTGATCCTCAAACCATGAGACAAACAATGCCTCTGAGCACTTCAGTAAGATTGTGGTGCGCTTTTGAGATGCAGAAAAGACAGTATTGTCTCTTATGTAGTGAGGGATGTAAGGTTTGCTCCCTCTGAGGCCAAGCTTTTTGAAGTTACGGCTGTTTATCAGTAAAAGCACAAATGGCTCTTGTTTTCCGCATGCTCCTAGCGCTTCTTCAATCCAAAGGCTGCGACATAGCCAGCAGAGGATACATGCTTATCGAAGTATTAATATACCCCTGGCAAAAAGTGCATGTATATGATAAAAGTATTGTTCAGGAACGTAGGATGGTCAGCGGGATATGGCAATGCTTAGATGCTTATACAGCTTCATATGAATTGCAAATGAAGCGGATTTATTAAGTGAGAACATGGAATAATAAAGAAGAGTTGTGATAAAGTTCTCTATATCTAACGGAATATTATTAATATGAATGCCATTTCTGAGGAATATACACGCCTCGTTGAGGCTCAGTGAGGGTTTATGCGGGAGGAATGGCCAACTATAAAGAAGCAAGTTTTATCGCATAGAGATGAAAAAGATATCTAACGTAGCACAAGTCAAGTCAATAGTGCTTGACCGTCTACATCCCTACGTTCTTTTTTCTGACGCAAGAATTTGGGATGCTTGGCTATGGTAGTCCATATCGAAATGTTGATAACTGTCTGCTGCTCCTATATTCACTGATCACAGGAGATTCTTTGTCTATAATGTCAAGACTCATACCAAAAACATCTTTTTACTACTTGCACAAGGAGTTTTATCTCCGAGATCCTGTGAAACTATTACCTCTATGATGAGAGAGATGTGCTCCAGCCCAAAACTTTTGCTTACCAAGAACAATCTTGAATCATTTAAGCATTTGACATTGGATCTAAACGGACACGACAAGCCAAATCTCTACTCTTATAAGCTCAAGAAGTCAGGTTTTCGTATTCAAGTGTATTCAGCCATGAACAATATCATACTGTTTGCATCCAAGCTAGCTCATTGTCGGGATTACAATGGTGGGACCATGCTTGTGAAGATGAACATTACATCGCACATACACAAGCTGGACTGTATTGCTCTTGATGGTGGCCGCAGTCAAAAGATGCGATGGCCAAGTAGGAGGTGAAAACCCCATCTTACTTTTTGGTGACAACATTGCACAGCTGCAACTTTGCATAAACCAAATCTCTCTTACAACCTTGGTCACCCATTACATGTAGTGACACAGATTTTTATTTTACTGTTGATCAAAATGCATCTCTCTGAAGGAAAAAAACCAAAGATCTTTCAACTGAAGCCGTCTCCTTGGTTCACAGACTCACTACAGATTAAGAGGGTGCTTCTGGAGATACTCTTCAAGCGTGGTCAACCTGTCATGAATACTTTTGGTTGACCATTCGACAAGCTCCTTCTCTTCTGGACCAAAGTAACCGTATTTCTCGATGTAGGGTATCATGTAACCGAAGATTTTGCTGTGAGAAGCTGGCAACGCGCTATCATACGCATCCACCGCCACCTGCTTATACTTGACGGTCTTGCCTGTTGCTTTGCTGATAATCTCTGCTATTTCATCAAATGTACGGAGCTCTGCTGCTGCACACAAGATTTTACCCTCAAATTTTTCCGGTTCTGCAAGAATAGCACCCACAAACTTGCCTGTGTCGCCTACAACATCGAAATGCGGAAGCACGCTCTGAGGAGAGGCTACATTGACTATCGCAAAAGTTCCATCGTCTTGGGGTTGAGGACCCAAATAAAACATGTAGAAGTTTTGATAATACATGCTTGGTGCGAAAAAGGCACTCTTGATGGGGAGAGAGCGAATATATTTCTCGATGTCAGCCTTGACGTTGAAGATGTCTAAATCATGATATTTACCCTCGGAGATATCGCCTGCGTGGTGTAAAGTGCTGAAAATAATAGAATGGAGGCCTGCATCGACGGCTGCGTCTGCTAAATTCTTGCCTTGAATGATTTCTTTAGCATAGAGACTGTCGTCGAAACACGTGGTAGTGAGGCCAAAGACACTGTGTGCACCTTTGAGAGCGTTCTTGAGCGATTCTTTGTCATAAAGGTCTCCCTTGACGACCTCAACTCCTCGCTCCTGCAAGGCTTTGGCTTCAGGTTTTGAGGGATTGCGTGTCACAGCTCGAAGCTTGTATTGCTCGGATAGCTCTGGATGGTTGAGGACATAGTTGATGACAGATCCTCCTTGCTGGCCAGTGGCTCCGATGACTGCGAGGATTTTAGGCGATGGTATCATTTTTTAGAAAGGCAATGAGACTATAAAGGATTGTTCTTATTTCTGAGAAGGGTGTTGCAACTTGTAGGCGTGTAAGAATTGGGATAGAAAGCGGCGGCGTTGTGTCTCTTTAAATACTCAGGTTGTTGAGCAGTCGATTCGTTCATGATGAATACAATATCGTCAGATCTAAATCAGGGATGACTGGGAAAAAAAACCCCTGCAATCTTTTTTTTTACGCAACAATCTAGAGCTTGTGATCGGGCATAACAAAATGCCTTGTGGAGATTTTTTCCAACAAGGGGTAAAGAGAAAGATTACATGAATAAACAAATACTCCAGACAAAAAGTTGAGCATGCTACTCTAGTAAGGAAGGTTGTCGGCCAAAACAAACGCGAAATGGCGTAAAATAGGTAATCATTTTACTTTTTTAGAACAGTATACCAACTTTCCTCATTACTGCGACGGAGTTACGCTCCATACTCTTATATCAGTTTTTGGACCCGTGGCAAGCAACTAATTGTCCTGCTCACTCTTTTTGGTTGGGTTTGCTTAATAAAATTTTTGTAATTGAAAAAGGGACCAATCAAGAAGAGCGAACAGCCTCTTTTATTTGCAGTTTTTTTTGTGCATAATTTTTCATTTGTGTACTTGTGTTCAATGTCAATAAACATGTCTTGTTTCCAACATTTGGACGAAAAGGCACACACAATTTCAGATGTGTTTGCTTATTGAGATGTCGGGATTGAGATCTGGAGAAAATCATCTGTCCGAGTACTCCGTCAAATGTATAGCCACACTGTTATCGAACGCCAATAAGAGTTTGACAGAGTCAAACGCTCCAAAACTGTCCAGGACATGATTACAAAAGAAGCAAAAAAAAAAAAAAAAAAAAAAAAAAAAAGGCTTATAGTCTATCAGCCATGTGGGATACTGTCGAAGAAATAGCATAAGGACTGGATTTCAGAGTTTTGGCAACACTTGTGAATCGTAGAGAGGTCTCCAGCATTCAACAGAGAGAACGTGGTTCTATGTCCCAGAGCCACATCAACAAAGGTAATCTGGCAAATGCCATTCATGCAACCATTGATCTTATAAAGTCCATAGTTACAAATTTTATCATTCGCCGCTACCTCAGGAATAGCCCAAAATTAGGATGTTTATGTATGTGTATGTGAACATGTGTTAGTGCTACTGCTTGTTTGTTGATACGGTAGGAGAGAGAAGAGATCCGGGTTGACATAGGACAGAGACAGTTGTTCCGCTAACCTATACTATTTGGGAAAAGTGGTGAAATATGGATGGTTGGTGCTAATTGATTCCACCCATGACACCAACAAGCATCGATGGAGGATTTTCACATTTTACATTCGGGATAGTCTCATTTTAAAACGTTGACGTAGTCTGGCAACTTGGTACATGCTCTCTGACAATGGCGCAGTAGAGATCTTTGCATCAAGAACGCTTCCCCGATATTGAGCAGGATGGACAAATTGCGACAGGATTCTCTGTATAGTGTATAAAATGAGGAGCTGGATATGAACCCATCATACTAAAGCTCAGAGTAACGTGGACTTCGTAATGTACAGGCAGACAAGAGCAAGATGCAAGCAACCGATCGGGGATGCCATCAAAAATTATGATGTATTTGATATTATTCAGCACATCAATGACTATTAGATGAATAACACTGAACAATGGGCGCTATAGGCCCTTCAGTACCCTTCACTCTTACTTCAGGTCGCCTCCATCATTCCCCTTTGATGGTTTTACAGCAAACTCAAGAGAAAAGAAGCGATTTGAGCTGATTGAAAAGTGATACGTGCCAAATATTATAAAAAGATTAATTACAAACCCTTGGCCTCTTTGGTTGAATCCAAAGCATTAAACATAGGGGTTGAAATTCGATGAATTGTTGGAGGGATATCCACTGGAAACCGGTAAAAGATGAGAAGTCCAGGTATTTCTAGAAGAATACGAAAAGTTGGTTCAATGGAAAGAGTAAAGAAGCGACAATACACAAGAACCTTGAAAAAAAAAAAAAAAAAAAAAAAGCAGTTTGGGCTAGTCCAAGGTGTCCGCGATTGGATCATCAACGAGTACAGCATTGTGAAAGGCGAAAAAAGAGGGTTTTAGAACTTAAATTACAAGCCAGCTATGGAGAAGATCTCACACTAGTTGAGGATGACTTCTACAACCAACTGTATATCTTCATGCGTATCAAGAAGAACTTATCGTTGAATGGCTTTATGCAACAGTTCATACAGCACATGGTTGATGCAGGATGTTTTGTTCAAGGAATTCAAGGACATGTTGCCAAAAACCACTGAGTCATCAAACCTCGGGGAATAATACTGAAAAGGATCAAGGAGGAATGCTTTCACCAAATTGCTAGTGCGGAAGACTTGATACATGAGGTTTTTATGGGCTTGTATGGATTGCCTGAGTTGGGGGTAGTAGATAAGTGTGCGGTGTCTAAATACCACTTGATGAAAGCCTATCTACGCCTAATGTCATGGCACCTGAATCGGTCAAAGCATGACAACGAGCGGGAGAAACATATTACAGAAACCTGCGCTCTCTATCAAACGCCATCAATGGAGGGGGGCTCTGTCCAAAAACTAAAGTATCACATAATCTCGATTCACGATATGTCAAGTTACAGCGTGCAGTGGATATCATGACTGCATGTGGATTCACTGATATGCTCACTGATAATAGAGTGCCGGCACAGAGCCATAATGATGTGCTTGACGTGAAGATTGTAGGAATCAATTATTGCAGTGTAGAATGTAAGCTGAGGCATCACTCCAGGGTGGATTCACTTGGGGATATGTCCTTTGATGCCCACGTTTGAAGTTTTAAAAAACTATAGAAGCAATCGGCAAAAATGTTATCCGGTGGGCAGACCTGCAATTCGTTCCCTAGTAAAAAAGGAAACTCTTCCCACCATGGCCCGTGCACGATACAACGGGATCTCACTATGGCGACTGTCCGATGCCTGTTGTTTTTCCATATCTGCCTCGATTAATGGTAATTATGAGAGTTGATTAGCATCTCCCATATGGAACCTGAACAGTTGCCTATGATTGAAATATAGAAATTAACATTATTGATTATAAAAAAAAAGAATGTGGAGTTTCTCTTGGTTCTTTGGAACTCACGTGCCTCTGATACATAGGGTTGACCAAGCTTTGTGGGTACCAGCCTGGATGGGAGTTTTTTGGATGACGCAAAGTTTTTCTTGCAGAGCTTAAGACCATTAGTTTGTACAAAATTCAGTAGTCTGCTCACTAAATACGCGGGCAGAGCCTAGATGATTAATCATTACATATAGATATACTAGCTAGAAATTCAGAAATCCCACTTTGTTATGCGTGGTTTTATACCATTTACTCTATGCCATAAAACAAAGTGGTAGCCCTCTCTCTAATAAACCGCCATTTTGAGTATTTCTTGATTCCACATAGCACTAGGTATTGTTGAAGCAATGCCCAATTGATATTGACTCTATATTTTATTTTTGCGAGCGCTTTTCGAAGTATACGAAGGGTGCAAGTAAAAGAAGCTGAGTATCATTCTAACTATAAAAAAAATGGTTCGAATTACACCCTTTACGTGGGTGTAAAAAAAAGTAGTATTCGAAGGAAAAGTTGAGGATCATGCTCAATTTTCATTCAAACAACCTTTTTTTCTGCGCACTTTTTATATAGATAAGTAACCAAAATGGCCACGTTGTAACAAGGATTTGTTGTATCAATTGACCAAACCTTGACCAGGAAATGAAGCATCGAAGAGGGAGAAGGGCCTTTCCAAACGCATTACGATGTATGGGGAAGAGTGATGGAGCGGATGGAGAGAAATGGCGAACCGATTCTATCAGGTGTACATGTAGTTTGCGCAGCTGCTCAGAAAATACGCGATCGCACTCGGTCTACGACTCAATTCGTAGACATGTAAACCATTACAACAGCAAAAATTGTGTGTATTGTGGAGTATCCAAAGCAATGAAATCCTTCTTTCTTTCTTTTTTTTACAAATGTAAATGTGACCATACTTGGACGCGACCAAAGTTCCCAAGGGTCCGGAAAATTTTGTACCAGTTGTATTTCCTTCCGAACCAGTCTTCTACTCCACAACTCATCACATCATCTTATACTAAAAAAATCTTTTTGACGTACACATGATGAGCGTCATGTCTCCGTTTCTTGAAAGGTCTTTAATCTTTTTTCTTTTCCTTATTTTTCTTTTTTTTGCTTTCTTTGCTTTCTTTGCTTTCTTTGCACCACTGCATTCACACATTCACACATCACTCATCTTATTCTCTTTGTTTTATTCTCACTCTCACTCTCACTCTCAGACTCTTTCTCTTTCAAACATCATGGCCAATCGCTTAGCTCAGATCGGATCTCACCTCTTGCCTTCATCACCCTCGATCCATACAAAGATCGGTACCAAGTCTCCTGATGACGTTGTTGTCGTCGATGCAGTACGCACACCCATGGCACGCGGAAAGAAGGGTGGATTCAAGGACACTGTCCCGTAAGTATTTTTTTATTATCTCTTTGTCCATGCATCTGAATCTGGTGTGTATGTAAAAAAATATATATAGCTTAACAGTTCACACGCAAGCCTTTTCCCACGATATTTGTAATTCCTTTTATCTTTTATTCTTGTCCCTTTATCCTTTTTATCTAATCCATTATTCAAAGAGTTAAAGAAGGGCTCTCTTACTTTTACAATGTTAAATGAGTCCCGACGCTGTGAAAATATCAGATCTGCATGTGAATAGAGTTTATATTAACGACTTCATCATGATTTACAGTGTGAGTTCATGCACTATGTTTATATTAATCTATTTATTAACGTTTATATATTTATTTCAAAATAAAATAGTGAGGATCTTTTGGCAGCAGTTTTGATTGCTATCAAGGATCGTACCAAGATCGACCCTACATTAGTAGATGATATCTGTGTGGGAACAGTGTTACAACCAGCTGGAGGGGCCACAGTCTCGAGAATGGCAGCTCTTTATGCTGGATATCCTGAAAAGACTTCCATTTACACAACGAACCGACAGTGCTCCTCAGGTTTACAGGCTGTTGTGAATATTGCGACTCATATTCAGGCAGGACTCATTGACATTGGTATCGGCGCTGGTGTTGAGTCCATGACGATGGGTTATGGTCCCTCTGCCATGCCTAGTCAGACGTCCGAGAAGATCCCTCAGGCTAGCAAGGCTGCCGAGGAGTGTAACCTTCCTATGGGGTAAAGTATCAACATATTTGTACTAAAAAAAAACAAAAAAAAAAAAAAAAAAAAAAAAAATTCATTTGCTTATTTTAAAATCATCTCGTGATTTTTTTTCCTTTCCCTTCAGAATCACATCCGAGAACGTTGCTAAAGATTATGGAGTCGATCGCAAACGCCAGGATGCATTTTCTGCTACATCATACCAGAAGGCCGCTTTGGCCCAACGCCAAGGCAAATTCGATAGTGAGATCGTCCCGGTTAAGACAACGATTGTGGATGAAAAGACGGGAGAGACAAAAGAGATTGTCGTTTCCAAGGATGAAGGCATCCGTGACGGCGTCACTGAAGAGTCTCTTTCGAAGCTCAAGCCAGCTTTTGGAGGTTGCACCACTGCTGGTAATGCATCCCAGGTCTCAGATGGAGCAGCGGCTGTCTTGTTGATGAAGCGAAAGACAGCTCAGAAACTTGGCTTGCCTATTAGGGCCAAATATGTTGCTTCTGCTGTCGTAGGTTGTCCTCCCAGGATCATGGGCGTTGGTCCCTTGTATGCTATCCCTGCTGCGTGTAAGAAGGCTGGAATCGAGATCAAAGATGTAGATGTTTTTGAATTGAATGAGGCATTCGCGTCTCAGGCGGTCTATGTGATCGATGAGTTGGGATTAGACAAGATAAAGGTTAACCCTCTGGGCGGAGCCATTGCCATGGGTCATCGTAAGTGCTTTTTTCACGTAGCATTTTTTTTCTTCTTCCTGATCCGTATATGCATGATATGTTGCTAGGAAACGGAAGGAGGGAACTAAAAAAAAAAAAAAAAAAAAATCGTATTATACATGATCATCTTTTACATAGCTTTGGGATGCACTGGGGCTCGTCAAATTGCCACATTGATTCCTGAACTAGAGCGTCAGGACAAGAAAATTGGACTGACCACAATGTGTATCGGCACAGGCATGGGAATGGCTGCTGTCTGGGTAAGTCTTTAATATATGTTGTATAAAGAACTAATAGCGGATACATTTCTTTGAATGCTTGCAGCAATAAGAAAACAAAAAACCTAACTTCTGGAAATGCTTTTGCCTATCTTTATTTCATTAGGAACGCGAGTAAAAAAAATTTTTTTTTTGCTGCCTTAAGGATCCAACAATTTCCTTCATGGGCTTCAAAGTGTGTTATTTGCAATAAAAATGCATCCTCAATATTCGTATTCTGATTTGAAGGCAAAATGTACCTGTCCAGATTCTTGATAAAAATCGGAGGAGACCTTTGTGAAAAATCTATTGTGAAGTTTTGTTACTTGAAAGAGGAAATCACAAATGCTTCACTTTCTTTTGTATTGTTTTCGAACCGTGTTTCATCGTCCTCAATAATAATCACATTTTCGGGAATTTTTTTTTTTTTTTTTTTTTTAAAAAAAAAAAGTCTGATCGTCATCATAGAAAGACCCTCATTGAGTATCGTTACCAGTTTCTCTGCTTAATCGCCTTCGGTTCTTGCAGGTTCTTGCAGGTTCTTGCAGGTTCTTGCTCTGGGTTTTAAGCTCCTTCAACATTAATGATAGTCGTGGGTTAATAAATATTTTTTAGTATTCGGACGTTGTATGGTTTCTTTCAGAAAAAGCACGTGGATTGTGACTGAATTTCGTCTCTTTTGTTTATTGAATTTTCCATTTTCGGCCTTTTTCTTTTTTTTTTTTTTTTGTTCCTTAGACCCTTCCTCTTCCCTCCATCCCTCACTCCTTCCTTCATTCGCCCCAACCATGTCTATTCGTCTCCTCTCTATTTTACGCCCAGCATTGCGCTCGGCCTCCTTGCGGGCCAGTACAGCCACTCGTGTACTCCCTCGTACTGCCACAGGTTTGTTTTCATGTCTTTTCAGTCTTTTTAACCTCAAAACCATAAATGCTGTCGATAGTGACTGAATGCTCTTGATCTCAGCTTACATTGCATATTTCAGTTACCTTCGCTGAGATAATGTAAAGCTAAGGGAAATGACTCTAATTGTGTGTCTTTGATTTTGTGCATCTCTTATCTCTTTGGGTTTCTTTCAGTCAACGCATTTCCAGCATTGACGTCGCACTTGCAGAGAACTGTTGGTTTTCACACTCAGCCGATTCGTCTTCAGGCTGTTAACCAAGAAGCACTAAGCGAACAGATTGAAGGCCAGCTGCCCACTCGCTTTGATGAAGTTTCTTTGCATCCTAACACTACCAAAGCTATCAAGACTATCTTCAAGTATGAAACCATGTCAAAGGTTCAGTCAGAGGTACTGTCGCTGCTTCCTACAGACACAGATATGTTTGTCAAAGCGAAAACTGGAACAGGAAAAACATTGGCGTTCTTGATCCCTGCCCTTGAGACTGTCTTGGCTAAGACTGATCCTAAAACTTTGAGGCGGGGTGAGATGGCTACTTGCTTGATTGTTTCTCCAACCAGAGAGCTGGCTCAGCAAATTGCAGAGGAGGCAAGGAAACTAGCTAAGCTCCACAAGTTCAATGTTCACTGTCTTGTTGGTGGTGAGAGTAAGAGTCAGCAGATCCGTCAGCTGAACAGTAAGCGTGTGGATATTGTTGTTGGAACTCCTGGTCGATTAAATGATATGATTGAATCCGTCCGAGAGTTCCGCTCGCAGCTAGAGGGTGTTAAAGTCGTAAGTGGCTTTTTTTTTTTTTCTCTTTGTTTCATTCTATTTTTTAATATTATATTTTTGAGGCTACTTTGAGTATTTATGTTCTTAATTGTTATCCCTGGCATTATAGTTGATTTTGGATGAAGCTGATCAGCTGTTGGACATGGGATTTAAGGACAGCATTGAGAACATTGTAGATGCGCTGCCAAAGGAGCGTCAGACTCTGTTCTTCTCAGCTACTGTTTCGTCCCAGATCAAATCGATTGCCCGTACCTCTCTTAAGCCAAACTTCACATTCATCGATACCGTGGACCCTAACGAAGCCAACACCAATTTGCAAGTCAATCAATCATACTGCGTTACTTCATATGAGCAACAATTGCCACTTCTACATCATATCATTGAGGACCATAAGAGAAAAAACCCCCACGGCAAAGTCATGGTCTTCTTGCCTACGACACGAGGCACACAACTCTACGCTTCGCTCTTTGAGGAACTCACATCATACCGCCTTTTCTCCCTACATTCCAAGAAGTCTCAAGAACAACGCACCAAGACCTCAGATCGTTTCCGTAAGAGCAGAGGCTCCATCATGTTTACCTCAGATGTTTCTGCTCGTGGTGTCGACTATCCTGATGTCTCACTTGTTGTTCAGGTTGGTATTCCTTCCTCTAAGGAGCAATATATCCATCGAGTCGGCCGTACAGGACGTGCGGGAAAGACTGGAGAGGGTGTTTTGATGGTCACCCATATGGAGAAATCGTTCTTGGATCACATGTCCGATCTTCCTTTGACCCAAAATGAGATCGCCAAGAATGTCGATGAGATTATGAACGATACGTCCTTGATGGCTAAGCTTACAGCCGCCAAGCAGGCTCAGGACCCTGATATGCTCTATGATGCCTTTACAGCATACCTCGGATACTGTAAGTACTCATAGGTTCTTATTTACATTGTTATTTTTCAAAATATCTATTTTATGCCATAGCAAGGACTAATAAGGTAATTTTTTTGTTTAACTATAGACACTGGTCGAACGGATGTTTTGACTTGTCCCAAGCGCGATATCCTTGAATCAGCGAAGCAGTATGTTGTACACCTTGGTGCAGATGAGCCTCCTCATGTAAGTGAGGCTTTCTTGACTAAGCTCGGATTCAACTCACGAACTTCTTCACGTGGCGGATCTTCCCGTGATCGTGGTTTCAGTGGTGGATTTTCAAGGGGGCGTGATAACTTCGCTGGTAACCGTGGTAACTTCCGTGACCGCTCTTCATCAAGATATAGCGAGCGCAGCTTTGGCCGTGGCGACAGGAATTCATCATACGGCCGTAACGACCGCAGAGGTAGTTCTGACCGCTTCTTCTCAAGAGATTAGAACAGTCAAATCTACATGTGTTTTTATACAATAGTTTAGTTTATCAATTTCCTTTTTGCATATGTAGTTTTGTCCTCTTTGTTTTCATATTTCATCGATTGCCCATCATTATATTTAGTACGAACATTTTCATTATAGACAAGCACAGCACCACCAATGTTTATTATTATGAACGAGGCCAAGGTGGTTCTTTGTTAATGCGGATTGTAAGTTGAGATTGTTATTCGTTGGGGTCCTCGCTTTAAGGGGTATCGATCTTGTCACACTCATTTGCCCAATTTTGCGCTGTGTGAAACGAAGGGGAACTTTCTCCCCCTCTGTTTGCTGCCCCTTTGTCCTTCCTCCCCCTTCTTGCTTAGCAACATGGCCCAGGACTTTAGCGATCCACTCACATCGGCTACCTATACCTCTCCAAGGATTGTTTCTGGACATGACCCACTGCTTGCATTCCCATCCACAATTGCACCCATTTCAGCCTCAGTAACGACTAAGCAGCAGACTGATGCACTCACATCCACATCTACATCCATAAAGGCCACAAGTAGCAGCATTGCTCAGAGCACTTCCGATTCGCTCTCTCCTCCTTCCTCTAAGAAACAGATACCACAAAATTATTCTACTACTACGAAAGTTGTACGGCAAAAAGCCCTGTCATCATCCTCTACACCCACTCCGTCGTCGTCGTCGTCGTCTGCGGCAAAGCCTCCCGCAACAGGGGCTATTGCCAATAGTCTCTCTGAAGTCTCGTCTTTTTCATCTCCTTCTTCTCCATTATCACGCCCTTTTTCAGATCCACTTCGCGACGATAGCACTAGCGAGAATTATTCAGTCTATCCAAAGCACAATAGTTACACTTATAACAAAGCGAGTCATGTCAACAGTGATCATAGCATAAACCTTCCTGTGAGCCCGAATGTCGGTCCAATTACCAGTAGTAGAAACTATGCCTACAACACTCCTAATTCATCCATGCCTTCATCTCCTTCTTCCACACCAGTTGCCTCATCCCAAAAGCCAGTCTTACCATCATCACCATCCACAAGTATTAGACCCAACCCTTCATATGATCAGCAACGTGCGAGGGCTCCGCAATACTTGCACATTACATTTCAGGATACAGATCGAAGAGGCAAAGATGGCATGTTCGTACTATCCGCTCAGGTATAGCTAGGTCGTATATAGAGAAGAAGTGGATAAAGGGTATCAGGGTGCAAAAGGCATCATTTGTGCTTCTCTGCTTTGCTTGTCTTAAAAATCTGTAATATTTTTTTTCCGCCCTCCTGTTTCTCATATCACGCGCCTCATGTTTCGAACTCTAGACAAACATGCCGAGATTTAGACGCCAGTCATACCAAAATATCATGCGATCATACGTCGAGTTTGTCAGGTTAAGGGAACATCTTGTGGCAGAGCACCCAGAAGTGATTGTGCCAGCTTTACCTCCTGAACGATCATTAGTGAGTGCATCGGACATTGAATCCATGCGACTGTTTGTGGAAAGAATCAGTCACCATCCAACACTTTCTCAGGATTATGAGCTACAAATGTTTATTGAATCAGAGTTTGGGGTAGGTCAGGAATGAAAGATCGACCAAGAGCTTTGTGTCTAGACTGTCTACATTACCTAACTATTGTCATTTTATTATTGCTATTATTATTTTGGCTTCAACAGTTTTTACCTCCTGCAAAACCAAAGAAGATTTTAGGAAAGTTGCTTAATATCGGTGTCAAACGGTTCAGTTCTGGTGGTGGTACAGTCGCTTCTTTGGACGACACAGATGATGAATTCGAAGAAGAAAAGACAGTAGCATCGAAGATGGAGACGAAACTGCAGACTGTCATCAAATGCTTAGACAAGGAAATCAAAGCACGGCGAGGTAAAGAGAGGCTTACAGTACAGTAGCACAAAGTTTGAGAGAGAGAAACCAACACAGTATAATATGATGTATTACCGACTTGTCTATAACCAGCTTTGCTGCTGCGCATCCTCTTCATCTAGATTTCAGCTCGAAAGAATCTGAACTAGCCACACTGAGTAACGCGTGGGCAGCTAATGAAAGTTCGCCTGAAATGGCAAGGTTATTTAAGCTGTTGTCAAAACCACTGGATGGCATGGCAAAAACGAGCAAAGCCCAAGTATGTTTGTGGACAAGTATTGAGTATCTAGTAAATCAGTTTGCCTAGGTGTACAAATGCTAACATTGAGTGCATTATATTCTAAACAAATTCATGAACAGGTTGGGGGCGATGCGACTGTTTTAGGAAGTTTCCTCGAGTATAAACTCCAGCATGTTCAAACACTTGGCAATGCTCTTGACTATCGGATGTCGGTCTTAAGCGAGTATGATGCTGCCATCAAATCTACAGAGAGTAAGAGGAAAACCATGGAGAGACTACGCTCGTCTACCAATATCAATCCTGAAAAGGCGACAGATAGCATTGATGACTTTGAAGATGTAGGTGCGCAAGATGATTTGAACCCTTGTGGCTCTGGAGCAAAAGCAAAAGCAAAAAAAAAAAAAAAAAAAAGATTGTTCCCCCAAAGAATTTCATTGTCGTCATTGCTCTTCGAAACTCAAAAAGATTTTCCGCTTTTTTTATTTTTATTTTAAAGGCGGCTCTCTTTGAAGGAAACATGAAAAAGCGGGTAGAGCAGATCTCAGAAGCGCTCAACAAGGATTTGAGGGGCTATAAACAACAGAGTCAGGAAGATCTTCTACGTGCTTTGCAACAATATAGTCAACGGCAGATAGGATTTGAGCGAGCAAAACTAGAGGAGCTGCTTTCTGTCGGAGCAGGATTATATGTAGACAAATATCAGGGCGAAGCAACTGATTACAGTCAGCATTTGCCATAATAATATTAAAGCCTTATTGCTTAGCTTGTTAAACTTGCTTAAATGCGTATTTTCTTTTTTTTTTTTTTTTTTTTTTTTTTTTTTTGCTGTGCACCCTGTTACTACTACTGTTGAAGAAGAATCCGACAGATTTTTATGAATTGAGCGGTATTTTATATGTGAAGGAAATATATTAACGGTTATCTTCGGAGAGAAGTGGAGGCCTTAGGCCAAGCATGATTGGGTGCGCAACCTTTCGGAAACTCACAGAAAACAAAAGAATAAAAAGAATAAAAAGGCGTAGCGGGGCATTAAAGATTTGAAAGATGGTGACTGTGAGTTGAGCTCGTTTGCCTTTTTCGGACAGGGTCGGATCAGTGGCTTGCCCTGTCAACAAGCATCAAGCTGAATATTTAACGGCTCACCGCGCAAAAGAAAGGATTCCCACCTTCCTCTCTTTTTCCCCCTTCTCGACAACATCAACCAACAATGTTGAATCTCGCACGCTTGTCCCGATCTTCGGCTGCTATTCAAGCCAGAAAGGTAAGCTGCCTCTCCTTTTTCCAACAAACAAGACATTGCAACTACCTGATCAACTTTTGAATTCTCAGGAACAACCAAAATGGAAAAGAGATCTGAATCAGGGGTAATTTTCAGGGCGAAACAAAAAGTGTCAACATTTTGTTTAACACACGCTATGCATCTGCACTCTCTCTCCTTGTCTCTCTCTTAGTTTGCTACTCGCTCCTACAGCTCAGTTAATGGACCCGTCATCGGTATCGATCTCGGAACCACCAACTCCTGTGTTGGTATCATGGAGGGTAAGATTCCCCGCGTCATTGAAAACGCCGAGGGTGCCCGTACTACCCCCTCGATTGTAGCCTTTACTAAGGAGGGCGAGCTCGTTGTTGGTCAGGCTGCCAAGCGTCAGGCTGTTGTCAATCCCGAGAACACCCTCTATGCCACTAAGCGTTTGATCGGTCGTCTCTACTCCGACAAGGCTGTTCAGCATGATATCAAGACTGTCTCATACAAGATTGTTAAGCACCAGAATGGTGATGCATGGGTCGAAGCCCGCGGTAAGCAGTACTCCCCCTCCCAGATTGGTGCTTTCGTTCTCGGAAAGATGAAGGAAACTGCTGAGGGCTACCTCGGAAAGAAGGTCGGCCACGCTGTTGTCACTGTCCCTGCCTACTTCAACGATGCCCAGCGTCAGGCTACCAAGGATGCCGGAAAGATTGCCGGTCTGGATGTTCTTCGTGTTATCAACGAGCCTACTGCCGCTGCCCTCGCCTACGGTTTGGACAAGGCAGGTGACCGTGTTGTTGCTGTCTATGACTTGGGTGGTGGTACGTTCGATATCTCCATTCTTGAGATCCAGAACGGTGTCTTTGAGGTCAAGTCTACAAACGGAGACACTGCCCTTGGTGGTGAGGACTTTGATGCTATGCTCGTCAAGTACGTCGTTGAAGAGTTCAAGAAGGAGCAAGGCTTGGATCTTTCAAATGATCGCATGGCCATTCAGCGTATCCGTGAGGGTGTCGAGAAGGCCAAGATTGAGTTGTCTTCGACTCTCCAGACCGACATCAACCTTCCTTACATCACTGCCGATGCAACTGGTCCTAAGCACATCAACATCAAGATGACTCGCAGCAAGTTTGAGTCCCTTGCTAAGGACCTCATCAACCGCACCATCGAACCCTGCCAGAAGGCTATTAAGGATGCTGGCATTTCAACCGGCGATATCAATGAGGTCGTTCTCGTCGGAGGTATGTCCCGTGTGCCCAAAGTCATCGAAACTGTCAAGCAGGTTTTCGGCCGCGATCCCGGCAAATCTGTCAATCCCGATGAGGCTGTTGCTATTGGTGCTGCCATTCAAGGAGGTGTCTTGGCTGGATCTGTGACCGATATTCTGTTGCTCGATGTCACCCCTCTCTCACTCGGAATTGAGACCCTCGGTGGTGTCTTTACCCGTTTGATCAACCGCAACACCACTATCCCTACAAAGAAGTCCCAGGTTTTCTCTACTGCTGCTGATGGCCAGACCCAGGTTCAGGTTCGTGTCTTCCAAGGAGAGCGTGAGCTGGTCCGTGATAACAAGCTCTTGGGTGACTTTAATTTACACGGTATTGCCCCTGCTCCTAAGGGTGTTCCTCAGATCGAGGTCTCGTTCGATATTGATGCCGACGGTATTGTCAACGTTGGTGCCAAGGATAAGGCTACTGGTCGTGATCAGTCCATGTCCATTGTTGCCTCCTCTGGTCTCTCCTCTGATGAGATTGAGAAGATGATCAAGGACTCTGAACTCTTTGCTGACTCTGATCGCAAGAAGAAGGAGCAGATCGAGGCTACCAATCAGGCCGAGTCAATCATCTCGGAGACTGAGAAGCACATGAGTGACTTTAAGGATCAATTGGACTTGACCGAAGCTCAAAAGATCAAGGACCAGATCACTAAACTCCGTGAGGTCCTTGCTAAGGGTGAGACCGTTGAGGCTGAGGAGATCAAGAAGGAGTCGACTGATCTTCAGCAAGGCTCTCTCAAGCTCTTCGAGATGGTCTACAAGAAGAACGCTGCCAACTCAACTTCCTCATCATCCGAGGGTACCACCGTCGAGAACGAGGAGCCCAAGAAGAACTAAGCTTTTCCCATCTTAGTTTTTGACGTGTGTGTTGTTTTTTTTTTATACTTATTTGTCACATTTTCTATATTCATTTTCAACCCCATGTAACATCAGTCAAAACATTTCCCATCTTGTCATATTTTTTATCTGTTTTTTTTTTTTTTGCCCTATTCTTTTTTCATTCATTCATTAGATATTTAGATATTGATAGAAAAAAAAAAAGAAAGAACCACCAAAAAAGATAGACTTCTGTAATTATCTCACCATAATAAATCTAGACTTGAAAAAGGCACGGTATTGCTGTAAAAGGATGTCATTAGAAAGATATTATGATGAAACTAATCAACTGGCCTACACCTCCGATTCACGCTCCCTACTACGACCGAGTTTCTTACTGTGATGGCAGGTAAGGACAACACAAATCAAAATAAAGGAGCTAAATGAAGATAAGCCACCATAATAATTTCCCCTGCCAGACAAAGAGTTGAAGGCAGATCACCGTCATTTTTTTTTTTTCTCATTACACGTCTGTGGACTGGACTGACAGAAGGAAGGGATCTCTCCTATACAATGCTCCGTTCACTCTCAAAATGCAACACCGTTGTTGCTGCACTAGCGCAACGTCAAGTTACAGCCTCTAATAGATTGCCGGTCGTTGCTGGATTCCACAGTTCATCAAAGATCTACAATAACAATGACAGAAGCAATAGCAGTAGCGGCAATAGGAGCAGCAACAGTTTTTCAGATCTTCTTGCTACCTTACGCTCAAGCGATAACAGTAATAATAGTAGTAGCAGTGCCAGTAGTAGTAGCAGTGACAACACTAGGACCAGCAGTTTGTTTGGCAGCAACCGAGGCAATAACAGTCCACTCTCCTCGGCCACAAGCGGTCGTTCCGGCATGTCATTCTTTGGAGTGTCAACAGACAAGGCCAACACGACATCGAACCCAATTCATTTTGATATGAACCATCCAACGGAAGGACGTTCTTTTATAGTGAATAGCCCCACAGCCGTTGATCTGACTTACAGAAGGTTGCGTACAGCCTTGAATCAATCCAACATTAAACGGGAGCTTCGTCTGAAGAGGAATTACGAGAGTGGACATACAAGGATGAGACGTGAGAAACAAGAACGGAACCGAAAGCTGTTTGGTGCCATGGTCCGAAAGAAGATCGAACTGATTAAGTTGATGAAAATTCGGTATGTACATGGTTTTTTTTCTCTTTACAAGTAAAAAAAAAAAGTACTTCTTGGAATATTCGTTCTAATTTTTTTTTTTTACTTTTAATTCCTTTCTTAGTGGCATGTAAAAAAAATGCTTGAATGCACTACAAAAGCATCAATTGGCGGAATGAAGACATATATATATTTTAGAATCAATAAAGTCAACATTTGGGAAATAAAAAATCTATTTTGGAAGCAGCACCACATTATGTGAAGCAATCAGGCATAATAGGCAGGCTTTTATGTATCACTAAACATCTGAAGGAATGATACAGAAATAAAAATATACCACATGTGAGAGAGAAGCTGAGGGCGAAACACTTGTTCCTCGTGTGACAAAAAAAAAAAATTAATACAGCCGAAAACGCCGTCTCTCCTTCGCCCTCTTCTTCACGGCGAAGCAGACGACCCTTTTGATCCTATGCATTAATACCTTGTTTCTCATGATCATTGGATATACATTCTTGACATGACAAAAGGGGGGGAAAAAAGGGTTTATACAAAGGATATACGATTTATTCTTTTTAATACACGAGTCAGATAATCGAACAGTATGAATGATGATATGTTACAAAAAAAAAAAAAAAAAAAAAAAAAGAAAGAAAGAAAGAGATATTTACAAAGTCAGCATGGGCGCAGGCTATGCACCACACACTAAATACCACATTGAATCCGAGCGGCGAACAGAGATGAAGGAGAGAAGGGAGTGATGGTGGAGCTTTTTTTTTTTTTTTTTTTTTTTTTTTTTTGGTTGCGGTATCTATCACCAGCATCGTCATCATTGATGAATCAGAGAAAGAAACCAAAAATGCAAAAATGCATTGACTAAGTACGCACTAACGATTGTGAACGTGGACTTAATTTTTCCTTTTCCAAATGTTGAGACATGGTGATGTTTGTTTGTTTTTGTTTGTTTTTTGTGTTTGCTTCTTAGACGTTGCTGATGATCTGAGCTGACTCGCCATTAATTTTCTCAGGCAAGCCTGCGACAGGCGACAACTTGCGGATCATGCCTTTCCACATGGGATCAACCTGGTGTGGAGTCCTTTCATGGTTTCTGCTCTCCATAAACGTATACATGTCCTCATCTACTTCATTTTGGAGTCCGATGTCGTTTTCACCAAATTGATCTTCATATCCTTCTCCTTCATCCTCATCCTCTTCTTCTTCGACAAGGATTTGGCCCTCAATAGTGTCTTCAATTTCGTCGTCCGCGTCGGGCCTCAAAAAACCGTCAGCCTCTGTGTCCAACAACTCGTTCCCAGCATCGTCATCGTCCTCATCCAAAACTGCGTGGCCTTCGAGTGTGCGATCGGACCAGATTGGTTTCGACTCTTGTTGTGAAGGCCACGATGGTGGTGATGGATCAGTATTTATTGTTTGCTGCTGCTGTTGTGGTTGCTGCTGTGATTGTTGCTGTTGCGATCTGAACCATGACTCGGCAACGGTGTCGGATGATGATGCGAAGGGCGGTTCTTCTAGTCGTCGTCTTCGGATTTGTGCTCTTCCAGTTGATGTTGGTTGACGTTGAACCTGTTGTAGTTGCTGCTGTTGTTCCAGGAGTAATTGAGTTTCAGAAAGTTGCAATTGAGACAATGATGATAATGAAGAAGCTGAAAAAAAAGTTGCAGGATGTCGAGGAGCGATGGGCAGAAGTTTAGAGATAGGTGCAGCGTGTGATGATGGGCTTTGAAGGATCAGTAGAGAAAAGATCGTCGCAGCTAACAGCGAAGTATTGCTTAAACGTCTGTTTGAAATCATGTTTAATTATACGATGCTGTTGTTGTTTGTTGTTTGCGGTCGTTGCTATCGTTGTTGTCGTTGCTGCTGTTGTTGTTATTGTAGTAAAAGGGAGAGAAAATGTGAGCAAGAGCAAAAGGAATTGTCGATTTTTCTTCTTAAATGGACATGGAAGAAAGGGGAAGACAAAAAGACAAGCGAAAGAATGTATTGGAAGGCAGAATCAATGGACACCCTTTTTTATTGATGCAAGATTGGAATATTGTCGCGAGAGAACTGGAAGAAAAAAAAAAGGGAAGAGAATGAAAAAAGGTCCGATATTTATATGGGAGAGACAGTTTCAGCAAGGAGAAGTGTGGTGGTGGTAGGGGGGAGTCGAGGGGCTATAATGTATTCATGTTGTTATATAATGTTATAAAAACGAATTCAAATGTATATTTCAGTTCCAGTATTTTTAGCGGTGTAGCCATTGCAAAGCCTTCTACCCATATTCGTGTACATACACTATGAGCAAGATACATCATGGAACAATCACTATCTCCAATATACACGATTATAACCAAGAATAGCATCGATAAGTTTTTTTCTTTTTTTTTATATCAATCGCAGAACATCATGATCTCCCTAGGGCCTTGTAGCCTGATAAAAAGAACCAAGGAGTATGAGAAGAGGGAGGAAAGTGAAAGCTACGTAAAATAAGAAAAAGGGCCGGGTGCGTATGCATGCACTCGACATGCTCGATTACACAACGAATTTCTTCTGCAGTTCTTTTTAGTACACTTACGAGGCTTTTTTTTAATATCTCAGCTGCCCTCACATCTTTATCCCTTTCCTTCGATATGATCTTCTACATCCTCGGAAGTCATCTTTAACCAACCAGTCATAAATGGGGGAGGAGAAAACCAGCTCTTCTTAATGAAAAGAACCTACAGATAACTATGAGTTAATCAGTAGTAAAGATGATGCAAAAAAAAAAAAAAAAAAAAAAAAGCAATTAAGCAAATCAAGTCCAAAACAATCTTCTAATTTAGGATAAAATATAGACCCTGAAACTCCCCTCCATGGTGTGTGCTCAACTTTATTGTCAAGTAATCAACATCTGTCAGTAAACAAATATACTTCCAGCTCCAGCTCCAATTAATGCAATGTACCCTGAAAAAAAGGTTTTTTTTGTTGCCAGCGGATCATTGTCCCGAAATAAAATTATAATATATATATAACGTATACATATATATATGTGTTTTTTTTATTTTTTTATTTTTTTTTATTTTTTTTTATTTTTTTTTATTTTTTTTTATTTTTTTTTATTTTTTTTGGAAGATTGAAGTAAGAAACGAAGAGAAAGGCTGATTTTGTTTTATTTTTATTCCTTTCTTTTCCAAAATGGAGCCATGTCATAGTATTACATGGACAGGCATCCTTCTCTCTTCAGTAAGAAGAGTCCTAGCACTTGGTTTCAACCCTTGTGCATAGTGCAGAATACAAAAGACAGATACGCGAACAGTATCTGTAATATATATATTATCATATTATTTCATTCACAATCATAATGTATAATGATATTATGTTTCAAATAATTTTTTTTAAAAAAAAAAAAAAAAAAAAAAAAAAAAGAAAAGAAAAGAAAAGAAATAAAGAAAATGCACAAGTCTAATGAAGAAATAATCTTGAAGCTCATGAGCTTATTTATGGGACGATAGTGCGTCTACGGACATGGACATGGAGGTGAATGGGCTATATGGTTATATAGACTATAAATATAATAAAAGAAAAAAAAAAAAAAAAAAAAAAAAACGCGTTTTTTGCTCCTGTGACCCTAAAATTCCTTTTCTAGGGAGGCGCGAGAAAAACAAACACCTCAATGAAAACTTGGCACCATGTTTTGGTTGTACCAAGTAATGAACTTTTTTTTTTTTTTTTTTTTTTTTTTTCATCACCCCAAAGTTATGCATTGATGCTTTGACCCCTATTTTACCAACACACCCTTTTTTTTCCTTCTGTTTTTGTTTTTATCATAATCACACAACACATGTCATACCTTCATTTATAGGAATAAAACAATGCTTAAATAGAGAAAAGGAGTATAGGAGTATAGGAGCAATAATATTTATCTATAAAAGCTACATGAGAAAGCTATCAACTATGAACGCAGGCTGAAGCTACGCATGAGACCACCTCCGCTTGTTGGTGATTGCATACCAGTTGCATTAGGGGACATCGGTGGAGATACCAATCCCAAAGATGGATTCGCACGTTCAGTGCTGGGGGAATTCAGATAATGTTGGTGGAGTTGCTTTGCAGTCGCGTTCGCTGGAGGAGCAAAGATCTGTTGTAGATTCACAGGGTTGCGCTTCTTGGTTGAAGGTGATGTGGGGGAGAGCAATGTCTTTGGAGATGGATACTTCAAAGGAACGAGAGGCGTGCTCGCTGCAGATGACGGTGGTGGTGATGATGATGGTGATGAGGGTGCCTCTGTTGCGGTGGTGGCTATCATTGACATGGATGTATCGACAGACAACTTGGCCGGCGTCTCGCTCTTATTAGTAACACTGCTTGCTGTCTCATCCGGAAGTGTTGCTGTGACAGTAATACCAGTGTTTGCCTTGTCCTTAAGATGCCTCCACCATCCAACTGCAGACACAGCTGTACCTGCTGCCTGGAATTTCCTCCTCAGCGTCTTGACACCCATCTTGATTTCCTCAATCTCACTGCTACCAATTCCCAAATTTTGGCGAGGCTGGTGACCGTTCACAAGGAGTTGTTTTGATAAGCCTGGTTTGCCTTGAAGTCGAAGCAGAAAGTCTTCGATGACATACATGCGTTTGGCTTTAGCGTCAAAGGAGCTGTAGAGCTCTTTAGTTTCAGAAAGGAGCTGTGTAGATGCCTTATGGAACGCACTGATGCGGGAAGCAATGATCTCTAGGCGGGATTCAAGCATAGCTTCAAGAGCTAACTCTTCTGCTGTAAGGTCTTTTCTAGGTGGTGACATTGAGATGTATAAAGCGCTCAATAAAAGAAATCAGAGATGGCGTATGAAAAGTGGTTGAGGTAGGGAAAATAAAACAAAATAAAAAATAAAGAATGTGGTTTATAATAAAGCCAGAGTTAGAGGATGAGAATGAGAAATTGAACGTTACAGAAGCAGGCGCAAGGTATTAAAAAGTTCGTTTGTATTTATATCATTTATCTTTAGAGATTATGCACAGCTTACACCGTGGGGGATGACCAACAAATAAAAAAAATAAAAAAAACAATGAGGTGATATCAAGTCCGAGGGGCTGTTAGCGATGCAACAAAGGAGATAGGGGAAAGATCACACTCTCAGTCATTTTGTCATACAAACTTGATCATTGACGGAACGGAGCGAATAAAGGGGGGAGCAGGAGAGGGGATTTAGGGGCGTTGGGGGTTGGATGTTGGGTCAGGCACGACATGGTCATCGCATAAAGGGTAAAAAAATAGGGGGTGATAATTTGGGGATTACACCAGGCGGCATGTCAACATTTGAATCTGGTGTTGTTTTAAGACGGCCTCGTGAAGCATTTTGTAAGGTGCCAAAAGCATGTCCCTGAACACAGGCACGTTTTGGCCTCACTAAAAGACGTTATTGCTGGTTCCAAAAACCTAACGGTGTATGTTAGGTAACTAGGCCCGAGCTTCCTTCCTCATGCTCATAAACTTTACTTTTCAGTACCATCAGAATCTTAAATGCTCAGAGTTTGAATGACACCTTGTTATAATTAAGTAATTTAAACTTGAGTACAGGTTGGCAAACAAGGAGTTAAAGGCAAGTAAATTGTTACTATTTGATAGGCAATAAAGTCGATTTTTAAGTGTACCAGAGGGTATCAATATGGAAGTCATTTTAATGTTTAGAAAAGATGCGGGTACAAGTGTATGTGTTTCTAAAATGCCTTAGGTTCCCATATTCGAAGGTGCATTCAGTGCGCCAGTATAATTAATATTGCTCCTTTCTACCCGATGTTATTATCATCATTGTTGTTGCTGCTGTTGTTATTGCCATTCGAGATGCCATTGCTTTGATATGGTAATGGAGCATGAGGTCCTGGTACTGTCACTACAGCTCGGTACTGAGGCCATTCATTCTGTAGCCGCTCCATAGCTTTACGAATCGTACCTCGCATGTCTCTATGTAATGGAAGTTCAGGCTCTACCAGGTTTCTCTGGCTACTTTGGCATGTACCTGGTGGGCTGGAAGATGGCGAGTATGGTGGGTTCAAACCTTGGTTGCTCCTAGCGCCATCTCTATCACTGCTGCTGCTGCTGCTGCTGCTCGGCAAGGCTTCTGTTTCAGGATGAATGCACCATTGCGCATGCTTTGGTGCAAGTTTCCCAGATTCTTGTCCCTCAATTAAGTTTAAGTGACAATGATTTCGAAGAGAAAATCCATCCAAATAATACCTCGCCAAAATCCTCTCCAAGCTCCACATGCGCTCATTTATATGCGCACCTATACGCAAATCGATTAATTGGATCAGTTCACTTACTCGCGCCTCCGCCTCATCCCCACCCTCGCTGATGGGTGCCGGTGGCTGTAGTGACTGTGCCCTAAGTACTCCATTTTCCATTAAGTAATCGTTGACTGTCCCTGAGGATCCCATAGAGTACCTGCGCATTGGAAGATCCAGCTCATCATCAAAGCCCAAATGTGATGTTTTAGTTTCTATTTCACTATTGCTATTTCCATGGCTATAGTTCCCAACGGCGACGGCAGTGTTTGCAACTCTGTTCATGTTAATAATAGTACAGTGGCACTGAGAAACGCATCGAGAATTCTGTGTCATTGACTCATTTAGAGGCACACTGTCCAGCCCTGCGTCCTCTGCACTGCCATATATCTTTGAAAGCTGATTTTTAAAGAAGCTATTGACCGTCTTGTAAGCGCCTTTTGACTCTTCAGCCTTCTTAGGATACTGACTTGATTTAGGTGAGTTCCGTAAGACGTATTGTTGCATCACACCCCAGCTTCTGTATCTGCCATTGCCAAATAAAAAGACCCATCCTGTGAAAGCAATGGAGGCCATGCTAGGTTATTGAGAAATCAATATAATATAGAAGAAGCGATGTATGTAGAACGCAGCAGTCAGTATCAGTATAAACAAGGCGTCCTCTAGTAGGCTCCTCAATAGCATTAATATGCAAAACCATACCCTCCAACAGCACCCACAAGATCAGTCCATGAATAAAAGGGCTGATCGATATATTTCGTGATAACAAAGTTTTCCGGGGAAACCCCGGTGATTCCTATGATTTGTTGGTCGTGGAATGTTACGGACTGAAAATGTTGCTAATGATGAATGTAAACGAAGCGTCAGACAAATGTTACAGAAAAAAAAAAATATACGTGTACAGATAAACATTTCTTCATTTACTTGTACAAGAGTGTATTGGGGTCGAGTTACTGTACGATTTAATAAGACATGCTCACTATAATCAAATGTAAGAGTATTCATAGAGGCTACCAAAAGATAAACGCGAAAGCACGGAGAAGTGAATTGCATGGACAAAATGAGCTGTTAACCTTCATGAAAGGTGAACATAAATCCCATACAGGACGCGACATATTTCTATACTCACCGCCGAAAGCCGTACCGGGGCCTTTTCGTTTAATGACTTCGTTCTTGAGTTAAAGCGAAGGAGGCTGTAGGTCAGCGGATGTACCATATAAAAAACATAGAAAGAATGTTGCGAGCGATAGTCGGCCATTTACCAAAGCGATGTTGAGATCAGTGAGAGATGAACGTGTAACGTTTTCTTTACTCAGAGCTGTAAAAACAACTGCATTGAGTGTATTCTGCAAAGGACAGTCAAATAAAGGGGGGAATAAAAGTAAGTACATTGGCAGATCCAAGTCATAAAAGAGACATGTTATCCTATCTTACTGGGTCGGTTCCGTCGGAATTGCTTGCGAAGTAAAGACCTTGGGGTTGGAAGCTATGACACCTGTAGTGAGAAGGCACACCATATTGAGAAACCGGTGGATTTACTATTTTCATCATGTCTTTTGTAGTGAATACAGACAACACATCCACAGAAAATAGAATTAAAAATAAAAGCGAGAAGAAATTTTAGGAAACTCAATTGGACCTTTTTATAATTTGACAGGAATAAAGTACGAGACTTACGAGGAGGAGCGGGTCTTCCGGTTGAAGGCTTAACTGTGCCATTAGGATAGGTACCTCCAGTGCTGTGCAACTTAACTAGGACTTCATTCAATAGTGGGCTACATATTAAAGTATTCGGAAGAGGGATTCGAGCATTCTCCAACACGCTGACAGATACCAAGTTGACATTTTCTAAAATAGAGGCCATCTTAGGTATTAATGCCATAGTCAAGAGCCCAATTATGATGCAGAGGAGAATTAGACGAAGCACGAATTCATTGGTGATAGGACCACCACACAGTCGGACCCGGCCTGGCCTGTGCATTCGCGGCATGATGCTGATAGTGATGATATGGTATAGTAGCTATGATGTGTTGTCTCAGTATGATTTTTGAGGGTGGAAATAGGTCGCGGTGGATAGACTGATGATTATGAAAACACTTTGTAGTTAGGAGGAATATAGAGATGTGATGGGGAAGGCAGAAAAAGCAATAGGTGAAAAAGAGAAAAGATTGTTTCGTCAAAGTGAAAGCGAAAGGGAAAAGACTAGAAGAGAGACACCGCCTTCGATCTAGAAAAAAATAAGGGGGTTGCTTCGCCACTTTGGGAGGAGAAAAAAAAGCAGTCCGAAATTCATTATGGCTGTGCTTGTTTACATGCTTGATACAGAACAACAACGCCCTGACCGCAGCAATCTTAAAACCTTTTGTTACTGTGGACAAATACCACAAAGTACAATTACAGCCCTCATGCGTGCCACATCCACAGCATTGACTGCATCATTCTACTTTTATTTCACGTCCGCTTGCTCATCCAGAGTCTCATCCTCTCTTCCCTCTTCTTATCTTCATTCGAACAGGATCCATTACTTACATTCATTTCGCTTTTCCACTTCTTCTTATCTTAAGAAAATTAAACGACCTGTACCTATGAGTTCATCTCAGCCCCGCAGCAGCAGCAATTCTGGAAGCCACTCTTCTTCTGCTGAAGCCGCTGACCCACACCCAATCTTTTACAACGTATCCACTCGCACCTATCGTCCCACAAATGGGATTCGTAAAATCACTCCGTCCTATCTAGTCAAGGCCATGGAGGATCCTGTCACGTTGACGAGCCCTCAAAAGATCCTTGTCATCTTGGACCTGAATGGTACACTCTTTTATCGCAATAAGCAGCGCACTGTAACGAGCCGTCCTTACTTGGCTGAGTTCCTTGATTTCTTATTCAAACACTGTCGAGTCATGGTCTGGTCGAGTGCACAACCACATAGTGTGAAAGCCATGCTAAGCTTTGGGTTCGGTAACCGAGTCTCAAAGCTAGACCGTATCTGGACACGAAAAGATTTCAGACTACCTGATATTGATTATTCACGGAAGGTCTTGACGGTCAAGGATTTGGAGTTTGTTTGGGATGGGATTGAGCGGGAGAAGGCTCATGTGGCCACTTTGGTGAATGCAACAGATTCTTCTAAAGATGGCAAGTTTCTGGTCGATTTCGATCAAACAAACACAGTCTTAATTGACGACTCCAAAGACAAGGTCCAGCTACAGCCGCATAACGGCATAGCGCTCCGGGATTTTGATGCCGATCTGGCAAGGTCAGGAACAGATGACGAGTTGCTCAAAGTCAAGAAATATCTGGAGAAACTCATTTATCAGAAGAATGTCAGTGCGTACATGCGCCTTCATCCCTTCGATACGGACGCACCCCTAGAAGGTATTTGATATGGACTGATTTCTTATTTGTCATCATGGCGTTATTGTTTGATCAACTTATTAATCTCTTTTTTTTTAAAAAAAAAAACATAGATTATACTAATTCCACCGAGGATATTCCAGCTCACAACACATCCCGGCGAAGATCTTCAGAAGTTGAGGGTTTGATCGATCAACTGCAGAAAAACACTCTTACCAGCTGATCGCACATTGAAAACTCGGCTTCATATTCGTGTTTACCTTTGCATATTCATACCTATAACTTTTTTTTTTTTTTTTTTTTTTTAGTCGTATCAATGATAGCTTAGTTACTCCTCCTTCACTTTTCTTTCGACTCGTATTGATTTTTGTTTTTATTTTATTCCTTGTTCCTTTTTTTTTCTTTTTTTTCCTTCATGGCACTACTGCTGAGTCTGCTGATGTCGAGTTCTGTTGTTCATTTACTGAAGATAACAATTCGCGATTGATCTTTGCAATAAGCTCATTTGTGCTCTGCTTTAATAAATCTGCAGCATTCAACCATGTATCCAGTTCCTTTTCCTCGCCATAAACTACGTTTTTGAATGGCACTTGTGAAGATGAGATGCCAGCTTTGGTCAGATAATGAAATTGTCGCCTTAATCCTGACTGGATCTCATCCACAAGTGTAGCATATCCTGTAGCTAATGTTTCAAACTTCTTGGCCCGCTCATCTGCATATTCCTGAACCATGGCTTTGCGCGCTTCCGGTGAAAGCGAGGTTGCAGCTAAAAGACGTTTTCCGACTTCTTCGTTCTCTTCTTCTTCGTCATCATCACCGCTCAAGATTTGGATCGCCTGTCCTGCTGTCTCAAGAAGTTGAACGATTCTCTAATAAAAGTACATCATGGTCACCATCAGTCCAGTCCATAATGTTTTATATACACTCTTGTTTTTTTTTTTTTTTTTTTTTTTTTTTTTTACCCTTTCGAGTCCACGAAGCTCTAGAATTCGGGTTGCACTGGTCTGATTATTATCTTCTTTCAAGATCGAATCAACGCCGTCTGTATCATCTTGGTTCTTTTTGCGACGTGTATAATCATCATAAGCTTGATATATATATCCATCATTTACAGTTCGCCTTGGCTTTGATTTTGAACGTGCTGTTGTTGTCTGCGATCGTGATTGTGATTGTGATTGTGATTGTGATTGTGAATCAGAATATTCTGTTGCATCAGATGCAAGCGAAGAAGAAGGATGGGATGATCCAGGAGGGCTAGCCATATTTGTGTCTTCCATGGCTTTTTTTTTCTATAAAATAATTAATATTCCTGTAATGGTTATTACTGCGTCTTTTCTGCTTTGTTCGCCTCTTGAAGTTTCTTGTTATTTAAAATATGAAGAATACAATTTAAGAATCTCAAGTGGCGAAGTGGCTCAGCCACGTTTTAGAAGCAACGCGCTTTTTTTCTTTTTTTTACATTATATTTGCAGGCTCTCGAAGCCGTTTTTTAGGATGGGTTTTATCATACAATATGCTTCAATTAATACCCATCCTGACTGGACTGACAGCTGCTTGAGCTCACGCCTCTATCTTGCCCCAGACACTCTCTTGCAAGTTGAGGATGTGGAAACCTGTAATAAAATGTGAATCACAGAAGAAGTAAAGAACTAGAGACTGGAAATCGCATTGGTAAGTAAGGACCAAGGAAGCTGGATGCGGTGGGCTGTAGAAAGAATGTTATACTGTTCTAGAAGCAGCCCCGGACGAATAAGAATGATTATTATTGCCACATCAAGGAGCCATAATTAAGAGGAAAAAAAAAAAAAAAAAAAAAAAAAAGAGATGTCTACGGGACCGTAATAATGTATTCATCCTTTATTTATCTCTTTCACCTCCTGGTTTTCTTTTCTTATCACTTTTCCACACAATTGCCCATACTTTCAAGCAGCTTTTAACTTTCCTTGCTCCCCACCATGAAGCCTACATTCTTTGTTGCTGGACTGTTGTCTCTAGGTCTTGCCTCACAGGCAGAGCTTATGCGGTAAAAATTAATACTTTCTTAATCCCTTCATTGAGCTATGAGATCATCAATGTGTCTCATTGATTTCCTACTCATACGGCTGCGTGCCCTGTTTTGGTTTGGGGTGTTTTTAGTATCGATCTCAAAAAAACCAAAATGACACCTGCAGAGAAGATGGAAGCCTATTTAGAGGCAAGACCGTACCTAGCTCGCAAGTACTTTGGTTCATCATCAAAAGAGTACATGTCAGAAGCTACTCAGAACTTTGGCTTCGATGCCGATGGAAAATCAACCCATGGCGTGCCTCTTTCCAACTACATGAATGCACAGGTAAAGTATTTAATTTTTTGCAACCATTCCAAACTGCGCATGATTCATACACCAGAAATCTCAACGGAGCACCAAATTGAGATTCTTTAATGGCTTAATTTTCATACTGTACATTTCTTTTTACCCTTTTTTTTTTTTTTTTTTTTATTTCCCTCTCAGTATTATGGCGATATCACTGTTGGCACGCCTCCTCAGACCTTTTCCGTCATCTTTGACACGGGTTCATCCAACTCTGGTT